TAAATCTAATAAAATATTCTCTTATAATCTAATATATCTCTTATCTAAAGCCGAACTTAAGATTCTATAAGAATATATTAAAAAAAAATCTAAAATTAGACTAAATTTAATCTTTAAAAAGCCCTGCTGAAGTCTCTATTCTTTTTATATTTAAAAAAAATAATAACTTATATCTTTATATAGACTACAAAGATCTTAATAAGATTTTTATTAAAAATTATTATTTTTTATCTTTTATTTTAAAGATTCTTGACAGAATTTCAGAAAGTATCTATTTTTTAAAGATTAATATTAAGAATATATACTATCAAATCTATATTAAGAAAAATAATAAATAGAAGATAGTATTTTATATTTAATACAGCTATTTTAAATATATAATTATATTATTTAAATTAACTAATACTCCAGCAACTTTCTAAAATTATATATATATTATACTTCAAGAATTTCTTAATAATTTTTATATAGTATATCTAAATAATATTCTTATCTTTTTATTAAATAAGAAATCTTATATAAAATATATTTATTAAGTTTTAGAAAGACTTCGAGAAGCTCAGCTCTATATAAAACTATTAAAATATTTATTTTATTAATCTCAAGTTAAATTTCTGAGATATATTATCAACTCTGATAAAGTATTTATAGATTTTTAATAAATAAATAATATTATTTTATAACCGACTTCTAAAAATTATTATAATATCCAGATCTTTCTTAGATTCTATAATTTTTATTAATAATTTATTTAAGACTATTCTTATATTATCTTATCTTTTACTTCTTTACTTTATAAAATAATTAACAGACAGAAGCCAGAGAAAATTTATCTAATCTTAATTAAATAAATTGCTTTTCACTATCTTATTACTATCTTTTAATAAATATCTTTATTAATATATTTTAATTCTATAAAATCCCGGCATTTAGAAACTAATATATTAAAAAAAGAGATAAGTAATATTTTATTTTAATCTAATATTAAAAGTATATTTTATTCAGTTATATTCTGATTTTATAAGTTTTTTAATATTAAGCTAAATTATAATACTTCAGATCAAGAGCTATTTATTATTATTTACTCTTTTAAATAATAGTAATAATATTTAGAAGATACTTTTTAAATAATCAAGATTCTATCAGACTATTTGAACTTGTAATTTTTTATATATTAAATCTAGATTAATAGAAGACAAGCTTAATAATTTATAAATCTAATTTTTTATAATTTTATTATTAAATATAAAACAGGAAAATTAAATTCAGTAAATAGATTTTTTAGAATATTTTCTAAATCTTAAGTAAAATCTGCTTCTTAAAAGAAACTGTTAATCTTAATTTAAATATAATTTATAAATATATTATTTCTGATAATAAGAGATCTTATTAAAGAAAAAATCCAGTTTAAATCTTAAAATATATAGAATTATTCTAAATTTAATATCTGTATTATATTAAGCTTAAAGAATTTTAATAATTAAGTTAATATAGAGACAGCTGACTGGACTGCTTGAAAGAACTTATTTTAAAAAAGATTTATTTTTTAATCTATAATATTATAAGTATATACCGCAGAAGTTTTATACTTAAATATATATAATTTTAAACTTTAAAAGATAATCTTATATTTGTAGAATAATAATCCAGAGATATAATAATAAAAGACTATTATTTAATAAAAATAATCAGATTAAAAGTATTAGATTATTAAAATAACTGATTATATTTATTTTAAAAATTAATATTATATTCTCTCTTCTGAGATATTATATCAGACACTTATTAAACTATATTATAATAATCTGTTAGTAAAATACTTCAGAAAAACTTAAATAGAAGTACTACTATATAAAAAGTTTTACTGAAATAAATTATAGTATAATATAGCTAAATATATCTAAATTTATCTAATATATTAAGAAATTACTACTTCAAAATATTGATTATATAGTAGTCTTAAATTATTATTAATTTTATTATATTTTTTTATTAAATTAATAATAGATTTTATTACAGGGCTGCTCTCTATTATTTAATATAAAAAAACTATTAATACTATTCTAGTTATTATTAATTAATTCTTAAAATACTATCTTTTTTTTACTATTTTATTTATAATAACTATTCCAGATCTTGCTAAACTGTTTTATAAATAGATTAAATTAATTTTCAGATTCTTAAATAAGATTATATCTAATTAAGAATTAATCTTTATTAGTAAATTCTGATTAAATTTAGTCTATAATAGCTATATAATCTTAAAGCTTTTAACTATATTTTATTCTTAAATTAATAGTCAAATAGAATAAATAAATTAAATACTTAAATACTATCTCTAATATTACTTCAGTCAGTATAATATTAACTAGTTATTAATTTTTTTAAATACTTAATTTATCTGTAATAACACAGATAATATAATTATAGATTAATTATTTTATAATATTTTTTATAACTTTTTATTAAATTTTTATATTAGAATTAAGACTAATTCTTAGTAGTAAAAAGTCCCAGCAGTACAGAATAAAATCAAGAAATTTAGAGAAATAAGAAAATAGCTATAAAAGATATAATAAATAGCTATAGAAAAATAAAAGAAATATTATAATAAATATAGAAAGCTATTCTATTTTAAAAAAAAAGATCTAGTTAAGCTATCAACTTAGAACTTATAACTTAAAAAATTAAGAAAGCTGGCTTTAAAATTTATAGAATTCTTTTAAATTTTTAAATATATTAAATCTTAGATATATTAATTATATTTATCTAAAAAATATAGATAAATCTATAATATATTCTATATTTTCTTGTTAGAACTATAGAATATTAAAAAAGATTATAAAGAATTATTTCTGATATCTGAGCTAGATAATAAAAATAAATAAGAAGTTAAAAAAATCAAAGATTATTAATATTATAATAATCAGGATTATTATTTAATTAAGTAAAAAGAATAACCGAGCAAGTATAATTAATAAATTTTTAATAAAAATATAAAGAATACACCCAAAGCTATAAAATAATACTAAAAATATTATAAAAAGTATTATATATTAAAAAGACAGAAGATAATTATTAGTAAATTATTTTATATTTTTAAGAAATAAGCTACAGAAATATTAATTTCTTAATATTTCTTATTAATTATATTATTGCGGATTAAATATATTAATAGATATAAAATTATTCTGCTATAAGATAATAGAAGATATCTAAATATATTTAGTTATATTTATTATTTATTTATAAAATAAATAATAATAATAATCAGGCCCTCTTATTATAATTTAGAAATATTTATAAAAAAAATAGACTTCAGGAGAAGAATATAAGAATCTGTGATTAATTTAATAATATTATTTTTATTATTTAAAGTTGATTTATTATTATTAATATCCGGGTATTAAATATATATTATAGCTTTTATTAAATTAAGAAAATTTTGCAGAGCAGAAATCCAGTCTATATATCTTAGATTATTGAATAGTAAATATAATAATATTTCTGTTTTATAAATATAATAATTTTTCAGCAAGACGCGAAGGCTAGAATAAGAAATTAATTATATTAAAAAAATATAACAAATCTTAATAAACTTAATATACTTAATAATAAATTTCTAACAGAATATTAATAATAGAATTATAAAAATCTTATTTTTTAATTATAATAAAAACTTATATACTTAGCAGTCTTGATATTTTTTAATAAGAATTTATAAATATAAATATTTTTTATACTATTAAATATTTTTATAAGAATATAGATCTCTTCGCGGACAGTCTATTTAATATTATTATTTTAATATTTTTTCTTTAGAATCAGAGTAGCTTATTTAATAATCTTTAAAAGATTATAAGTATTTTTTAGCAGATCAGTTATAGACTTAAGAGATATTAGTAAATTATATATATATAATATAAAGTATACAAAATCTATAGGATTACAAGTCTTTTTTTTTATAAAATAGAAATAATATAGAACAGATATCTTTATATTTAATAGATAACTAATATTATATAGAGTGTTCTTTTTAGAATTAAAATTATTATTTATATATCTTAGATAGTATATATAGAAGTTATAGCAGGCTTTAATAAGAATATTCTACTTAAGATATACTGTTCTCTTTATTATTGCAAAGTAATTAAAAATAAGATTAATATTTAATAAAAAAGAGAATAATAGTAATACAGTATAGATAAAAATAATAAAAATTATATAAAATAATAAAAAAATATAAAGAGAATAATTATAAATTACTAAAGAAATAATAATCATAAAGTAGAAGAGAAGAAAAAAGAGAAATAATATAAAAAATTCTTTTATTTATATTTCTTCGCAGGGGATTTATCTATATAAATATAATATAAAAGATTCTTTTGTTTACACTTCTTCGCAGGGGATCTATTTATATAAATATAACTAAATATTTATAAAGCTATATAAAAATAATATATAATTCTATTTATACTATATATTCTGTAAGTTTTCTATTTTTTATTATCAAATCCCTACTGTTCTGAATTAAAAATATATAAGACTATTCCTAATATTCAAGCCAGGTGGCTTATCCCAGCAAAGAAAAGTATTATTTATAATAGAATAATTCAGCTATCGGGATAAAGATTATTGAAATAATATATTATAATAATTATAAGAGTTATAAGATTATTAATAATAGTTCTATATCTCTCTAATATCTATAAGATACTGATTTCTTTATAAGAAGCTACTGATCCTTCAAGGATCAGTCTATCTTGTGAATATAGACTATCTTTGTTATTATCAAATGAATACACAGTGTTTCATGATTGATTCCTTACCTAGTCGACAGGCTTTCTACCCTGACAAGTAGATCCTATCACAAGTTGATTTCAGAACACCTGATCAATCCAAGCCCTAAACATCTCAGGGCTGTGGATCATTTAATCTTTTATTTAGGAGGAACAAAGGACTTGGCTATTGAATTTAGCCCTAGCCCTATTTTATTTTATATGGCCAGTGATGCTAGTTTTGCTGATAATCAAGATCGCGCTAGCTTAATAGGGTATATTATTTATTTATTCAATAGCCCTATTGATTGGCTAAGCAAGAAACAGTGTTATGTGATTCTTTTAACTACTGAAGCTGAATTATTAGCCCTAACTACTGCAGTCAAGTAACTTCTTTAATAAAGAAGATTTTTTAAACAAATAGAGTTTAGCTCTAATCAACACTTCTCTATATTATATAACAACCATCAAACAGTCAAAATTCTTACTGATAAGAATTTCCTCTTTTGGACTAGTCTGAAATATATTAATATTATTAATTATTAGCTAAGGCAAGAAGCCCTGAATAAAATAATTGATATTTAATAGATATCTACTAATAAAATACAAGCAGATGGCCTGACTAAGCAGTTTCTTGGTCAGAAATATACTCAATTTATCAAATAGTTGAATATGGTGATTTATTAAATTCTATTATTATTATTTTCTATTTTAGTAATTTATTTACTCCAGTTTTTTCTAATATTTTATCTTATCAAAACTGCGGGGGTGTATTAATAATATAGGCAGACTGGCCAGTTCGCTGTCTAAGACTCGCCAGTTCGCTGCCTAAGACTTATTAGTTTGCAGTCTCAGACCAGTTGACTGCCTTAGATTATTAGTTGGCAGACTGATAATTCTGAGTTCCGCCTACCCCGCAGCGGAGCAAGAGATCTTACTTTTATTAATTATTCTAGTCTCTATTCAACCACTGGTTCTATTATTCTCGGCCCTATTCTAATTATATAATTTTTATATAATTTTTATATAATTTTATATGTTTTCATGTGCTTTTGATAGCCAATTGGCTATAAATATAAATAAAAAGATCTCTCAGTTTTTAATTAGTTTTTTAATAAGTTTTAATCAAGTTGAATCAGCTTTTAGTCTCTTTCTAATCTTTGATTCTTTTTATTACTTCTTTTATCTTTCTCTTATCTTTCTTTTATCTTCATCTCACTTTCATCTTACTTTTATATCTAATTTATATAAGAAAGTAAGAGTTCAGTGAAGTTTTTCTGAGAGATCAGAGAAAAGTTCTTACTTAGTTATCTGATCTCTAATTCTTCTTATTTTTTTACTTCTCTTATCTTTCTCTCACTTTCACCTCACTTTTGCACCCAATTTGTATGAGAAAGTGAAAGTTCAATAAAGTCTTCTAAAGAAAAGTTCTTACTACTTATTTGATCTGTTTAATCTGTTTGATCTATTTAATCTGTTTGACCTGCTTTATTCTAATAACCTGACTATCCGCAATCTTCTTAACTGCCTGTCAGTTTCTGATTCTATTGATAGCTCTTTGAGCTATATCTTATTTATAAATCTAAAAATAGTCTAATCCAGAAGAAATAGTAGAATAGAAGTAGTATATTTATTCTTAGTATTCTAATTAGTAATTAATATATAGTTTTTCTAGTATTTTATAATATAATTAAGATATACAGCTAAAATAGAGCGGTAATTATATATCTTTGTATATATTTCTTATTATAAGAATAATAATTTTATAAAAAGCTGAATTTTATTAATATAACTAGAATTTTCTTATTATTTCTGATAAATAATAATAAAAAAGATACTAATTTCTTTCTTAGTTATATTTTTTTAATCTAAAAAGCTTCTTTTTATATACTTTTAGGCGATGATGAAGATGATCAGATTAATAATTATTTAATCTGGATATATCTTAATTATGCTAGAGCTTAAAAAAATATAGCGGGTAGATCTTAATATCAAGAACAGTTAAAATAATTAACCGCCCGGTTTTTAGCTATACCGCGGTTAGATATAAAAATTTCCTTAACCTGATCATAACCTGGCGATTAGATATAAAAATTCCAATTAACCTGACCTGACCTGGCCGTTAGCCACTCTAAGCAAAGCTAAAGTGCAGAGTAGATATATTGAAATTTCTACCAACGAGCGTTGTTATTACAGACACATATAGATAGGTCAGTGCTGGGATGATTTATGCAAACTAAAGATCCTCGAAAACCATTTTCCATAGCCTACATCTGTATCTCACCCCATGCAGGCAAATACGAAGCAAATCCGAAATACTGTGATGCCGCCCCACTTCAGCAGTGAAGCAATACCTGTCATAATCAGGATCTAGACGGCCCCTCATCGGTAGATCCAGCGTCCTCCGGATGGACTATCTTGTGGATGGCTCGCAGCAATCAAAACTGTGGTCTGGACCCGGTGTTTCGATCGAATCAGGCACCGGATGAAGTACAAAGTAGGTAGTACAACCCCTGTTGCAAGATGACAGATGACGTAAGATTAAGCTCTGCAGTTCCCCAGTAAAATGTTTACAATAAGTGTATCAACCCACACTATGACATGGGACTTCCTGTTAAACTGACGAATCGGCACCTGTTTCTCAGGCATAAGCATCGTAAAATCCTAGCTCTGTAGCGGAGCTAGCGGTTTAGGGACAAAAAGACGTCGAGGGGGAGAGGGGAGAAAGAAAAACCGACCCCAAGCTAGCAGACTGACAGCCCCGATCTTACAGTAGTAGCAGTTTCAGGTGAGCGCGCGCTTCTCCCCCCTCCTTCCATCAATCTATCTTTGGAATTGATACCTTTTGTCTCCATCGCCTGTCTTTACTGATTCTCCATCATTTGACTTCGAATGCCCAGGTTCCCCGCATATGATCCTCCTATGCGTGCACTGCTTCTAAAATAGCAACGGTCCTGCTGCTCAGCCCTGCTTAGTGCTTAGTCATATCCCCTCGACCTAAAACGGCGCGGGCGGAAGAATCCCTTAAAACCCATCGGCGAGGGGACTGTTTAGGGGATTTGCATGGTGACAAGCTTTCTTTTTTTCTTCCTGAAGCTGGAGCTGGACTCCTCATGCATCCTGGAACCTGACGATGAGTTCGTTCCACCAGTTTATGCTACAGGCAAAGAAGGCGCGCGATGCTATCAATAACAGAGCAAGGAAATCAGATGCCAAGAAGAATAATTCGTCCAAACACACTGCAGGTCCATCTTCGGTATCGTCATCAGTGTACGTTGATTAAGCCCCCAGTTGATCACCAGACGCATGCAGTCAGGTTTTGTGACGCGCTCATCGCTAACGTACCATGTGATGTTGATAGAGTCAACCTAGTTTCTACATCGGCCCCCCCCTGGGATCTTCTCCCCGTCGAGATTCAGATCACGATTTTCGCGCACTGCGGCGTCACGGATCTCCTGCCGTTGAAACTCGTCTGCAAGTCCTTTCATAACCTTCTCACCTCCCAAGAACAATCGATTACCCGGCAGTACCTCCGTCAGCGCCGCCATGGAACACTTCCGTCTCCGATAGACGGAGAGAAGACATATACCCGAAGTCCCGAAGATGATGTGGTGCTGCTGTCGGATCTATTTCCACCAGCAAAGAGCGCTAAGGGGGGGCATATATACACATTCAAATACATATCTGGACTGCGTCGCCGGCAGAAGCTTTGTTCCCGGCTCTGTTGCTACCTTGCGGACCGTGTCATGGATCGATTCGTGCACAGTGAGCCGGCATTCATGAAGTCAATGTTCTCCTCGAAGTCTGAGCGGTATGCATTTGTGCAACGAACAACTGCACAATTATGGTCTTACCTCACGCCACTGATGTAAGTGACAATCCCAACCCTACTCCGATTTGCTCCTGACACGATCCCTCTTGTAGGTATTATACGCTACACTTCCTTGAGGCCTACGCTCTTGCCAGACGAGAGCAGACCAATGCCCTTCTACGTGACTGGGAAGCAGGACGTCTGCCAGTTCCGGTCCCCCCTCACATCCGTAAAATCATGTACCGGGAATTGCAAGTAAAGATAATCAGATCACCTCCTTTTACCGACACCCCTACCCTTATCGCCACACACCACTGCATGGAGCTTCTTGTCACATACCTGCGGTACACCGTACCACCAGATGAGCCTACGGTGTCAGACGATAGCTGGATTGGGTCACTGCTTACAGTGTCGCCATTCCTTCGAATAGTGGAGTACTTCTCCGCTGAGATCGGCGATGGGGGTAATCAGCGAATGCAACGGAAGGATTTCATGCACAATTTCCACAATGACATCACGTCTAATGCAAAAGACGACATCAACTCGTTGGTTTTCCAAAATGCGCCAAATGTGCATCTTCATGGCTCTCTGAAGGATGTCTGGTTCGATGTCGTGAAAGAGGAACTGGTTTCGAGAATGGCAGCACCTCATAATGCAGAACGCATCATGGCCTGGAATGGATTACCGATACTCTTCTGCTGCCAAGATTGCTGTATATCGGATGGATGGCGGGCATGAAACATTTGGTTATTTGATTAGCAAGCATTGCATTATTTCGCATTCTTAAGGCGAGGCGTTTCAGCGGGGTTTGGGTACACTCCATGGTGGAGAAAATATCCATGTTGAGTTATGAGCCATTTGCGACTTTGTGTTACTCTTGCAGCATAACATTTTTGAGCAGCGGATTTTACAAAGAATAGAAATATTGTTTTCGTCTTTAAGTGGTTCAACCCGTAAAATATAAACATCAGTCTATGTATTTAGAGACATAGCCCGACATCCTAGCACATGCTAGTACTACTAAGCTTTGTTTGCCATGTTTGCGGGATACGGCGCGTCGGCGGAGATAGCTGTAGTCCTGAGACGCGGAAGCCCCAGTAAGCATCATTCTTCCTCCCCCTCACTCCCGAGCCCCGAGGCCGATATATTTTGTTATTTTAAGTTGACTTCCTCAATGATGTGATCTACAAAGGCTCGTTCGTCTGCCAATTAACCTATATTCAATCAGCCCAAGGATACCATAATGACACAAGCAACTCTACTAAACACCTCATGGACGCTACATCGTCTTTCACCCCTCCACCATGGCAAAGAATTCGACTCACTACTAAACAATCCTCTGGCTCTAAAAGCTTACGCGACTAGGCTGCGCGATCAGTTATCCGGCACCGCCTTGTCCGGCGGCGTCCAATTCGGCGGCGCACTGCCTACAACAGAAGATGACGGGCTCTCCAGAACCGGCGCGCTGAAATCCTGCACTTGGGAAACCGTCCCAAACATATCTTTCTCAGAAATCGAACATGAATCCCTTGAATCTGACGATGCGTCCGACCCCTTAAATGCGCCTCGATCTCGAACCCGGCCCCGTCGCCCACCACACTCGCCCTCACCATCTCACCAAGGAGGGGGGATCTGCGTGAAACTTGAATACGAAAACATAACCTACAAGGCCGCCCTCCTCACATCTTCATCTTTACCTGCGTCTCAGTCGAATCCTACCACCAAACCGCGAACTCGAACGCGATCCCAGACCCAAACACACTCCACACGCCTCCCTCTTCTCCTAACCCGCTTCCCCGCGCCTCTCCGACAAACTTTCATTTCCTTCCTCTCCTCGACGTTCGACGCCTACTGTTCTCCCCTGCATCTACCCCCCCAGTTCCTTGGCACAGCACTGGGAACCTACATACGTGCCCTTGCATCAGAAGGACTCGGGACCGCAAATCCCGTAAACATCCTGAAAGAGCTTCATCTTACACTCTCGTTTTCGGCCTCTGTCGCGCCGGAGCTACGCGCTCTCAACATAAGTATACCGCGGGAGTCACTGGGTGGATTTCTTTATGCCGGAGACAGTGGAATGGGAAGTGAGTCGGACGTTCTGTCCCGTCTCAGTGCCTACCTGGATGGGCATTTGGCAATGAAGCTGGATTTGACCGGTAATGCTACTGGTCCCGGTCCAAAGGGGCAGCAACACGTGCGCCTGTCGAGAATCACCTGCGGGGGATTTAGTCTTGGTGGTGACGGCAAGATGAAGTTGGTTGCGTCGCCATCTACTGCTGGTGGTGATGGTGAAGAGTCGTCGAATGGCGCTTCTAGCCAGACAAATCGTCTAGCATTGCGAGCTTGTGAGGTGCTGCTTCTGGATGTTGTTCGCAGGGCGGCTGTGGATGAGGATGAAACCTGAGCAAGTGGGATTGCGATCTACGAGTGCACGTATATATGGGTCCCCATCCAAAAGAGAAGAGCAGTTCGTGACGATATTCATGATTGCTATAAACAATATATCCAACAGATGCCGAGACTATGCATTGTAGATGTCAGTCGCTGGAAATTGCGCGGTGCCGTCAATCGTCTACAAGTCCAGGCCATGACAAGCTATGCAAATTTACAATAGGTCCCCCCAACTCGCTTCAGAGGGAACTAGAGAACTTCAGTTCACTGTGGGCCACCCTTTGGTTCAGCGAACCCAAGGGCCTTGTCGACGCTGGCGACGAAATGAGGCATGCTATCGCATCCCTCAAATGCCACTTCTTCCAAGCCCGCAGAACAAATCGCAATTAGGAATACCGCAGATGAAACCCTTACTTCAGGACAATTATAATCGTTTATAATCTCGCAGAGGGCCTAGGTCCCGGAGCCACCAATACTTGTGATATCATGGTGTTTAATACAATAATCATGTTATGCTCTGGGAATTTCAATCGCGTCGTGAGCGGAGCCGTAAGATAAAGAAGGCAGGACGGCACCAAAGAAGGCCCTAGAACCTGTCTGCTACACAGGATGGCCAAGCATGCTGCAAGGAACCTCAACGAAATTGGAGTCTTTTGACAGAGGTAATACGTCCATGGAGCTGGATATTATGATATGAAAGAAGCAACTTAGGCCCAGAATACAGCACTGCCGGAAGAGGCAGTGATTCTTACATGTGATTACTTTATATCAAAGGAGCATCTGTTGTTTTTCCTGCTTTCCGATGCACATTTGCGGGGTTGGCTCAGATCTAGTATCTTCGTTCCCATTGGCCCACATCGTACAGATCGTCACCTCATGGCTCGTGCGAACTAGTCACAGTTCCACCTCATTTTACTACCCTACTAAGTAGTCCACATTCATGCTCTTTTAGCGAGATATCAGCCGTGGGATTGGCCTTGAACATCATTCTCATAAGTGTAAGAGTTCATCAAGAGCTCTGACATTTATCGAAGAATCAAACCAAATCCTACAAGGTACAACTGTGTATTTGTGAATCTCGAAGATCCCATTCTAGCACTCTGGATCGACTCGGGAATTTGCGATACCTTGTGATAATTGGGACAGAATGGCCAGTACTAACAAAGTGCAAGCAAAGCCAAGGTAACTGGTATAATCCGCGGGGTCGAGGCATGTTTCTTGCCATGGGTGAATAAAATTCTGTGTCATATTCCTTCCTGTTGGAGGACAAATTATAGCTCTTAAAACCAGCTTTCAATGTTAAAGCCCAGGTCACAACTTTTTATGAAGGCATAAAAACTAACAATTCCCGTTTTCATCTATCTGGCATATCATACGTATCGCCAGGCAAAGTACGGAGTACAGGAAGGACTTGATGATACTTATCAAATACCGGTATCGATTTCAGATAGGTTTTTGGTGAGTTGTTCCCGCCAAATTTTCTCACTTTGGTCTTACAAGTCTCTACAAGAGAAGGCCCATAACTATCTGGCGCACAGGCTCTGTGTTTTGTGGAGAGCATCGGTTTTAGACCCTATGATGCGACCACGACATCTTGCCATTATTTCCGTGAGTGATACTTGCCAACAAAGCTGGAAATGCCCCCGTCAGTAAGAGATCAATAAAGATATCTCAACACGCATGGGTTTGAATTTGAAGACATCTGCCAGGCCTGAGGCAATCGGCCATCTACTGCAACTTCCACAGCTGGTGGAGAATTCAGCGTGATCCCTTAATTAGAGCGATTTGTCGAGTCCGAGATCAGCTGTTCAAAAACCTCCTGACAGGCAAAGCCCATCTTGAATTGAACTAAACGAGACGTTAAGAGGATGTTTCGAACAATGTGCCCGTTCCAGTATCGGCGGCACCGCGGCGCAATCAGCGCTATCGTGTATTGCCGGGCGGTGTAACAACCCCCTGCACGTGATGACTCAACCGCGAGGCCCAAAGTGGGTTTTTTGAATTGTGCTTTGTGATCTCCAGAAGTTGCAATCCCCAGTCCAGGCTCCCGACCCCCTCATATCCTTTCGGACATTTTTACGGAGGTATTCTCTCGAGGCCATTTAGTCTCGGATACCCTATTACTTTTTAGCCCTATACCAGTGCCCGGACCGTTCAGAAGTTTGCCTGCAAGGCGCAACCCCGCCGAAAATGTCGTTGACAAATTGCCGTTTCTACGAGGAGAAGTACCCGGAGGTGGACAGCTATGTCATGGTCAATGTGAAGCAGGTATGCATCGCTGCAGGCCCATTCGCCAATCAAAGCCAAGGAAGTCATCTGATCGTTACTTTTAATCCTCCAGATTGCCGAGATGGGCGCATACGTTAAGCTCCTCGAATATGACAACATCGACGGCATGATCCTGCTCTCCGAACTGTCGCGCAGACGTATTCGTAGTATCCAGAAGCTCATCCGTATCGGTCGCAACGAGGTCGTCATCGTGCTCCGTGTGGATAAGGAGAAGGGTAAGCGACACCCCTCCGGATGACAACGTTCAGCAACTGACTCGTCTGCGCCTCTAGGTTATATCGATCTTTCTAAGCGTCGTGTTTCCCCCGAAGATGTGGTCAAGTGCGAGGAGAGATACAACAAGAGCAAGGCGGTGCACTCTATCATGCGTCACGTTGCCGAGGCCACCCAGACCCCTCTCGAAACCCTATACCAGCAGATCGCGTGGCCCCTGAACCGGAAATACGGCCACTCTCACGATGCGTTCAAGATCTCCATCACGTAAGGACACAAGTGTATTTGAAGGTGCCACGGGCCAGTTTGCTCATATCGTCTTAGGAACCCCGACGTGTGGAACGAGGTCGAATTCCCCGGCGAGTCCGTGAAGAAGGAGTTGACGCACTACATCAGCAAGAGACTTACTCCTCACCCGACCAAGGTTCGTGCTGATATCGAGGTTACCTGCTTCGGCTACGAAGGTATCGACGCGGTCAAGGATGCTCTGCGTGTCGCCGAGATCAACAACACTGCCGAGAGCCAGATCAAGGTCAAGCTGGTTGCCCCGCCACTTTACGTCCTGACTAGCCAGTGCTTGGACAAGGCTATCGGTATTCAGATGCTCGAGGAGGCTATCCAAAGGATCGAGGTCAAGATCAAGGAGTCCGGTGGTGGCTGCATTGTCAAGATGGCGCCCAAGGCCGTTACCGAGCACGACGATGCTGCTCTCCAGGAACTCATGGAGAAGCGCGAGCGTGAGAACATGGAGGTTAGCGGTGATGAGAGCATGTCCGAGAGTGATGAGGGCGGCGTTCCTGAGTAAGCTACTCATGGCCAACTTGAAGACAGCATCTGAGGCTGTGGACTCGCCTCGATGAGAGCTTGGAAAACAACAGGACGTTGAACGAATTGGAGTTAGGCGGTATCGCGGAGTGAGGATTGAGGGCGATCATGTACGTGTGTCGGATGGGAAGCGGAAAAGTTCAATAGAGTTTTTGGACGTGACACGACTTATGAGATGGAAGTACGGTTCAATGTGCGACGGGGCGAGATCGAGATCATCGGCAAGGTGGAAGGCGATGAGGGAAGCCTTGTCTTGATGAGGAATACCTACCTCACGAGGCGATGATGCTATTAATTATCGTCATTTATTGTTGATCAGTGGATGTTGATTGAACCCCTGTTGATGACTGGGCTCCGGCCCACAGGAGCTGCCCCATGTTCTGATGTACATAAGCTTCTTTGATCTACGATTCAACGCCAGTGGCCATTCTATACGCTGATGCATCCTTGGTTCTTCTTCCCTGTGACTATCTCCTCCCAACCCCTTTACGCAAGTCAAAGCGAACGCTGGCTCCAAGTTTTCTAAACATGCAGCTCGGCCAGTCACAGCACTCTCTAGTAACAGATAGTGCCCAGTAAACTTAATTCTTCGTTCCTTTTTCTATGATTCGCGCGTTGGAAACGGTCTCTTCATTGGCGTCTTGGATTGAGTGGCTGGGTGGGGCGTGCGCGGCATGGTCGATTTAGTCTCCCAAGACGGCCTGTTTCCCAACTTCCAGCTCCAGCATTCGCACCTTCCTTTATCTACCACGCCATCATTCGGCAGTCTTTTTGGCTCCCAACCTGTGCTTGAAAACCAACCGCCTAAATGAGCCACTGGCGAGATATCTTCAAAACCGATACGGGCAAGGCCCGTCACCGCCGACATATGGAGCGACACCACTGTACGTCATCCGAATACGAAGCCGCCGCTCCACACTATGCGGTCAACTAACAGGGTAATAGTGCTTCCTTCATTTACAGACGAACATATTTCGTCCAGTCTCCCGTCAAAGGAGGTTACAAGGGTGGCCCTCCGTCTGAAGTATCAGATCGAACAAATCGTACCCTGCGAGCTCGCGGAGAGCGACATTACTAATCCCAACAGCCGGGTCATTACAAAGGATGTGATCCAGACAGCCCGGCTAGCGGGAGGTGACCTGCAGGCCTGTGTCCCCTTCTGCCTGCTTGTCTGTCTACGATGGTTCAAGATACTGGCGCGGGAGGAACTTTGGGATTCTGATTTGCATGAGCGTCGAGCCCTTGCATGTGAGGTCATCGCCAAGCGCATGTAGTATACCCCGTTGTTTGGCGTTGAACTACCAAAGTTTACTGACGACCAGCTTAGAATTGAAACCGAGGAAGATCAGGATACACTTCTCATCCATGTTCTTCTGAGGCGATACTCGATCTTTATTGATGGAGAGGAGACCGTGCCGGCAAATGTTATTGAGCGCGCTGTTGATATCCACGCTTTGAGGGTTATTGGCTCCTCGGGATACCAGAAGTGTATCAGATACCTTTGGAATGGATGGTTCTGTCAGCAGGAAGGCAATCCAACCAATTTTGTGCCCTATCAGGAAAGGGACAACGCCAGTTTTGCCGTCCATTTTCACCCCGATCGGATGAGGGCGCCCCTTTATCAGAACATCTGCCAAATCTTCTTTTCTTTGGTGTTCCTTGGTCTCTACACTCAGGTCATCAACACCGTCAATCCTACCGGTGACATAGATGTCATGGAGGGGATTCTCTATGTCATGACACTTGCATTCATTTGCGATGAGGTAACTAAGCTCTGGAAGATTGGGTGGCAATATATAGACTTCTGGAACGCCTTCAACTCTACTCTCTATGCGATCCTTGCTGTGTCTTTTTTCCTGCGAGTCGCTGCTCTGGCGCATTCTTCGTCGGTACACGATGCAGAGAGACGACGGCTCAACGAGTTAAGCTATAACTTCCTGGCCTTTGCAGGACCAATGTTCTGGACGCGTATGATGCTTTACTTGGACTCTTTCCGCTTTTTCGGGGCAATGTTTGTGGTTTTGAGAGTCATGATGAAGGAGAGTCTGATTTTCTTCGCCCTACTTTTCGTCGTCCTCGCGGGTTTCTTCCAGGCATTTATCGGCATGGCTCAGGTTGATAATGATATCCCCATCACAAGAAGTATTGTGCAGGGTATGATCAACAGTGTCATGCAGAGTCCGGAATTCAGCACTTTCGAGGACTTTGCATTTCCGTTCGGAATCATTCTCTATTACATGTTCAATTTTGTTGTCATGACCAGTAAGCAATACCTCGCTTTCTTCAAAGGACTGCTGAGCTGACTTCGATTAAGTCCTCTTGAATATCCTCATTGCACTGTACAATAGTGCATATGAGGATATCTCAGGAAATGCCATTGATGAGTACATGGCCATCTTCGCGCAGAAGACCATGCAGTTCGTGCGTGCACCGGACGAGAATGTCTTTATACCTCGTATGTTTTATCTGTTACCACCATTAGACAATGACTGACCGCGATGCTTAGCATTCAATCTGTTGGAGATCATCTTCTTGGTGCTTCCGTTCGAATGGTGGCTTCCGAGCCAGTATTATGCCAGACTTAATGACATCGTCATGGGGATCATATACTCGCCCATCCTTATTTTCACTGCGTGCTTCGAAGTTCGGGATGCAAAGCGAATCAGGTGGAATCGACGCCGCGGTGAGGAAGACGACGATAGCGTGCAGGAATGGGAACATGCCGCTGAGGAAGTTGACTTCGACATTGATGACGGCTGGAGACAGGCTGTGCAGGACTCTACCCCAAATGTGCTTGTTGACAGTGCCACATTGGAGATCATGCGGCTCAAGGAACAGATAATTTCACTTACTGATACTGTCAGGGTCCTAGCTGAGGAGAGGGCCGCGAGAAGTATGATGATGGGAGAGTCGAGCTTGACCATGGTGGACCAGGAATAATCGGTTTTGGGTATTGTGTGCCGGTCTTGTCTTAATGCCGTTGCGTTTCCTCGTGTGATTTATCCCGTTGCGAAGTTTGATTTTGGGGTATGGCATACATCTTAGGTCTAGTTTGACCGAATTACTGATGCTGCATTACGAGTTCAGTCACTGGAGCATTGCAGACCTGATGTTACAAGAGACATGTGACAACATTCATTGGCATTTGTGTTGTAGGGGCTCGGTGCGTATTCTCGGGGTCCCTATGTCTTGGGGACAAGAAATTTCTTGTGGGGAAGAAAAGTAATTATCCCTTTCCCCGTCAATGACACCAAGATATGGCGATTGAGTTGGAAAAGAGCAAAAAGAAAAGCCCAACGCGGGGGTTGAACCCGCAACCTTGAGATTAAGAGTCTCACGCTCTGCCGATTGAGCTAGCCGGGCTGATTTGATGGAAGATGGATACCAGTTTGGCATTGTGAGCGTTTGTTATGTTTTCACGCTAGAAACACTAGTCGTGCTTTAGTCTACACTGGTGGGCCAACCCCCAAGATCAAGAACGCTTGAGGCATACCAACAGTAACTCACTGACATCAAGTGTTCTACTGCATGCGTGACTTCCTGCTTTTAGGATCGGGTTAGCCTTGTCTTTCAATGGCTAGTAGATCCCAGGCATGGAATGGGTTCAATTGTGGATATTACTTGCTTCACAAACAAATCACAATCATGGTTTTAGGGGAGGCTGGACAATAGTATATTTTTGAGGACAGAGGATGGGTTTTGGTGATGAACCAGGGGCCCCTTGGGAGTAGTAGGTACAGTACTATTATCGTCACATGGTGGTTTCGTAGTAGTCATAATACGTACCATGACCATTGAAAATAGGACACTGAAGCCATTTGTGCTGCCAATTAGCATCAAGGTACTCAGTATACTAGTTTATGTTGTGAGCATGGCAGGAAATGCAAGCAAATGGAACTTGAAGTCCCGGTGGGAAGACCCACTTCTAACTTTAAGTCTGGAACATAGTGCACAAACCAGCCTAGACTTCCATCAAATCAGCCCGGCTAGCTCAATCGGCAGAGCGTGAGACTCTTAATCTCAAGGTTGCGGGTTCAACCCCCGCGTTGGGCTTTCATTTTTGCTTTTTTACATTCCCCCCCATGACCAAAATCGACTGATACAGTTCTCTTAGCCCAATGGCTCGAACATGCAGCTCAATTGACCCGGTAAGGGAACCGGGGGAAGTTTTTGCCTTTTCAACAACCATCCCGCAAGAACTCGAAATCCCGGCCAATCCCAACTTCAATGCAGTCCGAAAGGTGATGCATGTAATCTCAAAGACAACTCCTCCACCAGAAGCTACAAGGGCGAGTCTCTGGCGCCGAGAAATGACAAGCCATACTGTTGGAAGAAAGATTGTCTTGTACAACAATTGACTCGATCATCGGTTGAAGGGTGTCACAGACCCCGAGTCCGCATATGCGATTATAGTAGGATACGACATGCTGTAGCTCGGACAACGAGAACTCGACGCCTCGTCTCGTCTCGTCTCGTCTGGCCTACATGTCGACGAGTAAATCGAAGCACGCATCACCCAGGGGCCAAGCCCCATCCACCGAAAGAGTACCACCATCCGCCACCGCATGAAAGCAGAATACAATTCCATCACACGCTCATCCACTCTACCTATGATTGCCAATGCGTAGCGACCCTGGGCGAGAGAATCTCTGTTTAGCCTACGCCTACACCGACAAGGATGCGCCTCTTGCTTGAATTGAAAAGTTGGTTCGTGTCATATGCCGATTTAGCCTGGAATACAATCTATAGTCACAATGAGGTAATAGTGCATCCACAAAGCGATGAAGTACGCATCCAATAACGAAATTCTCCGTCCCCCCCCCCCCTCCAACGCAATGCTCCCCGCGCGAAATTGAGCGGCTTCTCACCTGGCCCGGAGGTGCGAACCCGCCAGCTCTTTAATGTCACCGCCGGTGATGGCATACATGTTGAGGCGAATCTACTCCAAGGAACCAAGCAACACGCTCCGTGGGCCAAGGGTCATCTACCATGGTTGACTATCGCGACATGCTGACCATCAACAAACGGGCCGTCCGACAGACGTTGGGTGAAGAAGAAACGGGAGAGATGGCGGAAGATGGGGGAAAAGAGGGGGGGGGGGGGGTTTATACTCGGGAAAAATCCCCAGATTAGGAAGGAAGAGGCAGCTGCGCCGCCAGATCCTTCGCCGGCGAAGAGCAATGCAAGCAGATGAGTAGCGCAAGGTACTCGCGGGTTAATCCCAAACCCAGGTCAACTCGAACAAAGTGGATGTGAACTGCCAGCCCCGTGTGGTCTCCTTGTTGAATATGCTGCATCACTCATCAGAAGACTCAGTCTTGTCGTCCTCGTCGTCCTCGTCCTCATCCGAATCATCGTCATCGTCATCGTCATCATCATCATCATCATCATCATCATCATGCTTCGCAACCATCAGCTGCATCCGCTTAAACACCCTCATGACATCCTTCTTCCCCCCCTTTGCAGCCAAGTCTCGTGCCGTCCGCCCACGACCATCCTTGAGGTCCCCAGCTGCGCCATGACCGAGCAGGAAGTAAACATCTTCTGCAAGTCCAGCCTCCGCAGCCATGTGGAGGGCGGTTTGCCCAAACATGTCTGTTGCATGGACGTCGGCCTTTTTATTGACCAACAGCCGCATGACGTGGTTTTTGGATCCTACAGCTTTGTGAAGTGGCGTTCGTTGATAGTCGTCCCGGGCGGTGACATCGGCTCCGTTATGGATCATATACTCCACCATTTTTCGATGGCCCCGTTCCACTGCCTTGTGTAACGGGGTCTCCCCCGAGAAGTTCGTCAGGTTGATGTCGGGCGACTTGTCCAAGAAGAGCTCAAAGAGGTCCCTGCGCCCACTGGCGGCAGCAAAATGGAGGGGCGTGTCCCCCTTTGCGTCCTGCGCCTCAGAGTCGGCGCCGATGTCGAGTAGCATGTCCATAATCTGATCATGCCGGTGGAGCACTGCCCGATGCAAAGCTGTCATGCCGTCCTTTGCGGTGGCTTCGAGCATCACTCCATGCTCCAGTGCAAGCATGGCAAGCTCTACATCGCCGTCTGCTGAAGCGATATCCAACATTGTCTGCCCCGAGCCATCCTGTGAGTTGACATCCGCCCCCCTGTCGAGCAGTAACTCGATCATTTTCCGGCCTCGCCTGCTTCGGTCGTATAGCACCAGCGATATCAACAATGATAGACCCGGTTCTCCGGCTGGGGTGTTAATATTCGCCCCCTTCTTCAACAAGTATTTGACGATATCGACGTAACCTCGGCGACCGGCCTGGTACAAGGGTGTACCGCTCTGCTCGTATTTGTCGTCCCCAGAGGGCTGCATCTCCATATCAGCCCCGTAGCGAGTCAGCAAACGCACGATAGTCAAGTGTCCAGATCGTGCAGCCCACCACAGCGCAGATCGGCCTCCATCATCCACCGCATTGAGATTCACCCTTCGGGACCCCATCAGCAAGCGTACCACCACCTCGGATCCTTTCTCAACTGCCCATAACAACGGTGGCCTCCCGTCCCAATCCTTCACATCTGGGTCTGCATTTGCTCGGAGCAGCATCTGTGCCATCGTTTCGTTTCCCTTTTCCACTGCGCAGGACAAGGGTGCTCTTCCATCCGGATCCTTGACGTCCGGATCCGCATTTGCTCGGAGCAGCATATGTGCAATTGTCTCGTTTCCCTTCGCCACTGCGCAGGACAAGGGCGCTCTTCCATCCGGGTCCTTGACGTCCGGGTCCGCTTTTGCTCTGAGCAGCATCTGTGCAATGGTCTCGTTTTCCTTTTCCACTGCGCAGGACAAGGACGCTCTTCCGTCCGGGTCCTTGACGTCCGCATCCGCATTTGCCTTCAGCAGCAACTGCACAATCGACTCATTATCGCTCCGTACAGCCGATGACAGTGGTGCCAGTCCATTGGGATCCGCCACATTGGGGTCAGCCCCAGCGTTCAGCAACAATGCCACGATATCTGGATTGCCCTTTTCCACGGCCACTGACAATGGTACCGATCCGCCTTCATCCTTCACATTGGTATCCGCTCCGGTCTTGATAAGTATCTCCAAGATAGTCGGATTCCCCTTTTCAACTGCATAGGCCAGCGGCGTCTTCCCTTGAAAGTCAGGCACATGACAATCGACCCCGACACCCAGTAATCGACCCACGACGCTCTCATGCCCGCCCTCCACGGCGGCACATACGGCCGACTGTCCACGTTTCGCATCCCTAATGTTTGGATCCACCTTGCCGGTCGCCAGAAGCAACTGGATGACCTTGTCATGGCCTTCAGCCGCGGCCCAGAAGAATGGTGTCCGGCCTAATTCGTCCTTGCACTCGAGAGTCACGCCGGGGGTTCCTAGGAGGAGCGTCACAATGGTATCGTACCCTTTGCTAGCGGCTAAAAACAGGGCTACCTCTAGCTTGTCCGTGGGACCTGTTGGGGGTTCGGATTCTGCCATGATAGCACACACAAACTCGCAGCGTTGGACAAAAGAAGACGAAGGAGGAGGAGGAGGAGGAGGAGGAGGAGGATGAGAATAAGAATAAGAGATTACCACGCGGTCACACTCTCGGGCCTCAATCAATCAATCGCCCATTACAGATTTAGAGTTCGAATCCTGATCTCTCGCCCGGAAATCGCCCACGAAAGGAGATATGTAGAGTAGATAGATAATTCAAGATAGAGATAGATAGATAGTCAGGCCGAACAACCGCCCTGCCCACCGCCGCCGATTTAGTAGTCTTAGAGGGGTAAAGGCAAATACCCACTCGCTCGCTCATTCACCACCCTACTACCCACTAAGGTACCCTACTCAGGGACTCAGGTACCAACAGCAGAAGAACGGGATGAAAAACCGGGCCACAATCGACAATTTACCGATCAATCACAAGGCTTTGATCGCGAACGCTCGACAGTAATACCTCCCAGATACCTACCTAATAATAAACCCACTTCTACTATGAGGTCAAGTAGCCCACACCCGCCGCCACGTGTATATCACTGACTGGTCCATTGATTGCCCTTCCCCCCCGAACAGACAGCGGACTCCCTGTCCTGTTCGCAGTTGCACAGGTGGTTTGTGGGGACTGACTGGACTGCGACTGGCATTGCGGGCCCCGGCCGGATGGCTGGGGTTGTGGTTGGGGGTGGGTTAGCGGGTTAGTTAACTAACTAGTGGATTGCTGCTGTTGCTGGGCCGGGACCGGGTTGGGCTGGGTTTGGTTGGTTGGGTGCCGATTACTCCGCGTGGCGTGCATAGAACTATTATCTACTGCTGCTGGTTTCAGTAATGCTAGTAAGAAGGACGGTATTTTGGTTGCTTGTGCTAGTACTGTGACTTATGGTGTAAGACGCCATGTGATCAATGAACTGGTTCGTAGTAAGTAGGTAGGAAGGATCGAGTATTATCCATTACTACTCTGTAGGACGCTACCTAGCACCCAAGTTACCCGTGGAGACTGGAGAGAGTTCGTTCATTGGGTTGGATTTCCCCAGCCTCCTAAATTTTTTTTTATAATCTCGCGCGAAGTAGCCTAGTGCAGCTTCTGCAGGACGGAATTATGCGCTACGGTAATATGTAAGTAGGTACTCTGTACTGGGCATGGTGTGTGTTGGTGTAATGCGGAGGAAGGAGGAAGTAGGTACTTCCGTGACCTGCCTGGCGAGTTGATGATAGCTCAAATGCACCATGCTGTTTCGCCTGTGATAGAAAGATAAACGACCACCATGTGGGGATAGAAAGCTGCCTTCGATTTGTGGCATCAAGTAATGGTTTATTAGTACAGACTTGAGACCAAAGCGATGGAACAGGAAGACGAAGAATGGATCATAAATAGATAAGAATGATATGCGTGCAACGCCACGCCCATGCTATGCAAGCAGATCCATGGAGCCAAATCGATAACACTGCGCCTGCGCCGTGGCCAAAATCATGTACAGCAAAAAATGATGCATTAAGAGCCACCCTGCATTGCGGTTGTGATTAATGGAAAATATGTCAAGCAACGCAAGAGGCGTCGATCCTCTGTGTATTATTTATAAACCACCAAGCTCACTGATGATTGCCGGTGTAGACACCCTCGAAGTCCAGGCCGTCCAATATTCCATTGACCCGATCGATCTCTCGCGTCAGATCCTCAATGTTCATGGCGAGACTACTGACCTCGTCGAACTTGCGACGTCGGTTCGCATCTGCGACCATCTCGGACACAAAGAATTTCTGCTCCTCGAGCACAATGAGCCGATCCCGGAGGGACTTTTCCTCTGCCTCTAAGGCAGAAATGGCGCTACTAGCATCACTAGCTAGACTGCTGTTGCTACCACTCGCTGCAATACTGCCGTATTTGATCGATGCGAGAGCCGATCCTTTTCGGGGACCACCAGTTGCGCCGTTGCTAGGGCTAGGGCTATCAGGAGAGCTTGTGCTGCTAGGATGTCGTCCGTTGGGAGACGCGTGTTTGAGTACTTTCGGCAAAGATTTCAGAGGGAGCATGTGAAGGTGGAGGAAATTGCTGGCTTGCTGGTATATCGCCTTCTGGAGACGCTCCTGGGATGGGGAGTCTGTCTGTATATCACGAATTCTCCGGGCCGCAACATTGTATTGGGCAAAAGAGTCTGTTAATCGCTTGCGCACTTTCGAAGCTTCTGCAATCTGTGCAGATGATGGAGGTCGTCTGGGATCTCTGTGAAAAGAGTCGTTAGCACTTTCCCAGGCCCCACCGGAACAAAGCGCGTAAACGACGCAGAAAAGTGAATACATACTGTAAAGCCCCCAGTATCCTTTGAAACTTAGGCAGAAGGAGTCGTATGCCCCTTTCGAATTGAGTAAGGTTTTCATATGCCCGCACAGCTGGGGGCTTTCGCATAACGTCGGCCTCGAAGTCTCGTCGGTCAAACAAGGTTGACCGGCAGTCCTTACAAAGCCTGACATCGACATTGATCACGCCCGCGCGAACCGACTTCTCAGTCGATGCCTCTGCAACTGTATCCGGTCAGTCGCCCAATTTTTAAACCGAAGTAACAGGAAAACGACATACGTGGTGAAATACTCAAGGGGACCTCAGTAGAGCATGCAGTTGCCGGATCACCACATACGACTTGCCCGCAAGTCCTGCAGTGATGTCTCCGGAACGAGTAGCTGGTGAAATCCTGCTGACAGAACGGACACCGGGAGACACTGGAGTCATCCTGCCAGCTGACTACAGTTTGCTCAAGGGCTTTCCGCTGATCACCCTGCCATGACATTGTCCACAATTTGTTCGCGTTCGACTGAATCTGCTCCACGGGCAAGCTGGCCAAAAGCTGGGTAAGCCGTGTCAAGCGCTTCTCCAAGCGAGACACTTCCAACAGTGCTTTATCGACAGTAGCTTTTCTCACTGCCTTGAACTCAGCCATGCGGTCTCGTACCAGACCTATCATAAAATTAGCTTCATTCCCCCGCATAAGTAAACCAAAGTTCATCTTACCGTTATGATCATTATACCCCTCCCTTGATTTATAACATGTCTCACATACTCTGCACCATAGCCCCCTGACCGGCTCATACTGAGCCGACCTGGATAGCTTCATCTGGTACATGGTATGGTCCTCACAAAATAGCTTTCCGCATTTCCGACAGTTGACACAGCCGTTGGTGGCATTGAGCCGCTTGCCGCATGAAGGTTCCAGACATACGTCATACAGCGTCCGAGCCTGCCAGTGATCTTTCCTTATAATGTCATCGGAATCCTGTGCTCTTGCATGTTCCGGAGGCTGCATCATCACCGGCCCAGAAGGCCTGCTGGGGCCTGTAAACAACTGCAGATTCTCGTTTGATTCGAACACATCCAGGCCTTTGAGCTTCTGATTCAAAACGGCAAGCGGTTGGAAGCGCTTTGCCTTATCCATCTGAGTCTTAAACCAGTCCTTGACCTCATCCTGCCGATCGTCTTCGAGGTTTTGATGAATGTCATCGAGGTGTCTGAACTTCGGGTTAATGGCACGTATAAACAGAGGAAGCGTTGCGAACGTCAAGTGAGGTACCTATTCAGCTGTAGTAATGTCACCTGTTGCATCAGTTAGCGCACGCTCTGGCGATCGCAAGGATTACGGAAAAGGGATTGGAGTAGAACAGGTCATACCATCTCCTCACTGCAGATCGGACAGGCCAGCTGAGCTCCGGCGGCTGCCGGAGCGGCAGGTATGGAGGCGGAACCATTTTCTAGAGAGATGCGCGACGTAAGGTCCTGAGCTTCGGACGAGAACTGAGAAGTGGAAGCTTGGGAATTGAGGGAGATGCTGCTCGCGGAAGGCGATAAGGTTAGGATTCTTGGGTTATTGGGTTGCGGAGACGGGGTTAAAGCCGATGGAGAACGAGCGTTCGCGGGGCCAAGAACACGACCTCCGCCCAGCGTCCTCCGGGGCATGGTGACTAGGACTTATGAGAGCATGGGAGATGGAAACCCACGAGGGGCCACGGACGTGTAGATAGACCCGAGGGAAAATAAATTGGCGGAGGAAAGGGGAGACCGTGAGTTCAGCCTTGCCCGGGGACTGGGAGGGGGGTTTGGTGGAGCTCAAGAGGGGGGGAAAGACAAGAATGGAAGGGAGCCGAGAGAGAAGGCCGGTCGGTGTCGGTGTCAATGTCAGTCAGGAGTTCCGCGGCTTATCGCCCGCGTGCCTCGCTGACACCTGAGGCACCCTCAAGGCACCAATAATACGGACTACCCGAGAGTTGGCTGACGAAAACGATGCTCTAGGATTTATCTTTCTTTCTCCTCTATAAACATCCATCAATATTAGCAAGGTTTCCAAGCCTTGCTTTCTTACCAACAACAACTATATATCTAAACAACCCATTAAAGCACAGCCCCTCCCTCTATCATCCATATAACTCTGAAACACAACCTCTAAGCCTTCCTCACTTCTGCGCCGCCTGCTGCTCCAACGCCTCCTTCTGCTTCCGTTCCGCCTCGCGCCGAAGCTGATCGGGTCTGCGCACAGCAATGTCCTTGGGCCGGAAATCGCTGAACAGCCTCTTCAGCACGTTCTCAATGAGCCAGCATCCTGCATAGTCGAAAATCATCAACACCGTCAAGGTTGCCTTGAACTCGGTGGTGAAAGGAACCAGGCGTAGCTTCTCATTCATTTCCGGAACAAACTCAGTTGCGCACGAGAAGGCAACACCGGACGCCGCGACCAGACCCCAGTACATGGCCTTGTTCTCACGGATGGATTCTCTGAAGGGGCGGCCCTGGTAGTTGATGGAGAAGGTCGAGATCTGCTGAATAAGCTGGAGAAGGTAGATGGCGCTGTTAAGAAGCGAGGGCTCAAACTCTCCTTCCAAGTCAATGTCGCTTTTCCTCCTGCAAGTTGGTTAGTGGGATATAACGCAGAAAGATACTATCGACTTACGGTTCAATGCTGTAGACATAGTTCGACAGGTAAATCAAGGTGACGATGTGAATGGCAAACTGGCCAAGCACGGAACCAATGATATACACATTGAAGATGTTTGGCTGTGGGCGCTCCTTGGACAGGCCTTCAACAGACTGGACATAATCGTTAGAGTCTCTGATAATAAGCAAAACATTCATTTTGAGCGCTTACCTTGGCGCGAGAGATAGACAGGAAGCAGACACTCATCAGCATACCGCTGATGGTAACTTGACCGTCACCAAACTTGATACCATCCAGATAAATGACACTCAGACTGTAAGCACTGATCAAGCAGTTCAGAGCGAGAATCTTGTACATCTGGATCGTTGCGACGAGCGTGCAACGCCCTTGACGGAGAATGTTGGGGATGGCAATCACATTTGCCAACTTGCTGGTGAAGGGAGCGGCAACTGAGGCATCTCCGAGCTTGAGCGTCGGGGGGTCGTTGTCATCTAGCTCCTGCTCCATCATGGACGAGGTAAGCTTATCAGCAAATCCAGCGGCCGCCACAGTAGCCTGCTGCCGCCGTTGCTGCTCAGGTGTCAGGTTGGAATTAGATTGCTGGAGAGCCTGTGCGCCAGGGGAAGTGATGGTAGGGATTGCCTCCGCTTGGCCTGGGGCAGACTGAATAGCAGCACCCTTCTTTTGGGCTTCCCGCTCAATGGCCTTTTGGTAGTGGGGATTGCTGGGACCCTGGGGATACAGATGGGCAATCTGCGCAGGCACAGGCGGCGCAGGCTGATTGAACCGTTGCATCATGGAGACCTGCTTTTCATAGATTTCCTTCATCTTCGTCGTCCGGTAGTGATCAGCGATCCTCGTGAGATCATCCGGAGAACCATTTAGAAGTGCAACACCGACATGGGCTTGCTTCAATGCACCGACATCGTTGGTACCGTCACCGCACATCAGGGTAGTGTAGCCGGCATCCTTGAGGCCAAGAAGAATGTCTTCCTTCTGCTTGGGTGAGACTCGAGCATAGACCCAGGTGTGTCGGAGAAGATCAGGCAAAGCCTTCTGGTCCTTGAACTTAGCCAAGGCGTAGCCAGTGACACAAATATCGTTAGTTTCCAAAATGCGGCGATCGAGATCTTGAGTGGGATCAACATCGATGTTGAGCTTGTCGTCAATACTCCGCCAGACCAGCCTGGTTCCCGACTTGTCATTTTCAGGAGCGTCGAGGATCAGTACTTCACGATCAACAATTTCGACTTGGCGAGCAACGTGGACAGCGGTCAAAGGATTGTCACCGGTGATCATGACAACACGGTGGCTGCTCTCATTAAGCATACGCACAGACTTGATAGCGTCCTCCTTCAAAGGACATTGCAATACGAGGAAACCGGCGAAGATCAGATCACACTCCACCTCTTCTCTGGTGTAGTTGTTGATGCGAGAGCGAGAGAACTCCGACTCATGAGAGAGATACTTGTAAGCGAGAGCAAGAACACGAGCACCGTTACGCGTGAAGTACTTGAAAGTTTCCTCGTAGTTTGACGGTGTGTCGACTAGCATCGTCCTGATAGTTTCCGGGGCGCCCTTGACACCAACAAAGGTTGACTTGACCTTTTTGTGAACCTTGCGATCATCAAAGAGAACTGTAGCGATGGTACTCTGACGCTTAAGAGCAGAAGAGAACTGGAAACGTCTCACAACCTGAACGGACTCGGGGACCCGAGAAGTATTGGCAGTCGAAGAGGCCTTGCCCGTGAGAGTGTCGTTCTTGCCCAAAGTCCAGCCAAGCCAGTTCAAGGTAGCCTTTTCCATGGGGTCACCAACGACTTCGCCTTCATCCAGCTTGACCAGGGCGTGAGCGCTCGCAAGGACAAGCGTGGTATCAACTCCAATGCTACCACCCCTGGAGAGCTCGGTGTGCGCGCCATCCTCTTCAACCTTTGCGCCAGCCTGACCCAGCGTGAGACCAGCAACTCCATCGACAACAAGATCTTCCCCAGTGAGAGTGCCAGTCTTATCGAAGCAGGCAACATCCACACGACCAGCAAAGGGGATCCGGAAAGGCTCGGTGCAAAAGATAGCGAACTTGCTCAGAGCAGCCAAGCTCGTGTTAACAGCAAGACTGAGTTCCATGGGGAGCTCAGGAGGAACGACACTGGTGATAATGAGGACACAGTCTAGGAGCAACTTCGACCTCTTGCGATCCCTCAACACACCCTCTTGCCAGACATACCAGGAAGCGGCAATGGCGAAAATCAACAGGAACAGGATGAAAAGCAAAGCTTCCGCGTTGTTCGCGGACACTCGCTCAGTGGAGTAGATCATGGTGCGTACAAGGCTACCTTGACTTGTTTCAAACCCAGTCTTGACGACGACACCCAGGGCGCCACCATCGGGCGTGGGAAGGATAGTGGAACCATCCTTGGACGAGTTGGCGACATCTTCCGACGTGGTGTTCGCATGAGTAATCTGCAGAACCTTAGTTCCTCCGTGTACAAACGAGTTCTTGTCGAGTCCATCAGGTTCAATCAAGTCGTCGCCTGGTCTAAGCTGGACTGATTCCTTCAAGAGTGGCGTACTCTCGCCGGAGAGCATGGCCTCGTTCACAATTGCGCTGCCTTCAATCAAAAGAATGTCGCACGCAACACCGCCGTCTTCCTTGGTCCGGTTGACGGACATCAAGTCGCCGGGCAAGAGTAGGTCGCTGGTGGTTTTCTGCCATTGCTTCTCACGGAACACCCACACTTCGTACGGCTTGATGTTCATACCCCGGAACTCATTGAGGGTCCTCTGACGTTGCCAAACCACTGTGCTCTCAAACATGACAAGCATGAAGAGAGTAAACAGGGAATAGTACCAGTATTCATCCAGCATCCATAGCCCGACGCAGAAGATCTGGAAAACAAAGAAAGGCGCAACCGCATGTTCCTTCCACAGCTCAACAAATCCAGGAACCGGGATATCAAAGGTATTATCGCCATAGTACTGCCGGATACGCTCGATTTCCTCCTTGGAGGTGAAGCCCTGGCTCTTCTGGAAGGTCTTGAGGGCAGGCTTGGGCTCGGCGTCGAGGGCGTATGACAAAGGAGCGAAGGTCCCATTTTCAGGATAGTAGAGGAAACGGCGTTTCTGGAACAGAAACGAGATCGTCTTTCTTCCATCTTTTGTGTCAAAGATCAACGGACAGATCTCAGCCGAACCAGCGTTTGCGGCTGGGATCACCTTGATAAGCCGAGCGGAGTCCACGGATTTGGCGTTAGTAGCAGTGAACAGTGTCTGGATATTGATATTCCATTGGGTCATCAACCACAAGAGAGACTGAATCGTGATGATCGAGCCAACCCAGACAAATGTCCATTCCTGACCTTGGATGTACGTATCATAGCGTTCAGGGGAGAGATAGAATGCTAAAAACGCGGGCCAGACGATCAGGAACGGCCAGACATAGGTGTGTAGCTGAGTAGGGAGGGGGTTGTGGAGCGAGGACTGTTTAATTTGAGGATCATCAACGAGTCGTGCCCTGTGCATAAGCCAGGTTAGTGGGCAAACGGTCCTTGCACGCGATACAGCGACACAGCGAAACTCACATCATGAGACTCGAATGACCACGACGCGGGCCAAACGACGCGAACTAGAGAGACCAAGAAAGCTTCAATAAACCATAGGAAAGCAGAGTGCAGAACCTTCAAGCCAAAGCCTCCAAACGTCCAAGGACAGGTCGAAGAGGAAAGCGCGAAGAAGCCACCTCGACAGTATAATTTTGAGATTCGCCGCCGACTGAAGGTACGGAACGTCGTTGCTTACGATTGGCCGCCGCCACGTGCCAGGACGGAGTTGGGATTTTCCCGACCGTCGGCCTGATAACGTCAATCGAGATAGCAATGGTAAGACTAAGAGATATCCACTAGATATTACGAAAGACCACGGAGGCCGCCTGAATGCGCAGATTGCGATCTTGATCGCGATCGCGACCTTGAGCTCTGTCATCCTCTCCCCAGGGTTTTCTCATGGTTGGAATGTGCTACACAGAAAGTCGCCGATGCCTTTACCTCGGACATTGGGTCGAGGTATGGCACCCAATCACGTTCCAAGCACTTGAGCAATAAGCTCCAGCATCGAATAATCGACTGTGGCTCAGCTAGCTATTGAAATCTACGAAAATGGCCACAAGGCTTCAACTGGTGAAGTCACATAGCCTCGCTGCATCTGCCACATTGTTGAACTCTGCCCCGTAGACAACCCGGTTCATGGCCGACCTGCTGCCCCGTTAAGATCGCGGGCTTTTGGGAATCATTCTTGCTCACTATCATTCCTCAGACTTTCCACACACCACTACCAGGCATGGCGCCTGAGATTATCTTCTAAGATAAGTTGTAAAGATAAGCAATTTAATTTGATATCGTGAAGGCGTGAACAGTATAAGAGAGCCCCTACGTCTCATCCGACGTAACCATAAATGACTTATGTACATTGACCGCATTCCATGTGCTTGGACTTGGATTGAGATCTTCTTGGCTGCTGTTTCGACTTCCTCTGGTTGTTTGGACTGTTGTAACAACGCCCCTAGAGTCGTCAGGACCTAGATCTGGACGCCAGAGCTTGGTCGAATTCGTATTATGAGGGCCGTTCATGCTGGAAAGTGGCATACTTCCACCTGTTCTTTTACTACGCGTAGCGGCGTAATTTGATCCACCTAACCAACGAAAGAGAGGACGCAAGGTGACGAGACAACCAGCTGTGATTCCGAGACCAGCTTCAACGTTGGACCAGATAGATATTTGGGCCGTTGCATCTTTGTTTCCGTTAACAACAGTCTCTCAATCGGGTGTAGATGAGCAAGATAAACTTACACAGAAATTCAGTATCTTCGTAAGTAGGAAGGAAGGGAATGCGGACAATGACAGCTGCGCTGGCTCTGGTCTGTTTGTTAGCATGCAATAAGGCACGGGGCGATTCGGCCTGGTTTTCTTACACGCAACCCATGCTTAAGATTCCCGCCAATGCTGCCTTAGTTTGTGGGCTCATCTGCAGCTTCCATACCAAGGATATAGGCAGTAGCCCTAGTATAAGGTCACAAACCATCGCCGTGACGCTATATAGGTAGGCGACGTAGAGGAGGTAATCGGTAGATAAGCAAGTTCCGGAGGAGGAGCGATGCCAAAAGTGTGCAACCGGTGTGCATTCGAATGTCAACATAAACCAGAACACTAGGCCCACGACAGTTGATATACCAATCAAGGACCATAGAATAGCCGTATGTATCCTCGAAACCGTAAGACGGAGGAGGGCTAATGCGATGGAGATTTTTGCGACAACAACGGTGACGACGTAGCTTGTTTGGCCTAACCACCACCACTTATCAGTGTAAGCAATAGCTATTGACCCGATCCAGGACCTATAATACTTACAAACATAGCAGCCTCAAGGTTTTGAGCGCTCAGTTGTTCGATTTTCTGGCCCATGCCGTATAATGACCCGGTGATCCCGCATAATGCGAACAGTATTTCAAGTGCCTGAGACTGTTAGGAAATGATTAGATAGCAGAGCTTAACGAAGTGTGTACCATTGCAAAAACCATCAGCGCATCATCCCATCCAAATGCCCGCACCAGCCTCAACCGAACGAAGCATCTTAAACAAACGGAGATAAATGACATCCCCAGAAACACCACGGCGACGACAAATATTGACTCGCTGCGACCCTTGAATTCAACCATGGTAGAACACACTAGGGTGTGAATAAATTGACAAACAGCGCAGTCGGGAATCGGATGACATTGTCTCTTCACTGGTGGGAAGGGTGCCGCATAGCAGGGTCCGTGATGACTGCCACTCACCGCATATATATTCCATAAATAAGCTGTTCTAGGGGTAGAAGAAGAAAATAGTTTGACGCTAGTGGACTGGGTCATGCCCAGATGCCAAAGGTAGTAGTAGCGAGGAAGCCGATGGGAAGGGGGGGGGGTTGAAATGCCGATGGAGCCCGAGTCCAGATTCAATGCTGCCCTGTGGGGAGAGGAGAGACTACTATGTACCTCACCCGTGGGTGTAGTTACTGCTACGTATGCGTATGTAAATACTTCTCCTTCTAGGTGCACTGCATAACACTGGCTGCTCTATACAGTGACTCATGCCAGAAGTCATGGGAATAACATTTATCAGACTAAGTGGTTGGATACCATTAAAGTGAAGTCTATGGAAGTACTAGTAACTATATCTCTCGGATAGTCTTATGTATTTGCATGATTTATCTCATTCAAAGCGTCGAGCATCTGGGCCTACCATCTGGAGACGTTAGCTAGAAGCAACCCAGAAGTCTGTTAGATCGATCCTGGGCAAGTCCAAAGCAACGGCTTTTCCCACCCTTTCCAGTAACGGAAAATGTACCTGGAGCTTGGCGGGGTACACAAGCATTGCGTGGGTGCTCGAGTAGTCCCCAGGTGGATTTGTGGGCATGAAATCTTGTCCAGTGGATGGTGGTTAATGCTATATGCAACCTGGGATAACCTGCGCTAGACTACTATCCCATCCAATGTCTGTATAACGGCTGTGACTGCCCGTGTGTGACAAGATTAGGATCCCTGCTTACTGGCCATTTACAGATCAGACCCACAATACCGTGGCGATGCTCCCTTCTCCATAGGGAATAGGGATGACTGAGCGTTGATGTACACAGTAAGCATCTGCACCACAGGAGGGATGATGGCACAGATCTTCCACCACAAAACTATACGGATCCCAATATGATACAAGATGCCAATCTGGATTGAGTTGAGATAAAGATCGTGGCAGTCGGCATGACTATGCCTTTGTTCTTTATTCGGATAGAGTAATGATTGACGGACTTTTATTGTTTTCAAGTCGATCGACGCCACTGGACTGGTGGCTATCCTGCTACCTATAGCAAGCAGGGTCTTGAAACTTCTGGGTTTTTCCGCATGAGGGCCTATAATATGAACGCGTAAGTAGTTTGTATTGCGTAAGATTTCTGGCTTTCTTGATTTATTTCGCCAGGATAGGTGCTAGCAGATTCTTACCTAGTATGTACATTGTTTGCGTCTATAACATGGCACATATCCTGTATGTCAGATATTTAAATACACTGCGTCTCAAAAACCGTATTACTGCATGAGATTGGATCTGTATTAAACACAGCACGTCTTTTGACAAAAGAAGGCAAAGAATTGTCTTTTACCTATCTAGGTAGCGACCTACCTAGGTACTGCTAGGTACTACAAGATACGAAGCACAGATGATGGGGCATCGAGGATAGGGAGGACCCGTGCGTGCCGAGATCCCCTCCGCTTCGCCCTCGTTTGTTTTGGTCCATCGTTCGGCAACTTGCCCAGGTACTCCACACATGGGTAATCAAATTTGCCGATCCAATAATAGACCACACGGAGAGAGCACGATACAAACAAACCATCGAAAACAGAGGGTTGGATCACCATGGATCTAATTCGACATCATTGATAGATACCTGACCGATACTGTCTGTCAATTACTACTAATTCGCGGTCTCTACCAAACCATATTCAACTTCGATACACTTGCATTCTGATGGGAATTTAATGATTACCCGTCCCTAGGTAAGTTTTCATCTCGCTTAAAATTTCAGAGCTCTAGTGACCTGGACTAGTGTCTTTACTCCTTAGTCCTTTGGGCTACGGATCCCTAGCCTCTACCTCAGCCTACCAAATCAGAGCATTTGCTATACCAGACTCAGGTAAAGTTAACGAATTTGCGTAGGTATGTACGTATGTACCGTAGTACCATAGTTATCACTTACGCCCACCCTTGCCCACCGTATCTAAAAAGGTTGACCCGTGGGCTGCCATTGCTTGATTTGCTAAGCATTTGGCCCCTATCTATCCTGTCGACTAGTATTCTGGGAATCTAGATAGCGCATCGATCATCCTTTTAGTTGAGGTGATAATTTTATCCCCGGCCCTTTTTCATCTAGGATTGAAAGTATCCTGCTAGTTATGGATGTGATTTGTGACTCCATAATAATATTTTGGGCTTAGAGACCGGCAGACAGGGGAAAAGCTACAGATACAATCATTCACATACATGTACATACATAAATTTACAATTACCCATAGACCTAATCAAAATTGGTTGATCAGGGTCATATTCACCCCCGAAGCTGCTTTTAGTGGAATCCCCCGGCATGCAGGATGTATGATATAGTTTCTATTGAGCCAAAGCATAATCGGTAAACAGCGAGAATGGAGCCGCAACTGGGCCCAGAGGCTTTATTAGGTTAGACTTTGTTTGAAAACAAGTCTTAATTTTTGCACACAGCCGAATGAGTGAAAAGTATAGGAATACGACAGATGGAATTTATCTGCTCACAACATTACTTCCATTTCCTGTACTTTGATCGCTCCGTGGCTCTTTCTTTACTAGGCTTGAATAGCTTCAATGCGGCGACAGTACGGAGAGATAAAAATTTAGTTGGAGCCCTTGCTGACCGCTGGGTTTTGTGATATTGGACGGACCGACAATTCGAATAGAGTCCGAAGGGCCTTAGGATTCCACTAAATAGATGGAATGGCTCACCCAAGGGAAGCAGACATGATTATCGTCTTGAACAGTTTTGTGCTCACTTCGAGCCCTAGGAGGTATAAAAGATGATAAGGTTATTATCAGATATACTCCCAATTTAGAGCAGCCCAGAGCATGGTTCAATGTAATGATGAAAAAGTTCTATGAGTCCTATATGCTGTTGTCCAGTATCGGCCAACTTGTATTCTTTTTCTTTTTGCAGAAGACCAACTCTTCAGTTGAAAGTACTTGAGCATCTACAATCTTTCCGATCCCGTCCGTCTCAGTCAACCGTCTGGTGCTTTCTGTGCTCACTGCATCTTCACTGTCTCTGCGGCACACATAATGTATTGCCAATAGCCCATCTTGCGTCATGTCGTCATCCCTGGTGAAAAGATCGGTGCTTCGAAAGCCTGGAAAGAAAGCTGAATGCCGTCGTTCTCGAGGACTGGGGCTAACCTGGTCCCCGGACTTGGTACCGGAGCTTGTATCCCTCTCAGTTGTGTTAAGCTCGATATCTGATACACGAACGTCATTTAATCCGGATCGGAGGCTGCTCAGTATGCGATATATGGAAGGCATGCAGGCGGCAGTTATGCTTAGGTACATCATGAGTCTGTAAGTAGCGCATGCGATGTTGGCTTCGAAAAAAATGTACGTCTCAAAATATAAATTACTCGTTACATATGTCGACATTCACGACCGTCCCTGAAAAAGTTGTCAATGTTACCAACCACTCCACTTCTATACTCGCGGGCCAGGGAATTAAGGGCACACACACGTTGGGTCGCTCGAATGCAGGTATGTCGGCAGGTATGCCAGCTCTGTTATACTCACTGCTACCACACTCCACATTGTTTTAATGAGTGCTATGATAGATCACGGTCGAGATCTCTTACACAAGTCGTGAGGAAAAGGCGGCAAAGGTTTGGAGACGCTTCTGCAATGCCATTTACACACTCCAGAGCATGAGAAATGGGATCATGACTAGTAAAGTGTAGATCCAATCTTGGCCACAACCACAATTAGAGTAATAAACAGAAAAGGAAACGCAATTATGGTGAGGATTGGACCTCGATTGTCGGATGTGATTGTCGCTAAGGGGGGTAGAAGCTCAGATGAAAAGGACGGCATGTCGAGCATTAGTTAATCTAAGCCATCATATATGTGCCTTGGAAGGATTGCACGTTGAGACAGACAACTTTTGCTCGCCCTTTCCACGACAGGAGAAATTTTTTCACTCACTACTTCAAGGCTTCATTGGATTCACCTCATGTTTGTGGGTGAAAGTATGCCATTGGGTAGCCGATTCCAACAAAGACAGGGGGCATCCCGGGCGGTTTAATTTCCAGCACCATGGCATACGCACAGAAGATATACTATATGCATGATTCAGCTCCGTGTCGAAAAGCCGAGGTTGAACTGCACAGTTTGCATACGCATTAGAAAGTCACACAGCAGAATGGATTCCCTGTCTAGTTTGATTACAAGCCTCGTGCTAGAACGGGTTGGCTGTTTGTCTCCTGCAGGTCGGCTGAATCCCCGGTCGTCATTCGAAGCGGAGACTTACACAGTGCGTTTGCCCCTGTGGGAAAGTTAGCATGCTCCATTGCTTTTTCCTGAATGACATGCGCTTCCACTTCCTTGCCTCCAGCGGTGTCTTTTGTAGTCCCCCCCGCTCACTCACATTCTCTGCCAGTTCCACATTCTCCCTGGAAATATAGTCCACCACCATCAAGCATGGCATACAGCAATCAAGTCGAGATATCCGGTGGTCGAAGCAACAATCTTTGTTCTATGAGCATAAAGGACCCGCCACTCCCATATTCCTATCGGCATCGACCAAAGCCACGACTTGAGGTACGCAAAGATGTATTGAAAAGTCGCGAGAGCTAAAAACAAATACACCACAGATATACTTAGGCTTTCTGCCCATGCTTGCATTTTCTGCAACTCTACAAGCATCATGGGAATTATTAGGATCTAGTTTGTATGCGGGACTACTCAACGGTGGTCCCGTCGCAATTATATACGGCTTGATTTTCTCCTTCGCCGGCTCTTTGTGTTTGATTCCCTCGATTGCCGAGATGGCATCCATGTGCGTGATATCATCTTACCAATGACACTATGTGCCCATATGCAACTATCTTACCACTGCGCCTAGGAATCCTGTGGCTGGCGCTCAGTATCACTGGACGTACGAGCTGGCGCCGGTTGCCCCTTGATTTCTTGGCTTTCTTCAAGGTGAGTTGCACCGGGCTGTGGTTTAAAGCTTCATCTTCCGGCTGACTCATTTCTTTGCCCGACAGGCTGGGTCACGGTAAGCTGGTAAGCCGAGGGATCATTTGCTGCAAGTATTGCTGCAAGTAGGTTCTGACAAAGGTATATGACAACGTATAGGCTATCGCATGGTGAGCAAATGTTGCCGTTGGTCCATATTTAGTTGGCACTGAAATTCAGGGACGCCTACTGCAGAACTGCCCTTCCTATACACCACAGAATTGGCATGGAACACTTCTTGTCTTCGCCGCTTTGTTCCTGCCATTGCTAATCAACATATTTGCCCGACGTCTTCTGGCACCAGTCGAAGTGCTGTCAGGAGTCATCCATATCCTCTCTTATCCAGCAATTATGGTTGTCATGGTCGTGTTAGGACAGCGCCACACAAATGAGTTTGTATGGACTGAGTTTGTCACCGATCAGAGTGAATGGCACAAAAAAGGGGTAATCTTTTCCATTGGCTTGCTGACGGCGGCCTTCACTTTGAGTAGTAAGCCTCCAGATGCTCTTCTATCAAGATATCCGAGTAATTTCTAATGCTCGCTTTTGAACAGGCTTTGATGGCGTGATTCACATGTCGGAGGAAGTCAACAATGCGCCTAGAGCCGTGTCCCGTGCGATGGTTTGGGGAATGGTCCTGAATCTTGACATGCTGAAAGTCATAATCTGGGTCAAGAAAGCAGCAATTGACCGTAAGAAATGGCAGGGCCACGGCTTCTAGATGTGAGTAAGTAGATGTGAATATGATTCAGAGGAGTGACACTGGGAGCCGTGACCGGCATGATACGTCATCTAGAAGCGTCTGTCTTCAGCTTGCGGGAAGTGTTGCGAGAAACGAGTCAAGGTACAATATCTTTCAATACAACTGACAGCCGTCCGGTGTGACTGATATCCATGAAATTGCGTCGTGTCAGCAAATTGTTTACCATGTATTCAGTCTAAACCAAATTCAGGATTCGACGCAGAATCCGGCTCTCCACTATGCAGAGCAGCCCAGTCATACATCCGAGGATATATTCATGCATCCCTCCGCCCAGTCGATTTGTTTCACTCCTAGCTACTAACGTCTACGCCCTTGATAATTTTATTAAATGATCCGGAAGGCTGGTGGTACCATCATGTCCAATTTAACGGTCGGCTTTCAGGTAAGTGAGCACCCATTCGATCCAGTTCCATTTAACTTACCTCGTGAGAGGACCTCCAAAATCATGACCAATATTGGAACGAGGATATGTGCCTACACGTGAGTGTGCTCAAAAGGCTTTTATATAATGCCAACTTCAGTCAGATGGTCTATTATCTTGGTAAATTATTGGGGCAGATTGGACGGCCCGATGATTCACGGAAAACGGATCTTTTGATGCGGGCTCAAAAGGGGGGATTTATTCAATGGCACATTCTGGGCACCGAGCAGAAGATTATATTGTTCTCACACCGGGCTAATTGCATGGATCTATTACAACTCAGGGTTGATCTCGAGGTAGGTCCTCTCTTCCCAGAGATCTGCAGCCACTGAATACTGGTGCCATAGCGATCAGACCCTCGAGCAATGTCTCTGTTTCTGGAAGAGAAGCAGTTTAGAAAGTTTAGTTCGTGCAGAATCGGGATGACAGCTTATTTTTATTTTTTATAGCTTGTTCGAGACTTTGAGTTCTTTATTAAAATCCTTAGACAGCTAGAGAGCTTTCAAATAGCTCATGTCGGCTCTGGGCTTGAAAACGCCGGCTTTGTGAATCGCTTTGAGATGCATGCGGCCGGCCCAGATGAGCCTTTGCCGTGCTCAGGTAGGGAAGCATGTTCATTCCAGTTTTCTTACTTTTGCTTCCGATCATACCAACCATTTCCTCTCCGAAGAAAAGCGTACTATTACCGCAACTCGGCCAATTCTATCCCGTCCGTTGCCGCCATCCATACCAATGAGCGAATCCAGATTGTCAAACCCTGCAGATAACATCCCGCTCGATGTCGCCCCTAATTCGGAAATGGGTAATACACACGGTTACAGTCACTTTCCCAGACGTGAAGCAGAGCTACCTTTGGAGATGGATACAGTACTTAATAAAAGCGCTATATGCACCCCTCCAGATAAAGCTCTTCTCACCTCCTATCCCGGCTTTGGAATTGCGTCACCCGCAGAAACTGTTCCTCCACATATGCTGAATAGAACAACCTGCTGCCATCCAAAATCCGACACCACATGTTTTGATTCTTCCCCTAGAGAGAGACTCACAGGAATTAGATCCGTTTTGCGAAAGCAATCAGATCCAACAATCCTCGCCCTGCTGGAATACTGCTGCGGAGCGAACTTATCCGAAAAACAACTTAAGAAGATATTCGAAGCGAACAAATGCTTTTCCTCGCAGGCTTCTCGCGAGCTACTGTGGCCCCTTCTGGATGAATAGGACAAGAATATATCGCTCGGCCTGCATGCACTGGGACTTCCCATCATCTGGCTGGGTATAGAAGATATAGTAAAGTACCTGCGAGTACTTAATAGAGATAAGAGGGATAAGTCCCTTGATCCGGTTGCGAGGCGTATTGGACTGATAATACTTTATTTCAATTACTACAAGATCTGTAGGCATCCAAAGGAGCACTGCCCTGCCTCTATTCCAAAGACAGTCAGTACCTATATTCTTGATTACATTCTGAACACCTATCATAACAATCCTTGCATATCAAAGTCGTAGCAATCCCGTCGCAATAAGATCTCAGCATACTATATAAAATATAAGAAATAATGGCGGATGTTTGCAGCGTTATTAAGAGTTAATATTTTATTGATTGGGAATGATCAACTCTTGAGAATCATATAATTTTACTATACCCGCACAATTGTCATCTTACTCACTTTTTATAGCAACAACGCGACGTTCACAGAAGCCCAAATAAGCGTCCTCGTCACTTTAGTCTTGAATACTCGGCCCGGCACTATTCGAATCTTCCAGAAATTGGAGTCTGTGATCAAGTTTCTTATATTCAGACAAATCACACAAGACCTCCGCCAAGCGATATTAAAGGATGAGACTAGTATCTTGGGGTGATATAAGATGACGAATGCCCAAGCCGAGGACGAGGCGGCGGCGGCGTGCCAGCAGACTAAGACTTTCTGGACGAAAGTCAATGCTAAACATGTTGCGAGGGAAAAGATGAATAAACTCCTCGCTAATGTGCTCTAGTCGCTTTATGGTCTTACTGTCTTGAATCAATGCCTATCATCTGATAACTGATGCGTACGGTTAGTGTTATGTAAGTTGAAATCTCCTTGTCAGTCGGGTCTCCATTTCTTTGTGCTTTTATATATCACTCGAGAGTACTCGTCTCCTTCATGCGTCCAATTGTCAATGCGCGGGTATCTGATCCCATTCGCAATCCTGGGAGTTCTTGCTTTCTTACTTTATTGAATCACCGAACAATGAACTAGTGTTTTGCACCGATTAACCAATCAGTTTTGGTTTAGTGATTCCGGTCTAGGGATATAGCCAATTTAATTGATCTGTCTGGTTCCCTGGTGAGGGTATCAAAAACTTATTGCGCATCCAAATATGCTCAGAAGACTTCTTTTATAAGCGCAAAATTCAGCAATCATGGGCTACATCAGGGAGAAGAATAAGCTATTATATTCGATATGTCTGAATTCTGAGACTATTTTTGACGTCTCGAAGAATTACGATGATGCTGCTTTTTGCGAACATGTGCAATTTTCTGACATCAAGAAGTAGTGGTGGAGGCCAATTCGCAAGGCTTACTGCCTTTGTGAGTGCGGACTAGTTATAATAGATCATAAGGCAACTCCTACATAATTCTTGTTTTATATAGGAATTGTATTGACGATAAGAGAAAACGCCAACTTGTATTATGATAAGACGTAAACGCCAGGGCATCGTCTAACCTCAAGAAAAGACAATCGCTTCATCGGTCTTTTGGCAGCCCTTCTTAGACCATGTCCATGAATTTCGTGCGGCGGCGCTATTATTGGTGCATATTGAAGTATAGATACCCATCTTTTGATTAGACCCGGGCTTGCAGTTCAATTCATCTTGTCATGCTGTCTCCGACTGTAAGACACCAACCTAGGGGAGTTGTTGCCACTGAGCCAAAAGGCTTACATTACCCGCAGTTACCTGCGGACCCCTAGAATCCCATATATGATATACTCAAGTACACCCGGGAGGAGGTGGGCTTTACTACCCTTGTAAGTATGTATATCCCGCGGATATCATCTCTTACAGTAGTATATCTATATCTAGTTTTGAATTGAATAATTATTAAAATAAGACTTAATATTTATAAAGAATCAGAAAAATAACTGGCACTCCGGCGGTGGTGAAGTAAGATATATAACTTTAGTTATACACAGTTTAAATAGATTATATGACCAGTGCTACTAAGCTCAGACAAGCTCTCAGAATAATAGTCACTTTCTCTAGTGTTTACTCCCGAAGCAATCCGAGATCGCTCAGGGATTGCTCAGGACACGCACTTCTGTGCTCCCCCCACGCTCCGGGCCGCTCAGTGAGCAAAAAGCGGCGCCAGGTTGGACCTAAAGCGGAAAGGGAAAGTCGCTGGATTTCTGCAGCAATCCAGTTCATTAGCGGACTAGTCACAGGATGAATAGAGTGCGAGCGGGGATCGGCCAACACGACGGACACCGCTTGTTTCAACAATTCTGGCTTCTTATAGAAGAGTGGCGTGGCTTTTGTTTTGGCATGTCATGTTCAGGTAGCATGAGATATATGCGCGATTTACGAACTTAGCGGAGGGTACAATGGCCTGCTCGTAGCGACGAGTGTTGCGCAATTCAAAAATCTAATTACCATGCAAGTAGTCTCAGACTCTCAGAGAAATATATACATCTTTAAAACTGCGCTCAGTAATATGCCAGACATCCCTCACTTGAAAGTAAATATTCCTGATATCTACCACTTGGCCTCCTTGGTTTCCTGGAACGCCTTAAGGATGGCGACGTTCTTCTCAAGGGCAACCACCTCACGGTCCAAGGACTCGTTGACCTTGCCCTGGTCCTCACCAAGCTTGACGTAGAAGTCCTTGCGGTAGGGGGTAGCCGACATGGCGGCGGAGAAGATGGGCTTGATCACAAAGGAGTGGTGGGGCTTGAGGGTGTTGCCGTAGGCCTCGCGGAAGGAGTTGGAGAGCTCAGAGCTGGCGTTGTCGAGGTTGTGACGCAGGGCCTGGGCGGTGAAGTCAAGACCTCTATGGAATTGATACATCGTCAGCATGCGTAACTCGACTCATCTTCCATCTGGACTACGAAGACGGCGGGGTGAAACATACCTCACCAGCCAGAGCAAGCCCTCAGAGGCGACGTGCTTCTTGGTCTTCAGCTCATTCACAACGAGAGCCTGGAGAGTCTCAGACTCAGCGGGGGCAGCCAGCTGCCTCTCCCTGACTTTCTGCAATGGGTTAGTTTTCCGCTCCTGTTGACTGCGGGGTATGATATCCGTACTTTGATGTTGCCGGTCAGGTCATTCTTGACGGGGGTGAAAGCCTTGGATCCGAGGACATCTGGAGGTAGTCTATTAGCAACATAGTCCGACGAGTCTCGACTTTGCAACCAATGGCATACCGAACAAGGTGGTGAGAGACTCGGCGGCTTCGAGGAACTCGGTGGTCGAGATGCCGTTGTCAGCACCGATGGGAACGTCCGCGAAGGACTTCTTCTGTTGGTCGAACCAGGTAGACATTGTGCTTTGATGGGAGAATAAAGGATACGAAGATGAAAAAAAAAGGGATGGGAAGAGGATGGAAGCGAGTGAAATACAATCAGGGGTCCAGGAGTGTCCAGGGGAAAAGGAAACGTGGAGGGGAAAGCGGCAGTTTATCAACAACAACGGGCTGGACTGTCACGCTCATACACACCGCCAGGAGCGGGACACGCAAGCGGTGAGGCCAATGAGCGGGTCGGCCGCCCCTGACCAATAAGCCATTAGGTAAGACATTGTGCAAACACTGCAAATGCCACCTCTTCTGTCACGGGGCGGCAGTGATGTCATCGTTTCCAGTCGCAGTTCCAACTGGACTGGCAAAGACGCCCAATTGTTGGCACGCACCATGATTCGGTTCCTGGCTGATCCTGCTATTGTCAGACCTACATTTCTTTGTCCTGCTTTGTTTCTGTAGGACATAACAGCTTCATCCTCTCTGTGCTTCCCCTTCCAAGTGCAACAGGCAATGCCATGACCAATCGACCATCCCTAGATCAGCCCGCCAGCGACGGCATGGCGACTGATCAACATGTCGTGTTCCACCCCACTCAGCGTCGTGGCTTGGAACCAGACTCGCATACTGCCGAGAAACTGGTATGGATTAGAGCGTTGCTACAATTGTTCAGGAAGGTGCTGACCCACAAAGCACTATGCTTCCCCCCATCATATGCACATGACCAGCCGGAGGTTCTTCATCGGCCCAATCCCCCAGGGCTGGTTACAGAACCATCGCAAGTCATGGTGGAAGACGAGAATAAAATTTGGCAAATACTCCTCCAAAACCGTCACCTTCTCCGCCGATCCAATTGTTGCGCAATATTCGGATGACTCCGAGGCCGATCAGGACCCTTCGACGTCGGAACAAGAACAGGGTGCCTTGACAGATACTACAGAGGATGAAGGAGCTGGGAGGGAGCAGGATGATGAGACCAGTGACCAAGAAGCACATCCGGAGAGAAGTCTTCGCACTGTGCCTTACACACTTGCCGAGGGCCATGATATATCTCACGCTACTACCACTGCCTCAGACAATTCTATGTCGGCATCGGACAGCAACCAACGCAATTGGGATTCATCCACTGGGAGGCAGGATGCAAGCTCTGCATACTACACAGCGAGAGAACTGGACCAGAATGACACAGGCATGATTTCCTCGGGTCTTAGCACGGTAAATCCGGAGCAATCTGTGCAAGGTCCAAACAAGCAAACGCTAAGTACCACAAGCCATCATGGAGCCAGTCAGTTAAGCCCCATGGCACCTGCTAGTGATTATGGATCCACAACCGCATTGCTAAGGCCAGAGTCGCGTTCCAAAGGAAAACAACGGATTCCTGCTACCTCATCTATGAATCTTGAGCAACAAGAACCCGAAGTTGAAACTACCGAGGAGGAACCCTTTAGCAATGGACGGCGTGCGAGAAAGGAGCCCCTCCTTCCATTTTCCAGAAAAGCAGCCAAACACAACCTGGATGATAATCTCCTAGATAAACAGCAAAGAGTCTTGTCTCGGATATCAAGGACCCAAGCCAAGTTCTCGCGCAACTTGCCGCGCCGGCGGAAGATGAAAGAAGGAGAAGTCATAAAGGCGGAAAAGATGCTTGTTCGAATTGAGGAGACGGTACAAGAGAAACTTCCGGACGACTATTCGGAAAACGACAGTTACAAGATGGAAACTCGGGTGGTGGATCACTGGAGAGAATATCTGGTGGCATGCCGCTTGGCCTCTGACGAAGATGCGCCATTCTCCCTCCAGATGTACAAGACCCGTGTCATACCCCAGGTGCAAAAAGCAGGCTCTCGGGTTTCCCCATGCTATGAGGTACCCTTGGGTCGAAAGAAGATCAAGGTCAATCTCTATTCGCACTTGGACAAGTCAATTGTTCTTTGGGGTCCCTGTAAACGGGGGACTAAGATCTATATAGTACGGCCGAGGTCGTCCGCGCACGCCGCTGAATGGTTCACCTTTTTGTGTCAGATCATGGGGAGGCGCCGTCCGTCCTCACTTCCAATCCATGTCCCAGACTTGGGTGTTTCTCTCGTGTTCAATAACCCTTTTGAACAGCTAGAGGTTGCCCTTGGCTCGCAGAAAAAGGACACAGGCTTAATCAATCGAACCATAGCCCAGGAAGATTCGGCTGCTCAAGCCATCATACGCGGCTGCCTTAAGATGCTTGAAGACCGTCCCGAATGGGCCGAGGTACTGCACCAGTGGTCCAAGACTGAGATTATGGGCCTTGCCTGGAAACGATACGATCGATTAGAGTGGATCTTTGGCGCCAATGAGGAGAAAATGTACGGATCACTTGCTATGTACACTACGCATGATCTTGAGCTACGGCCCAAACAGCATTATACCACATATATCAAGCATGATGGACGCAAAGAAGACGAGCCTCAGCCCGTGGAAGGTTTCTTGGTTCGTCTTACATCCCAAAGAGGTGTACATCAACGGATGAACAAAATGTTCTTCAAGCGACTATATTTTTTCACCCAGGACCACTATCTGTTTTTCTGCAGACCTTCAAGATCGCTACCTCCAGCACCTCCAAAGCTATCCCGTGATGAGTCTGAGTTGCCTTCAACGCAACAAATCCTAGACGCATCACCTCTTTCTTATGATATTGACCCATATCCACTCCAGGATGGGGAGATTTCTTGGCTGTGCAATGGCAACAAAGAGCACATAAAAAAATACGACGAGGAGGCCTACGTTCAACGACAGAGAGACATTCATAACCTTGAACATGCTGATGGTTTTATTGACCTCAGTAGGGTACAGGAAGTACGACACGTGCGGCGTGATAGCTGTCCTGCTGATCCCAATATTCGGGAAGGGCCAGACGTCGAATTCAACCCCGAGGCAAGAGACACACGCCGGGATGATGGTGCAACACAGCAATTCAATGATGAAAGAACCTTCGAAATGGTCCTAGATAACACGCTTGTTGTCCGCTTCCAAGCATATAACGATGCGACCAAGGACGAATGGATGAAGCGACTCGATTTTCTGGTGAAATACTGGAAAGCACGCATTGCGACCGACGCGGCCGAGCTCAAGGCTCTTCGTCGACGCAACCAGGAGCTTCTGGGAATCGATGAGGAACTGGAGTCTATCATGGGACAGTTCGGCAAGAAATGGGAGGTAAAAAAGGCAGAAGCATCACCATTACTGCACAACATATGCACACTATCAGGGTGTCGGACAATCAATGTAAGCATGCTCTCTTGTCGAAATGGTACCCAGCCAATACTAATATTACCAAGATGTCCGGGCAGTTATTTCGCAAGCCCCGTCGCCACTCCACCTTTAAGCTATGCCATGTTGTTCTATCAGCCGGAAAATTGCTCATATTCCGAAGCTCGCTAAGAAGGCGCAATGGTGTTGAAATTCCTCACATACACCAGAACTTGGAGACATCTATCGACCTTAACGATTGTTACATCTACTCGGGTCTATTGACGGACTCCGACCAGTTATACTCCAACCAAACATTCGACAGCAACCATCCAGGACATCGTTCCTTGCCCCGGGTGTACCTTTCGCCAGATGTATACACGAACAGTGATGAGGACACCGCAATTACGTTCGTGATATGGCAACCTCTGAAGAAGAACCTATTCCGAGCGCGAGAGCATGGAATCAAGGGACAGACCAAACAGAGACTGAAGCACGTGTCAGCTCTTGGAGTCCATGGACGAACCATCGTGTTTAAAGCCCGGAGTCGAGTCGAAAAGGATCGATGGGTGTTGAGTATAGCATCGGAAATTGACCGGTTACAGGAGGATCGGCCGGAGGATGTGCGAATAATCACCTAACATAGCAAGTACAAAAGACATTTGAGTATAGTAATCATCTCTTCTGCAGGCAGATCTATCGCTACGCTACACGCTCCTTCTATACCTCTACACAAGACAGAGAGTATCCTATGTACATACAAGCTCCAACAATAATAATAATAATAATAATAATACATAATCCATCTTCTCTTCCTACTCCAAAAGCGGCCTCTCCAACTTCACAGCCTCCTTCAACACCCGATTGCGCACATCCTGCCTGTAATTCTCGCCAAACTTACGTTCAACATCCCCCTCAACCACCCCCTTCTCCCAGCCCGACCAATCCAACCACCTCCACCGCGGATACAGGACCGCCAGAACCCTCCCCGTCACCAAACTAATACTCACCGGCCCGTAAGTATTACTATCCATGGTCTTCCTCGCATCCTGCGCATCACCCTCCAACCAAACATGATTAAACGGCACGATCTGCGTCTCCTTCATGCAGGGTTCTCGCGTGGTGATCTGATCCCCAGGTAATCCGATGATGCGCTTAATAGCCATGTGACGAGGGTTGGCAGGCGACCTAAAACCACAACCACAACCACAACCACGAGCGTTAGCAAATGCACACCCCAAACCGGTCGACCTTTGTATCTCCACCCAAAGGGCACAATAAGACTCCAAGTAAGACAAAAGAAAGCAGAGAGGTAGAAAGACTCCACGAACCGAAACGTAACCAACATCCCCCTTTCCAGCCTCCTCTTCCTCTCCCACGGCCACAACCCGCCCCCTCCCCACATATTCACAAGCACTATATCGCTCTTCGTTTGCATCTGATCGTAGTCCTCGTTCAGGTAGGGCGTCATGCTGGGCCCGCGCACCCACATCACCTGGAGAACATGTTCGGAGAAGAAGAGACCGATGGGAAGGAGGGGGAGGAGGGGTCCCAGGACGCGGAACGTGCGGCGGAAAGGCCGCGGGAGGGAGGTGTAGCTGTTGCGGAGGTGGCTGAAGAAGGAGGGTCGGGGTGGTTTTTGTTGTTGCGGTTGCGGTTGCGGTTGCGGGTGGAGCTGGGAGCTTGCAGGCGGGGATTGTTGTAAGGGGGAGCTGCGACGTGCTTGGGCGAGCTCTGGGGAGAGGACTCGGAATTTGGGTTGTTGTTGCGGGGGTGGTGAGGGAGGTGGCGGCATTGCTGGAAGTGTTGGAGCTGGGTTTGGGGAGGGTTTAGGTTGCCCTGCAATGCGATGCGGCGGTCGGTTCGGGTCGTCTGTCGGCGTTGAGCGGATGGTTTTGAAACGCGTCTGAGGGGTTTGAGGGAGGGGTTCTAGTTGGGAAATAGGATATATTGCCTGCCAGGTAATATTATTGCAGACCGAGTTGCAAGGCTGTAGGTCAATGGGGAGCAATGGCTGGGATTTGGTTCTGTCGCATTGAGGTGATCGTGGTTGTCAAATTGCTATCCTGATATCATCAGTTTGTTTGCACCGTTTGCATAGCCCCGAATCGGGTAAATTGTCCAACAATGATGGATGATGGGCTTAGCATACCGCTGAGTGGAATTATTTAAGAACAAGAGTAGAGACATGCTATTGACTATCCTGCTTAATAAAAAATAATGTCATGAAGAGATGTTCTTTGTATCAGTAACCATTCATAAGCAACCGCTTTGCATTTCCATAAACGCTACCCATTAAAAGCACCCGCCCAGCGCCAAGCACAAGAAAAACGTTCATCATTATTTAATGCGTGACTAGCACCACAAACTACCAATCCTTTGCCAGGAGGCTGTCCGACATGTGCGATCCATCCATGTCGATGATCCCACTGGACTGGATGCTCTGAACGTCAGTTGCAGAAGAGGGCCTGTCAACCTCAACCGGTTCATCTTCCAGTTTCTCGGTGCGGCCATCTTCTGACTTATCAACCTCCTCCCAGTCATCGTCCGACTTGATAGAGAAATCCTCCATGTTGCTTTTACCGCTCGGTTCGTTTTGATCGATATCAACCTTCTGTTTCTTAGTGTCCGGTTCTCCGTTCAAGGCAGGGTCCACGGTTGGCGGGTCGGGCAACTTGGCTGCGAGTATCTCTGCTGATTTCAAAGACTCACCATCGGATTCTGGCTGGGATTCGGCATCGTCGCTATCGATGGAAGGGTCCTGATCTTCGCGGGGAAAGAACAAACTAGAGCGACGACTCAGTTAGAATGTGCCAACTACCCGCGATAGAGACATCACACTTACGGAGTGAGCTTTTCATAAGCGATCTCATCTTTGCGCTCAAAGTTGCAGAAGATGATGCGCTCAAGTTTCCCGACATGGCTCGGATTCTCCACGAACTTCCGAGTTTCGTCAAGGGCCGCCCGGGCGGCTGCTTCGCTGGGGTATCCATACACGCCAGTGCTGATTGCGGAAAATGCAATGCTTTTCATGTTGTTCTCCACGGCCACCTCGAGACTGCGACGGTAGCAACTGCGCAGCAACGACTCCGGGCGCTCTTTACCAACTCGCCGTTCAAGTTCATAGATGGGCCCAACGGTGTGGATGATCCGCTTGCAGGGAAGCTCGTAGGCGGAAGTGATCTGGGCATCGCCCGTGTCGCAGCCGTCGAGAGTGCGGCACTCGTCCAGCAGATCGGGTCCGGCAGCGCGGTGGATAACACCGTCTACCCCACCACCTCCGAGGAGGGATGTATTTGCTGCATTGACGATGCAGTCGACACCTTCCAGTTTGGTGATGTCGTTGCGGATCAGGGAGATGGTGTCATTGAATGCCTTGGATGGCTGCGCGAGGGGGTGAGGGGCTGGGATGAGACGTTTCAGCTTGTAAAGCAGAGAAACGGTCGGAATCTCCGCAAGAGGTACGAGAGGAGGCGTCATCTTCAGATGGTCAATGGATTTGGATGAAATGGTTGGTTGAATAGTGTTGAGGTGATGAGTGGATGATGTCAACTTGGCTAATGAGGAGTCAAATCCTCGATGTGGGATGCAAGTCTATCTCGATGAAGGATTGATCGCAGGATGGTCAAATTCATACCATGATAGATTCGAGATCGGTATGGACCAAGGAAGCCGAAGGCGATGATGATGGAGAGCGTTGCTATGTTGTCAATGGAGGAGGGGAGCTTCCCGCACGTGACGATGACACTCGACTCCTCTTATCTTATCGCAGGCCTTCCGGAAACGGAGATACGGACATGTGACCATTGCCTGCCATCTGTCTATAGAGATCATTCACGATAGAGACTCGGTGTCTCTTCAAAGAATCGGATATATAGGCTTGGAGGGATTCTCCCTTTCACTTCCAGCTTCGACTCTAACAGCTATCAGAGGAAACATTTTGCAGGCCATCGATCAGAAGCTACTCATTAGATTATGACAACAGATCCAGCATCGGATGTCTATTGATGGACATAAGTAGACTCACTTCACCCGAGTTTCTGATGTCATAATCTCAATGATATTTTTTAAAGATACAGTATTCTGTGTCAGGCCTTGTATTTCCGTATGATTCTCGATCATATCACCCTAGACCAGGTATAATCATCGACCTTCTGTCATATCTACACGATGTGACATGAGGATAAGTGAGAATACACCTGTCAGTTTCATGATCTTAGAAGCACTGGCCTTCTGATGGTATCTTAGGAAGCAATATGATATACACGAAGCTCGCGCCAATAATTGCATATGAACAATCAGTAAGGAGGAGGAGCCTGTACCACCGGAAGACAGGAAGAACATCCAGGGTCTTCAAAGGCAGGAGGGGCAAAGCATGATGAAAACGTGAACCTATCAAAGTGATATATGACAGCACACATCCATATGGCCGGGGCTATCGTTCATCAGATACTGCGACAATCAACCACTCAGAATCCCCGATCTAATACAATGCCCGATATGGAAAGGTCATGACAGCCCTGCTAATCTGAACCCATACGCCAAACTTAAGCTTCTTACCCCAATATCTTACCTGTCAACACTGGTATGACATGTAGAGCATACAGAGCACACGGTATGTATGCAATATGTGCAATAAGTCCCAGATAAAGTACGCCACATCTTAGAGTGGCATGCCACGATTGGCCCAGACAAGAACAGGGCGAGCTAATGCAAGGGCGCCGACTGACGCACGCGACAGTGTCCATTGGGATTCTGATCGAAGACAACCACAACTGCACAGGACAGAGCACGGATCCCAGGCTCATGTATGGCGTATGTATGTCTGATGCGACTGCATAGCCACCTCACCCCAGCGGGCCAGCACCGCAATTCTTTGCGCTTCCGCATCCTTGTCACTGCATTCTATGCATAGGTACGACGGCGTAGTGTTTCCATATCGGGTGACGGAGCAGTTCGGTGACAACCTCGATCTTCTCCACAGCATAGGACAGCATAGGTAGTACTACAGGTAGCATAGGTGCATTAGCCCTACTTTACCTGTGCAGTGGGCAGAGCATCCTGCTTCCTGTACGTCCTCCGTACTCCGTTTGGTCTGATAAGCGAGACTCGGCTAGTGGCTAGTCGAGGCGCCGGCGATGTGAGTAGTTAGTTGCCTTCTTGGTGCCCTTTGCGAGAGTGTCCGAGGAGAAGAAATCATGGACAAACCCGGATGACACATAAGTACTGGTTGATGACAGCTGTCATCGCTTTTCCTTGCAGATGGAGATTTCTATATGGTAATTGAAAACTACCAACCTGAAGCTGATGGGAAACGCGATATTTAATTGGTTAGCTACCTGTCATATCACTTATTAATCAATCGGCACTTTAAATAACCTAGTAGTATTCGAGCTTGAAACGAGATTTCAAAGCACAGATGTGCTTACGGTATTGGACTCCCGGCACCCTTCCTAGGAATACAAAATGAAAAAAAAAACCCCCCAAGAATGCAAAGATCAAAAAAAGGTAAAACGTGTAAGAATGAAAAAATGAGGGAGGGGAATGAAGGGAAATGGGAGAAAAGAAACAAACAATAGACAGATCAAAAACCTGTTTTCTCACCCACGGGACCCAGCCGCAGAGTTCAGCGCGCTGCAGAGCACGGTAGCTACACCCCGGCCCTTTTGCCGAGCATCGATCTCGATTTGCGATCTCGAAACTTCCCCTAAACCGTTCCCGATGATCGAAAAGTGGGTCATGAGTTCATTGAGGTAGCACAGCATAAGGCGATCGAAGCCAATTCCAAATCCACTCTGTTTGGGAAAAGGATTCTCTCGTCTCGAGGAAAACAACAAGCAGACGGGGGCTAGGTACAATCAGTAGGTAAATCTGCTTCAGATGGCTATAGTTTTGTTATTTTTATTTAATTTTTTTACGCTCCTTCCGTTACCCTTCTAGCTTCGATTAAATGCGAAGCTACCGAATACTACCGATACTCCTTCTCGAGTCTCGACTCTTACCGATCTTCAAGATGGTCGGGGTTCGATCTCGGTCGGTCTTTCCTTCCATCCATTCAGCGGGGACATCCGCGGTGGGGCTCGGTGCAGAAAGCCCACTTGGTTGAGATCTCGGATGCCCGTCCATCTAGGCACCATCGCATTCTAGTCGGGATCCAAGATCAGAAGATGAGCACTCCCATCCCGTGGGATCGCTAATTCTAACCCCATTTGGGAATGAGCTCTGCTAACCGACCGATAGATCGCGGGTACTATCCGAGTTTGATACGGGAGAGACCAGGATGATGGTTGGGAAGCAGATGCCGAAGGTTTGTTGGGAAGGGGCGGGGGGGGAAGATGGATCTTACCTACACGCTTTAGTAATGGGATGAACACTGGGTAGGGGAAACCTCTAACAGTTCCAGAGCAAATCGAACCCTGTCGGGGAAGAATGGATCCTTTTCAGAATGCTAGTTTCAAAAATCGTCAGTGGAAAGACGGCATGCGTAAGTACTGCAGTAGTAGTCTGCAGTCCAAACCCATCCAGAACCGTACCTAGAGTGAGACACTCTGAATTTGAAATCATGAAATGGAAAAGTCGACCATCATCCACTTCGTCTGCACTCTTACGTGCATACTCGCATGAGGCTTTCCCTAAGGCATCCTAGCATCCCCGATTTAGGCAGCCGTGCATTCCCGCTCTCCCACCCGGTCTGTTTTGGCTCCTCTCAATCCCCTCCCCCCCCCCCCCCTCTCCCCCCTCGTGTTCACGACTCACGGCTCTCCATCGCAAGGGGGCGCGGGAGGCTGAGTTGGCACTTTTCCCATCCAGGGGTTAACAGGCGATTTGGGATGGAATCCATGGGTTTATTGTCCATTGGTTATGATAGGGTAGCTTTGGTGCCTACTAGTAGACTGGGACCCGATTATCGAGGCTCTGAACTTGTGCTGGCTCTGTAATTCGCAGCCACTACCTTAAACTTAATCCGCTTCTTGTCCAATCGTATCTCGACAACGCGAATTGACACGAGGCGTAAATTCCTACGTAATACCATATAGACTTGGAGATACAAGCAGTGCTCTTCATGGGTCAGGTATGTAATGAGTCTGCAGGTACAGTAAGGTACTGAATACATACACGAAAGTACAATGATACATACTTACCTAGGTATATACATACAGCTTACATGGTTTACCTGACGAAAGGATTGTACCTATGCATGTACGCACAGAAAAGGAATGTATGGTAAGGTAAGTAGGTAGTACTTTAGTACGTAGGCACACTCCAGTTACCAAACACTGTCTACATAGACGTAGACATCGACTCAAGCGGGAAAACTTGCAGTGTGCGGACCTGAGATAGTTTGCCTTGCGACACCAAGTAGCCACGCAGGCGAAGTCAGTAAGCCATGTTTGACTATTGCGGCCGTGTAACAGCGAAATCGATGCTATCTAAGGTATGTCCCAGGACAAAGGATAGATGCTTGGCTGAGGTATGTCCAGGCAGGTAAAACTTGTAGATAGATTATTCAGCGCCATGTTTCACAGCATATGGATCTATGCTACTGGAGTACCCGGTCCGAACTGGTAGTAGGCAGTAAAGAAGACAGGCGTATTTGATACAATGAACGGCCAGCCAGGCACGTAGGGTGGGCAAGTATTTGCATACGGCGTATAGGTCAATTTAGTAGTAAAGTAATAACCAAACGACTGACGACTTACTCAATACCCTAGTAGTTCACGTAGACTAGTTAGGCAAACATGAATCAAGTCGAAGAATTTTCAAAAAGCATTGCGACAGCCAGGCCCACCCATTATTCATCCAAGCTGTACTATTTTCAAGCAGAGACAAAACATTTCTGTCCTGTGGATACGTAAGGTCTACATGGGGTAAGTATGAAAAACCCACCAGATACGGACCCAAGATTTGTTTGTTGTTCTAGAGCCTATCTAGTCAGCCGTACAATTCCCCGGAAAGTACTTGCGCCTGGTAGCGCTGTCATGATTCAGATCCCGATGCCCAAGCCTCAAAGCCCTGAGTTCCATCGATCCACCCAATGGCCGGGTTCCTAGTAGATAAATACTAAGGTACTAAGGTAGAACTAGATAGAAGGGGTGTTGCTTGCGAGATTCTGACTAAAGTTCACCGGGCAACCATGGTTCCGGGTCCAAACAACCAAGATCATCTGCTCCGCCGCGTGGGATCCCTGGCTGGTTCGCTGGTTCAGATCGAGAAGGGGGAAAACGAGTGACAATCAGGACCAGATCCGATACGGCAGCAGTTTTACACTGTTCCGTTCCTGGGTTCCAGAGATCGGTGCTTGACGGATAAGGAGTCTGGAGTTGCCAGACTAAACTCTACCTACTACTCGGGGAACCTACGCGTACCCCATACAGAGTGCTCACCCAAGCGTCGGCTCTTCTCGCCGATCAATGATAGGGCCATAATGACGTTGTAAAACGATGATCTCTGGTCTTGTCTGAGATCTGGCTCAGCGTCAATCGGACAACCCACGGGAATACTAGTAATGCTGCCGTGAGTTAGGCATGCCGTATACTCCGTAGCCATGTCAGCACTAGGACTACCTAGGTACAGTCGATTGCCTTCGACTACTAGTAGATACTCATTTGAATAATACTGCAGGGCTCAGGCAGCTTACCGAAAACCAAGCGCCTCAGCTTTGCCCCGAAAAGGTAAACTCAGCCTCATCTTTTCAAAGCTGAATAAAATCGCATCTCCCGGCTGACTGTCAAGGACAACAACCGTTGCCCTAGTTGGGCCATTCTATAATTCGTGGCAATGGCATAGTAGCACAAAACCGGCGTGTTTTGTGGGGGGGAAGTTGATAGTTAAAGTTCCATTGAAAGGGTCTGTCTTATCAGAGGGCCCCCGTATGGCAAAGTTGCCCAAAATCCTTGACCGGGTACCACTTTGCAGGCAATCCCCGAGTGCCATCATGGAGGCTCCCCGAATCAGCGCACCAAGTTCCTCCGCATAGAGAGAAATATTGCAGGCAGTTTAATGCTTACACCGCTAGGAGTCCCGACAGACTGGTTACAGCGGGTCTATGTAGTACAAATTACTCAGCCTATGTACGGAGGATACTCAGATGGGTTAGGAGTCGAGCATGCACTCAGGTGTACAAGTTACATACCATATGTATGTGCGTACGTGCGTATGTATAGTAGGGGGTATACTGTGTACACAAATCCAGCCGCGCCATGCATGATCCGCCCCTTAAAAAATACAAACAACATGATATCATGGAGAGGTACTGACATGCGGTACTCCGTACTAGATACTAATTTGTATTGTATCTAGATACACATCGATCGAGGATTCTTCCAGGATTGTTAGTCGAAGTCAACGGCCTTCCGTCTCGCCCCAATTCAATTAAAATAGATTAACCGATGTGGATTGCCCTTCTCATGACGTAACCCCGATTCGTCCGATCGGTCGGGTCTCGGAGCACAGATGCAGTGGAAATGGTGCCCGAGATCCCGCGGTGACACAGGGTTTGGTTGAAGGGGGGGGTGTTTGTGGCGATTGATTGGGCTTACTTACTCGCGCGCCGCCCGGCGGCCGAAAGAGCCATACTAAACGCCGTGCGGCCGTAACGGTATGGAGTATCTATGGAGGCTGGGAGCCTACCTAATCTGAGATTTTGATAGATGTGGCATGATCGCGATCAAAACCCAGCCAATTATGACGAGGTGCTGGGCGGGTGTACGCGGCATATTGATTAATTCCAAATCACAACATAGTAGTGCTAGCAACTAGAATTATAGTGTTATTGCGTATCTACTCCGTACCGGGGAGAACCCTGGGTTGGGTTTGCTCGTTTACAACACTCTACTTGCAGCTTACCACTCTGTAAGTAACTAGTTAGGTCGTGGGAGTTGTCGGAAAGTGTCGGAAATTGTAATGTGGCAGAAAATTAATGAAGGCGTAAAAACAAAACGTCCTTCAGGCCAAAATTGGATTCGGTACGGAACACTGTGACTGCGTAGGTAGGCTTCCTCCCCATCCGTTGTCTATTGAACACTATCTTCATTAGCCTGTACCGAGTACCAGTGCATTGGTAGGGGACTAGACTTCCGCACATGAGGCGACCACTTTCCCCCGGGCGATATGGAGTACAACCAAAATTTTTCTGTATCATCTAGATGGTCGAAGCCTTTTTTTTTTTTTTTTTTTTTCCAACATCGCAATTGTCACACCAAACTCCGGGGGATGGGCGGTGAATGTAGTAGGCTAGGCTAGTGTAGACCGGGTTTCCCGGACAGGGATGATGAATCGGCGGTGAGGGCGTGGAGAGAGGATGAGATCTCACATCCATCCCGCTCCGTGAACCATGACCATCAATCAAGCCACCGCCTGCCGTACCCTACTTACTTACGTAGGTACATCGCCCCGAGGTACCTGTGTATGTAGGTATGTATGTATGTATCCGATGGAATATTGATGGAAACTCCTGCTAGTGGCGGGGCAATCAGCTCAAGCCTCACTGGTGTGTTTGGGAGACGCCTGCAAGATGAGATGAGATGAGATGCAATCTGCGATCAGAGATCCGATCTGTTCGAGTTCGATAGTTCGTGGTACTAGTGCGTAGCTATACCGCATGATCTGACGGTTATCCGGAATCCATATGTGGTTCTGCATAACTCTCTCTCTCTCTGTGTCTGTCTAGTAGAAAAAATTATTGACGGGCTGAAGATAGTTATCGCCCTGTTCACCCCTACGAATAGAGAGTAAGTACTGGGTATGGGAGGTTGTAATTCAGCAGGACCTCCCCGATATAGATACAGTACTAGTAGCCCGTGTGCCTTGCGCCTTGCGCCATACTGTACAGGCCATCAACCCTGAAGACCGTAGTCGCACCCATCAAGGCGCATCGCGTCGGTCCATACAAAGTCCTACCTGACTACCCCGCTATCATCCCTGCAGCTGCATCCATGATCCATCGGCATGCTCCCAGGCTCTTCAAACTCGAAGATCTCCGCGGGGCTTGTGGTGGCTTCGACGGAGGGCTCCGTCAGTAGCAGTTCCAAGGAAGCCAGTAAGTCAGTACAACTTAAGGTGTATTCGGCCGACCATGCTGCTACATGATTGGCCGGTGATTCTCTTGTCGGGAGACTCCGACAAGTTATCTAAGCGGCGGCGTTTGGACCCAAGCATTCCTTAGATCCGCCATACTAACCACAATGTGGTCACTGGTGAGGGCCTCAATTGCCTCCCTCCTCGGGGGCTCAATTGAAATCACCCGATCGATCCAATGGGCTAGTGCTGGAATAGAACCTAGTTTTCCTTACTGGAAATATATACCGAATTCCCGGCGCATAGCTTCGACTTATGTAAAAGTCTATTTGCTATGATAATTGAAGTATGTACGTACTCACTCCGTACGATTGGTGTTGACTAGGACTAGGATCAAGGGTCCTTGAGTGCTCCTTAACCTGGCAGGTGGCAATGGGAATAACCTATCACCGTCAGAGACACATCCAGAATCCTGTCATATATTTTGTAGGTTTACCTTGATCAGCACATTTCCGGAATCTCATCCGGAACTCAGGGAAGCAGTTCCCGAGTTTATCTTGCCGAACCCCTGACGCCAACAATCGCCACGACGGTGTGGTGGCCGTGGTGGCCAAAAAAGAAAGTACTAGTACTCTCTTCCAGATCTCGGGGCGTAGGAAACCAATGTAATCGGGCGCTATTGCCCCCCTCCATCGCTTGTGCCTCAATAGCGCAGGCCAAGGAACAGGTGGGTAAGATTTGCCGCCCTCCCGGGACCGACAGGGATCAGAGGTTTTGTGACAACACATACCCTGGGATTGAATGCCAATGATCTCTGTGCTGTTTAGTAGTGCGCTCTTGGATCACGTACCTCGCATGGATCTATCAAAGTTTGATTTTTGGAACTGCGGGATAACATGAACTATGTTTACATCTAGTCATAACATGAAGGAAGTAGACCCTCTTCAATTCTCAACGACGGACATGAGTGCATGAACATCATATAGGCACCTCTGGTGGCGATCACAATTCCCAGAAACGCAGTAGGACACTGATAGGAAATGGGGGGGTATAATTGTAAACCAGGACAAAAACAAGTATGACAACACCAAGCACAAAAGGGCGCATGAAAAATCTGAGCAGGAGTCAAATGCGTACATGCCAGTTGCACGACAGACAATCGAGTGCAGATTAGAGCCACGGGATATGATGAGGGATAAATCGAAATGGAAAGGGGGAAAGAAAGAGACAAAAGGAAAAGAAACAAAAGCAAAAGTCTATCCGGATGCCTTTTAACACAACGTGCAAGGGGTATTAGAAGGTAATCCCAGGGCCCAATAGGACCAGATCAAAAATGAAGTCCACATGCCCGGAGCTTTTCATGATCATCCCACCATCCGAAAGGAATACCTCGACCCGGAAGCGGATCGAACAAAGCACAAAAACAGACCAACATTAGGTAATGGTCAAAAGTGGTAGACGGGACTCAAAACGCCTGACACTTCTAATCCCAAGCCGTTTCCAACGCCAAGTAAATGAACAGGCTAAGATGATTAATGGCTATTTGGTGATGCGGAGTCGAGAGCAGTCTTCGGTTTCAGGGTCGAGCCCAGAGAAGAAGCCTTGTTCGCGCCCATCTTGCGCGTTAATTTCGCATAATGCAAGCCACAAGCATTACACAGGGTCCGGGCACCATCCGGGCCACGGCGCCATTCCGGTGTTTCGGCTCGGTTGCAGCTGTGGCAACGGCCGGGAGGGGCAGCTTTCTGTAGAAACACCACTGTTAGCGATGGCAAAGTAGAAAAGTGGGTAAAATGGGTATGTGGGAAACGAAGCGAGAAAGGATCCCATAGAAAACAACGAATCAGGGAACAAGGGCGAAATGGGGGTTAATAGACAGAACCAATAGTCAACGTACCCCTCGTCGCTTTTTCGAATCCGCACCGGCAAACCCGCCGTTTCCCTTGTATTCTTCCGGATACATTGCCATGTGGACATCATCATGCACTCCACCGGCCTTGAAAGCCTTTCTCTGCGCCATTTGCTCTGCCAACGCGTGTTCCTGGTTCAGGACGGCAGTTCGTATACGAATCAACGCGTCATGATTCCGGCGCTGTAGGTTGAGCATCTCCTCGACCTCATGTATGGAGGGCAGAGAGTTTAACATGGGGCCAGAACGCTGGGTGTGGTGCGCCTTGTTCGCGTAGTGCCTTGAAAAGTCCAAGGTTCGAGTGCTCATTTCGGCAATCTGGAATTATTAGCAAATTTAGAACAGGATGCCAGGGGACCAATGGAATTTGAATTTCCGACAGAGGTCCACTTCCTAGGTAAGAAAGCACCTACCTCGTTAAGTGACGTCTCCACATCGTAAATATCCAAGTGTCGTTTGACAGACTCGGCCTGGGGCTGCCCCGCAACAGCAGGCCGGGCCGCAAGACCTTTCACTTCGTCCACGCGAGTGGCTTCTGGAGCACCAGGTTTCCATGGCGCCCCCACGTACGGTCGAGTGTCGTATGAAGCAGAAGGATACGCTGGCGCACTTGGTGGGGGTTGTGACTGAAACGGATATGGCTGTGAGAATGCACCGTAACCGTTGGGCGAAGCCACACTGCCAGCTGAAGGAGGCGCGCTGTACTCATAACCGGAACCAGTCTGGGAGCCTGAAATCGAAGTGATACCTGTCTTCGCGCTTTGGGTAGGCGACTTCCCCGAACTAAGCGACTGCAGCGATGCGTTTCTCGAATCTTGGGTGTTGATTGACGTTAGGCTCGATCTTGACGCTTCCGCCTGCAGTTGAGGCTGGTGGGAAAATGCAGGCTCTCGCATGAAAGGACCAGTGGATGCAGAATTCATAAAAGGGTTGGGAGGTCCGGGCGGGCCCTCGGTACCGGGTCGTCCAACAAGGTTGGAAGAAAGGGAATGTGAAGGGGGCGCATGGTGAGCTTGTTGTGGAGGAGCCGAAGTGGGCGCAGGATACGGTAAATGGTTATCATTCCCCAGCGCTTCGTGAATTGACGGAAGCGATTGCCTTTGGGGCTGCGGTTGCTGTTTCTCCTTTTCCTCCTCAAGCGCACGCCGCGAATCCGGAGGCGATATATATCCAGCCTGCAAAGGAACCGAACCGGTCGATGTTGAGTAGGAATGAGGTAGGGGTTGTCCTGGGTACATGGCAGTCGGGCTCAAAAGTGGAGTCGGGGAGGAGGTAGGGACGGTTGCAACGGCGGGGTGTCTGAGGGCGTAGCTGGGTCCGTCTTTACCAAGGAATCCCAGTGCCGGTAGATGTTCCCTGGAATAAAGATAAAGATTTGTGATTAGCGCACTTGCTTTCGATCAACTGTTGTCTAGACATTTTACGGCAAGCCACAACAAGAGGCAAGCTCCGTGGGTGTTGAAAACCAAACATACCTGTGCCTGTGCTCAGCCTCCAACGACCCCATCACGCCAGTGGTTTAATTTGAGAGTTCGATGACGACTACCCGCAGTTTCATTCAACGCCAGTCACTACTGCCCAGCTGATTGATCAGGACCCTCTGTACTACTTCGAAGGAAACCCCGAATTGCGCCGTGAAAGGTGGTTGGTTGTGTGGGCTTTGACGGTGAAAGCGGCGAGGTAGTAGAGCGAAGCTCGGAGCCGAGAGGGATCAAAGTAATAGGCGCGGAGCAACGATTCGGGTTCCCAGTCTCTAAGTGTACCTTTCTTCCCGCGACTACCTGGTCTTAAAGAACCTCCTAGTAGCTAAGAGAAACTTGGGAGTGGTGAAGGGGGGATCAGTGCCGCGTCTCCCGTCACCTAGAGTTGTCGGGGAGGTGGTGGCGGTTATGGGGGGTGGGAAGCGATTATATCGGGCGAGATTTGAGCGAGAGGGAGTCGGAGTTTCGCTGGATCGGCCAAGAAAACAAACAAGCGACGGGGGCGGCGACTCGGAGTCAAGGCAATACTCGGAGGGTGCTCCGAGTGTATTAGTGGTGTCAAAGGACGAGGTGGTCAGTTAGTGACGCGATCGCGATTAGAATGGCCGCGATTGTTTGGGGGGGGGGGGTTTGCTTGTAGAGGGCGACCAAAAGAGTACGGCACGCACCCGCAGCGCGCAGCGAACAAGTCAGATCGGAACGGCCCTTTGAATAACCATCCGCCCCAGGTCAAGCCTTGCACAAGGATCCAAAGTAGCAGGTTTCGCAGCCAAATTTTCGAGTTTTCTTCACTTGAAGATGAATTTGACGGTGTTTGAGTTCGCGGGAGCGGCGGAGGCGCAGTGAACGCAAGGGATAGTAGAGATGAATGCGTCGCGTGGGAAGGGAGATGGTGGTTGGTTTTTTTCCGCGTAGACAGAACAACAAGGAGTAGAAAAAATAATAAATAAAAAGGTATAGGCAATATGGAAGCCAGATGACACCTGACAAAAAAAAGGTCGAAGGAAAGAGGTAAAGAATTTTTGATCGTGTGGAAGGGAAGAAATGCTTCACTGGAGCAGGATGAGAAGAAACGCGATCTCTCCCGAAGGGCTTGAGGGAAAGAAAGCTGGATACGGAGGAGATAAAATGTCAAGGGGGCGACAAGTGGGTAAAATAATGGAGAGGGTGATGAGATCGAGGATGTCTCGGGCAGGAAAGGAGTATCCGACTGCTTCCTCTTGGTTGGAATGCGAGAATTTCGAGAAGAGGGACGCAGGACGAGGCAAGTAGTAAATACCTACCAGTAGGATTGGGTGGTGGTGGTGGGCAGGGTAGGTGGAAGTAGGACCGGAAGAGGAAGAACAACAATGGAGAAGGAGCAGCGCCCGCAGAAGATTATAATAATTATAATGGGCTACAAATATAAAGACAATTATAATTATACTTAGCAGTCCCAGGCCCGCACACACACGAGATATGGGAGGATCCAAACAGGAGCTACTAAAACTACGTCGGCCCAGGACAGGACAGATGAGCTCAGACCTGGAAAATTAAAGAGACAGGCAGGCGGAGGAGCCAGAACGGACTATGAGATCGTCGAATCATACTGGCGGTCGTGACCTGTTTAAAGTTACGGCGAATTACAGAAGCTTTACGGGCTGCGAACTGCGGATCTTCGACGAAGTGTGGAGTGGGTTGGGATCATATTGGCGATGTGCGGATATCTTGGTGGGGAGCGATGGAGCCTTACGAGGGGGGGTGTCCCTGGCCCCGAGAATTTCTTTTTTTTTTCTTTTTTCTTTTCTTTTCCCCTCAGAGACCAAAAAAGAATTAAATTAATTAAACAAATGGGACAAAAGTGAATCTCAATACAGGTTCTCCACTTTTACTTACCCGTACCACACAGATTATTTTTTGTAGTTTTTGTACAGGAACGGTATTTCAGATGTACATCCAGTGTACCACCAAGTCAGCAGAAAAAAAAAAAAGAATTTAAATCTTCTCCTCTCCTATGTTATACCTAGTACTAGTAGCTTCTTGAATGTACAGATAAGTGTTTCACCCCTACTGTAGGTACCACTACCGCTGGGATCCTGCAATACCTAGTGACGACGCACCTCTCTTCAACGGATACAGATATTTACCCAGGTAGAGTTTCCTGCTGTATTCGACACCGATCATGATTTGGCCAATACAGCCAAGAATATACCTACTACACCTTACTAAGGTACCTACGATCGGGTGGATAAATAGTAATACATAGTATGACAATCTGATGGTACTGGGTTGGCGCGTAATTTTTAACCGTAAGTTGAAGCCGAGTACTCCATACTGTACTGTATGACCAGGTATCGTGTAATTTACTTCTAATAGATAGGCCCGGAGCCGAGCAGCGGCGAGAGGAAGTGATGTGGTGCTAGCGGAGAGGAGCAAAACAGGAAATAAAAAATTGCTACGGAGCATAAGTGCCAGGTACCTTGGGCTTCTTATGTTGATGGAAGGCTATTTACTCAGTAATAACAATGAAGATCCAAAGACCGCACGCTACACAATTACGGGAATGCTCAATGGGAATAAATTGCAACCCCGATCGGACTGATAAAGTAAAAGACATGGGAATGTCACCATGAAATCTAATGTCCTGCGACTATATATATATATTATCCAAAGTCTTCAATTCTTGAGCACGAAATAGTCTATCACAGACACGGTACATTGGCCGGAAAACGATGGGTTCAAAACTAATAGGAGAACTGTATACCTAGTCCGAGACAAGGAAATATTTCATCTTGGAAGAAACGCGATCTGACGCGACAGTGGCCTTCGCCATGATCATTGATATAGAATCGATGGTTGACTAGTTATACGATCATAACCACCCCTCTCGTAGATGGTCTTTTTCTTTTCCTTCCCTTTCCCGCATTTTCCTGGTGGCTGCCATCAATATCTGACATACTCTCCAGGCACTTCATTTCCTTGGCTGCTGCTACTGCTAATGTTGCTGCTTGGGAAGTACTGCTACATAGAAAAGGAAGTACACGCCCAAATCCATGCCTTGTGGATATAAAATAAGTGGCGAGTCTACCTGCATGGTCAACGTGCTAAGTAGCCCGGGAGAAAGCCAGACATGGCCTAAGTCATCACCTTGTTGCGTAGGTACCCATGTAGTATAAGTATGTCGACCAAAACCTCATGTGCAAATGTAGTGGTGGTGGGGTAGCTTACTTTCTCTCTACCAGGTACTTTTTTTTTTTCAATCGGCTCAAGTTTGCGACCCATAGCGAACCGCCAAGTAAGGCACCAACAACCAACCTCAGCAACAGCTCAACCTGACGAATATTGATAAGATCTAGTGCGATCTTGTACCGAATATCTAAGATGCGAAGAGTGCTTGGTTGCAATTTGGTCAAAGAGACCCTGAAACTACTGGAAAGACAACCCATTCCCGACTAGCATTGTATGTATCCTTGATGATTCGCCATTTTTTCCAGGCCAACAAGGTTCGAGACATTATTGGGAAATTGTGCACATGCCCCCAAAGATAGACCATACTTCCGGGGAAGAGGCGGATGATCAGGACACGACTAGGGTGGTGTAAACGGACTTGTGTGAGATACTAGAAGATACCTGATATGGTGTCTCCTCTTTGGCCCAGATCTGGAAACAATCCCAGTGGGGAAAGTTAATCGCACATCAGCAAGACGCATAAACACACACACACACACACACACACACACTGACACAGAAGCATGTCCATCCCCAGCTGCAGCTAGCCCAAAAAATTGCGCCGTTGGATCGTAACTGGCGGGGATCTGACCATTCACATCATAGCGCAGTACAACCCCCCAAAGCTAGCTGCAGCCATGGGCAGATTTGCTCCCGCAGAGGAATGAATATTCCCTACCCCTGGTCCTCCATCCCAAAGCTCGTGATCTAAGACATATATATCATGCGGGAAATGGAGAGTGTGTCGCAATAGAATATAAATTAATTATTATTCAGCGGAAAGTATCCAAAGGCTAGTAGCTATAAAAAGGAGGGTGAGACAAATCAAAAAGAAGGAAAAAGAAAACGCTAGATAAGCAGACTCCGTATTTTACCTGTGCCTGCGTGGTTTGTTCCATGGTACAGTACAACACTCCCCGCTTTCCCTTGCTCGAGATCTCGGGCATAGCCGTTTGTGGGTGGCACCATCGTCATCATCTTCCACCAGTCTTTCTCTAGTACTCCGTACCCTTCTTGAGAATATCCTGCTTTGTCTTCTTTTTCCCTTTCTTCAAACCCTCTCCCCCTCCCTTCTCTCTCAAACACACACAAACGCATATTTCTCATGTATTTGTGATCCTCCACATCAGAGATCCGTGTTTTTTCTCTTCTGCCTTTTCTTGGGTTTTGTCTGCTGCTCCCGGGGTTGCCTCCCGATCAACGATGGGTCTAATGTCGAACTAGTGTGAGAATGTTGGTAATAGCGGTAGACTATTGAATCTGGTGGAACCGAAGAACATCCTTTGCTGTAGAACGTCAACTTTGGGGTAAATCCGTATAATGATGCATTGAGAATTCGAAGACTCTAATGCCAATGGAAACTTGACCCCCGACGTTACTTACCCCATAGAGAACCGATGGACATGAATTCCGATCGATCGATCGCTTAGTACCCAGATGGTAGCTGCAACAGGTACTGCTAGTACCTTAGTAGCTGAGAAGGTACACTAACAATGTGCACCTAAGTTGACCACACCACAGGCAGCATACGGAGTACAGAGTACGTGCTTATCAATAGCCTTCCTTGGATCGGACGATTTCCCCAAACAGATATCGTGTCGTATGCCCGATCGTCTCAAAAACCGCATCCCCACCAAATTAGGACACGCTCCTAGACGCCGGACCCGAAGAAATCATGGTTGACAAATCTTGGGAGAGCTAGCTTGGTTACATCTAAATCGTACAGGAGTATCATTAATTTTGAACCATGATTCAATAACATGTCGAATATAGGGGTTGCATAGTCGTTTACATTCTTTACCTGTTCAACCGGGCAGTGGCAGTGGCAGTGGCATGCACGATGGGGCCTTGGGAGACGATCCATCTCCGAGCCGAGATCTGGGCCACATGATTAAGGGATATCCAACGAACGGGCGCGTCATTTATCGTTGCAGGCATCAGATCGCCACCAATCGCTATTATAGTCAGTATTCGGCAGGAATAGTGGCACATGGGCCTTTCACGTAGCAAGCAAGTGTGATGTGGTGCGGGGTTAGTTATATAAATACCCAATTTCAATTACCTCCGTTACCAGCCTGCTGGAATTGCCAGGGTGTACTTGAGTGGATTATATTATCTCCCCTTTCTTCCCTAGGGGGGGAAGAGAGGGGCTGGGGAGGGAGGGAAGGATTTCTGAAGACACTTTCCTCCTCAACTAATCATGGCCTTCTGTTAGGGTAACAAGTGTTTTGTATATACTCTGTACACAAGCAAATCATGTATGTAGTACGTTGTACAGGTAGGTACTCGATGCAAAGTCGATGCAGAGGACTGGCTTTCGACTCCAGCCCTTTGCGGCTGCATGCACGAATTTCAATCGGCATGTATTGATCACTGTACGGGCTACTGATTGTGGTATTTAGCGTGATCCTCTCCTTTCACATAGCTTCCACATAGTATGTAGGTACCTAAGTAGGTACTTACTACATACCTAGGTAGCACAGATGTTAGAGGTTATTTTTTTTCTTACTTTTTTTTTTTATTTTCGCATCATCCCCCAGGGACGGACGAAGCAATGGCATGCCTGTACATTGTTGTTGGATCCATTGCTTGAACATAACCGACGCGATCCGTCACTCAGCGGCTCAGATCTGGTTAGTTTGCCGGCATTACTCCTAGCACCATGGAACCGACATCCTGCCCCTCAAGTTTATCGTACATATACACTTTCGATCGTTACGAGGCCCCAGTCCCGCGGGCCGTTGCTGCGTATTACCTGGTAATGCATGTCGAATACGCACTATAGGAATACGTACTATAGGCAGATGGATGGCAGGAAGGCGCTGATTTGCAGTTACGAGTCAGACAACGATTGAAAACATTAATATAAATTGTGGGCATCTCCATGACTCTCCATGCGTCCCATGACGCTGCAGTCCGATGTCTGTCCGGAAGTCCTCGGCCCCCCCCCCTGTAAGGAAACAGCCAGGGCCACGCTCGTCCACCGGCGCTCCATGGAGATTAACTTAATCTGCAAGCTTCCCTCCCACACCACCACCACCACCCATCCCCCCCCCCTTCATTATTCTGATGTGGTGGTTTGCTAGTAGTTTAGCCGTTGAACCACGTCGCCTCCAGCTTGACATGGCGACACGCACGGTCACCCTCTCAACCTCCCAACAAACAAACCCATGAGACGGGATGGATTGACGCCCCATCGAATTCCGCGAAGCTGCACCTGCAAGATCTCAAAACCACCCAAGTACGCAATGCATTGGCACTTAGCGTCACAGAACTTGGCTCTAGAGCCCAGAAAGTGGATTGATCCTGCGAATTACACACTGGCTGGCTAGTTTAGGAGAAGCCGTCCTGACTCTCCCAAGCACCCAGCAGATGGCGCTAAAAATATTCCTTGAGGGATCAACTGGAACGGTACCATCTTTACCAGAACTGGCAAGGTTACGGTAACTACTTCCGCCAGGTCAAGCGCATGGCGTCGGAGATCCCAGGCGGTCGATTCATTTACGGATTATTGGAAGACTTTTTCCTTTTTTCTTTCTGCCTGTCAACCTGTTCCATCGATCGCTGACATGTGATGTTGGAGAGATCATGACCTCATCCTACAGCCATCCCAATCGTCTTCCGTGCCAATCCCCATGGGCTTTTCTGCGATAGTGCCATCCGGGTCCAGGAGATCAAGGAAAGCAGAAGCTATGACGCCAGCCTTTCATTTTACGCTCGGTACTTTTTGTCATACCGTTACCGGTGCACAGACAGGCGGCAGCAGCGACCCGTAATGGATCTAACGGTCGCCCAGAACTCAACCAATCCAATCAGACTCGTAACAAGTTGAGGGGCGTTTTCCGTCAAGGAACTGAAGAAGAATCAACACCTAACTAAGTCATACCTTAGGTACCGCTACCTGTTTGTACAGTGTACATATGTACTAGGTACTACGGATGAGCTATTAAGGTACAAGGCACCTCTAGTATCGCATCTTCCTTCGTCTCTCGCGAGTCATAGCGGACTGACGGTACCTGTCTTCGTCCCCATGACAGTTTTGGCGCGACCCATGGTTGTTTCATTCAATCCTTGACGGGGAGGGGGAGGGAGTTTGCATCTAAGAATACGTACCTCAGGACTGCGGACGAGACCTCACTGCACCCAAAGGGAAGGTTCTCCGTCTTCGAATTTCAGCGACATTTAGGCTCGATATTGTGGGATGCTATTCGCCTACGAGGACAACGGGCTCCGCTTCTGATCCCTGAGTGCGTGAGGGATGTTGTGGCCCGGGGCCGGGGCTCTCGCTAAATACTCAATACGGGCTAGTTTACGGTCTGGAAATCTTTGCGCTCTCGATGTCGAGTCACTCAACTTACATTGATTGGATAGCGCAGATGCATTGACCAACAAGCTTATACTGGTACTGCTCGCCTTAGCCGGTTTCGATAAAGTGACAGCTTGCGTAGCAGTACCGACTATCTACGGAGTACAACCGGCGAGACTTGGTCTCCAGCCCCTCTACGCTAACCCGGTGGCTAGCCGTACCACCGTATACAGCGCCGCAGATACACGATGTCCCAGACTAGGTAGGTGAGGAGCTCCCATCGACCCAAAGCCAGCGAACAACACGGCTGAAGCTCGGATATCCCGACGATTTCATCTGCAAGAACATATAGTCAGCGGCAACGCGAGGTACTGTCAGCCGTATATCGAACATGCCGCTGGCGTTGGAGTGAATATTTCTGATGTTGACCGGCCTGTATGCGAGATCTAGGACTTAGGATCGGAGCAGAATACATCACTTTTCGGATCATCGACTTCCACCGGAGCACGGAGTACGGAGTACGTGAGAGGTATTGTTGCCTGTTTGATGTATATGAACAGCATTTCTTACCTTTGCAAAGCGATGACGGAGCTCTTGAAACCGATTCATCCCTGGTGAGTTTGGGAACAAGTCATACCCCGACACAACGTATAGCATTGAGATCATGGTACTCCCTACAGAGAAAGACCTCGATTCAAACCCCGAGGGCCCGAAGATCATGGCCGCTACGGAGTACTATCCTGACTGACATCCATTTTGACACTCATCCTCGGCTCTTTAATTAGTGGGGACATGTCCCACCCAAGATTCACCGACACATTGCAATGAACTTATTTTCTCCTCCTATTCCGTATGTAAAAAAACACATCATATTGGATGTTGTCTCTGACATGACAGTCAAGTGCCGGACCTTGAAGCAGAATCGGCATCACAATCTCATTGTTGTCATGCGGAATCCCGTCCGTGTTACCGCATCTTGTGCAGGAAAAGCGGGAACAGTGCTCGAGCATGAGATGGGCCAATTGAAGCATATGAGCAAGTTTCCCTACAAATCGAGTCCCGACAAACCACTTTGCAGGGAAGTTCTCTCGATCTGTGTGGCAAATGGCTTCTTGTCCAGTCTATGGTCCTTTAGCCCACCAAAAACAGACCTTTCACCGAGGGGGTGGGGGAAGGACAAGGGACAGTCTTCGAACAACCAGACGATTGATAATGTATTACGGAATCCTGTGCTGCTCTTCTACACTCACCCTTTATAGCCAGCGCTTCACAAATAAGTACGCCATGCTAGATACTACCTACTAGATATACGGAGTACCATGGGGGGTTTTTGTTCTACCGTGGCTATGGATCCATATGGATGGGATGGAGCCCCAGAACCGGCCAACGAAAAGGCTAGTCGAGGCTGGAGGTCGAAGGTTCAGGTACTATTGTGACAGAGCACCTTCCAAATTGGGTGCTCCTTGAAGAGATACCCAACAGGACCAGAGAGAAAAAATAGTAGTAGTGAGTGGGAAATGGTGGACCGACAGGCGGGTTATGGGATCGACAGCGCCAAAAGCGATGGATCAGGACCGTTGCGACCGTTGGTTTGCAGTTGCACCTCGCTAACGCCTTTGCTGACTGCCCTCTATCAAAATCAGGATAAGTACAGATAATGGATACCGGCACTGGGGAATGGGGTGGGACCGGGTCCTACCACAGTATGATCGCTCAAGGACGATCGAGTCATTCTCTACACCAGAGAGGAAGGGAGCGACAGCGCTTCGACCATTATGGCAAGAGTCTAAACCGCGAGAGTTCGCATCTTCTGCACCAGATGTTTAGTGATTTGCCCATTAGCGCGTCAATATGGGGTTTCAGGCCCATTGTTTTTTATGATTGCTCCTACTATTGCCTGGCCAGCCAGTTCGCCATCCGAGTCGACGCTGGAGCAGAGAACACAGCACAGGTCCCGTCTGCATTTGTGCGGAGTCTCGCCCCCCCTGGTTCTCTCCAATCTGAATCGCATTCGCTGCTGCCTAGTGCTTGAGACATTGGAGAGAAAGAAGACATCTCCCCCAACCCAGTAGATATACACGTTCTCGGAAGGAATCGACCCTCCGCGTAATATAAGGCTTACTAATGCGATCATGAATCGCGAACTAGCCGCTGCCAGCTACTCCGTATTGTGAGTCGATTTTGGGTGATATGGGCCGATTGCACATGAGCCAGCAAGCGTCTGAAAAACAAAAGGGAGGTCAAGGCTATGAGTCTATGAGTCTATGAAGGACTCGACTCCAGACTCGGAGTCAGGAGACTGAGGAGAGCTCCAGCGCCAAGCACTAGCGGATCCATCCCGGTAAACTCTCCGACGACTTGACCCGAAAGAGAAGGTTGACAGCTGGGGTTTCGTCAAAAAACGGCTGAACCCGATGCCTCGTCTTTGGACTCCCGACTCAGGCCTGCTCCCGGTACTCCGTCCTGACTACTCACCTGGGTTTCCTGCAGGTAGACCGATTGGGAGGGCCTTTAGTGCAGCTAACGGGCGCCCACCGACACAGTCAGGATCCCCGTATCGAGCCAGAGTCAGATCTCATCACCATCTCATATTGACTTCATCTGTAGGTAAGACCGCCCGCTTCTGTTCTGCGTAAGAAAAAAAAGTACTACGACAGAGTACAGACAGCCAACGCTTGGACCATGGAAGCCGAAACCAAACTTTGCAAATTGCAACTCTCTCAACTCGCTCCATTCAGTGCGAGGTCTCGTCAACAACAACAACAACAACAACAACAACAACAATAACAAACAACCTTTCCAGATTTCCTTTCCGCTTGGTGGCGTCAGGACTCCGTCGTAGTAGTGTGGTACTATCGCAGGTATGCACCCCGTACCGCTGCCGAGGATAGCTCGGTCGCCTCCTTCCAAGTAAGGAGACAAAGGAATCGAGCGGCCCACCGGGCGTTCATTCCTCGTTCCTCATTCCTTCAGCCCCCTGGAAAACACGTGAAGTGGACCATTCTTTATCGGCTCCATCCAACCTCCCGCCTTTGGCGTACCAAGATTCGACTGGAGAAACCCTGTCCGAGGTGACGAATGCGATACATGCCCTGTCAATCATCCCAATCCTTACAGCTAAGGTATGTCCCACCTGGTGTGGCTGTATGCATGGTTGACAGGAGCACTACGCGCAAAAACAGACGGTGGATGATGATAAGGTAGCCACTGATCAGCATCGCCTGGGACGGCGCATCGCATACAAGCCTCGATGAAGTAAACCAGCAAATCATTAATCAAGATGATGATCATCATGTTAGGAAATTTCAGGCGTGAGATCCCTTTGCAGTCCTTTCAGCATCATCTTATTGTCATACTCAAGCCCAACAGCATCAACAACAACCATGACAACAATAATAATATGGGTCGTTATTGTATCTTGCCGCGGAGAAGTCTTGCCTTGCCGCCTTCTCTCACTCAGAATTTTTCGCCGCCTCTTTTTTTAGTATTTTGTTTATTTTTTTTTTGTGGCCCTGTCGCCTCATCTTGGCCCGGCCGCAAGACGGATCTACTTCGGCTTTCGAGCAATCACCGAATCGAGTCGTAAGCAAATCCCGGGAACCGATGACAGATCTATATTTACACGGCAGTATTATCATGTAAGCATGTATTAATCTTGAGCGCCTGCTTTTCCAATCCTAGTAGGTGGTAATTGACCCCGACGAGGCGGTTGAAATTGGGCGGGCGTGGGCGATCCACCGGGCGCGTTCAACCAGGGGGGCGAAAATGAACATCTCCAGCATCATGAATCATGTAGCGGCGCTGGCCAGACGATCATGATCGCACCATACGGCGAGATCGGTGTGGTGTGTGTATGTGTGTGTATGCGTGGACGGGAGTTTGCAAACCTCGCTCCTTTTTCGAGCCATCTCCAGAGTCCAGCGAACACTTGCGGGTTCGGAGGCCGCGGCACGCAGATACTGCCTTTTCCAGGCCGTTGAACGTTGGCTTTCCCCACTGTATCGATGGACCCGGCTGTGGTGTGATCCACTTCTGTGGTGGTCAAGACTGAGGGGGACGCATCAGCGCCAATCCCGAGGTTTAGTATGCATGGTCGCAAAAGTACTATGCGATCCAGATGGGAGGTGCATGTTCCTATCATTGGCAGCATTCCAGGTGAGTTTCACTGGTGTGATAGTGGAAGGGCTGGGACAAGAGAGAAAGAAAGTATCGTGTTGTTGTTGTGGTGGTGGTGGTGGTGGTGGTTGTGTATGGCGGATGTTTCCGCATGTGCAAAATACCCGCTCAAGGAGGATCGAACAGAGAACCACCGCCATCCGCCATCCGCCATACTGCTAATTGCAAGTCGCCGCTACCTTCTTCTCCTCTTCCTCCGCCACACTCAGTAGTGCAACTCCCGGCAGGCTGGATCTGATTGACGGGGTTCAGGTTCGTGGCTTCATTTAGCTAGTTCCCAGGTCATCCAAATCCTCCGTCCCGTCCGTCTGGAAGCTACAGAATAAGCTGATCGATGGACCCCGTCAAATTTACCCGGCAAATAAGACTAAACGGTGGGTACCTCTCTGCCTTCTTCCAGAACAGAACCAATCGAGTGATAATGGGAAGAAGGGGGAAAAAAAAGGGGGCAACTATCCCAAGGATTCTGCGCATCAAATCCGATATGGAGTCGCAGTGGCACTTGATTTCATAACGGTCGCTGATCGACCCGCCGTGGTTGGGAGTGGACAGCTCTCTCCCACTCCCATACCGCACGCATTCCGACTCCAGACGCTAGGCAGTGGGAAGGTGTGGTGTCTGCCGTCTATCTAGACTGTGGTTTAGCGTCTGGCTATCGACCATCCATCGCCATCGGCGGATTAATCGGCGCGCGGATCTTAGGCAGGTGGTTGGGGCTGAGATATATGCGCTTTGAGGTGTCTATCAGTGGTTGCTTATGGGCAAGTACCACGGAGATGACAACCGGAAGGGTGTTAGTAGCTGAGCGTTAAATGAATCGCCGTTGGCTGTCCGTCTCCATATTATAGTAGAGACCCGGCGTCATGAAGTCATTAGTAGTGTTGTTGTTATTATTATTATTATTATTATTATTTTTTTTTTATTATTGACTTGGCTCCTGTGAAGAGTCAGCGCGCGTTGGGCCTTGGGGTGTGGTGTTGGGACGCTCCCTGTTCCGACGCCGAAGTCATGCCGTGGGCTTCTGCCGACAACTCTGGACCCTATAGCGCACGGATTTATTATCATTGGTAGATACTCCGTAGTCTTGTCTTGGTACGCTACTGACGTCCGACAACGTGGTGAAAGGCTGGAATAATAGAGTGAATATCCACCTCCGTTGAAGGCAGCTATATTTACCAACGCTGTAAGTATATTAATTTGCGAGTCAGGGAATGCTTACAAACCAGCCCGCAAAAGGGGCTGCGTGCCTCACTCACTAAGGCCAAGCAAAAGAACAAGATGATGAAGAAGATCGCATTATGTGAGTAAGGGGATGTATTTTGTAAATTTTTTTATTCCCTTATGTGCAATTATCGTACGGCAATAGATGGAAGGTGTAAAAAAAAATATATATGATATATATACTATATATATATTAAAAAAAAGAGGGCTCATTCTGTAGAGTTGCAGCCACGGAACTGCGTCCGCGCGCAATTGGAACAAAAACCCCAATCTATATAAGCGTACACCAATGCGCCACAGGCGACATCATAGGCCCAGCCAGGTCGATACGAATATGCTAGCTATAGTAACTACTAACTACAGGGCAATCAATCTATCTTGTCATCATGTGAGCAAGCAAGTAAGCATAAGTAAATTAATAGCATCCATCGAACTTGGATCGAAGTCCGATTCCAACCCTACCAGAAAAGTACACTTGCACCGGTACTAAGCCCCCTCCCCCCCGTCCTCTCTCACCCCACCACTTAACACTAGAGACACGATGTAACCTGATCCCGATCGATCATGCCAGAATGCCATATGGCCATGAGATATGACCTCGATCGCGTCAATTTATAGTAGCTTATGTTGACTTTATTGCTGACCTACCAGACCTACCTACCGGTTAGTTGGTTTGGGGTTGTATTACGTGGTACTATATAGTTATCCATACATGCGTCTGTATGGTTACCTACGTACTAAGGTAAGTAGGTACTGAACACAGTTATGTTTTTTTTTTATTTCTTTGCCTGTGTTACTGTAGGTATGTAAAAGGCCCACTCAACATCCAGTTGTCATCTTCCCAGGGCCGTCACAGTAATTGGTACTATACATACGTTGAAATTCATGCAAACTGACTGCATGGCTGGATCGGGAACAGTTCGAGATGCTTTTTCTGCTTCGCCACCAACCAAGGTACCGGTACCTGCCACGCCATAGCCCATAGGTACTAGTATGTCCATACTGGGTAAGCAGTAGGCAGGTCGACGATGCTGGATGAGGATCACTGCATCCGCTGGACCGATTTAGGAATCTCACTCACCCCAATCGGTTCCTGTAAGTTATGAACTGTATGTAGTATTTCGCTGGTAAGGTATGTATGTATGCGTCATGTCACATTGTATGTTCCAGAAGTACTGTATGTCGACGTGTATGTCACTGCTGTGTACCACCAGAGGTTGCAACAACGATCAGCTGCAGACAGCGGCCTGCCTGCCTCCCTCCCTCCCTGCCTGCCTGCCTGCCTGCTGGGAGGAAGGCAGACAGTCATCGACGATCGAGCATCAGATAATATGTACGTAGGAAGCCTTACATAGGATGAGTACAAAATGTCTGTTGACTTGCCTAACTAGTTTGATTGTGAGTATGTCGGTGTAGAGGCCATTCACATATGATATTCTGGAATACCCCGTTTCCTATGGAGCATACCTTATGTATATATCACACGCAGACTCTCGACACCCACAGGACCAAGCAAATAGTATCTAGAACCACAATCCATCCCATCCATACACAAGAGCGTCGACTCTGCCTTATCTCTCTCTACGTACTTACTACTTACCTGTCTCTCTATCTGCCCACCTGTCTACCTTTGCTCTGCTCTTCCCCGTATGTACAGTACTTTTTAACCTCCTCCATTCTGAGAACCTCAAATAATACATACACCCACCCATACCTTAGGTACAGTATACACATTGCAACTATACAACCGCGCAAGCCCCCCCCCCCCCCCTCCTCTCGTAACTGCAAAAAGGAAATTTCAATTACACCCAGCCTGGATCCCAACCACACACGTGGACTGGAACCACGGATACACCCGGCTTATGGGATCTAGACTGAGCAAAGAAGCTTCCAATGACGGGCTGTTGAAACCAGATCTTGGTACGGAGTACTAATGGAAACTGTCATCGCCAGATTAGCTTCTTTCTTTCTCCTTTTCTTCACTTCCCATCGTTATTTTTTCCGTTTTGGTTTATTAATTAATTCATTTTATTTTATTTTATTTTATTTTTGGTTTTCTGTTTTCATTTTGGGATGGATTCGGTATAGAGGATAGATAGATACTCCGTAGACATACGTACCTAGACTTACTACTCCGTACTACAACCTATCTAGGTAGGTAGGTAGGTACCTAGGTATGTATGACTACTATCTGTCCTGCCCCTCACTAGTAGTAGGTACGGAGTAGATACTTACTCACTTAATCAGCATCGCCATCGCGCGCGGACTTATAATTAGAAACGTCGATAAACCGGCGACCCGAAGAGTAACTAGGATCTAGTCAATATTACGGAGTACTCTGGACAAATCTGCAGCGAGTAATTAAACATTCTCAAAAAATAAACAAAAAATAAACAAAAAATAGGGAAAAAAAAAGGCACAGTAGATAGTACTTAGAACCTATTATGTGACTAAAACGCAGGGCCAATGTTTAGTTAATGATTAATGATGATAGTATAAGCAAGAAAGAAAGAAGATCCCGCAAACGAGGTCCCCGAGAGAGATTTGATGGATGGGATGGATGGGGCCGGCCGGACACTGGCCCAGAGACAAGACAGGAAGACCCCCTCCCCTCTCCTTAGTCCTTTCTAGCTCCTGCTGGCATCGCGTCCTCCCCCCCCCCTCCCCTTCAACCGTCAACGCCACTGGAATCTGGATGGATACTAGATACCACTAGGACCTAGGAGCTCGTCAATGACAACCGGGTTAATTTGATTACAACGATCGCGATCGGCAACCCTCAATCAAAGGAACCGCGATGGACTAACAATCTAACTAGCCGACTAACTCAATAACTAACTAACCAACCTTCCTAGTCCTTCCGTGCTTATTGTTGAGTTTGGTTTGGTTTGGTTTGATTTGGTTTGGGTTGGGTTGATTTCCTTTCCCGCGCGCTCCTTTCGAACACACCGGTGGGTGGTTGGGGCCCCGGTGGTGCCTGTTTGTTGATTTGTTCTGGCAGGTGTCTAGTCTGTCTGTGGCTGCCAAGTTGTTCTGGAATGTGTGTCCCTTGGATGGATGGGCTCGGGTTGGGAGGGGGTTCGTTCCGTGGTTGCGGTTCTGCAATCAGGGAATTTTTACCGAACGTCATTTTATTTTATTTTGTCCTTCGTTTCTTCTGTCTGTTAGCGATTCTTTCTTAGACTAAGACTACTCTTACTTTAGTATGGTTGGGGTTTCGTGGAACAACCTCGTGTAGAGATCGATCGTCTTCTTCATCCCCGAATTCTATCTACAATAATGTCGGAACCATTCGCGGTGGTTCTTTGGATTGAGCCCAATGATGGATGATGGATGGATGGATGTTATGGAGCATTTACTTTAGGATAACTAGCAACTAACAATTAGTATTGTTGTTGTTGTTGTTGTTATTATTATTATTATTATTATTATTGTCACTATTATTATTGTTATTAGTCGAAGACTATAACGCGCTCACTGCTTACCTACCTAGGATGAATGAACATCGAGCGTTGAAGACTCCCCGAGGGAGAAGGAATAATAGATCCCCGAAAAGGACCCCTGGCTTGCCTATCCGGAAAAGGAAAGGATATGACAGCTTTGACAGCCACGGGGAGAGGGGGTTTGCTCCATCGACGTCAATCGTGGATCCGCTACCATTGGCTTTTTAATTCCAGGGGGGGGGGGGGGGGGGCAATTCGATTTCCCGGCCTTTGCTTGCCCTTTTTTTTTGTCTCTTTCTCTTCTTCTCCATGCATCCACCCATCCATCCATATGGGGCTGAACGGAGAACTTTGGACAATAGACTTATTCACTACGGAGTATTTATTTGGGTGGTACAATCGGGTGTTCGGTCTCGATATCGTATGATAATTAGATGCTACTAGAATAGTCTAGTCTGTCTCCGAAGGTCCGGTTATAGTGTGCGTAGTGAGTAAGTAAGTAAGTTAGTAAATAAATGGATCCATTAATTCGGAAGATGTATGTATGTATGTACTTGGTTGAACCTAGATACTACTAACTACTGCCTACTATGAACATGCTTGGACAGAAATGGATGGTGGCAGTGGTTGGTGGAGGTGAATAATGGCCAGCCCGACTTGAGGAAAGATCCGCCCCTGGGAACTGGATCGGGACGGCTTCGGCATTTGCTTTTCCCTCCCATCCATTCATCCATTGTTCTTGACCTTTCTTCGGTTTTATTTTATTTTATTTTATTTTAATTCCCATTTTTTCTTCTTCTTTTCTCTCTGAGAGGGGGGAGGGGAAGAAGGAGGGGGTGGGGGGGATCTTGGCTTGATACCTTACCTTGAGACGACGATATTGTCACAACGGGGTACGTCCTAGGTACATTGCCCCTCGAACCGAGTGATGGGTAATAACCTAACTACTACTCGAGTATCCGCGCTTCTCGTCATACAACCTTCGATGATGATGGTGGTGGTGGTGGTGGGCATCCTTGACTTGTAATGCATCATGCATGGATGGACATCCCGCTACTAGTAATTTGTACCTAATGGTGGTGGTGGTGGCTCCAGTCTCGAAACTTGGTACCGATCTACATACATACATCCTCCAGATGGGAAATCGCGGCGGATACGGGGTCCGGGTTGATGCATGAGCAACTGATCTGGATTTTGCTTCTAACCGAAGAATAATGGATGGACAGCCACCACCCACCACCCACCACCTATGTACCCTGGCTAGATGCGCTCGATCCTCCCCTGTTTGCTTCACCATATCTCGTAGGCCGCATACATACATGGTAGAATGGGGAAGTAAAAAAAAAGCTAAAACGCACGGGCTTCGACATGGTAGGTAGCTTATCGCCAGTACGCACTCGCCACGGAATTGATATAATCGATCCCCTCTTTTCGCCACGTGTCTGGCTCCATATAGCTCGTGACATTAGCATCAAAGACCAGATCAACTGGCTCATCCTTTCCGTACGGCTGCCACCGAACACTCGAGTTCTTGATGCCCGAGTTGGGGTCTAAGTCGTGGATGAACGACGCCCACATGCTGGTCATCAGATTGCTCAGCTGTACGTAGGACTCGGGCATCCCTGCGAATGGCTTTCCGTAGTGGTACCCAAGGCCGGCGATGTTGTTGAACACAAAGGAGACTTCTTCGAAGTGAGTGGCGCCGGACAGGATCGGAACGTCCGCCCCTCGCATGTTGAACCGATAGCAGTATGCCGTCGTGGAAGTCTCCGTCCACGCCTCACACTGTCGACGCCGGTTGGCATGCATCACGTAGTCTCCTGCGTATGCGCATGTGCGCCGCCACTGATAGCCCTTGGATGGGACTCGAGCGGACCCGAGAAACTCGGGGATGCCCAGTGCTGGATCGTCGGGATAGAGCTGCAGGATCTCATTGGCGATGGACGAGGGCAGCTGGAAGCCAGATTCGCCATCTGCGATGGGGTTAGTCAAATCACCTCTCAGGATCCTCCCAGGATCCTCCCAGACGTCCGCTGATCATCATGCGTACCTGTAAGATATGCATAGAATTCCTCCGTTGTATTGATCCCCGTGGGCCCAAACGCGGTACCCTCGTCGGTATTGGTCCCTGAAATGATGGGAACTTTGACAAATTTCTGTTTGTCTAGCTGGAGACTGCCCCAGTCCCTGATGAGATCGCCATCGACTATGGGCCCAAAGTTGTAATCCGACTCGCCGTCAGTGCCGTTGAGAACGGCATTCAGTTCCTGGAAGGGAACCTCGCGCAGACATTGCAACGAGTCTGCCACGCCCGAGCAATTGACTTTGGCTGCAAGGTCATCGTAAAGGGTCTGATATCCTGTGTAGTTGCCTGGGCTCGCTGGGATTGTTCCTCCCGACTCCATGATCGCTGCGCGGAAGAGACCGTCATCCCTCCCGCCGTATGCTGCAAGGTGGTAACCGACAGACATTGCTCCGGCTGACTCCCCCCAGATGGTGATCTTATCTGGATCCCCTCCAAATGCCCCGATGTTCTCCTTTATCCACTGGAGCGCCAGTCTCTGGTCCCTGATGCCTAGGTTGGTGTTGCCGGTTCCCCAGACTTGGCTGGAGCTCAAAAATCCCCAGGCGGAGAGGCGGTAGTTAAGGCTTACCGCGATGAATGGCTTCCCTATGATGCGAAGATATCGTGTTAGACAACAATGTTTCCGTCTGTAGAAGATGACGCACCGATCTTGTATGAGTTGGCCACGATAGCCGACATGTTATAGCGCTGGTCGGCACTGGAGCCCTCAAAGAAGCCACCACCATGTATCCAGACACCAACCGGAAGCTCCGAGCTCTCAGTGACCGAGGAGTCACGAATGACGTTCAAGGTGAGGCATGCTTCAGCCTGAGGATACCAGATCGAATCGGTCTAACAGCTCCTTGTGTCAGATCCGAGATTAGAAGACTTCCAGGGAGATACCGCCCACTTACCCCGTATCCCACACAGATATGAGAGTACTCCTTCGCGTCTCGCTCTCCATCCCAACTTTCATTCAACGGCTGAGCAACCGTAAACCGCAAGTCACCAACAGGCTGCTGAGCGTACGGCATGCCCAGAAAGAAATCTTGCTGATAATTCGCATTCCTCACACCGACATACGTACCATTCTGGACACTAGCAGTGGGGCTGGAGGTGGTGGTTGTTGGAGCCGCTGTCCCAGCGACAACCAACGCAAGAAGAGCGCCAGCTTTTTTGAACATCGTGGAATCAATGGATAAGGCCTCTCAGCTATCCGAACTTGCCCAGATAGCAATTGAAAGCCCGAAGAGGCGGCCCACCATCCATTATATGAAGAAGGGTCCAACATTGCGGGGAAGGCAGGGATGAATGCACCCCGGAGAATTCGGCCCACAGCGTCTGATATTAGCTCCGTCAGTAAAAACGCCCACCCCGGAATACGTGGGGTTGGATGCGGGGAACAGTCCTCTGTTGATTTCCACTTCGGGCAAAGCTGGTTGCCAAGGTGTGGAGATTGGGGGTCATAGGACACGGGAAAGACACTGAGCTCGTGGAGACGATGGCATGTTGGCGAACAGTGCCCGCGTCCTGGTTTGCAGATGTGCCGATGATTTGCCGGCGCGTGGTAGGATTGGGGAAGTTGCACGAGGACGGCTGGATGGCGCAGGATCGCACAGGAGCGCGAGCTTGCGGAGATGAGGAAAATGTCGGTCACTGGTGACTCACGGCATGCATTACCGGCATCTGCCCGGAAAAAGTCAACTGCTCCTGCAGCACTGTTCCCTCGAGACATCAGCCTATTTGGCAAATAAAGAGGGGGCTGTATGTACTTGTATTCACAAAGTCAGGGAGTATATAAAGAGCATGCTATCTACATCTATATGCAAAGGGGTTTCCTGGGGTGTTTTCAGCTCCTCTTGCCCCGGAGAAGTTCCCACCCAACAGTACCGTTCCTGCCCTCCTTCTGTGTCATCTCGTCCACGGCCATGACCAGGTCATAGCAGATTTCCTCAGAAACAACGCTGTCTTGCTTATATCCCGGGTGCGAAGCAACAAACTCACGAATCCATTTGGCTCCTGTCCAGAGAGTGCCGTTTGCACGCTTGCGTATTAATTCGAGGTAGCTGGCCAAAGAACACCTAGTCTCAACATCCACATTGACACTGTTCAAGTATGACTCGACCAGCGGGATTAGCCCGGGGAAGGACCCATCAGCAGAGCCATTAATGATGTCGGAAATAGTCATGAGTTCGTATTCCGACTCCACTGGGCTCAGCGACGGCGACGCAGGTGGCGTGTTATCAGTAGATGACGCGGCAGACGAGACGTTGCTACCACTCGACGAATGTTGGTTCTGTCTGCGACGGGAGAAAGGATCTTTGCGGAAGTAGAATTTCTGTTCCAATACCGCATTGCGAGCGTGCGCCGTTTCCATGTTCTCCGTCGTGCGCTGGATAGGGATGTAGAAGTTGAGATCGAAACTCAGAATTGCACGAGTGACGAGCACGATGAAGATGCTGAAGGCAGCGTTTTCAAAATCGGTCATTTGAATCTCCATGGAGCGGAACTCGACCCGCCAGCCGATGTCATCCTTGTCGGGCGGCGGTGGCTTAAAGCGCATGTGCTGCCAATTGGTCGACTGCAGGTTTTCAAAGTGATCCGCCTTGTTCAGGTCCAGCTCCTCCAGATCCTCCGAAAAAATAACCAATGGATCGCGAATGAACAGGTGTGCGAAGTGCGTCGCCAAAAGGTTGTCCATGCCTCCATCAATCAGGATCTTTTTAATGTCTTCATCAACGATCAGGTCAGGGTCCAAATACTCCTTTCGTAGTCTAGGGTCTTGGGAGATGTAGGTCGAATTTGAGGCGTATCGAGACTTTGGGATCCTCCACCTATCATTTTTCAAGGGCTGCACAGTGTTAATGCGACACATGAATGAAAGGCAGAAATATAAAGGAAGGAGGCCTTACGAGTTCACCCAGTTCCTCTCGGGTTCGGTCATCAACAGCTCCGCCGATTTGGTTCCACCGCACATCAGTATCGACAAGAAATCCTTTGTAGATGGGAGTGGCGGCGGTTAGAGCTAGAAGGATTGGACCTAACGGGCTCAGTTGGTCGTACAACTTTCTTCCCTCTGTCATGTTCTTCGCTTGGAAAGTGATTTGAAGACAACAGCTGCCCATGCCGAATGCCATGGCGTCCATATAAACGTGATCATCTTTGGCCGCACCGTTCCTGACATCGTCATCCTCGGGCCAATCGTGAAGGTCATAGTTCACTGTTGGATCCTTGAAAGGCTGAGGTGTATTCTCATCCCTGTAGATAGGCACATTCAACTCGATTTTGCGACCCCGCCTCGATCTTATATTAGCCGCCAGTGTCGGAAATCGGATGTGTGGGTTAGCAATTTCATCAGGAACGAACTGCGACCGAAGCGCAGGACCTGAGGGCGCAAAATAGGGTTGGATATAATCGTCCTTTGTTCCCAGGCGGGGGAAAGTCGTAAGAGTAATAGGATGTTCATTCGGTGCCATGTGAGCCTTGGCAACCTCTCGCCTGATGCATGGTTATTACAACCCCAGGATTTGCCCTGGAGCTTGCGACTTACCTCCACTTCATATTTGACTCTACCTTGAGGAGGTCTTTGAAGTCAATGCCCCAAGGTTTTCCCGGCGTGGCCTCCAGCATGAATCGTCCGAACTCGGGGTGGAAATGAGGCGGTTCCTCGCCATCACTAATGTCCATCAGAGATGCTGAGCCATTGAAGCACTGGTCATAGCTCACTGTTCTTTATCCTGAGAGAAAGGCGAGTTGCCCTCTTTCCACGATGCTTCGTCCTGAGCAAGCGACTTGAGGATTTCGGCCTGAGCGAGAGACAAGCGGGCCTTTTTGGCCTCAGCATCGAGGGCTACAACGAGGTACTCAACCTGACCAAGAACAATAGTTAGCACACATTGAATCGTAGAATCGACACACAAATGAAGTAACGTACCTCGTCGCCCCAAAGAAGAGCATTCCGCTCCTTCCCTCTGGCTCTCCGCCAGTTGGCAAGCAGTTGCTATCCCAGTAAGTAAGAGATCATTGGCAAGTTGTCCAAGTTGACATCCAAGGACGCAACAATAAATTTCTTACTTCAATTCCCCATTTGCGAACCTGGTCAGCCCTTTTCTTCGCTTCTGGCCAATCCAGCGCTGTTCCAAGCGCTCTGAATGAACCAACGTCAGTTTTTGCGCCAGAAGAAACACCGGAATTGGCCAGGACTTTCCACATACAGTAAACCCATCTTGTCACCGCCAAAGGCTTGGAATTTTCAAAGGAGGGCGTCAGATTCAGGCCTTGTCGTTTGTGGTGGTGTCTGGGTGAAGAGAATTTGAAGATCAGGTCATGCACAAGCCCCGCGGAGATGAGGGGAAGTTCCCCGACAGCGATCTCCGTAAGGTCGGCACTTCCGTAGGCAATGCCGAGAGGGTAGGCTCAGAGTACAGACGGCGTTCACAACGACAAAAAACCAGCAAAGAGGCACTGGTGGGGGGGAACCGTGAGAGGGGTCAGTTGGATGCTTTTATTGTCGACTCTATGCCGATTTTCTGTCAAACCTTCGGAGGGGCGCGGCCGGGAAAGTGAGCCTCCATTCGCTGACAGGCGGGCGGGGCTGCAGATACAGTATTATCGAGTCCTTATTATCAGCGCCGATTTCTAAGCAGCGCCGATGGTTACGGGTCATGTGATTTTCGCTATCAGTCGCAGTTGCCCCGTAGATATCTATACGTAGGACCTAACCACAATAGCAATGGTTGGCTCCCATTATGCTGACAGAGTCATTGCCAAGATAATTGCCCAGAATCCTACACGGGGATTTGCCGGTCTAGTTTTGTCGCAATGGTGAATTGATGACAGGTCCCAGACTCTCCACCCCCCTCCCGCTTGGACTGAATGGCTTGTTTCCAAGGCAAGGGCATTTGGCGAATCCGGGAAACTCGTCTTCATCGGACGAAATGCGGGTTGGCCGGGGAGGCGTGCGCCAGGTGCAGTCGAACCCATTTATTGGTCAATCGATGGATTGGCTCTCACAGGTGTGGTATCGGCAAGCTTAATCTCGAATGAATCCCAACGCCAAAGTCGGTGCATGGACAAACAATCTCAGAATCTCTATGTACATAACCCGCTGCCTCGTCCGTCTTGAATGCACGTCGATGTGTTCGGTATTAGTTGCTCCGGGCACCACCCTTAGCAGCCCGAAGCTCCTCCATCTTAGCAACGCGCTTCTTGAATTCGTCATACTGGCACTTTTCATAGCTGTGTCTCTCGTCCTAAATAGTATCAAAAAGAGTATCGCGTTAATTAAGCACGTCCGAAGCATTTAAGCAGACACGCCGCAGGTGACTCCGTGGGAGTATCATACCTCGCACTTCCAGGGAAGGTAGTACTCTTGCTGTCGGCAGCGGTTCAGAGGAATGAGGAGGTGGGCGCAAGAGTCGCGGTACTGTAGGGGAAGACGGGCATCCGACATTTCCTGGCGGGTGGCAGCTGGATATAAACGTCAGTTGCCGATCGTTCAATGGCGACAATGCAATCAATTCTGCGCCTCACACCGGACGCCAATGGCAGTAAATACGTACCGGTGCTGTCCCCAAGCCCAACGGCATGCTTAACGGTCTCGGCGACGGTCATTTTGACACGAAGGGGGAATGCAATCGAGGGTTGTTCCGAGGATAGGCGACTGGGCAGCGAGGTTTGCAGCTATTCCGCAGTCGTCGTTGCTTCCTCCCGGAGTCTGTCATGTGACATCACGTGTCGTCCTGGCCACAACGGGACTAGCGTCGCTGATGCCACTTTACGCGGTTCGACGTACCCGGAGCGCGTCTTGCCTTAGTAGCCCAGCCCTGCACTGCAATTCATCGCGTTGTGAGATAGCGTTGCTGGGCCATCACCAAATCAGCTTACTTTCAACCCAGGCCCATGTGATGAGTCAGGACAAACTATCGTGCCTGAGATTGATGCCTCACAGTAGCTGAGCCCAGGCCCCAGAATTACTGTGTCGAGCCGCACCGAAACTTCCTGTTGCTGTCCGAGAACCTGCTGAATCAAACCGGCGGACGGAGACGCCTATCATGGCGGCTGTGGATTTCTCGAATGTCTACTCTGCTACTTATAGTAGTGTAAGTTCTACCTTTGCTTGCTATTGGCATCGTTTGGTCCCAGGGAGGGCTTGGTTTTTCCGCGCTTGTCAAACATCTCCATGTGGGAAGACGGTCACGGCAAGCTAATATCTGCAACTAGGTCCCGGTCTTCGAATTCAAACTCGATGGCGAAAGCGTTATGCGAAGGCGGTCCGATGACTGGATAAATGCCACACACATTTTGAAATTAGCTGGATTTGACAAGCCTGCGAGGACGCGCATTCTGGAGCGGGAGGTGCAGAAAGGAGTCCATGAGAAGGTGCAAGGTGGTTATGGCAAATACCAAGGTAGGAGGACGTTTCAGCGTGATTTAATCTTGCTAAAACTTCACCTAGGAACATGGATACCCCTCCCTGAAGGTCGTATGCTCGCCGAGCGTAATAACATAATCGACAAGCTAAGGCCGATATTCGACTACGTGGCTGGAGACCGGAGCCCACCACCTGCCCCGAAACATACAACAGCGTCAAAACCGAGAGCTACAAAGAATGCAGGGACTAGGAGGATCGTCAATGAAGAGGTTTTTAGTGCTAAACCTCGGAACATGGCACCGCCCCCCATTACCTATGAACACTATGAGATGGTCCAGGGATTTGATGAGGATGAATCTATCGAACAGGCAACCCTCGAGTCTTCATCCATGATCGCGGATGAGGAGATGATGCCGATGTCTCAGAATGGTGCTTACTCCCGGAAGCGTAAGCGTGGGATAAACGAGGCTCCAGCCATGTCGATTACTGAACAGGAACACATCCTCTATGGTGACCAGCTCTTGGATTATTTTATGACGGTCGGAGATGCTCCTGAAGCCACGCGTGTTCCTCCGCCACAGCCACCTACCAACTTCCAGGTCGATCGTCCAATTGATGACTCCGGCAACACTGCTCTTCATTGGGCATGTGCTATGGGTGATTTGGAAATCGTGAGAGATCTACTCCGGAGAGGGGCGGACGTGAAGGCACTATCCATCCACGAAGAAACACCACTTGTGCGTGCTGTATTGTTTACAAATAACTACGAGAAGAAGACTTTTCCGGCGCTATTGGAGCTTCTCCTTGACACGGTCTCATTCCGGGACTGGTTCGGCGCTACCCTCTTCCACCACATATCGGAGACAACAAGGAGCAAAGGGAAATGGAAGAGCTCGCGATATTACTGTGAGATACTGCTAGAAAAGCTACGCGTCACATGCTCTATCGAGGAGGTCGATCTATTGCTTTCCTGTCAGGATTCAAACGGGGACACTGCTGCTTTGGTTGCTGCTCGGAACGGTGCCTTTCGCTTGGTGGATTTACTGCTTGCGCGTTGCCCACGGGCTGGTGACCTGGTGAACAAGAAGGGCGAAACAGCTGCAAGTATTGCCCGACGTGTCGCCCCTCATGAGCGTGACATCCCACATCCACCATCATCTATAACGATGGGGAATGATCAGATGGATGGCGAGGTCACTGCACCTGTCAACTCTGATAATGCACCCGCAGCCCCTCCACAGGATCCATCTGCCGCTACCGCGGTCCTGCTTTCTAAAATAGGTGTTATCATGGCCGAGGCGAACAAGAAGCTCACTTTGAGCTACGGAAGCTCCAAGGCAAACCAGCAAGATTCAGATGATGTTGCAAACCCAGAAGCGTTATACGAGCAATTAGAATCCGATCGACAGAAGATACGAAAACAGGCCGCTGTATTCGTGGCGAAAGAGGCGCAAGACGAGCCGTTCAACACACAAATCGATCGATACGAACAGTTGAAAAGTCGCTATGAATCGCTCCTCGAGCGTATTCAGCAGGCTCGTCTGAAAGAAAGGATTACGACAACAGCTCTGCCGGAGAAGGAAAGCACAGCGACACCTGCAACGGATCAGGAGAGCCTCATCCACACATACCGACTGGCGCAGCAATTGTGCGCCGCTCAAAAGGCTCGGTGCGCGGCTGTCAAGGATCTTGCGCAACAGACGGCCGATGCAGGCGTAAGCACCAAATTCGACGTTCATCGCAAGCTGGTCGCACTTGCAACCGGCCTGAAAGAGGAAGAATTAGACCCGATGGCTGCAGAGCTAGCCGAAACATTGGAGTTCGATCGCATGAACGGAAAAGCTGCAGGGGTTGATTCACCGGAGCCAGAGGCTAGGGAATCGGCCACTTTCCCCCTGCCTGGTCCAGCGGTATCTGTGGATGCCTGATCGGACGAGAAGAATTTCGTCCCGTTTACCACTTGGTTGCCTTCGCAGTCCAGTCCGCCAGCCTGCGATGACGTGTCATCGTATTAGGTTGTCTGTAATTATTGTGGACTCGACATGATCTTCTACCGGCGGCTATGGGATGGATACCTATTATTCTCCTCCCTCTTTTCCAATGCTGTGGATGCAAACCGCTCTTTTCGATCTCCGATGCCTTCATTTCTTCCTACCTACCTCTGGCGGGCAATTTGATTTCTGGTTTGCCAGCAGATACCCATCTATTATTACTTACTCGTTGCTGTTTCACGTTTCCCACCACTGTACTCTGACCGAAGCTTTGTATGATCGTCCCGTCGCACTCCCGAGACCGATCTGACAATACGAACCCGAATGGAGAGCCTACCTACCTTACCTACTACTAGATACCTACCTACCTGCTAGGCTCAAAGGCAAAAACCACGACTACTGCGCTACTAGCCGCTCTACTCATGTACATAGTATGCACAGCGTACATACGAAAGTTTAACCTGCAAAACTTTCCATCAATAGCAAGCGAAGTACCTGGGCCCCTGGAGGCAAAAATAGACTCTATACTCCGTACCACAGTATACAAACGGGCTGGAAATCATGATTACCTATCGCCCCCCCTGTCCTTACTTAGATTGGTACTCCGTATTAACTTTTTCTTTTCCCGGGAATGCATGCATGCATCGTACGTTCTTGTCCCCTTCCCCTGTTTGCCATCAGCCATCAGCCATCAGCCGCCGTTCCTCGAGCTGAAAGTGCTAAGCCCACCCACCACCCGCTCACATCGAGACGAATTGGAACGTAACGTCAGCCCAAATGTATCAGGGCCTGTTAATAACCATTGTCATTTAGGCTACTGATCGCCCGGGTCTAAATCCAGGAGTAATAATATGGCACGTGAGGCGTGTGCAACGACGCAATGGACTTACATATGGATTATGGACTAATGGACTAAGTATATTGGGGTCTCGGCGAACCACCGAAAGGATGCAGGTTTACTTGACCAACCCCCTTGGAAATGGACAGGGATTGCGTATTCTGCGCACTATGCGAAATTCCCCCGAATTAACGCTGCCTAGCTAGCTGGGTCTGGTAGTTTTCCGAATCCTGGGATCCTGCGATGCTGGGCACTTTGGGCGGTGGCACTTTATTATAGTATGTATCTGCATATAGATAGAAACAAGGAGGAAGAGGCGGGCCACGGAAATACTCAGGTGATATTTCGGGATGTTTGTGTTATTCCTGCGAAAAAAAAAAGCATGTGCACTCCTAGGGGCCTAACGGCCTAGGCTTTGGTGTGTGGTGATCTACTCCTGACTATCTCTATACCGACTAGCTTGTCTGGTAGCCTTGAGTTTACTTGGGTTCAGGATTCCAGCACGACCCGAATCTGAAACCGTTCACTATATCATACGTCCATCGAGCAGACTTGTGCCGTTGTCCCTACGGGCCATGGTACGGTAGATTTTCCACCCATAAACGTCACCTGCAGCGATTAGTTGGGCGAGCACGCACTGGGAGCGGGCTAAGCGAAACGGTAGTTCCATCCAGTCAGTCCCCGGCAGCCCCCGGCAGCCCCCAGCATATCCATGGAACATGACCCAGGAGAACCACAGTTCACATCAAGAACGGGTTCTCTTCGAAGTTCGATCACTGAACTCTTGCGGCACACAGACCCAACGCCAATGATCTGCGTGCAAAATGAGCTGACTGGTGATCGGACGTGCAGCGCCATCTGTGTCTGCGAATTTCTTTTGACTCTGGCAGTATCTAGCGCACGGGGTGCGGGACCACCCGTTCCACATATGGAGACGAGATTTTCAAGGGGGTTGCTTGAATTTCACTCCGGGTCCCGTGGGAGTTCAGGATTCGGGGTCGGTTGGGAGGTTGACGGAGCCGAAAGAGAAGAAGGTGAGACATTGTTTGCCCAGAGGGGTTGTCGCAGATGCAGTCGGAGGTTGGAAAACAGGAATGACAAAGGAAGACCCCTACGTAGACAGATTCACTGTGCTACGGTTTCCCCATGGCAGGGCAAGCCAACCGCCTTGGAAAACACACTATTCCCCAGTTCTCGAAAGAGACAGCACGAGGGGACAACTGGATCTAGTCAAGTCGTAGGCGAGAAAGTTCCATCCCGGTGCTTGGCAACCGAGATAGTCTGGAATTAGTGGCTTTTGGGCGAATCCTTTCGAGCCCTGGTCAGTCTATCCGCTAGCGACTCTCTCGCTACTAAATTATCAGATGCCAATGCCACTGGCCAGGGGGAAAGCGGAGATTTCTGGCTGCAAGATGCGCCCAGTAACAGGCCGCCTCCGCACGCAGCATCATGGCTCTCCCACTGCTGAAATCACCGCGGGTGGATCGGGTGGGGGTCTGGAAAGCGAAGGAAGGCCAGTCGATGTAGGAATCCTTCGTAAGGTTTCGAGGTACCATTCGAAACTGCCGGTTGCAATTGGACAAGCATTGATGCGGGATTTTCGTATGCAAGAAAAAAGGTTATCCTGCCGCGAGCCTCGAGGGGATCAGATCATCAGCGCCCGTCCGGACACCACCGCCGCAAGAGGATGGACTTAGAGCCTTAGGGGCCTTAGAGGACTTTGACTTAGAGGACGGTGTGATCCACCACTAGGGTCGATCAGCAGCGCGCCGGTGGTTTGCCATGCCCGGCAGTCCTGGTGTGTGGTGTGTAAATGAAACGGACGAGGGCGATGGTAGGATTGACCGTTGTTTGGATGGGTAGAAACTGGAAGAGGTGAGGCAGTGAGGAGAGGAAACCCGGGAACCGAGTTCTGTGGTTGAAGGTTAGGATTAGGAGATCAGCGGAATGACGAGGAAGGCCCGGGTGCTGCTGGGATTGATCCTCCGCGTCTCGATCGGCCGTGAGGAAGGACCTCTGGGCTCTCGCTGCTTCCCCCCAAATTCCCAATTGCCCGACCGTCTGGAGCCCCCACTACTTTTGGCTCCGGCCTTTCGCCGCCTGCGCTTTTTGCCCCCCATACTTAATAATCCCCGATCTACGGAGTAGCAACCAACCAACTAACTAGCTAGTTAACTACACTTCCACTCCCTCCTCCACCTCCAACCTATCTCCTTGTGATTTGACATCCCTTTCTTTCGTCGCCCTCCCCAGTTCAACCTGTCACCTCAAACTCTTCTTTCCTCCAGTCTCTTATCCACTGCTCTCTCTCGTCCCCTTTCTATGGTATATACACTTTAAACGTCCGCAGGCTGGCTCCAATCTCCGGTCGGACTCCTCCGCCCCTCATTTGTCTTCATGTCTCTACCCCACAGTCGATATACAAAAACGGCATTCTCCCCTACACATGGAGGTTCATACGTTAGTTTGTGCGCCGGGGAAACCTCCCTCCCCCGCACCTCCCCAGCTTTCCGCTGCGCCTGAAAAGAGAAAGCGGGTCCGCCGATGGCATCACCGAGGCTTTACAGGGTGTTCGACCTGTCGCCGACGCCACGTCCGCTGCGACGAAGCGTCGCCCTCATGCAAGAACTGTGTGCGCCTAGGTCTTGAGTGTGATGGGACGCAGGGTCGCATGACCTTCAAGGTCTACGGGCCACCGCAGGAATCGTCTTCTGCCACCGCTAAAAAGACCGAGAAAAAGATTAATCGCCCCGGAGAAATGCAAATCAAATTGGAGCCTACAGAAATTGAGAACGAGCACTTCGAAGCACTGGTGGTGTCCCCGACAACGGTTCCCGATTTGAAACCTATCAAGTTCCGTTTCCAGGAGCCCATCTCCCCTGCTGGATTCCTGTCATCGTCTTTGGATTGCGTGGAAGGCCGGTATTACACTCACTTCGTGGATCAAGTCTCTACGCTACTCCTGATCTACGACAATTCGATAAACATCAATCCTTACCGGAGATTCTTCCCTGAACTTGCTCGATCATCGCCGTCAATGGCTAGCGCCATGCAAGCAATGGGAGCGTTGCATCTCGCCAACACGTCTAAGGGACAGCAGCGAAACAAGCATTTCCAAGAAGCCATGAGCAGTTACGGCGAAGTAGTCAAGTCATTCAGGACTCGGTATACAGAACCTGATCAGGGCGTGCGGTTGACCGATTTTGCCACTTGCCTGTTACTATCACTGTTCGAGGTAAGTCTTTGGGTATTTAGTAAGAAGTGCTCAGAATGCTGACTGGTCAGATGATGGATTCTCAACATCATAATTGGGCCATTCATCTTAAAGGAGCTCGCGAGATCTACCGAATGCTGTTCTCCCCGAATAGCGACCCCGATAAGGAAGCCAAGCGTCTCAAGGAAATCAACCACCCACTTCGACCCTTCCTTGTTTCTCTTCTTTCGTACCTAGATGTTGCGGGTGCCTGTGCTACTAGTGAGGGGACGGTTGTGGAAGGCAGCTATTGGAGGACACATGGAGGCGGCTGGGAATATAACCTAGGCACCCCCAGCCTTTCTGCCGAAACTCCCACCTATAACCAGTTTCTGGTCGAGCTGCGGCAATGTTGGTCCGTTATGATGGAGATCCAGGCGTCTATCAGCGCATTTGGAAAGGCTAAGCATGACCGCTTGATGTCGCCCGAACAACAAGATCTAGTCTATCACGAGCTGCTACAGAGGCTGGTCCAGTGGCGGCTAACTGCACCACAATCCCTCCAAGTATTGGGAGATCTGGACGACGAGAGCTTGCGCCAGTATCCGTATCCGGATGTCGTCGAATATGCGGGATGTATCGAGGCCTACGAGAAAGCGACCAACATTTTCCTGCACAGAGTGGGAGCGGCAGATCGCCCTGACTGGCAACCTCAAAGACCTTTGCTGGACATGCTTGCCTCGCGAATTCTGGCATTGATTGGGAAGCTCGCAAAAGACGTGGGCCAGTTGGCGGTGCTTTGGCCTCTCTTTACGGCAGGTCGAGAGACGCGAGATGAGCAGGAACAGAAATATGTGCGACAGACAATGACCGACCTTCAACGGTTCGGTTTCAAGGTATGTGACAACTTGAAATGAGAAATTTACCATACAGACACTAATGAAATCGCAGAATGTCGACAGAGCCCTTGAGGAATTAGAGCATGCATGGTTCAAGCAACGCACCTTCCCAGAAGGCTGGGTTGACACCATGGACAATGTTCGTTCCGCGATATTGCTTCCTTAGTCACGAGTATGAGAAACGCTATCATGCCGCACCTCGAACATAAGCCTGCTGTCGACTTCATCATCGGTCGACAGCTATCCGTCAAATACTTGCACGACACCTGATCGACTGTACCGGGGCCACGGCACCCTCTTTATTTGGATTATTAGCGACGAAACGGAGTCCGATTTCTGTTGATCTCAGACAGGCGTTTTTATAGGAATTGAAGGCGTATGTATGGCTGGACAGGGGCTGGGCCCTTAGCTTAGACTTTGAATTTGGGATATGTTTGATAATTTTGCGGACCTTGCATGCATCATTGCAATAGGACGGATGCTTTTTTTTTTCTGTTCAGTTGGAGTTGGGGTACACATATAGATGGATACACGCACCATATACCAGACTTGCAAAAGTACTATATAGAGGTAGATAGTATTACTTTTCTGATATATTTTATGTTTTCTAAAGAATGGCAGCATTCGGCTATGCTGTTCCACTGCTTCGATTCCGCAAGTGTGCTTTCTTTTGGTATCGATCATGTATATCTGTTTACCGCAGTACACTGTAGTACAGTAGACATTCCCGCCTCATGATATTCATCGTAGACCACTAGCACTATCATATATACACTTCTACTCTTCCATTACCAACCCAATCCTTGAAGCAAAAAGTAAAATCTATTCATGTAGAGAAAGAGGGCTATAACCACGCATATTACCACACCCGCCTTCCTTTCCTCTGTAATTCTTTCTTTCTCCCTCTAACAATCGAAAATTTGGAAACAACACAGCAGCTTTTTTTTTTTTTTTTTCGTCCCACTCGTAATTGATTGACACCCGATCAGTCAATTTCTCCATCCACAACTGCTGCACTGTATGTTCGGTACAGCCAGTTTGAGATAGTTCAAGTTTTCATAAGTACCGTATCGCATACATACATCGCTATGACTGTGACGCGCTGGCCTCAGCTTCAGACTGCTGGTGGTGGTGGTGGTGGTGGTGGTGGTGAACCTCGACCTCATCCACGGTCTCCTGCGCTCCCTTGCTGTCGATGAAATGCGAGATACGGTCGATGGGTAACCAGGCGCTTTCGGGGGTGACGAAGTAGGAGATTAGTGCGAAGATGGTCACCGCGGCCATGATGATGGGGGCGTCTGGGATGCGGGTGCGTTCGTTAGTATACATACATACATACATACATACATACATTCATACATTATAAATGCACGCTGGGTTGGGAAGATGGTATATGGGAAAGGAGAGGGGGGAAGCGGGGGGAAGCTTACAGTTCAGGTTTGCACCCGTAACGGGGAACTCGTACGGCGAGAACAGCACGGCAACCACCCAGCCGTTCCAGAAGACGCCGATGAACTGGAACGGCTTGCTGAAACGACCCAGGCTCCATTCGGGCTTGGGGAATCGCTTGGGCGTGCAGAGAAGTCGGCCCAGACAGATGAGACCGTAGGCGGCGGCGCTGGGGACGCCGGCGGCGGAGACGAGTGAGGTGAATGCCACGTCTGACGGGAGAAGGGTGCAGCTGATGATTGCGGACACGCCCCAGACCACGATGACGGCGTTGCGGGGCTGGCCGTTGTTGACTTTCGAGACCCAGCCCGAGAACGGGAGGACGCCGTCACGGGCGACGGCGAAGACGAGGCGGGATGCGGCGACGATGGCGATGGCGGTGTTCTGGAGGTGGGGGTGTTAGTGGTGGTGGTGTTGTTGTTGGTGCAGGGGATTTTTAATGGACTTACCAGCCACAGGGCGATGATGCAAATCACGTTCATGAAGACGTGGCCGCCTTTACCGAGGACGACGGCGTAGAGAGGCACGAAGGGCTGGGGAGAGCCGAAGGAAAGGAGGGTGTCGGCATCGGGCTAATGAGGTGGGTGAGTATTTGGTGGGTTGCGGCGTGGTCCTGGGAAACTTACGGCGCAGAAGAGGAACAGGATGATAGTGGCCAGTCCTCCGATTCCACTGACGACGGTACTCCAGAAGATACCGCGAGCCGCGGTTATAGAAGCATGCTTGGTCTCTTCGGCGACGTGACCGGAAGCATCGAAACCGATCAAGATACCAGCCGTGGCGAGGTAGGAGAGACACCAGTTCCATCCCGCAGGGGCACCAGTGCCATTGTAAGTCGACATGAAGGCTTCCTCAGTGGTCCGGAATCCCCAAGTGTGGGCGGCTCCAATCGGCAGCCAGATAACGTTGAGCAAGAAATCCAACAAGACGATCGCGGATGACCCCCAGAAAACCCATTTGAAGGCCCTAGCTGCGATGCTGTGAGTAAACGCGGAAAAGATACGGGTCGTAGTGACATACGCGGCAGGTAGTTGAGAAGTGCAGCCATTGCCAAAAGCACCTCGGTGCAGATCCACTGGACTGCGCGGAACTTCATGCTGTACGTATCTTTCGGGAAGTCGCAGTTGAAGACAGTCAATTCCTGTGGTGATGGTCAGAAGCCCATCTCCCGTGTTATTGCAGCTCCATGGACTGCAACACTTACCGACAGCATGTAGTTGACAGCAGCCTGGGTGTTGCTAGCGCAAAAGGTCGTCCAGGCAGTAGTACTCCACCAAGCAACCACGAAGCCCAGGAGTCTCCCGAAACGAGGACCTCCAGCCTCCGCGGCCCAGAGGTAGATGGAGCCGGCAGACGGAGAGGCAGAGCATACTTCCGCAATGACGGCAGCGGTGATGTATGTGAAAACCAACGTAACGAGATAACTCGTCCTGTTCGAGGTCAGATATTGGACGTGACTGTAGAGAATACCCAAAAACCCACCAATAAGCCAAGTTACCGCCTGCTGCAATACCGGTACTAAAGGTGGTGCGCACACCTCCGACAAAGTAAAGGGCAGCTGACAGACATCAAGTTAGAGATGGATGCAGCCCCGTGATTGGCTCTGGTCGTTTCGCCTACCGAATGTCGTCGAGAAATTCTCGACTAATGTGTATGTTCTATGAAGAACCTGCAATTATGTATAAGCTGAATTTGCGATCTGCAAGGGATGCGACCAGCAACTTACTGGCTTATAGCCCATGGATTTCTGTCGGTTGAATGTTAGCGATCATTCGAGGAGTCGAAGGCGCGAGAGATGAGGTCCCCGAGGGGGGTGTTGATGTACATACCAAGAGCTGTGCATCTTCTTGGGATTCGGCCTGGCTTCTGATCTCTTCCCCCCCGGACGGAAGAGGGTCTGTGTCAGCAACGGGTTGCGATTGCTCCTGGTGAGGTGATGGAGCCATGGCTGCCGTGCTGGAAACCGAAGCCAATGATTAGAGGCTCCAATGACGGTGATGGGGTCGAGACCGTACAAGAAGGGTCTTTGTTCAGAGACAAAGATAAGATATAAGACAAGAGGATAAGACGGGGGTGTGTCTGTTCTCTTCTAGGTCGTTGAAATTTGATGATAGAGGGTCAGGAACGTGCTAACCCCACCTGTAAGCCGCAAGGAGGAAAAAGGAAAGAAATGTAAAAAAAGGGTTTAGCGGATGAGCTAAAAAACTCGAGATTTCCGGTTTTACGAGGCGAAGTAGTGCCACCAAGAGTCCAAAACTTCCCAACAGCAAAGCTATGCACTACTACTATTCTAATTGCAGTGGTGGTTGAGTGGTTCTAGAGGCGGGATCGCTAAGCTTGACCGGAGATGTCTGCTCCGCATCGGCCAACGGTGAGGGAAAAAAGAAATGAAGCTCACTTTGCTCTCCACTATTAGCGAGCCAGGCGAGCAGACGAGATTCCAATCAGAGAGTGTGGGTGCGAGGGTGCGACCGCCGTGGGTCAAGAGGTGTTCCTTAGAGGTTTAGTGAGCTAAGGCAACGGATTAACCCCGGTAGTGGTGGCATGGCGATCCACAATTGATCGAGTTGACTCGGGATTCTTACGCGCTGGATCGCGAGGGCGACGTGGTTTATGCCCTGCAGAGGTTGATTATTGTCAACAAGACATCGAACTGAATCCTCAGCATAAATGGCTGCTGAACCTGCAGGGAATTTCCTACTCGATGCAATGGAGGAGTCAAGAGCCGGTTGAAAAGCTGTCATTCGCATCATCATGATTATCATCATATGCCCCACCGTTAGTGGAGCGGGCGAAAAATCCGTGCGAGGAACCAGCCGCCAGCCGTGCTTGATATTAATCGACCTGCCGTTGATTAGATCAACTGCACGGGAGACATCTGCCCTGGCAATAGACGTGTGTGCTTCGTTGAGGATTCGCCGGACGACTCATCCTTTGAAGTGTGAAGTGACTGTGTACGGATTTTCCGGAGACTCGGAAGAAAACCGCAGTTATACTGCTTACCCACCGTTATGCGGCCTTAGGCAGCAGCAACAAACCACGTGCACGTGACCGACCCCTTCCTTCCCCATCGCGTGTGATTTCATCTGCGCAATCAGCTTTCTCCTCTGCGAGTGAATCCTCGGTCAGGAATCACAAGCTATCCCAAGATGTGCAACCTTCTATCCCTATGTTACGATGTCCCCAGCTCATTTCATCCTTGACCATGCCAACCCGAGGTCGCTGGAAACACCATCTCACGTGGACAGTCAATTGTCCGATTTGCGGAGAAACGATCTTTCTGCGATTGTAACGCATGATCTGATAAGACAGAATATCAAGACACTGGTTACGTTCCGTGCAGGAATTTATATCACAGCCGAGCAAGGGAGAGGGTGGCAAAAAACATGACCCGAGGGGAGACGAAGAACAGCTTGGGGTTTAACATTGTCCAGAAGGTTAACGATGAGTTTATACAAACTACAATCAAGCCTCCGCTCGGCGTGCGCAACCCTTGATTCGTGAGCTCATAGGAAGCTGACAGGGGGTTCAGTTCCCTTCCCGTCCCTTGATACGCATCTAGCCTGGCCGGAGTACAACGTTGTCCATGGGGTAACCTTGCATATCGGGAGAAAGGCCCTCGAGGATGGCTGGTGCGCATCATCAAGACAGTTGTACAAGGATCACAGCTGTGCTTGATGCAGAGCTAGCTCCTATATGGCGTACATTTGGGTTACATCCGATGCGGTTGGACTTTCACCGGCCCTGTATGCGATTATCGGCTGTGCGAGGGAATGAACTACTTACGATATGGCACCTTGATGGTTTACAAGAAGGCGGTTTGAATCTCATTCATTGGCTTGGCGGTCATTGGAGGTCCATAATTAGAAAAGCAACCAGGTTGATTGTATATATACGATGTAACCGTAATATCTCATGCAGACTTGATTGTTGGGAAGATGTGGGGGATGCGCAGTGTGTGGCGGGACTGACCGACTGACAGCCCATTCACGGTCGATTAGTCGTGGGTCGTCCCTCTTCCCCGCGCGGCTTCCCCTCATTTTCCTGTCAATCTTTGGTCACATCACATCAGTGATCACATCAATCGATCCGATGGAGGTGCATCTCGGTGGCCCGAGCCGGAATGACTCTTGCCATCCAAGTCCCAGCTAGGCTTGTGGAAGAATGTCCTGTGGTTTCCCCCATTCCTTGCGCGTCGGTGGCCTCCCCGCAATGACCGCTGTCTCTCCTGATTAAACCGGGACGCGTCCCATATAGTTGTACGCATCTGCACGCCTCCATGGTCCCGACCCGAGGAATTCACTGACCCCTTTGTACCTTTGTATTGCCAGGTCGAGCTGAAAGCCACCGGTCCTGTCGTCTCTCCCTAGCCCGTTTTTCTGTCACACACCACCCATGTGGCCTGGACGCCTCCTTCTGCCGCCTTTGCATCATTGAAAGTCGATGGTATGAATCCAACTGTGGCCACAGAGCCTACGTACAGAGCTGTTCGACTTGATAACTGCCAACTTTAACTATGAGTGTACCGCTGTCCCTGCGCTCGGCCCTTCGGCCCTGCGGAGCAGTTCCCAGCGTTTATCCAGGGAGGTCCCTTTTGACTGTCAAGCATTCTTGTGGGTTTTCCAACGCATTGCTCCAGGAAGGATCTGCAAAATATCTGACCTCACTCACATCACAGTGGTGCAACTGCGACACACTCCTATCCTGGTAAATCGGTACAATGGCTTTGAGCTGTCCTCGTTGTCGAAAACACCCCAGACCCCCAAAAGATATGCAAGTAGCTCGTCTGCAGCGTCACCGGTTCCTGTCGTCCCTTATTCATCTTTGACTATCGGTGTACCTCGCGAGATTTATCCGAATGAGCGCCGTGTCGCCATTACACCTCAAAATGTTGCTCTGCTATTCAAGAAAGGCTTTTCGCGCATACTGGTAGAGCGTGGCGCTGGTGAAGAAGCCCAGCTACATGACCAAGCCTTTGAGCAAGCGGGAGCGACGCTGGTCGACCGAGACACTGTCTGGTCTCAGAGCAATATCATCCTGAAAGTTCGCAGTCCTCAGCGACATGGTCCCACCAATGAGGTCGCTGCCCTCCGCCAGGGAAGCACACTTATCTCGTTTCTGTATCCGGCACAGAGCCAGCCCTTGGTTGAGGAACTTGCCTCGCGTGGTGTCAATTCGTTTGCTATGGACATGATACCAAGAATATCTCGCGCACAAACATACGATGCTCTCAGGTGTGTATAGCCAGTGTTTACGATGTCTCTTGCTGATTGATCTGTACATTCTAGTTCTATGGCCAATATTGCTGGATATAAAGCCGTCTTGGAAGCTTCTAACTATTATGGTCGATTCCTGACAGGACAGGTTACTGCTGCCGGGTAAGCAAGCCTCTGTGTGTCTGGATACATCTACTAACTATTTGTCTCCAGAAAGGTTGTGCTCCCTTAAATATGCTGCATTTAATTACTAATAAAGCCCTAGATTCCTCCTAGCAAGGTATTGGTCATCGGGGCTGGTGTGGCTGGATTGAGTGCGATTGTCTCGGTAGGTCAAACCTAGACAAATTTGAATGGTGGCACTAACGTACGACTTCCAGGCACGTCGGATGGGTGCTATTGTACGAGGATTCGATACCCGCTCTGCTGTCCGCGAACAGGTGCAGTCCCTAGGAGCGGAGTTCATCGAGGTGGATCTCCACGAAGAAGGTTCAGGCCAAGGTGGGTATGCCAAAGAGATGTCCAAGGAGTTTATTGAAGCAGAGATGAAGCTCTTCATGGAACAATGCCGGGAAGTGGACATCATTATTACCACGGCTCTCATTCCAGGGAAGCCTGCACCTAAGCTCATTACCAAAGAGGTAAGATATGGATACCTGGCGCCAGATAATGGCTTACGCCTTTCTAGATGGTCGATGTTATGAAACCTGGATCTGTCATCGTTGACCTTGCGGCGGAGGCAGGTGGCAACTGCGAAGCAACTGTTCCTGGGAAATTAACAAAGTATAAAGATATCACTGTCATTGGTATGTCGATTCTGAAATGTGCTCAAAGACATATAGCTAAGTGGCTTTAGGATATACCGATCTTCCATCGCGTCTACCGACTCAATCATCTACATTGTACTCCAACAACATTACAAAGTTCCTGTTGTCTATGAACCCCCAAGACAAGTCATTCGGTATAGATCTGTCTGATGAGGTAGTTCGCGGTTCGATCGTTACTTTCAATGGAGAAATACTCCCTCCTGCTCCACGCCCCGCACCGCTACCTGCCCACAAACCGGAAATTGCTACACCTGTAAAGGAACAAGCGGGACTGTCGTTGTCACCTTGGCGTAGGGCGACACGCGACGTTGCAACCACAACTGCGGGCATGGGAACTGCCCTTGCTCTGGGCAAGGCTACGGGTCCCATATTCATGGGCAACATGCTAACCTTTGGACTTGCCGGTTTGGTGGGTTACCGTGCGGTATGGGGTGTTGCACCGGCACTTCACTCTCCCTTGATGAGTGTTACTAATGCGATCTCGGGTAAGTTAAACTTCCATGAACGCTCTGGTTCAATCATGACACGTTCTCCTAGGAATGGTTGGCATCGGTGGCTTCTTCATTATGGGTGGAGGGTATGTGCCCAGCACGATACCGGAGGCTCTGGGAGCCGCCTCGGTCTTGTTGGCATTCATGAATGTATCTGGGGGCTTTGTAATTACCAAACGCATGCTGGACATGTTTAGACGTGAGTATCAGTTCTGCTACTGCGCCATGTCTGCTGACATTTTCAGGCTCAACGGACCCTCCTGAATACCCATGGCTATATGCCGTACCAGCCGTTCTGTTTGGCGGCGGATTTATTGCCGCTGCTAGTACTGGAACGGCGGGACTGGTGCAAGCTGGCTATCTCGTCAGCAGCTTGCTTTGTATTGGTAAGTGGAAGCAAAGTTCCTGGTGCTGCTGTTGCTTACATTTCTAGCCTCGATTTCGGGCCTTGCATCACAACAAACTGCCAGGCGCGGTAATATCCTTGGTATTCTGGGAGTAGCTGCTGGAATCCTTGCTTCTCTTGCAGCTGTAGGGTTCTCTCCTGAAACTCTGACCCAGTTCGGTACTGTAGCCGGCGTGGGTGCACTTGTTGGTATGTTTGCTGGACTTTCTCTATCGAATCCGCATTAATATGACTGCAGGGGCATTAATCGGACGGCGGATCACACCGACCGGGCTTCCTCAGACTGTGGCTGCCTTGCATTCGGTGGTTGGACTAGCGGCGGTGCTTACGAGTATAGGCAGCGTGATGGCTGAGATCTCTCACATCTCGACATTGCACATGGTGACGGCATATCTGGGTGTTTTGATTGGTAAGATATATGTCGTGGGGTGCGATTGTTACTAACCGAAGCAGGTGGTGTCACTTTCACTGGGTCAATAGTGGCCTTCTTGAAACTCTCTGGTCGCGTGTCTTCGAGGCCTATGATTCTACCGGGCCGACACTTGATAAATTCAACCCTACTAGGATCCAATGTGGCTACAATGGGAGCATTCATTACGATGGCACCGGGATCTCCTCTAATTGCAGCAACGTGTTTAGGTGCAAACACTGCGCTCAGTTTCTTGAAGGGCTATACTACGACTGCTGCCATTGGCGGAGCTGATATGCGTAAGTTATCAATTCCGCAACACATTCTGTACTAATATATGCAGCTGTCGTAATTACCGTCCTCAATGCTTATTCTGGGTTCGCCTTGGTTGCGGAAGGCTTCATGCTCAATAACCCCCTACTTACCAGCGTGGGCTCTTTGATCGGTGTCAGCGGTTCAATTCTGTCTTACATTATGGTGTGTATCTTGAGCCGTCTTATAGTATATTTATATGCTAATTCTTTTAGTGTGTCGCAATGAATCGATCTCTCACCAATGTCCTCTTTGGTGGAATCGCAGCTCCCAAACAAGCGAAGAAAATCGAAGGCCAAGTGACCCAGACAACTATCGATGACACTGTAGAGGCGCTGTCACACGCAGAAAGCGTCATCATTGTATGTTTTATTTCACCCGAAGCGATCGTGGCTAATCATTACAGGTCGTTGGTTATGGAATGGCCGTAGCAAAGGCCCAGTATGCCCTAGCTGAAATCGTGGATGTGTTGCGCTCAAAGGGCATCAAAGTTCGGTTCGCAATACACCCAGTTGCAGGCCGGATGCCCGGTCAATGCAACGTGCTCCTGGCCGAAGCCTCAGTGCCATACGATAGTAAGTACGACATTCCTTTATTAAGAGGCGGGGACTAACCCATCAAGTCGTGCTCGAGATGGATGAAATCAACGATGACTTCCCTGACACGGACGTTACCCTTGTCATCGGCGCCAATGATACAGTGAATCCCAGCGCCTTGGAACCTGATTCTCCAATCTCAGGCATGCCAGTGCTGCACGCATGGAAGAGCAAGGAGGTGTTTGTGATGAAACGCAGCATGTCCAGCGGATACGGTAGGTCTACCACCCGGTCACTAAATGGATAGATAGTAGCTGATGAGGCAGCCGACGTGCCCAATCCAATGTTTTTTATGCCCGGAACGAGGATGCTATTCGGAGATGCGAAGACGTCTTGTGATGGTGAGTTTTCTCAATCATTACATGTGGGAAGGTTCTGATCCGTTGCAGCTATCAAAAGCGCTCTTGAAGCACGTAAATAGCCCCCCCGGGTTGACATATCGCCACGACTTGATGACCTTTGCTTTACCGGATTTCTTTTCGTTGACGTCGTCGAAGGATCGGGTTGCTTGTTTGAATGATGCTTTCTCCTTTATAGTACATGAATGCACAGGTTACAGCTACTTGCTTACTGGTTTTGTTTCTTCGCATTAAATGTCTATATTCAGTCTAGTCAGGCTTTCTACTTGACATCAACTAGCTCTGATTTATGTGCATAGTCTAGCGACAGATCAAAATCCCATCTGCCATTAAGAGTCATCTCATCTCTAAATCAAGATTTGAATCAATCCTCACAGCCGCATTTCGGACGGACGTTTGTTCGACCTGTGAATGCTTCCTAGTCCCATATTGTGCTCTATTAAGATCAACGGTAAGCCACTGAGCCTGCTCTTCCTCTCTTTACCCAGAACTGAGGGTCTACATCTCGTGGGTATCACGCGAAATATCTAATACAAAGGAGATCCGGTCGCACCAAGCTCATCTCGCAACTCGGAGCGATAGTGTACATTGTATTCTTGACTTTTGCTCCTTGCACACACCCCACCACACCTCACCACACCAATATGCCATCGTTGGGTTTAAAATTGAGATTATTACCAGACACGCATACAAGACTTCTATTGCGATTTAAACAGCCACGCTTGGATCTCATCCTGTCTGGTAGTGTGGCTACGCACTCTCTACACTGCGGTCGCATGATACATATCAAGGATAGTTATATGGCATGATACAGCGCATAGAACAACTCATATCGCTAAGTGTCAATCATCTCAAATATGACCAATAAGCAAGCGCATCGGGGAACTTTTTTCGGTGCCTGGATTGATCGGCCATGGGCATGGTGGGATCGGGCAGCAAGACAGCAAGACAGCAAGCAAGTTTTCTGCTCCCAAGAACGCAGAACCACCCACCCATTACGTTTCAAGGAGTGTGGAATAACCCTCGGAATTGAGTTCGGAATTGACAGGAGGTTCATTGAGTAGGGAAGTATGCCAAAAGGAAGTGTACTATCCATCAAGGAGGTGAGGTGAGTATGTCATCCTTCCTTCCCTTGGTCTAGAATTCCTCACCCTCCATAACATCATAGCATACTATAAGAATGTCAATAAGCATAAATTTTAAGACACCACAAGAATGTCAAATGCCAAACTGACACGGTCAACGTTCGACTACGGGAGAGTAAACACATTAACACACAACCCCCCTTCCCGATCGGCCCCTCGGCCCCCTCCTTGATTTTCATTTTGGCACTCCCTCGCACATAACTTGCCTTTGCCCCCTCTAGTATCTATCTAGTTTAGTCCCTTCCGACCAAGGGAAGGAACAACATGCCATTCATCAGATTCTTCACGTCTCACTACCCAACCTGTCTTGGCCCGGCACCCACACCCTACCCCTAACTAGGCAATAGGCATACTATGTACTATACTTACCCACCCACACCTGTCATGCTCCTGTCATCCCGCTCCGGCCGACTCCACCAGACAGACAACTAACTAAAGTAGCAACTAGTAACGGTCTTGCATCGGCACCACCACCATCCTAGTCCTATATCCCTAGCCCGTAGTCATACAACGGCATCAACACTAAACAGGGATAAGAGTCGATAGTGCCGGCCACACAGAGGGGCCGGCTTCAATAGTTACCCCCTTCCCCCCTCCCCACCACCTTCTCCCTCCGCAGTGCTTCCGTCTTCCTTGAATCCTTAGGCTCGGAAACTTGGACAAGCTTGGGTAGATATAATAACCTGTTACTATTTAAAATTTTTTTCTTGTTCTGGCTCCACTCGGATGAAAGTCGGATCCGTATGGACCGAGTATCTACTAGGTAGGTCCGTCTATTTTAATCCGGACTCTGTTTCCGGGGTTGCTGGTGCTGGTGCTGGGGATTGGAATCATGTCATTGTCGTGGAGGTGATTTGCTGGAATGCGCTCCGAGGAGTTATAATTACTTGCTTCTCTACTATTCTCCCGGGTTGTCTGGCTGAGTGAGCCTGCACGGAGTATCCCCGCTCTGGGTAGGTGCTCCGCGTATACATGTCTCCTGAGAGGGAAAACAAATCCCCCCAGCTAGGTAGTTAGATGGATAGGTAGGTAAGAGGTACTGTAGGAGAGAAAGTGAGGTGAGACCGATCATGGTAACTACTTCACACACGAAGGTGTTACCTCGGTATCATCTCGATCTGACCCGTCGTTGTCCTCAGATAAGTAGACTAGGGAGGGAGGGAGGGAGGGATCCAAGCTTTCCTTCCCTTCCCTTTCATTTCATTTCATTTCCCCTCCGCAGTCCGCAGTCCGCAGTCCACACACTACAGATAACCGTTAGCAACTGTCACCAGTCACCCACCAGAACTCCAGAGCCTAAATCCCATTCCCAGAGAGGGAGGTGGATATACGGAGTAGATAGATAAGCGCACAAAAGGTTAATATTATTCTCCGAGTTTCACAATGCCACACTGGTGGCACCCATATATAGCAAACCTGAAACACCCACCGCAGCACTAGGTGACATTTACCTTTACTACTACTATTACTACTACTACAACCCGGCACAATACGGTATACCACTGTCTACTATGGCTTGGTTTGGTTTGGTTTGTCGCATCCCGCGCAGATAAGTACCCCATCTTCACCCCCCCCCCCAGCAGGCGCAGTCGTACAGGTCTGCCGCGAGCTAGGGTTGAGGTTGCAGTCACCCGAATAAATTACGCTCGAACTGTGGGTGTGGCGGTTTCATGATCGGGCCTTGCACCGCACCTTATTCGAACGGGGTCGCGGTTTGCGAAAATATCCCGGGCGATTGCGAAGGGCAATTGGGTTTTTGGAAACAGGAAGGATTTCGGTGGCTTTGAAGGTAGGTATCTGGCCTGGTCTGGGGGAAGGGCTCAATGGAGGATTTTGGTCATCCAGGGGTAAGGTACTACGTAGGTAGGACCAAGGTGGTTCGTATCGCGTGGAGAGAGCTCATCCAGACTGGGAAGGAAGTTTACTACATAGTATTCGATTGCCACGTCGAGATACCATACCGACACCGACCCGACCCGACCGTGTTCATCTGACCGGACGGAATTGGGTGGTTGGGGTAAATTGCAGATGATACGTACGATGATGTGTTCCGACATCAGGGTTTGAGAGTCTATCTATATATAGTGAGGTTGGGAAGTTACCTTTCTGTACGGAGTACTTAAACTGGCATCCTCGAAGGTTTCAAGGCACTGATGTACTTACTCGCTGCATCATGATTGACCGTGTTGATCAGAGCAAGCAGGCAGGCAGGTTTGAGTAGTGAGTGGGCGCGAAGACCAGCAATGATTGTGTTTGCTCTGTTTTGGCTGGGGAAGTTTACTTTGACTGTAATCTGTAAGCATGATAAAAATCAGCAAGGGAGGAGGAGCAATAGAGCTAAAAATATACTTCCTCTCACTCACCTACTTACTCCGTACAGGCCTCGAGATAAGGTAGGTAGGTATGGTAGGTACTAGTATTCCGTGCTGTGCCAACTCCGCTGTACGGAGTACAGTCACACTGCATTCCCATCCAGCCACATGCGCCCGTCAGGGCTCATTACCTATCTACCTATGACTTGTTGGGCTTGGACCTGGTTAGAACGATCATATCAAATATTGTCTCTGATGACTCTTTCTTGTACGACTTGACTCGATTCGACTCTACGCACGTCCACAGCGTGTTAAAAAAAATACAAAACAAATACAAAAAACGCCATTCCTTGGCCCCTCCATGCCGCTCGGCTGTTTCAAACTGCAACCACCGGTGGCTGCGTGCGTTCCTGCATAAGGATCCGGAGTACTACTAGGTTCGGCCGTTGAGTTTCCTTTCCCTCTAGATCTCTCTACAGGGTGCTCGCTGGACAGGTAGAGCGAAGTCGGAGCCGGAGTTTATCTACTGACCGTGACCGTGGAGACTGGGGACTGGACAAAGCAGCGAGCGACAAAGACAGCGACGAAATCCGACGTTGATCCGTCAATCGTGACTCGTCTGGGCGATCGTTAATCTACTGTACCCTACCGACCGATGACGCCGATGATTTCCAACCGCCTCGGCGGGGGAGATCCCCATGGATTCGCTGGATCCTCGCCCAACCTATTTCGCACCGCATTGAGGCATTCCCCGTACGGAGTAGATAGATACCCCGATCAACAACAATAATGATGCCTGGTCTGTTGATGTCCCCGCCCCCCAAATTGGTATTGCTGGATGGGGTGCGTGTCTAATTTGCTGTCTCCTGTACGACCTACCATGGTGAACCGATGACCTCACCGATCATTTAGTGACTTTGTTAGGGGTCCGTAAGTAGTTTAGTTTGAGTTTAGTTGAGTATTGCCCAAGGCCAACGGGGCCGAAGAAGCAGCAGCAGCAGCAGCTCTTCGCTCCCTTGCGAGGCCCCGAAACCCGGAGAGAGCTGCAGGGAGGTTCGCGGTCTATTGCTGCGCGGGCGGCCAAGACTCCCAAATAATCTCAAATGACTGGAGGAAAAAAAAAAAAAAGAGAGAGAGAGAGCGAGGGAAAAAGAAAACTGCCATTATTCGCCGGCCGGGCGGTGGGATCCATCACGGCATGAACGGGTCTCAAAAAGTGGGCTATGGAGGGGACGACCTGAGAAAGGGGGTTGTGGGCAAAAAAAGTGGACGGGCGAAAAAGAAAAGAAAAACCCAAGAAAAAGCGACGAACGCCGGGCGGGAAGGATAGTGTACTTACTGTGGTAGTATAGTTCGTCTGGCGTGTTTGAATTAAGTAGACATGCTCCACTGGTCTGGAGCAGCGGCGTTGCTTGGGAGCTGGGAACGGTTCCTGGTTCCTGGTGAGAAGTGAGACGAACGGAAACTAGAAAGGTCGTTATCGGTCAGTGGTGGTGGTGACATGGATGGCCCTTCACATCCATCCCATCGAGATCGGGTACCGTCTACCGAGTTAATCGACTGATGGGATCAGTGCGCCGTATCATCTCCGGCCGGTGTGCCTGTTTATAGAGTCGACGTCTCAATAATTAGCAAGCGCATGACTGCTAAAGAGCTTTAGTGCCCCCGTTAACTAGGGGATGCCGACGCTCTCTCCCTTTCTCCACAGTCCACTGCGAATTCTGCAGTGGATCCGGCAACAACGCTCTAGAGACCCTCTTCGGATTAAGTAATTTACTACCACCGACTAACTATTCCTACCTTACTACTTACTATGTACTACACGGTAGATTTACTACCTAATTTGTACTGTGTAGATACTGTGTACATCCGATTTTTGGTCTCTTGACAGTATCTAGTAAACTTAGATATCTACTAGCAGATACTGAGTATCTGGCTGGTCGTACTTTGTAGTCCTGTGTAGACTAGTAAATAGTAGTACACCAAAATCCAAGCTCACGAATGCATATCCGGATGCAGAACCACCCACATGGCCCCAACGCTTGGCGCCACCCACCCCCGTGATTGGCTGTCCCCTGGGCGCAATCTAGATGTGGCCGCCATCTCTCTGCTGTCCTCTCCTCTCCTCTCCTCCCATTTATGATTTCTCCCCCCAAAGCACTGACCTCCCCCTCCCCGAATGCCCCCGTTGACATGTCCGATTCGTTCATTTCTTTCCCCTCGCTCTGTCCCTCATGGCCTAGCAAAAGCTAATCCCTCCCCCCTCCGGTCCTACCGTATGCTGTATGCTTGATACTATCCAATATCTGTCCCGTGGCGCTGGACTCCTCCATCCCCAGTAGCCAATGCGAGATAGCACTCTGTACCTGATTACCGGCTAACCGCCCGAATCTCAGTCCATGGGCACGCCAAACACGGCTATCATTGCTGCTCCGGGCCAGGGTTTAGTCAGGAACCGCGCATGCAAGGGTTGCCCTCGTCCCCTGATCGTGAGGATCTGGAGGATCCTGAGGCAGCGGACCCCTCTTGGTGCTGCAGGAGAGTCAGGTAAGGATGACCGGCGACGTAAGCGCTACCTTTCTCTCCGTCCTCCATTCCCGCGGGGATCCCTTCTGCTCGTCCTGGATTCCCAGGAGGAAGCGATGCCATGTACGTATTACCTTTACCATGTACCATGTACTATGTGCATGACTAGATAGCTGCCCTGGTGGCGCACGTGTCACGCATCGTTACTTTTCCCTGCAATCCTGCCTGCCTCTGACTTGCTCGCTGTCCCCCTCCCCAGTGGATCAGGGTGGTCCGTCCTCTCCGAAAGATTGTGTGATCCGATGGCATTTCTCGGTGGCTTCGCTCAAGACAAACCCCCAGGGTCGGATCCACTCGTTTCGAGCATGCCATCCCGTGTGGTCAATATACCCTGCCTGTCCCTGTCCGGTATATTTGATAACTACTAGTATCCGTTTTTCTCCTGCCGGCTGTTTGTTGTTTCCCCTGGCTTCTTATTTTTCTTCATCTTGCTCGTCATCTCACGTTCTTTCCCTCCCTTTCCTCGTTGCTACGTGCGTGACCCTTCATGCCCGCCATCTCCCCCCTCAGCTATCTCCCGACCATATAATCTCTCTCTCTCTTTCTTTCTTTATTAACCTCCTGCCTGGGTCGCATTGGGTCGTTTAATCGCTTAATCAATTAATCTTCAACAACCACCCGACCCTCACCTTTCTTCTTTCCTTTCTGTCGACTGCCCAGCCAAAATGTATCCAACAAGAACGACCTCGCTCGACCTGAACTACTTAAATCAGCAATTGCTTCCCCGCCGCTACGAATCAGAGGAGGAGGAGGCTTCGGAATCAGAACTGGGGACCTGCGATCATGCATTCTCGCCCGTCAAGTCAGGCGCTCCCTTTGACGCCGAGTCAAGCGCCGATGACCTCTCCAACATGAACTCCCCCGAGTCTCCCCTGGACAACTCCGCGTTCGGTCGGCTGCTGCCGGCTTACTCGTCAGGCAAACAAAGTCGGCCTGTGTCTATCGACACCGTCAAGCGAAGCAGCGGAACGACATTGGTTCCGGATTCGTACATCTTCGATGATGACGACGATGTAATCATCGAGCTGCCTTCCCCTGACTCTACGTCCCCGTTGCAGTCTCCCATCTTCCTTCAGCCAACCGTCTACCAGCCCCCGGCGTCTCCCCTCCCTCAAGATCCGGCACGGTCTTCTTCCCCGGCCTTGGCGGACTCGGATGATGAGACAGACGTGCTCGTGGCAGAGCAGGTCACCTTCGTGGAACCTCATACCAAACCTAATCTAATCCTAATCAGCCCCGTCACCGACGGACCTGTGGTTGAAGAACCCGAGCCCATGTCTGCGGTCTCTGCAGATGTACCACGCCCCTTCGCATCTGGAGGACTGTACTCCCTCAACGAGTGCGCTAGATCACAGCCGTTACTGAGTGACAAACGCCCCGACCATCTGGCCCACCTGAAGCGCGGCAGTCTGCAGTTGAACACCAAATTCGCGAGACAGACTCCCAAGCGGTCGGATACGGATCCTTTCACGGCCCCAGCCCTTCCGGACGTTCCTGAGGCCTCCCAGCCGATGGCCTTGCGCTCGCGATCTATGACTTGGAACCGACCACAGACTTCCGCTGAAGGCGCATCGAACCGCGGACCCAAAGCGGGTCTCCGCCGCCCGCCGTCGATGCAGACTGTCAGCAGCGGTTACGGGATCTTTCCGAGCGCCAAACGACCCGGTTATCCCACCGAGGAGTTCCACGCCCGATCCAGCTCGATGTCTTACTCCATCGCCAGCTCCGACTACAGCCTCCCTCCGTCTCGCACGTCAAGCCCGGCCCCGTACTACTCGTCTCCGACCTTCAACCGGCACCGCTCCGGCTCATCCTACAGCGTGTCCAGCGTGCCGGGCACGTTCCCGCCGCGGCCTCCCGTGCGCAACTCGGTCATGAAATGCTCGACGCCAGCCAGCCTGTACTCCTCCAGCAGTCTGCGGTCGGAGGTGGAGAGCGTCCACAGCGTGGAACCGCGGGATGTCGCCCAGCCGGACGCCAAGACGGCACGGCGGAAGAAGAGTTTTCGACGCAGCAAACACGCGAAGATCGAGGACTCGGAGGAGCAAACGACCAAGAGTTTCATGGGCTTCTTACGCAGCCGGAGAAAGTCTGCCATTCAGAAATAATGCCTAATCTGCAGAATTTTGGGGCTAGTGTTTCGTGTTTATTTTGTTTTATACCTTTCTGGGAAAATTGTCCACGGCTGTCTTTCAACGGAGTTTTCGATTAGCGAGGGATTATGGTCTGGTTTTTCTTTGGCGCCTTTTGGGTCGTTTACTGCACTGGATGCGTGTTTCTCATATCTTATCCCATCCCTCTGCCTTCTGCTACTGCAAGGCTTGAGTTGTTCTGTATCATAGGTACTCTGGTCTCCCTGGAGCGGGCCAACTGAATCAATCGATTGAACATACCACACACACACATACACATTTTGAAATCTTCTACACTAACTCGGAATTACTGCACCCTCGCTTTGAAGAAAGCACGGCAGTCAAACGGCAATGGCACGGACTATCCACACAACTCTGCAGTCGAACCAGGTATGATTGGTGTGATTACCCGGCCCGTACCACATCCATCGATTCGCGGGATCTGAATCTGACTCGGTATTTGATCCACCTCATCTCGGTTCGATCTTCGTTCCATTGGTTGATTGATTGATTGATTGACTGATTGATCGCTAACATGATTTGAAAGATAGGGATCGCAGTTGCCTATTGTCACTACTCTCGTTTGCCTTGATGCAATGCAGCAACTCACCGTTCATGACTTCCAACCCCCCCCCCCTCCCCTTTTCAGGGGTTAAATCCTTCCGCGCCTACCTATTGCGATCTACCGAAGTAGATTAAGCTTTAATCTATTTCATACACGAGATATGATAGCAATATTTTGCAAACGCGGTCTTGATCCCAACAACAACGACAGCAGCAGCAGCAACAGCAGCAACAACAACAAACAGCAGTTCATGAGCGTGATCCGCAATCAGTCGCAATCACGAACTGCTGACAGGGTCTATCCTCATCCATCCAGTGCCGTCGCTAATTTAATTTGTTTTTAAGTTCTTATCCGGATTTTCGGGAAGACTATCCATCTATCTACGCGAGGGGAAGGGAGGGAAGTAAGTAGTAAGTCCAAGTACTACCTAAGGCAGGTACCTCCCTGGTATGAGCTATGAACTATGAACCATAATGAGACATGAACCATTCTTTCAATCACCTCGTTCCGGACATCCGGCACTAAGAGACAGGTTGGCCCGATCGCTTCTTTGTTTCAATGACAAATCTTAGACAGGGTCTGACTCGACTCGACTCAAGAAGTGGAGGTATCGGTATCGGTAGGTATCTGTCATGACTTGATGTTAGACGAGGATGGGATCACGCGATCCCGAGAGATCATCTCCGGGGTTCTTTTTACTCTTCTCTTTTACGCTGGGTATGTAGCCGAGGCGTCGCTGTTACAGATTGGCCTGGTACCGACTATCATTTACCCAGCAATGTTGGGTTGGTTGGTTGGTTGTTGGTTAGTTGGGCGGCCATCCATTATTGAATAGGGGAAGAGGAAGGGGAAGGGAAGGGAGTGCGTCAATCCCCCGCATTCAACGAACCCCGGTGATTAGCTGTCCTCCATAGTCTTCTACAAAGCGAATATCCCATTGTCTTCATTCTATTCGTCTACCTTACCCCCATCGCACGCACTTATCCCTATCTGGCTGGGGTATATAAGACTCTCTCCCTCCTCCTCCTTCTCCACCACCACCACTACCGTCTGCAGACCCCCTCTTCCTACTATACACAACAATCTTGCTACCTGGTCCAACTTCCAGAAGACCCGCAGATACAAACCTCCAAGCCTCCACGTCCAGTATATATCATCCGACGTCATGAATGATAGGCTCCAATAATAATAACGGCTGTATTATACCTCTCTCTGATCCCGACAGATCTCAACTCCCGAAAGACGACTTCCTCTTCTCTTCTTGCCCACCACCCACCACGGGCCGGCCCCCACAACATTCCATCCAATTTACTACTACTACTACTACTACTATAGTAGATCGGAGAATGCTATCTTTTTGGGCAAATGCTGATAGGAGAGAGGAAGGCTATGCATTGATCATGTTCAGAACTCAGACTTCGGGGGGTGGTTTGATTGCGATACCCCATGATTTTAAATGGGTTATGGGTTGGTTCCGGGTATACTCCCCCCTCCTTGGATGGGGGATGATAATGATGATGATCCTCCGCGGAGAAACGTCTTCAAGTCTGAAGAAATGAACATCTACCTTTAATAATTCATATCAAGCACGGTCTTCAACCCCCCTTTACCAAGGATGTTAGTCACCCTGAAAAATGCAAAAGCGAAGCGCCAGTGGCGGCATGAATCAATATTCCACCGCGTCGATCACAACGTCTCCTTGTCCTAAGAAAGCATGGCTGATGCACAGGCCATGGCTATACTATACTATACTATATACCGGTTGTTCATCTCCGCTCCCATTCAATTCCATCCCATTCGCTCCACAGTACAGTGGATCTCTACTCTAATATACCGCGAGCGCGCCTGATTGCCATTCACTGGTTCATTACAATGTCGTCATCGGAAAAACTGCTCTAGCTTAACAAAATGACCACAGCCAAAGGGGAGTTTAATCTGGCAGTTCCGACATCAGTGGCAATCTCAGTCAGTCGGCAGTAGTACGGCCTGGTATGCAACGAAGGCAAAACCAACATCCTATCTCTCAACTATCTAACCCATGTCGGACCGGTCACGGAGGAAAAGATGCTCGGGAACCGTGTCAAACTAACTACGCAGCGTCGACCAGATGGGATTACACATTCTTCCTGTATCGTGATGGAAGAAGTAAGTCGCGCGTCTTATATGTACCGGTTTTGCACTTCATGCTGTCGAAATTCATTCGGAAAAAAAAAAAAAGAAAGAAAGAAGGGAAACAACGGCAGCATTGCTCTGTCATATGCCGCGCACTCTCAGCTGTGCGTGAACCACCTCTAGCTCTCCTTGAATGGATGGTACCGCGGAGTAAAGGAACGCTTCCTGCCTGGTCCTTCTATCTGGCGAGAAGGGCAGCGTCCTTGTCATGTCAGAGCACTCAGCGGGATTCGACATAGTCAGTATGAAGACTACTACCAAATGCCGTCGACGGTGGGTGGCTTCCCGTGGACGTGGACGTGGAAGGGAAGGGGGATGATTGCTGAACCATTGACAAGCGCATCTGGATTACCATCGGTCCCCATGTCTACACTCGGTGCGAGGGAACTGGAGGGAGAGACAACTAGTTCCCCGACAATACCTAATCCCTGAAAGCGGCCCCGAGGGAATTCACGCATACCAGTATAGTGCGTTGCTATGTGCTAAGCACCCTCGCTTCCGATATGTGGTGTTTAACGCCATGATACGGGAACACGCAGGTCGATGAGCAGGATTATATGCGCGCCAGCAGCAATCCGATCTTATAGTCGAGGAGTTGCAAGCGGCGTTCGATGACCCGTCTCGGGTTACCTGGATACACCCTGTATAGCAAGATAATTGGGCCATTAGAGTACTGGAAATACTACGTTCCTCGAGGGGTGGGCGACGAACACGGCGTCTAAGGACGATTCGGATCTCGAGCAAAACATTGGCCAGGCAATGACAGGAACTTTTGAATCACGGGGCGAAGAGTTCTCTCCAAGTGAAGGGGTGTCAATGGTGGCACGCCTGTGATATTGGGCGTGGGCTTGAGGATATACCGAAGTGTTTCGGACTCGAGTCATGCCATCTGTCGCCGACACCATCACCATACAACACCAAGGTCATCTCTGTTGCTCGTGGCCATGACAATGGATGATAACCGGGTAACTCTGTAGGACATCCACATATTCATCCATCCACCCAGGTCAACCATGTAAATCAAACCAACCTCTGATGGATCATGGGCCTCACTGCGAGCAACGATGTGAGTCTTCCTTGAAATGCCCCAGAAACAATACTGAACACGTTCAGACACGTCCAGAGTATGCGAGCCCGAATGATGCAACACGAACATCAGCAACTTTTGCAGAGGGCCATCGAGTGTGGACTCGAAGAAGCTCGAGATCACGACATGATGCGAACGTCAGGACGAAACGTTTACGAAAGGCGCATCTGTAGCATCCTTGAGAAGCATACGGATGTACTCACCAAACAGAGAGCGACTCACGTTTCTCGGAATATTCCTGGTAGGTGGAGGGAGTCGGGTGCCTTGTGAGTCAGGCTGAAAGCGTGAAGTGAGTGAGATCAAGGGAAATTCACCTGGGAAATGCCCGGGCGTGCTCTGCCAGCGGCTGACACGTCCCAGTATTCTACACAGTATTTACCTATCTTAGAAGACATTTTTTGCTTTACCTTAGACCCGATCCTATGGAACTTTAACATTATCTCTTCCTAATTCCCTTAACCTTTTTTCTCCACTCCATAGTTCCCAAGATACCTAGTTCCCCTCAAAGACAAAAAAAAAAGAAAAAAAAAAGAGACATCTATCAAGAAACCAATTACCCTGAAGCTGTCTCATACACACTACTCTCAGTATTTTTGACGCCAATATAATGCGGACTACAGACCGCAGACTGCGCACAAAGCCCAACTTTCCTCTTCCTTTTTCTCGTCCAACTGAATCTATGACGCAGACGCAGACGCAGACACACACACAACGACCCAGATCTGGCACGAGACAAAAAGCATCCCCATGACTTGAATCCAGGTGTCTTTGGTAACCAACCACGCATGGACCATCGATCCACTCCCTGATAAACTGACTGACGATCGACGATCTTCAGCTATCAGAAACAGGGCTTGAAAACAAGATATAAAAAGAAAGACACAATAACCACCCCTGAGAGAAATACAATCTGGACCAGAAGAGCTAACAGCACAGAACACTGTAAACTATCCAAGAAAAAAAAAAGAAAGAAACAAAACGAAACGAAAGTCAGAAACGTTGATCGAATTTTCATGAATACACCTATTCATTATTCAGATCTTTCTCGGCTCGGGATAACCTCAAGGAGCAAGCAACAACGCAACTCCGATCCTCTCAGTCACAATACAACACAAGTCAGAGAGAGTCAGAGTGCTTCCGATTGAACCATTAAATCATTCATTCCCTCGATCTCAAATCTCAATCAGATCTGTGAGTGATCTTGTCAATTGTCTGATCGAACTTGTTACTTGATCGCAATACGGTCCAGGCATATATAAAGGCCGCCGGCTTCCCCCCGCCCCCAAAACAAAGGAAAAAAAAAAAAAAAAAAAAAAAAAAACTATATTGGCCAAAGTGTCTGGACCTCTCTCTACCTACCAGAATGTTTCTCTTCTACGATTAGCCATATGGTCAATTTTCTCGTGTTTGTTGATATGTGTATCGGCGACTGTCGTGCTGCACATGACTGGCAACATGGATCGGTTTGTTGATGCGATTTATTGATATATTACCGAGTCCAGTCTTGTTACTTTATTCTGTCTGGTACTGGCGAGGACGTAGATAGAAGTGCAAGTCGGATCATTAGCATTGAGGATAGAAAAAGGTCCGAAAGCAATCAATTATGTACAGATAAAGATCAAGGAGTCAAAACACATAACCATGATTACATTTACGTTGACCGACCGTCTATAATACTTCACGGGGAAAAGTATCGCTCGTCGAAAGGTCCGCGCATAGCAGCGCATCAACGACGGCACGAAGAAGTAAAAACATAGAATACAGCCTGGAAGCAGCCAGTGCAAGTCTCTTCTTGCCTGGCACATCCTCAGGGAGAAATTCACCCGCTCCAACATACCCTCGCTGGGATTGGCTTTGCACCCTCCTGCAAAGCGGCGGCGCCACATGCATAAGCTGGTCGCGAAGCAAGGCGACCAGGTCGTCAATATCGTTCATTAAATAGTTATAAAGATTTTTGATGTCGGATTAAAGCATCGAGGTCAGAATCCAAATGCGCTGTGCGGTTGCGGTATTATCGCCGGTCCATGTATTCGCCAAAACACGAGTGGTGAGGCGAGCAGCGGACGGAGAATAAGTTGGTCAAAAGTGGGTTGCAGAATAGAAGAGTTTTACCGCAAGACTTAAGCCTTACGAGAGCGGGTAGTAGGGCCGTTGGAGCGGCCGGTGGACACGGCAGCGCCGTTCGACTTGTTGCTCTTGTCTCCCGCGACCTCGAACTTGGCCATGTCGATAACAGCCTGCTTGCCGGTGTTGCGACGGGGGCGGCCAGTCTTGGCAGCCTTCTTGTAGGTGACGATGTAGAAGGAGATGAAGAGGAAGAGGTAAGAGGTGATGACGGCCATTCCGGAGAAGGCGGCGAATTCCTCTCCGGCACAGCTGCCCATGTTGGGAGCCCAAGGGAAGTAGGTCGAGGTGAAGTAGGTGTACGAAGCGAAGTAGACAAAGCCTGCTTTCTGTTAGCCGATGCCCCCGTGGGAAAAGCAGTCGCGTTTACTCACCAAGATCAATGACGAACTGGATGATCTGGAGGCGAGTGATCCACTCCTTCCACCAGATGCGAATGCCACGGGCGCTCTGGAAGTAGTACCAGTACATAACAACGTGGACCAGAAGGTTGATATCAATGACCACCCACGAGACGGCGGTCGAGCCGATAAGCTGAGTGTAGCAGAGAAGAGCGGTAGCGCCATGGTGGTAGGTGTGGAGGAAGGTCAACGGCTTCTTCTTGAGGAAGAGGAAAACGGTGTCAAGGAGTTCGAGGTACTTGGTGAGGTAGTTGAGCTATTCCGGGTCAGCATGCTGGCTCCGAGCAGACGATTTCTACCCAATTGCATTACTCACGTAGTACAGAACGACCAGGGGCGACGTCCATCCACCGTCGTGGTTGCAAATAGAGAAGAAGATACCGTGTCTCCAGATAGTAGGAAGAAGCTGCTCGATGAAGAGGGCCAAGAGGGTTCCGCTGATCAGGGTCAGGTAGAGGTTGTGGATCATGAACAGGGTGTTGAGCTTGAAAGCGGGTCTGTTCCTCATGAACTCGCGACCTCCGAAGATGATCACATAGTAGGCAACAAGCGCGATGGCCGTCTCATTCAGAGTGGACATGGGCGTCACGCCTCTCTCGAAGTGGAATTCGCTGGTGGGATAGCCCACCACGGTTTCGAACGCCTTGTCGAAGATGGGCCATAGGTGAATGCCAAACGGCCGATCGATCGTCGGACGGGGGAGATTTTGCAGGAATTCCATGTTGAGCGATCAAGAGATACCAGGTTAAAGCAATGGATTCTTCCGACGGAACAATGCACGCGAAGACACCGAAACCCTCCTTTTCTTAGCTTGCTCAAGGGTCGCGGGAATGCTGACCGAGAACAGCGGAGGAGTGGGTAGGGGGGGAAGGGAGAAGAAGACAAAAGAGGTCCAAATGAAGGAAAGAAGAAGAAGGAGATGGAGAGACTGGAGGGAAGCGTGGAGAGAGAGGGAGGGGAGGGGAGGGGAGGAGAGGAGGGAAGAAGAAGTAGAAGTAGAAGAAGCAGAAGCAGAAGGAAGCCGGTGGCCAGTTCGCAATGGAGGAAGGGAAGGAGGATCAATCCGCGTGTCTTTTTTTTGGGGCCTCCGGCACGCCCGCAGCGGCCGAAAGCGGACTAGCGCAGCCTCGGCCAGTGGGAAAAAAAGGGGGCGTCCGCTTTAGGGCCCGGCGATCATGTGCCATCCCCGTCTCCGGGTTTGTCACGACAGTCAGGCACCTAATTTCATGCTGGGCGCGTTTCCCTGGATTCGGACGACCTGGACGTCCTGGATAATCTAAATGGCCCTGGACGTCCTGTATGGCTGAGTGATTTCCCGCAGATCGTTGGAGCTGAACCGCACGTTGGCAGTGGCACGCTTGACTCGATGATGGCTATGGCTCGATGGCTCGGATCTGGGAACTGGCCGCTAATAGCCGGAAAGTGACTGGTCAGTCGTCATCTCATCTCATCTATTACGGAGTCCATGGGGAAGACCAAAGACCACAGACCACAGACCACAGGCCACCACATTCCTACTTTCACATGCCTCACTGGCCTGGCCTCAGCTCTCTCTGGATAGATAGTAGGTATTCTAGTGGCATGATGTCAATCAAAATCAGTACCGGCTACTTAAAACGTCAACGGTTCATATTGTTTCAATTCGGGTACGCGAAAGCAGGCGGGGAAGTGATGGAAGTACGGAGTAGATAGTAGTACCAGCAGTCAACCGTGAGCCCAGATCGGTCCAGGGTTCCGATCTGTGCGAACATACGACGTTTCAGATTTACAGGGTCCTACGTTTAATGTGAGGCTCCTCCAGGTATTCTAGTATTATCCTCGAGGCTTCGAGAACACCATTGCATGACTAGCGGCGGGATTGTGTTGTTTCAGAAGCAGAAATCTCATGACGAATCTGTCAGGGACTTTGACGAGAGTCCGATGTATCTGGAGCCGGAATGAATGGCGGCAATTAAACTGAGGGGATGCTTCAAAATTGAGACTAGGAGGGTTAAAATGATCGCCAACCAGGGTGCAAGTCAACAGCAGCCAAAAGTCAAAAAGGGCGGCAGGATCTGGAACGCGGACCACCTGCAGGCTCATTGCAGCAATGCAATAATATCCAGGTCCCTGGATCCAGCCAGCTATTACCAGGAGTTTGTTCGAAACGAAACACCTTGGATTTCACGGCTGCAGTGTATGATCCATGATCTCGCAGCGGACCAATCAACGGGCGCAGTTTGCGCAAGTGCGCCTCCTCCAATCAAAGGCGGCAGATAGAAATGACGACCGGAACGGACGGCGGATGACAGCATGGCGGCCTGACGGCCTGATGGAGGTCTTTGATGCCTGAGGCCGGACGGACTCGGGCGCGGGCGGGAAGAAAGCCGCAAAGGAAAGGCAGGCGATTATCAATGACGGGCTGACCTGTTGCCCGCCTGAGGCACCCACAACCTCACACCACCCGCAAAATCCTAGCGCAGCCGGCTACACCTCTGACTTCGACCTCGTCAACACCTCGCCCGTCCGCTCTCCCCTCACCCACGTCCACTCGTCCACCTCCACAACCCACCCCCTCCCTCGCCATGTCGCCGATTTCCGTCTTCCGCGTCGCCACCCGCGCCGTCCGCCCTTCCGGCTTCCTCAGAGCGACCCAATTCCCCCGGGCCCGCGTCCAGGCCCCCGTGGCTCTGTCCATCGGCCGTCCCAGCTTCAGCACCTCCGCGAAGCGCTTCTCCGGCCACCACGAGGATGAGACATACGAGGAATTCTCTGCCAGGTATGCCACTCACGATCGGTGAAGCCATTGGGCGCCGAGACCACACCCACACTGCCCCCGGTTCCGGTCGAAGGGGATTCAGATTCACACCGTGCCCGAGCGATCCTTCCTGATGCCACCACCCACCATCCAATTGCGGATGACATCCGGACTGACCAAGCTGTCAATAGATTTGAGAAGGAATTCGATGGTGTCCAGGATGTTTTCGAGCTCCAGGTAAGCCGTGCGCCCATCTCGCACGTCCCAGCTCCTTTATCAATCACCCCCCCGTAATCAGCAACGCTGCCATTGGCAGATCACCTATCAGGCAATATACTGACCAAGTCACCCTTCACAATAGCGCAACCTGAACAACTGCTTCGCCTACGATCTCGTTCCCTCCGTTGAGGTCCTCACCGCCGCCCTGAAGGCTGCTCGTCGCGTCAACGACTTCCCCACCGCTGTCCGCGTCTTCGAGGGTGCGTTATCTCATCTCCGTCCTTGTCCCTGATTTGATCACCACCATCCCATTTTCCCTCCAAGACAAGCCAGACCTAACACCCCCTCTTCCATACACAGGTATCAAGGCCAAGGTCGAGACCCAGGAGCAGTACAAGCAATACCTCGAGGCCCTTGAGGGTCTTCGTCAGGAGCTGGGTGTCGCTCTCCGGGAAGAGCTCTACCCCCAGGAGGAGTAAACAGCACACACACCCTTGTCCGGAAATTATATCTCGTCATGTTTCTTCCCCCCCGCCGCGTCAATTGAGATAGGAAAGCTGTATACATACTCTAGAAGTGCAGTTGGAATGAAGTCGCTGGTCCCTTTTTTTTCCCAGTTATCTCTCGGTGGTGTTTGATTATCCATCCCATCCCATCTGATACCGACTTCCTGGCCGTTGGGGGGTTGGTTAAATGGAGGTGGCACCGCGTGCTTTTGCTATACCAGTGCTACTTATAAATTTTGTGTGTGAGCATTTGTCTGTATTTCTGTATTATTGGTCATAGTGCGGAAAATAAGACGGCGTCGTTCTAGTATAATTTGCTACGGGATATACGGGGTTGGTGGGTGCTACTACTGGTGTTAATTCTGGTGGCTGTGGAATGGACTGCGCAGTTTCTACTATGTAGGATGATACTATATAAAACAACACCGTGACGATGACACGACACCCTTGCGAGGTGGTAGGTCGTAATCTAATAACCAGGGAGGTCAGGAAATAAAGGCGGTAATGAGACCAATACTAGAGGGACCTCTCCAAATTAATGTATTTGAGTATCTTTTGATGATGCATCAACAGCGTGAAGCACAGGGAATAATGATATAGGTACAAATCAAGGCCGCTCCAGCGATCCTGTCTCAAGGTAGATAGATAACAACAGCGAAGACTAGATAGATAGGAGGGCGACGACGGAAGTATGAGGGAAACAAAAAGGGAAAAAAAAAAAAAAAAACCAAAGGACAACCAACAATCTCCCTTTGAAACGCCGCCGAGATTTTTTCTGATATGGATTTTGAGGATGACTCTGGTCATGAATGAAGAATGATACTGTATGTATGTATGTAACGAGAATGAAACAAGGCCGTGACGATCGCGCGCACACCGAGACCCGCATATACCACCTACAATGCCAAAATGACACGTAGGTAATCTCTAGTACCGGGATGGAGGGAAGCATGTCCCTGGCGCCAAGCACGAGAGTATAATGTTTATGATAGGATTGGGCCAGGAGGAAACGATACCTGTTCGTTTCATCTGACGGGGGAAGGTTTCAATGGCCATGTTTAGAAATGCGCGCCGTGATTTATGCACAACTGGTTTGATGTATGATGCAGAGGTAATGGCTTGGCACGTTTAGTGCGTTCCGACGTGGTGGAAGTAGCTGGGGCGACAATCCTCCTTCGCCAGCCAGGATTCACCACCGTACATCTTGCCGGGTGTGCAGCCGGAGCACTTGGGGGAGTTGGGGCAGTTGTAGTAAGGGATGTGGTTGTATCCGATATCGCGGAACCTAGAGAAAGGGACATGGTAAGAATAAATTCTCTCTTAACGCTCGGAGCAGCCGACTCACCAGTGGACCTTGGACGCATCCGCGAAAAGACCGATACCGATCGAGTGAACAGGAGCATCACCCCATCTCTCGTAGTAGAAGCCACCCGCGCGGTCCAAATGATCGAAGTAAGCAGAGTACTGCTCGCCTCTGAAGAACTCCATGTCTCCAATCTCAAAGTTGGACCAGAAGTGGCAGGTCGAGTACCCGTTTCCACCGGCAGTGTGCTCGGGGCGGAGTTGATCGTCGGTCAACCAACCCATCATGTTGTTCTCAGAAAGGTAGGAGGGGTTCGCGGCAAGGAACTTCTTGGTCTCGGGCCAGAGAGACGGGATACTCTCGGGGGCGTCGAAGAGGTTGATCGTGAATCCGTAGGTGATGTTGTAGTCCGCCACGTAGCGGAAGACATCGTAGTCAACGTCACAGAAGAACTTGACCTTGGGCTCGACGCGCCAGTAGTAGCGAATATCCTTGAGAGCGGGATGCTTGTAGAACATGCCACTGTTCCAGCGGCACATCTGGTGATAGGAGACCTTGTCGCTGTACTGGATCTTCTTCTCCTTGAGGATCTGCGCCGATTCCTGGAAGAGGTCCCAGTTGATCCATTCGGGGACTTCCCAGTGCTCCTTGGGCACTTGCTCTGGAAACGGATGTCAGAAAGCCATAGCCATCGCAACTTGAGGTCGGGTTTATATACCGAAGTAGCACTTCGCCTTGGTCACCTCCTGGGTCCGTTTCTTGAACTCCTCCGTGAACGGCTGGTCGTTGAAGAAGATCCAGGGATAGTTGAATTTGCTGTTCCAGGTGCGCTCGAGGTCACGCATGGTCGGGATCAGTTCGTGCAGCTCTTCATTGCGCACCAGAGAGATGAGGGCTGCGTTGGCACGAGGGGAGTTGGTGCTCTCGGGGGAATAGTCGCCGTCCGTCACACGCCATAATTTGCCCGAAGGTTCTCCGGTTGCTGGTGGAAGCAAAGCGATCAAGTTAGCCCACAGGGATTCGATTTAAGCATAGATAAGGGAAGGAACTAGCGTTGGTGGGGGCGTACGGTCTTTGAGGGGATCTGTCGTGATGCCCTCATACGGCTGCGCAGCGTATGGCCCCTTACTAATGGAGAAGGATGGGGACTTGTTCATCTGGAAGATGAGAAAGAGGATAAGGATGATGCACGAGGCACCAAGCATGCGAATGGGCCTTGCGACAGCCATCTTGCCTGTCAGCGAGCGCCTGAGGACGAGATGACGGAGGAAAGAGCGACAAGAGATGAGTTTGGGAGTCTGGGAGTCTGGGTCTGGCTGGGCGACACACGACAGGTAAGTGACTTGCTATCGCAATCATTCTTTGCCGCCTTTCCCAGAAGGGGCTAGCGCGCCCGCACCCCCAAACACTGCCTTCCGACTTGCCGCCCGCTCTTCGGCTCCAAGCGTCAGCGCCGCGTAACGCACCCAGTCTGCTCCATTCTCACGGGCTTTAGCTGGCTGTCGGGTCATGGGAAGATAATCCCCTCGACCCTGGCTTGCTGCTGCTGTGCCTATCATGGCCGCCGCAGCCGATCTGAGTGCGCTAACAGACGAGCTAATCACCTCCATCACGCAGTCCGATAGAAAGGTATCTACTACTCCAGTCCATTTGAGCCCCGGCCATATCAGATCCCATGCTGATACATCCGTACAGGACACGCTGCAGTTCAGGACCCTGAAACGTCGGACTGAGGACACTTTCAAGGCGCACGCTCACACCCGCACGGACCAATTCGCCGTCGCGAAGCAGCTCGAGGGACTACAGGAGAAATTCCAGGTCCTTAGTAGAGATGAGCTGGCAGACGCCCTTCGTGCCCGGCTGACGGAGCTGGACCAGCATCGCAGTCCCTGGTTTCCAGAGATCTTATCTTTACTGTTGCAGCTGGCGGATCACCCTGCTCAGTTCTCAAAGGTCGATCAGGTCGCAAGACCCAAGCTCAGAGAGGAAGTAAAACCACTCGTCTGGAACCAGCTGGACGCTGCTGGATCAGCGTACTGTGAGGAGGATATTTGGGAGAGTGTAGACTTTGGTGCTGATTCGTCGGATGACGACCTTTCATCCATATCCACTGACAGCTACCGTACGCGGAATGAAACACAAACGTCCATAGACATAGAGGACGATTATGTGATCCCCGAGGAGCTCTTTACTTCCGGGGAGGATGACGAGCTCATGAACTTGATCAAAAGAGCACAGTTCTGGAATAGTGCAGAGAACCCGGTCGCTGACCAGGGCGAACCCTCTTCTCGGGTCATCACGGAGCTGCAGGTCATAAGAGAGACTGTATTCATGTTGCAAGGACTGCCAACATCTCTTTTCTGGCGACTTGACGGTAGGGTCGAAATATCCAGGAGATACGCAGTCGCAAAATTGTCGAATGTGACCTTCCTGTCACTCCTGCGAGCATTGAGCTCGATCGGGACCAAACTGGATCTTGTCAGGCAATTTAACAAATTGCCACAGACCATTCCATATATGCAGACTTTTCATCGAGGCGTTGAGAGTCATCTGAGCAGGTTTGATACATTCCTGTCGAGCGTGCAACTCCAGCTTCTTTCTCGAGCGTCAACCGTGTCTGCCAGTCTTCTGCAGGTCTTTGAAGATGTTCGCCGTGAATCTAGACTGCTCTTGATGTTATCGGAACTTGTGTCTAGCCTTGTATCTGATGTATCGGGGTCTTCCATGCGGTGCCTTGATTTAATGTACGATCTAATTTGCCTGACTCAAGCTACCGGTGATGATGATGGGTTCATTAACCTTGCTGAATTGTTCTTTTCGTGTTTCGATGTTTATTCTCGCCCAATCCGCCTCTGGATGGAAACAGGGCAGCTGGAAGCTTCACCCGGAAACGAATTATTCATTCTTGAGAACCGAAATCATGGTGATCTGCGGACGCTATGGCACGATTGGTACACACTGGACGCGGCTTCAAGACTTCTAGAGGCCCCGAAATTTATCCACCCGATCGCGCACAAGATCTTCATCACGGGCAAGAGCATGATGTTTTTGCGACACCTAAATATGTCTGAGATTGAAGAAACAATAAGTATGTCTTCTTTGACATTTGAAGACGTATTACCAGCAGGCTCCGCTTCATTCTGCCTTCCCTTTTCCATTCTGCTCGAGACTGCATTCGGGAGGATGGTGGACAAAAACCACTCCTATGCGTCAGCGCTGCTGCGCAAAGAACTTGACCAGCAATGCGGCTTGTGGAGGTCGCTTGAAGCCTTGGAGTACATCTATCTTTGCAAGGATATGAGCATATTTGGACCAATTGACAGCAAGATATTTGATCTTATCGATCGAGGGAAAGGCGCCTGGAGTGACCGGTTCCTCCTGACAGAACTAGCCCAGAGCTCCTTCGATATCCTGCCTTTGGTTGATCCTTCTAGGCTCATTGTCCGAACAAACCAGGACGCCCATATTGACACCAGTAGTCGCAACAGATCAGTCAAAATCCTCAACGCTATCTCATTTGACTACATTCTACCCTGGCCCGTCGCGAATATCATTACCAAAGACGCCATCTCGGGCTACCAGCGTATTTCCACATTCCTAATGCAGATCCGCAGAGCAAAGCAGACAATCGTGAAACAGCGTCTGCAGCACAACAACCAATCCGACAAAATCCAGGACACTCGAAACAACACATTGAGCTATGCCCTACGGCACAACATGATCTGGTTTCTCAACGCTCTATACAGCCACATGACGGACTTTGTTGTCTCCACGGCTACCGCGTCGCTCCGTAAAACCCTCTCTGCGTCCGCTGACGTGGATGCCATGATCGCAGCACATCACTCGTACATGTCTTCTTTGCAGGAACAATGTCTTCTGTCCGCAAACCTACACCCTCTTCACAAAGCAACCATCACCATTCTAGACCTCTGTGTTTGCTTCGCAGATATCCAAACCTCCCGTTATGGTGATAACCACCTTGACCATGCCCGGACTGCAAGCAAGGGCATGAAAGGCCTCAACCGGGGTGCTGCATATGATGACGATGAACAGAGTGATGATGAGGACAAAGAGGAAGATGAATCCGACATTGACGATGACAAACTCGCTGCCTCTTTCCACGAAACACATTACCTCCAACGAGTGCGCGACATCAAAGATCAGTTCGATCGACTGGTTTCTTTCATGGTAGCCGGTCTGAGGGGTGTAGGACGGGTTGATGGCCAGATCAGCTGGGAGATCTTGGCCGAGAAACTTGAATGGCGCAAAGCAGGTGGACAGCAGGGACTTTAACTCGTGTTATTATTTTTCTTAGGATTTGGATTACTGGCTAGGTCGTGATACCCGGGAATTGGAATATTATTTGCAGCGTTTTTCTTTTTCAAATTCACTACCCTGAGGACATTGTAAGGATCACTAATCCCTCCTTTAACCATGCTGCCAACCATCCCTCATCCACGTTTGCTCATCATTGAGAAACCGCCCAGTTCTTTCAACTCCCCAATCTCTCATAGACAAAACCCTGCGATCGAGCTGACAAGCGGCGGTCCCCACGCGAGCATCAACCTCTCATGACTCTTCCCCTCACCCCATCCCCACTGTTCACCGAGCTGCCAACCAGTACTTATTGTAGGTCGCTCTGAGAAGCCCCCCCGTTTCTGGAAACACTCTAATCTTTCACAGTCAAAAGCCTGCAATCGATCTCAAACGGCGGTTCCCACGCAAGCATCTCTTCTCTCTCATGCCTCTTCCAGTTATTCCAACCCGTTAGTTCCAGTGGACAATCAGCCCTCTTTCCAAGAGAATATCTGACAAATTCCAACGACAGAACATGGCTCCAATATATCTTATCGTCCCCAACTCGGCCAACCGCCCACACGTGCCACAACCACGCCCTCATCAGCGCCCAATACCTTTCTACCGATCCAACAATGTCACTCAGGTGAAGCGTTTCCGACAAACTCGCATTGGGCCCATATATCGGATGGCGAAGGATCTCCTCATCCCCAATCGCCCGGACATCAAAGTCCATGCGCTGGACATCGACCGGGAAATCATCCCCCCATGGCTGTTGGGGGTTGTTGTTGTGCATGGGCTTAATAAAGAGCATCGATACTTTGCGCAGGCTAGGTAGTTCATGCAGGGGCGGCATCCGTACCAAGTGATGTCCAGCTCGATTCAAGATATTGTGGATCCCAATGTGTTCGATCCGGGATGTATCCAGGCCGGAGAATACCGGGAATCGGGTGTTCTCGTGATATGTGTTGAACCCGTCGAAGATGGTGAAGATATCCGTCTCGTAGCTGATGAATGGAGTCTTGAAGTTGATGGTGTGAGATTTGTCATGTACTTCGATGCGCGTCGATCGCGGGGGCTGGTAGTAGCGGCGGAGCCACACAGTGCGGGACTCTTGGCAGGCGTGAAGCGGCGGGAAGATGGCCTCGGTGCGAGGATGGATGATGTAGTTCATCTTGGGATAGATTGGGGGGCGACCACGGCCTTGGTACGGGCGCTTGAAGCGAGCGAGGAGGCCGACGATGCGCGTCGGTTGGGGCACTCGTTCCCAGATCATGAGGCGGAGTTCTGCGGGGAGCTCGAGGAAGCGGGTGAATTCTGTAGGTGTCGCCATTTTATTTCTCGCTTGCGTTCTTTTTCGGGGGTTCTTTTTTTTTTTGGGAGTGTGGTAAGGGTCTGTCTGGTATGGGGATAAACAGAGAGTGGTTAAGGATGTTAGAGCGCGGTGGTGAAGAGGGGAGGTTGAAGAATAGAGGCTCGCGCTGAAGCTGGGGGCTTTTATAGCCCCCTTTTCCTGACGGCGTCATGTTGAGTGAGTGAATGGATGTATCCATGCTGAGTGAATAAATGGACTGCGTCTGCACTGTGTGAAGTGGGTAAGTGAGTGAATAGTCAATTTGTCGCCAGGTCTGGGGCGCACAATGGATGATAGTCAAAAAGCATGTCGGGCGTTTGTGTCGTATTGCAGTATGCTCACAGATTAGTATTCTTCTTTCATAACTCCAGAACATCCAGCAACATGCAAACTCAGTTAGAGAGGAAATACGCATGAGAAACAAAAGAGGATTGATAGCATTCACATTCTGAGTTCCTAATCTGTGCAGAGTAGTATTTGCAAGAGTGAATCTGATAATTCAATTCAACACATGTCATCATAAAGCATAAAGGCAAAAGGAAATAAAGCTATAGAAGGCATAAAAAAAGATGTATTTATATCATGATAAAAAAAAGAAAACAATGATGTGCACAATGTCCCGACACGTGCGTCGAGCTATTTTCTCAACTCCAATTAGAACTGTGGACCAAACCACATATTTGCAAGATAACGATGACAGACAGACAGAAGTTGTGTCATCCAACTTTTAGCCAACCCATCTTCTGGCGCTGAAGAAGACACGACCCCAGGGGCCAATCTCACCCCACTCCTCGGCGGCCTTGGTGGGCAGGTAGCTGGCAATGCCGCCCAGAACGGTACGTTCGGGGTGAGGCATGATGGCCAGGACACGGCCGTCGGCGCTGCGCACACCGGCAATACCCTCGGGACTGCCGTTGGGGTTGGCAGGGTACTTGGTGGTAGGCTTGAGGGTGGTGGTGTCGACGTATTGGACGGGGGCCAGGCCTTCGCTGACGAAGGATTGGGCGTCGGTGCCGGAAGACGGGGCGAATGAGGCGCGGCCCTCTCCGTGAGCGACGGCAATGGGGAGGGAGGAGCCGTCCATGCCGTGGAGGAAGACGCTCGGACGAGACGGGTTGGACTCGGTGATACGGACCATGCAGACACGGCCTTCGTACTGTTCGCTAGTGTTGCGCTCGAAGCTGGGCCAGTTCTGGGCGCCGGGGATCAGGTCCTTAAGGCGGGAAAGGAACTGACAACCGTTGCAGACACCGAGGGCAAAGGTGTCGGGACGCTGGAAGAAGGACTGGAATTCGCTGCGAGTGTTCTCGTGCAGAAGGACGGACTTAGCCCATCCCTGACCGGCACCGAGGACGTCACCGTAGGAGAAACCACCACAGGCAGCAAGACCGACAAAGCTGGAGAGGGAGACACGGCCAGAGATGATATCGGTCATGTGAACGTCAACAGCGGAGAAGCCAGCCGTGTTGAAAGCGAATGCCATCTCGGCCTGACTGTTGACACCCTGTTCACGCAGAATAGCAACACGAGGCTTGTTGCTGAATGGAGACAGCTGGGTCAAGCTGGTCATGAGAGGCATGGCTCTGTCCTTGGGGTCGAAGGAAAGGTTCCATGACAGACCGGGGTCGGTGTTGTCAAGGATGCCAGCAAACTCCTGGTCAGCGCAAGTAGCATTATCACGCATCTTCTGCATGTGGTACGAAGTGGTGGCCCAGGTTTGCTGGAGCTCAGCACGGCTCTTGCGGTGGAGCAAGGTGTGCTTGTGGTAGATGGTGAGGTTCTGCTTGGCCTTCTCGGAAACACGTCCGATCTTGTGGATAAGGCCAGCCGGGGGACCGCAGGTGGCGAAGCAAGAACGGAACTGAATCTCGTGCTCCTTGCGGACCTGGAAGACGGCACCGAGCTCTTCGGTGAATAGAGTCTCGATAACGTCCTTGGTGCTGGAGGTGGAGCAGATGTTGTCGAGCATAATCTCAACACCGCAACGTCCGGCAAACATCATCTCCGCAAGGGTGGTGAACAGACCACCATCGGAGCGGTCATGGTAGGCCAGAACGATGCCAGCATCTTGCAGAGATTGCGTAGCGTCGAAGAAGTCCTTGAAGATCTCGACATCACGCACATCAGGACACTCATCACCGACCTGCTTGAAGACCTGAGCAAGAGCGGATCCACCCAGAGTCTTCCGGCCGAACGAGAGGTCGACAAACATGAGAACAGTCTCACCAACCTCCTCAGGACGGCGAAGGGCGGGAGTCCAAGTCTTGCGGAAGTTTCCGACAGGTGCAAAAGCGGTGATGACAAGAGACATGGGAGCAGTAACCTCCTTCGCCTCCTGAGAAGCCTCGTCCTTCCACTTCATCTTCATGGACATAGAGTCCTTTCCGACGGGAATGCTGATGCCAAGCTTAGGGCAAAGGTCCATGCCGATAGCCTCCACAGCCTCGTAGATGGCAGCACCCTCTCCGGGATGGCTGCTGGCCGACATCCAGTTGGCGGAAAGCTTGACGCGGCTCAGGCGCTCAACCAGGTCCGCGGCGGCAATGTTCATGAGCGACTCAGCAACTGCCATGCGCGCCGACGCACCGGGGGATATCAGAGCCAGACTAGGCTTCTCACCCATAGCCATGGCCTCACCGGTCGCGACACCCTGGACCAACGCTGTGGCAGTGACGGCAACATCGGAGACGGGAGTTTGCCATCTTCCGACCATCTGGTCACGGGCGGTCAAACCACCAACGGTTCTGTCGCCGATCGTGATGAGGAAAGACTTGGAACCGACAGCGGGAAGAGACAGAACTCTGGTCGCGGCTTCGCTGATAAGCTCAAGAGGGTTTGCCGACTGGGAAGGCAGATAGGTGGTAAGACTGGCATCCACAGCAGGCAGCTTCAGTTTGCGGGAGTCCACAACCCTGGTCATCTTGGGGGGCTTGCCGAACAGAACGGACAGAGGGAGGTCAATAGGCTTGGGGTACTCAGCGGACTCTCTGTCCAAGAGAATGAGTCTCTTTTCCTCCTCAGACGTGCCACCGCCACGGCCGACAACGGAGAAACCGCAACGTTCACGGTTGGCAATGGCAGTGAACTTGTTCATGCTTTCCTCGCCAACGGCCAAGACGTATCTCTCCTGCGCCTCGCAGCACCAAATCTGCATAGGGCTCATGCTCTTGTCCGTGCTGTCAACTTCACGAAGTTCAAAAGTGGCACCGAGACCAGAGTCGTGGATCAGTTCGGGAAGGGCGTTAGAAAGACCACCAGCTCCCACATCGTGGATGAACTTGATGGGGTTGTTGTCGCCCATAGCAGTACAGGCGTTGATCACTTCCTGAGCTCTGCGCTGGACTTCAGCGTTTCCTCTCTGCACACTAGCAAAGTCCAAGTCAGCAGACCCCTCACCAGAGGTGATACTGGAGGCAGCACCACCACCCAGACCGATGAGCATGGCGGGCCCACCCAGCACAACAAGGAAGGCACCGGGCTTCACGACCTCGGGCTTCTTGATGGCGTGTTGGGGTCTGACAGTACCGACACCACCGGCAATCATGATGGGCTTGTGGTAACCTCGGAGCTCAGTCTGTCCGTTGCCAATATCGATCTCAGTCAACAGAGTACGGAAGTAACCAGAAATGCACGGCCGTCCGAACTCGTTGTTGTAAGCAGCACTGCCGAGGGGTGCCTCCAGCATTATGTCCAAGCTGGTTGCGATGTGGTTGGGCTTGCCGACATCCAGCTCCCAAGGTTGGTTCAGACCCGGGATGAGGAGATCGGAGACACAGTAGCCAGAGAGACCGGCCTTGGGCTTCGAACCCCGTCCAACAGCGCCTTCGTCACGGATCTCACCACCAGACCCAGTTGCAGCACCCGGGTAGGGTGAAACAGCGGTGGGGTGGTTGTGAGTTTCAACCTTGGCCAAGAAGTGGACGAGCTCCTTGGTGTGGTTCCATTCTCCAGTGGCGGAGTTGGGGGCCCAGAAAGCAGAGTGATCTCCTTCGAGAACAGCAGCATTGTCGCTGTAGGCGCTAACAGTGTACTCGGGGTTCTTCTTGTGGGTGTTCCGGATCATGGCAAAGAGACTGTTGGGCATCTGCTTTCCATCGATAACCCATGAAGCGTTGAATTGCTTGTGACGGCAGTGTTCGGAGTTGACCTGGGCAAACATGAAGAGCTCAACATCAGTGGGATCACGCGCAATAGGTCCATTGGGACCGTAGGCCTCAGCCAAGTAGTCGATCTCCGACTCCTCGAGAGCCAATCCCAACCGCTTGTTTGCCTCCTGCAGAACTTCCTTGGGGGACTTGTCACTGCCGTGGAGGGCAATTGTCTCGAGGGGCTGGGGGGCGTGTTCGGAAAACATCAGGTGCAAGTCGGGCTCGTTCTCGCTGAGGATCTGGGTCATCCGGTCGTGCAAGGTGTCCTGGAACCCTGACTTGTACTCGCTGGTGCCGGCATGGAGGCAGGAGATCTTCATACCCCGCTCAATGCGCTTGATATACTTGCGCAGGCCACAGACGTGGGCAATGCCGGTCGCCTGGGAGCTCCAGGGGGAGATCGTGCCAGTGCGAGGGAAGACATGGAAGACATCGAATGCACCATCCTCAGCTGTGAACGAGGGCGGGATGTCGGTGATATCACCGTAGTGGAGAAGCTGCTCCAGAGCTTCCTGCTGGGGGGCTTCCAACGGCTGCGAGAGGTGGACGAAGTGAACCCATTGGGCACGAACATCCTGGGCCCCAATGCTAGCAGCAATTGCACGTCCACGGGAGCGAGAGAAGGCAACTGAGCCAGGGATGGCGAGGTAGGTGGGGTCGGAGGCCATGGTGAGTCAGGTGTAGTCGGTCGGTGGGAGGGACAAGGAACGGGGTCGAGGGAAGGGAAAAGCAAGTGGTTTAGGTCAAGAGAAGAGGCACAAAATGGTCCCCTTTGTCGAGGTGCAACAGACACACCTCCAGCGTGTGAGTTTCAACTGACTGGGAGCACAGCGACGGGCGTTGAGCTGCTCGTCGGTGTTGGGGTCGTCAAAATTATTCGCCCTGCACGGCTGGGGGTGGGAAAAACCACCCCGCGCTAGGCTGCTTCCGGCTTATCGCCGGCTTATCAGTCACGTGTGGCCGCTTTCCCCCGGAAAACTCCCGACATGCCTCAGGCAGCCGGCCTGCACCTCCTCTGGACCACCAAAACATGACAGTTCGCATTGATAGACCGTGTATTGAGACCGATGCAATGGTCAGTGTGCGGAGTGTGCGGAGTGTGCGTCGAGTTATACAAAGCGTGGTCTCGGAATATTACTAGCTTCCGGCTCCGTGTTCAAGCAGATGTCACGTGCACGTAGAAAAGTCCCTTGATGTAATATGTGGGATTGGTTAAGGAAGACATAGATCGATTATCATAACCAGATTCTTATTAGTTTTGATTAAAACTGCCCTGTGGCTTGAAGAGGAGGAACGTGCGCTACGGAGGAGTACTACTAGTCGTCTCGAAGAATAATCCCTGGCTGCCAATGAGAAACCAGCTAGGATGCTGGATTACTTTCAAGGTGGGCGCTTGCTTGATATAGAGTCCAGATTATTTGTTTAAACTGCTGGACTCCACCAAGACTTTCCGGGCTGCCCTGTTTCTCATTACCAACGGAATTGCCTGCACATGGGTGACGCTGCCTGTTCGGGAAATATGCTCCGGGGCTGCCTATTCCGGGCGAATCGCGCAACTGCAGCGCCCTCCAGTCATCAGTGGCAGCAACTGATCAAAAACATTGGCTGCCAAGCTGCTCAGTGGCGGAGTTTCTCCTGTTTAAGCGTGGCTTTCAAGGACTTGAAAACCAGGTCTGACGTTCTGGAGCAAGGCACGCATTTGATCCTGTCCAGTTCGTGATGAGTAGGCACATTTAATAAAAGTCTCTGCATCACATTGCACCATGGCATTCCGTGTCTATCATTCGAGTTAAAACCGCTGGTAACCCCAGTCAGATAGGAAACGCTCATCTCATGTGCCTATCCAGTAGTAGTAGTAGCCTTCGAAGATTTTCTTCGCGACTGATAACCTATGTTAGCTGAGCTATAGGATCGCGATATTTCTGTAGCAGCCCCTGGATAAACGTGTTCAGGAAAATTGTAAGCTTAAAAGAGTGACCTCAAAGTTGTAGATATCAATGGACTAGATGGGCTCGAAGCATATTGCCTGATGGGGCTAGCTCTTTCAAGCCTGCTACGCCAGGCCGGCCGGGGTGGTTTCCTGTTCGGGCAATGTCTAGGTACTTTCCGTCCTTAAACCTCTCCTCATCTCCCCTCCCTTCACCTCATGAAGGATCAAACTCAAAGCCATCTACCTTTCGGGTCTACATCGCTAGACATGCTCGTCTATAAGAATCGACAGGGGCCTCCCCTGATAGCAAATTCTCGCTTGCATCTACAAATTGGTACTAATCATTGCATCTACACATCTCCGAAGATACCTGTCCAGACCCGATATGCAGGAGTTCGAGCCTGAAAACGTACACAAGCATGTCGCACGTTCCCTCTCACCCACCTCCCTGAGAAATCAGGTTGACCCTTTGGCTTTGCCCTACCGCCAGGTGACCGAGAACGCCAACATGGAAGAATACACAATGGAAACCATCACAGGCGAAATCATGAAGCCAGTTCGATCGACATCTACTGGCCGGATAAAAGACTGGAAGTTAGTGACGTTCAGTATTGAAGACCCCGAGAACCCAAAAAACTGGTCCAAAGCTTTCAAATGGTACTGTACCATGATTGTTGCGTTCACATGCTTCACCGTCACCTTCTCAAGCAGTGTCATCACGGCCGATATTGAAGGGCCGATGGAAACCTTTGGTGTCTCTCGAGAAGTTAGTTTCCTGGTCGTCACCGTGTTTGTCATTGGATTTGGCGTTGGTAAGATGCTTTCTGTCTCCTTCATTACCTTGCTCGACTAACCGGCTTTAGGCCCCATGGTTTTCGCTCCCCTGTCTGAGATGGTTGGCCGTCGAGTTGTATACACGGCCACACTACTGCTGGCTTTGATATTCATCATCCCGTGTGCCGTGGCCCCAAACATTGGGACTCTCATCGTTTGCAGAGCAATTGATGGCATCGCATTCAGTGCACCTATGACACTGGTCGGTGGTACGTTGTCTGACCTGTGGAAGAACGAAGAACGAGGCGTTCCCATGGCAGCATTCTCAGCCAGCCCTTTTCTGGGACCTGCGATTGGTCCACTTACTGGTGGCTTCCTCGCGGATGCGACTAACTGGAGATGGCTCTACTGGTTGCAATTGATCTTGGCATTTGTTGCATGGGTTTTGATCACCTTCACTGTTCCCGAGACATATGCACCTACTCTCCTCAAGAGAAGAGCGGTGAGACTGAGGAAGGTAGAGAAAGATCCACAGCATGTGACTGAAACGGAACTTGATTCTCGGTCGACGGGAGAGAAGTTGCGGGTCTTCCTCATTCGCCCATTCCAGCTTTTGTTTTTGGAGCCCATTGTTCTGTTTATTTCTGTGTACATGTCGGTTTTATATGGCCTTTTGTACATGTTTTTCATCGCGTAAGTATCAGTCTCTATGTGCCGTGATGGATACCTAATCTTCTTCTCAGATATCCTGTGGTATATCAATCTGGAAAAGGGTGGAATGCCGGTTCCACAGGACTTATGTTCATTCCTCTCGCTATTGGGGTTGTCTCCAGTGCCGCATGCGCGCCCTTCGTCAACAAGCACTATTTATCGCTATACGCCAAGTATGGAGGAAAGCCTCCTGCCGAAGCTCGTCTGATCCCGATGATGTTCTCTTGTTGGTTCATACCCATTGGCCTGTTTATCTTTGCGTGGACCTCGTATCCCACTGTCCACTGGATTGGCCCTACAATTGGAGGATGGCCCGTTGGGTTTGGCTTTATATTCTTGTACAACTCCGCCAACAATTATCTTGGTTAGTCTACACGACCAGACTTGCTTGACGTGTTCGCTGACAGGGCTTTAGTGGATACGTATCAGGACCAGGCCGCTTCTGCCCTTGCCGCGAAGACATTTTTGCGCTCAATCTGGGGTGCATCGACCGTGCTCTTCACTGAGCAGATGTATAGTCGTCTCGGGTACCAATGGGCGAGCTCATTGGTAGCTTTTATCGCCTTAGCGTGCTGCGCGATCCCCTTCGTTTTTTACTTCAAAGGGGAATCTATCCGGCGCTACTCCCGCTATGCTTTCAGCGATGACGAGGAGAAGACCGAAAAGATCTGATTCGCTATGTAACATCCGGACCGCATTCCAATGACCCAGTGGACATTCGAGATATATATTCTAATTTCAACGACTCTGACAACGATGAAAGATGATGAAGCTTTATAGATACCAAGAACTTATGCCCATAATGCGATTTAATGTTAGAAAACCCTGCTAGAAACCATGTTTTGAAATTTGAGGACACATGCTTCACCCAGACCGAGAATGATTAAAGTTGTACGGTTCAACATGCTTTGCAGAAACCTGCAGCTCATGGGCCGAGGTGCATAAGTCAACTCCGATAAAGTTAGCCTACCATTCTAATTAACCTTGTCCGGACAGGGCTATTGGCTGGACCAGCAGGACCTAGGCCAGAATCTGCCATCCATTATCCTGATCAGTTGATACTCGTCTGCCAATTAACCATCTTCAAAGACGCATGGTCCCCTGGAAAAAACTGGCGATGGAGAATTGAGCCTGTCACCGGTCTCTAAAAATTCACATTATCCTGGCGCATTTTCTGAGGAGAACCTGTTCTCTGTGTTCAACGGGCATACAGCTCCGGCGGGTTCAGAAAAGGTTCCAGAAGGATCAGGCCGGAACCGGAATAACTCTCAGCAAAGATCAGAAGACAGACGCCCGAGAACCCTCTTCTGAACACCAGTTATTCCTTCTTGTACATAGAGGCGTGGTTCTCCAAGCACATGGACTCCACCCCTAACATTATCTGTAAAATATTCCACTTTCTGATCCTTCCGCCGGAGCTGGGACCCCGCTTAGGGCTCCCGCCAAGCTTCCCCCTCCAACACGTGACTAGCCCGATGGCGATTAGTCACGGGGCATCCCGATGGGGCCAGTGGCTGCTCACTAACCAACTCCGTGCGTCTTCGCCCACTCGTCTTTGCGCCCAGCTGCCTGGTGGAGGACATTCTTTCTACGAGATGTTGGGCGGCTCCCTCATATAATCTACCTTCTGAACCCTGTTTCCTATGGGATAGTCAATCACTGCTTACTATCAATGTGAAGAATACAGTTTACCAATCCGTGCCGCGCCGCATTCCTTCTCCCACTTGTCGCTGCCGTTCATATGTGATAGCTTCCAGCATAACGACAGACAAACAATCCATCTCCGAGATAAATCCGAATTGAACCCCATACCAAGCCCCTCTTTTTTTCGAGTGCCTCGCACACAGCACAAGCACCGCAATGACATCTCCCTACCAGCCGTCCGTGTCGTACTCGCCGTCTGTCGCCGGCCCCGACTTGACGGCGTCATCCTCGAGACCCGTCTCCGACTTGCCGCAATCCCAAGTCGACGCCATCATCCGCACCAAGCGGAAGGCCCGCGAACCAAAAGCCTGCTATCCATGCCACGCTCGGAAAGTGAAGTGCGATCGTAACCTACCCTGCGACGGGTGTGTCAAGCGCGACCACGCCGATCTCTGTTCCTACGAGCGTCCCTCGAAAAAGCGCGTCATGACCAATTCCCTTCCGCAAACATACCACGACAGTCCTGTGGCACCGAGCCAGTCCACTGGTGCGGAAGCCCTGGGTTTTACGGCCGAGACTCCTGTACGTCTGAAACAAGAAGCCGGGATCAGTCGGCCGAGTCTACCAGGACCGAGTATACCGGCAGTTGGAGGTCGGGTTTCAATTGCGCGGGAGGAGTGGGACAATGTCCGTACCAGGCTGAAGGAGATGGAGCAAACGATCAATAACCTGCGTGTTGGTCTTGAGAGAGCGGAAGACGGTCCGGGTTCTATGGAGACAGGCAGCGTGCAAAGCGGGGACGCAAGCAACCGATCCAAGGGTGCTTCCCCGGAGCGGGAGGGCATCCATGCGCCAAATACCTTCGGCGAAGGCACGGTCCATCTCGGGTCGAGGTCGGTTCTGGCCTATATTCTGAACAACAAGTCCGGGTCCGATCAGCTGCAGGCGCTCCTGGAGGACGGAATCCTGCCGAAACTGGGCCTGGATAATGAGTCTGCCACATATCCGTTCGTCGACTTGTGGTCTTCCGACATGTCTTCTTTTGATATCAGCGCGGTCTGCAGTGCGCTTCCAAGTGACCAGCAGTGCAAAGAGTTAGTCCCCATAGTCCGTTTGTTGGTTGTGAGTGAAGCGTTAACCGCGTTTTGCTACAGGTTCTTCTACTACTATCGTGATATAGCAGGCGCCATCTATCCTGTGCTTGAAGACGTGGCACAATTCGATGTAACCCTCGACCTGATGCTACGAAATAGGGCATCTATGGGTGGGGTGTACAGGGCCGATGCCGATCAAGCCCAGAGGCCCTTTGGTGTCACCATTGCCTACATGGGATTGCTATTCGCCGTGCTGGCTTCGGGCTGCCAATCATCGGACTTGCCAGGAAAGGAAAGGGAACTGACCTCTCAAGTCTACGGTATGTGTTCTAATGGCCCCGCTCGTGTGAAAGACTGTACTCATTGGATGTAGTATGCTGCTCCTACCAATGTCTTCGAATGACAAACTTTCTGTCCCAGCCTACAATAGATGCCATGCAGACGCTGCTGGTGATTGGCAATGTCCTGTCATACAACATGAACCCCGGGATATCCTACGTTCTTCTTGGCATGACCCTTCGAATGGGTCTGGCGCTTGGTCTGCATGTTGAATCTAGTCGCTTCTCCGCAGCGGAACGGTATCGCAGACGTCATGTCTGGTAGGAGACCCTTTCTTACTACTGCAGTAAATATGATCTAACATGGTATAGGTGGTCTATGGCATGGCAGGATAGCCACTTTTCTCTTTCCTATGATAGACCTTCAACAACGGCTGTCTGCCAACCAGACATTGCATACCGCGACAACCCCAAACCCGGCGAAATCTCCTATTTCGAGACTCTCTGTCGGATCATCGCACTCGCGCTGGAAGTGGTCCGTAGCCGGATGTTGAGTCCTCACTCGCAGCTGAGTTACAAGACCATCCAAAGCTACAAAGAGAGGATTCAACAGATCATGATAGAGGCCCTGCCTCACCTACGAGATCGGAAATACTGTCTCTCAGCGACTGAGCATCTGGAACGCGTCGTCCTGAAACTGCACTCATCCTACTTCTCCTCCGAGCTCTACCGACCGGCGCTCAAAGCGACCGCCGACTCCAACGACCCAGCGATATCCAGCATGCGCGCCGACTGCGTCGCCAATCTGATGACCACTGTGGAAGCCTACGTCGAGATGCACACTGTCAGCTCCCACGCATCACGCTCATGGATCGCTTTGCAACGAGCAATTAGCTCTATCTTTCTGCTAGCTGTAACAGAGGAGTCCAAGGGAATCCCCCGATTCTGGACCCTGCTGCAGCAACTCAAAATCATCATAGCCGAACGTGCCAACGCCGAAGGCGATTTTGCGGGCACCGAGGTCCCAGTTCCTCCGACCGACGGCACTGCACCACCTCTTAATGTCGTTGCCAGAGCCCCCAGCACAGCGGCACCGAGTCCCGCCGGTCTCAACTCTGCGTCCCCCGCGTCCGCTGCGGTGGTCGTCGACACACAAACCCAATGGGCCAAGCCGTTGACCAAGACCCTCCGTGCCCTCGAGAAGCTCGAAGCCGCATTTGGCGCCCAGGCCGCCCGTGCTGCCGGCCAGGCCGGATCGCCGGCCTATCTGAACCCTGGCTCCAACAGCCTGGGCGTTGTCCCTGCTAGCATGACGCCGAGTCTTGGGTCCCTTCCGCCCCCGACACCCGAGAGCTCGACCAGCGGCGAATGGACGATCCCGAACATCCTCGACCGCGCGGCTGAATATATCCACCCGCCGCTCTGGAGCTGAACGCGGTGCGGAGTCTTTTTGGGAATTAATTATGGCGCTTGGGTACTTGCATTGGTGGCTGGGTTGACTGGGTGGGATAACACGGCCGGCGCAGGTGAACCTGGGGATATAGCTTGTTATTATATTAAAATGTCTGGTACAATCTCTCTCCCTATCTCTCTTTTCTTGGAATTTATATCATTGCCTACTGGCCTGAAGTGACCCATTCACCCTAAGTTCCTCCTGTAAACCCCTATATAAGAGCCACCACAAGTACAATCTCAACCCTCTCTACATGTCAGTTAGGTAAAGCAGCAGCCCTCACCACCCCAACACACTCCCCAAACCCAACTCCTTCCCCCGCCCAAGCCGACAACCTCACCACATCCCCATCAACAAGATACCCCCTCTCCCTACCCACACAACCTATCCCCACCCGTCCCCCCCGGGTCACCTCCAACAACGACCCAAACGACCCCTCCACCTCCCCACTCACCGTCCCCGTCCCCAACACCTCTCCCGTCCGCAAATCACACCCCGTACTCGCCAAATGCGCAGCCATCTGTCTGATACTCCAGAACAGCTCTTTCGCATTCGACCGCCCCATTACCGTCCTGCCCGCTAACCCCTCTCCCTCGAGTTCTGCCATCACCGTGATGTCGTAGTTAAATGCCCCTGGGTCCTGGAGATGCGGGGGTAGGGATACGCGCGGCTCCGGACCGGTGGTCTTGAATGGTGCCAGGGCGGAGAGGGGGATTATCCACGGGGATATTGTGGTGGCGAAGCTTTTTCCGTTCAAGGGGCCGAGGGGGATCATTTCGAGGGATTGGATGTCGCGGGCTAGTCAGTCTGTCAGTATTGTATTTTGTCTTATCATCTCCCAGCACATCCCCTTTCCCTCCCCCATTACCGGTGCCTATAGGAGGATTATGGCCAATATTAAGAGATATATATGGTATATATAGTAAACAAACTTGAACTCACCACTCCAATCATTCAACACCACCAACCCAAAAATATGTTCCTCCGCGTCTACCGCATTCAACCCCGTCCCCCGCGCCAGGGGCTTCCCAATAATGACTCCTAGCTCGAGCTCGTAGTCGAGGGATTGGCACGGGGCAAATATGACGTTCTTCTCCTTCTTCTTCTTCTTTGTCTGCTCAGGCGCAGAGGTTCCCTCCCAGATACATATGTGGCCCACGGGTCGCGTGATCGGTGTCCCTGAGATGGCGATCATGCTGGCGCGTCCGGCGTAGCCGATTGGGAAGTGGAAGAAGGCTGGTGGGAGGGAGTCGTGGCCGAGAATGATGCGACCGGCGTTTTGGTTGTGCGGGAGGCTGGCGCTGAAGTCTTTTTTTGGGGTTAGGGGGTGGCTAGTTGGATTTGCAGTGTTGAGACTGTGTGTGTGTATTGGGTTGGGGTTTGTTTGGAGGACGGGGGAGGGAGAGGGCATACCGGTGAACGATGGAATAGAGACAGGGAGATGCATCGTCACGGTGGAGATATCAGCCATGCTTGTTGATGGAAGAGGGAGAGGGAGTGCGAGTGCGAGTGGGGGGCCGGTTTGTTGGAGGGTGGATTTCAGGACATGGCGGATTTGGGAGTGGGTTTGTTGGGGGAGAGCGGCGAAGGAGTTCAGGGTGGGATTGGTGAAGACGTTGGCTGGGAGGGCGGGGATGGAGGAGAAGAGACCAGCGTCGTGGAGGTCGGCGAGGAAGATGATGGTATTGTGGAGGCGGGTTGCGCATTGGGGGGTTGGATGCGTCGGGGAGGATGCGATTCCGTACGGCAGGTTCTGGATGGTGAAGTGGTGGGCGTATTCGGGGGAGGTCATTTTCTTTTCATTTCTTTCGTTTCTTTGTTACTAAGAATTGATTTAAATGTTGTATGTTGTGGATGTAAGGAGGGTCTACTGCTGTCTGTGCAGGTTGCTTTATATCTGGACCGGCCTGGAGAAGGGCGTGCGGGGAGGATGGATGGATGGATGGATGGATGCCGTTCTTGCCCACATCCCGATGGTTAGGGTTGTCCACCATCGTGATCCGACTAGGAGAGGGATTTGATGGGACGATCTTAATGATCCTGTTGGAGACTAAATGTGTATTTTTGAAGGTTTAAAACGGTATTTTTATGGATGAAATATCAAGTCTAGCTGCAGAGTGCAGAACGTTCCAATCAATGATATGGCTAGGGCCATTAATGCCACACATAGTGCCTATATGTGGGATTGGTATTTGCACCTATCTCCATGGGAAAATAGTATAGAATGATCAAATACTCAATACCCATTAAGCACTAAAATTTTGATCAACCTTGGCTTTCCTGATCATCGCTCCATACCTCACAGTTCTTCTCAAGTTATCAGCCTCAAATGACTCACTCTCTAGCTAGCAATGTAGCGGCGGCAGTGACCATAGCTCACAACCAGAGTGAGGGGCTTTGGGTGCATTTAAAATATGTGATATAACCTCGGGTCCTCATCTATCATCCGAAGGCCTCTGCTGTAAGGACTTATCTTTCATGGCGCAAGAGGCAGGTGCATCCGACTCGTGAACGGTGATTGGAAGCAGACATGTGTGGCTCTCAGACCTTTCAATGAAACGAGGTCAGAATCAAGTTTTAACATTACTGTCAAGACCAGTAATATTGGTGATGGTCGGATATTCAATGTATGCGGGAGAGGAGTTCTGGGTCGGATGGGATGGAGCTGCAGTGGTAGGTGTGGTTGGTCAGGTAATGCCTATATCCTGTTAGTTTACGACACATGATTGATATGGATATCGATAAATCAACACACCAAGGGCTGAGATCGAAAGACTTCTGTGTTCAGCAGGGACGCCGAAGGGGACTGGAGAGAAAGAGCAACTCGAAGAGTCGCTCTTTCCTTGGTCGGGCCTTCCTAATTTCACTCCTTCCCTCCACCAGAACTTCCTCCTCCCTTCTTCACTTCTTCTCTTCTTCTCTTCCTTCCTTCATTCAACGACTCTACCGACTCTCTCCTGCCATCATATGTCAGAGATCATCTTACCATGTCTTATCTTCAAGCCATCCTAGTATAAATTATTCCATTGTCTTCGACGCCCTTGAAAAGAGCTAGGAGAGGTTCAACAGGACCTTTCCTGCGCCACAGCTAAGAAAGGTGTTGAAATCTCTTCTACTATTGGTCTTTACGAGGTACAAACTGGACAGAGCCATGCGCCAGTTAGATGCAGCAACGGAATGATTATCTGCTATTTTCTTTTAATCTCCTTCTTCGAGTTTGGACCAATCTAACTAACTGTCGTCTGCAACAGGAATCGGTAAAGATCAGCAAATATGACCCAAATACCCTTTGGTTCTTTTAATAGATCTTCGTTGGAACCCCTGCCTTTCTAAAGCCTCTTATCGTCTCATGACCGCCAGCGAAGTTGAATCGAGCGAGCATAATGAGTCGTCAATGATTGAAACACCGAACCAACCCCGACATCGAACATTCCACCCGAGCCTATGACGACTAACGTCTCAATGCTCCACTCCCAAGCACATCACCGTCCCTGAAGATTCCGTGGCGCCAAATACTTACATACCTGTCGGTCTGCAGCTTCCTTGTCTGGCGCCCAAGAGCGCCTACGCTATGCCATTATCTACTAGCGACATCTCAGGAACGACCGGGGGCTCCCAGTCGTCGGTCTACACTCCAAGGCTTGTGTGGATTGGCAAATACGCCTAATTTCATACTTCCTCCCCTTCCCGACATCTACGAACAATCGAATTCATTATCTCTGCAGACAAGTCTCAAAAATCCCACAGTCTTGCATACTATGGATCTACTAGTCAAAACATAGCATCAATTACACACTCTACCAGCCCTGCCAAACAGATCAGCTCCATAATAGTCCCCATGGACCCAAATTAACGCCTAGTAAGTATAACATCCACACAGAACAAGCCAACAGCACAACAACCCAAACCCAACCCCAACCCACCAATCATCCCCCCATAGCCACCAAGAATACACTTCTACGTGGCAAAATCAATAGCAAATAAACCACAAACCCACCGCCTCCAGTCCAGTCACAGTTACACAAGTGGCGGCCAAGCTATCGCCTGCCAGCCGTACCCAACTAGCTTCCATCCGAAAAGCAAACACCGTCGCTACTTACAGACGACATACGTAGGTACCCTAGGGCGACCCTTGCTCCGGCCACATCTACATACATGTACACACGCATGCACACACGTATGTACATGCAGACCTACCAGACCTCCCTTCATCCGACCATCTAATCATCTATCCATCCATATGCATATTAACATTCCCTCGAATACGTATGTATATACGTACATATACACTTATGGACTGTAGCTTGCTTAGTGCATAGTGCATAATGCATTCCCAAGATTTCTCTAGCTGGCCGGAGAGTATACACATATGTATATTCTTATGTATACATGCAAGCCAGTACATACGTATGTGTGTGGGGATTTGCTGGGTAGGTGGGAAGATGGGTAGGTAGATGGGTGTAAGTATGTGTGGCCAGGGCCCAGGTAGCTAGATAACTAATAACTAGGTGCGATAATCTCTTATCACGGGTAGTTACATCCCAACAGAGTACAATACATCGCATCTTCCCTTCCATCCACATGGGAATGAGGTTTCGAGAAGCCTTGGTAAGGAGCACGACAGATATATTTATTCTTTCACGAAAGGTACATGTACATGTACATGTGTTGACGTATGTTGTACGTATATGCATATGTATATTGAATGTATGATATGTATGTGTATGTATGTATGTATGTACACATGTACACATGTATACATGTATGCAGGTGAATGGGTGGATGGGTAGATTGAGACTGGAGTTGAGAATGATGGAATGAGAGTGGAAATAGTGACTAGATAAAGTGCGTTTATTTGTGACTTCTTAGGGACGTGGAGGGAGTAAATAGGGTAGGATTGGTATGCTGGAATGCATTATGCGAGTGTGTTAGGGATGGAGAGCTGTGTGTGTATGTACTTGGTAGGTGGGTAGGTAGGTAGGTGGGCGGGTGGATGGGTAGGTGTAGTGACTTGAGTTTGTGCAGGTCTTTCTTGCCGAGGGATTGAAGTTCATTCATGGGATTCGGTAGGGTAGGGGGAGTCTGTTCCAGTTGTTTCCTTGGCTGATTTTCTGGCGAAAATGATTGTGCATATGTCGATGTCTGTCTTGTTTTAGTTGCCGCTGTGGCAAGGGCAGGGGAGGTGCCGGGGCAAACATGATGAGCCACTTGGAGACAGTTGAAGGCAACCAGGCGCCCATAAGTCTGATTCAGAGGTACCTACAAGGTATACCTTTTTATTACAAGGCTACAAAGGCGTGTTGAGGCATAGTTGCTTCAATTGCCTCTTTGGGTACTAAAGTCCGATCGACCACACGCGGGCCTACACCAAGGCCGACTTTTCCGATGCTGCTGCAATGCGATCCACAAAAAGACTCCAGGCCACTTTCATTAGACTCGATTTGATGCAATAGAATATAAGGAAAGTGTAAATGCTAGATCCATTGGTTTTTGTCGGACTCGGGTTCATCTATCTCCCGCACGGAGAAATAAAGGTCGTTATATATATTCGGCCGTTTAGAGCATCATAAGCTGCATACTATTTTCCCCTGCCGGAACCTGATGCAAAGGACAAATAGGCGCAGAGGATCCAGAGTTCACCCATTCATTGGGTGTCATCAGTCCCTGGTTCTGACATTGACAAGGGGGTTCATGTATATTCAATGGACTGTTTGCGGGCATATCTGACCCATTTCCTCCCGGTGATGAAGATTGTGATGTAGGCATCGTTACCGGCAGTCCGCTCGGGTGACCGTTTGGTGGAAGTACAATTATTGCTTTAGGACGCGAGGGCCCGGAGCCCAAGGCTTGCATGACTTGTGGGAGCGAGTTTTCTGTAGCAAGGTTATCAATCCGGCCACGATCCAGCTAAATATCTGGCTTACCTGTTGCTATGTAGTATAGGGATGACCCCGGGTATTGACCTGGCGCATTCCATTGCTCACAGAGTGGTTGCGTGTTAGGGTCCATTGGATAGAGGTTGGACATATTTTGTACCATTTCAGGACTGAGGGAGCTCGGGATCTGTCGCGGGTAGTATAGACCGTTTCTCATTGAGGAGGCAGTGGGGTCGTATTCGTTCGTGACTTCATATAGAGAGGATGGCAATGATGACTGCGGGGAAAAGACAGGTATTGGACCTAAAGCGTTATTGCACGAGGAGCAGACGACTCTTGATTGGGATAGGTATGGAGAGGTGAGAGCTGATGAAGCCTCCTGGATAGGTGAAGAGTGCCCTTCGGGGTCGTATACAGTTGGTATCCGCTCTACCGGTGATGAGACGAGTGGGTTTGGATGATCCCAGCCGTTCAAGCTGGCTGCTGCACGTAGCTCACTTGCGATAACACGCTCTTGGAGTTTGGCAATGCGATCTCGGATCTTGCGGCCTGCATGGCTGGTAAGAAACCGGGTCAATCATTATGCTCTGCATTGGACACTCACGATGATTCCTCTGTGACAGGCGATTCTGCAAACGTCTCCTTTCAATGGGGTCTTGTTTTTGTCCCGAGGTATCACCAGCACTCCTATCATCTTTTGTAGATTGAACACGCATTTTTGAGGATATCGGAGGGCCTGATGATTGTGTCTGGGGTAGCTCTACTCCACTTGGCAGTTGTCGAACCTGTGTTGGTTCAGATTCACATTTGATTTGTAATCAGATTATACGTCCAAGGCACCAGTCCTATGGAGCTTCAGTTCGAGAACGAAGGGAGTCGTTTTAGCTTGCACGGTGAATGTTAGACCGATGCATCCAGCATTCGTTTATAGAGAATCTCACCCGTTGTCAGCTCAGTGTACCGACTCGATGAATTCAGATCCCGGAGGCTTGTAGGGTAGTCGTTTATCAGTCTGATTGGTATAAGTCATCTGGATTTACGAGGTTGCGCAATGAGTGCAACATCATCCCGAGCATATAGCCAAGGAAAGAAAGAGGTCTCAGAGGGCAGTATTTGAATACCCACCGCGCCGGGTTACTCGAACCATTTTACTTTTCCAGTCGGCTCAGACTTGCCCAGCGTCTGGGATGGAATGGTCGACTTTCCATCCGGCTCACTGGCACTTGGTCCGTGACTCCCTGGGCCACGTTCTGCTTTCAGCCTGCAGCCTTGATCCATGCCCCACGTCCCCCTCCGGCTGTAGTGGTGCCCAGGGAACAATGACCATGGCTCAAGGCATGGACGAGGCTTTCCTTGGCGTTGCTGATCATTGGGATTAGGCCAAACAATGATCAATAAAGGGCTCCGCCTCAATATCGGAGGGGTTGGACAATAGAGATCGGTCCAGATCGGTCTGCTAAGGCCGCTCAGCTGATTTGTTGCATCCCATCGCATGGACCGGCCTCCACAAATCCGGACACCGAGTCAAGGCAGCGACTTGTGTCACAGTTTGATAGTCTTGCAAGCCGTGATGCACGGATATGCACGGTCGACCGAACCATCCAGAGCGTCTAATAAAATCCGGTAAGCGAGTTATGCGGCAAAGATGACATAGCAGAACAACTGGCCGTGGACCACCGAGACCGGATACCCTTTGCCTTAGACCACGGGGAATCCTTGCACTGCTCCAGAGACAATAGCTGGCTTGGGAGCTCCGTGTGTTATGGGGAGCACCATCCTGCAATATCATTGATTCATGTGAATCCTACCCAGAGTACACAGGGTGCCGATGAAACACCGGCAGATCCAACAGCATGGTCCTTAGCGAAGATGACAAGAGGGAATACCAGAAGCCGTGGACGGTAGGGAGACACTTGGATATTTCTGCCGGGTATATTTTCCAGATCATAAATCCTGCCACTAAGAGTTGGCAGCCGTCACAAGGAACTCCCTGGGCTGCAGATCCGCCAAAACATCTGATCCCTCGCCTAATCGGGCGTATGGTAAAACACTAGAGTACCCTTATCGTAGGCTCGGGATATGCCTGCCTGATTCTGTTACGAATTGGGAATAGTGGCCAGTAAACGCCAGCCGGGATCAGCGCCAGAGAAGTCCCCGAAAGGATGCAGCGTGAAGAACCATGGCGGTACCGAGGGCGGCGTTTCCGTCAAATTTACGGCTTCCGAGAAAGGAAAATTGGCTGGAGGCTTCAGTGAGCACCAGAGTCGAGTTGGTGGCTCTGCTGAGAGAGACCGTGGACGGCTGATCTGCCGTCAGCATTTGAATATCGCCGGGGCCCGGTTGACGAGTGGCCAATCATCCCGTTTCCAGGGAGGCGAGCTGGGAAGAGACCAATCCGAGGGGCCCAAGAAGCAGCACATCTGCTGGCGCGGTCCTGATCCTGGCACTGTGAAAGCGATGGTCAGGGGAGTTCGTATCCAGACTGGAAGCTCGACGCGAGTGGGCTGAGAGGCACTGCCAGATGATCCAGCCATTGTGTAACCGAAATGTTTTGAGGGGAGGGGGGCATGAAGGGAGGAGTAGCTTGGGGTACGTGGAGATGAATTGGAAGGGGAGTTGCAGAAGAATCCCAAGAAAGAGGGAAAAAGGAAAAAGGAAGCAGCGCTTGGGGGGATCCCGTGACGGACGGGCTGCAGTCACGGGCAGCGCCAGTCCGGCCATCAATTTTGAAGTCACTTCCACCTACTTCCTGCCTGCTCCTCATACTATTGCCAATTGCCCATTGACCATCCTCCGAGAATAAATCCCCTTCCCCCCTGCCATTGTCGAATCTGCTACCAGAGCCATCCAATCGATGTCCTGCGGAGATACCCTACGCAGTCGACGGATCCTTTGCGGATCCTGCAGCAAGATCGATAACAAGTGACAATAGCACGGCCCTACCCAGTCAATCCGATCGATCAGAGGGACACACTGTGGCTGGAGACATCCTTCGTCTGCTGTGCCACTTCTCGTCCTGCTTCTATCCACCGGGTGCTTCCTTGCTGTGTCTTCCTCCGTCTCCCCATGAGCTCTACCCTCCCATCATACAATGTGTTCAACTCATTCGTTCACGAATCTGATCTCCGAATCAGGTCTCTGCTTGTCAGGCACCTTGGGTGACTCTGTACGCTGCGCTTGTTCCAGGGCCCTTTTCCAATGCAAGTCTGAGACCTTGTGCGCCGTCTGATCCCTTTGCCTTCACCTGTAGCTTCCCAATGTGGAGCTTGCTTGGGTAGGGGTTCTTTGCCATGATACTTTCTAGGAATTTACTAACACTATTTGACAGGAATTTCTCGGTCCTATACACTTTCTGACCACCACAAAGCTATGCCAATAGTCCTATATAAGCCCGCTGCTACATTCGACTAGCCTCCGTATGATCCATGGGTAAATCACTCAAGGGAGTAGAGCATTGTTCTATTGCGGAGTCTCTGGACGACGCAGATCACAGCAAGTCGTTAGGAGGCTTCACTCGATCCTGACGCGTCTGTAACGGCGGTAGTCAGAAGGACTTGACAATAAACGTGTTCATTCGAATTAGGCCCAGTCTAGTTCTGGCCTTCTGGGCAAGGCTTGCATAGTTCCACCTGATCACATGTCATTGTCCCCTAAGACCGACCTTTCGCTGTTGGACAGGGCATCCGAGCGAGGAGACTATTACCAATCGTATAAATCCGGCAAAGACCGACGCCGCGAATCGGAAGTCCACGCGAGGCGGCTTTCATATCCATCTGAGCGCAAGATCTTGTTGGCTACAATCACCGGGCGGATTTCGTCGCTGGCACCCACACTCTGGCTGTGTACCGAAAGCCGTGCGTCCGGCCTGAGCGTCTTTGATATCTTACATATACGATCAATATGGATTGGCTGCATCGTTTAACAGGCTGATCAGTTTCCATACGGCCGATCATATTGAGAATTAGTCTGCTATACTGCCTTTGCATGCGAGAAGTGGTCACATTCTACGTCATTGTGCCTTCTATACTCTCCAGAAACTGATATCCAACACTCGCAACAAGGGATCCAAGCCAAAACATCTATGAATGAGCCTTTGGTAGGCATTGGCTCTAGGATTGGCGATTTGAGCGCAGTGGCTACCTCTGACTTGTGTTTGTACGTGTTCTAGGCTTCTTCGGGTCGATTACTGAAACAGCCACCTATAGTAGGTTTGATCGCCCAAGTGCTTTACCATGTGGGTACCGGGTAATTCCATACTCACTTCAATAAGCGAGAGCCGCTCCGTACAAGTGGAAAGTCATATCATCATCTCAAACCAACCAGTGACCTGATGGCTGGGCAGTCGCGACATAAGCAAATTGCTGCCCGGTCCAGGTAGCGGGGTCTAACAATCCCAACATTTACAGCTTTACAAGCAAAAAGAGTATAACGCGGTCTGCAATCCCTCAAAACGGAAAGTGCTCCGAGTTGCTGGGGAGGCCTGTCTATCCGGTTTCACTAAACTATCATCAGCTTATCGGGATATCCATTGCACGCCTGTAGCAATGTCCTTTTGGAGATGGGTATCCACCAGCAATGCCACTGCCTCACGTTGCAAGATAGAAGACACTCGGTCAAGAATTTCTGCTGATCTCACCGGAATGAGAGCAAGATGGCAAAAGAGTCTGCACTGACCCGGATGCGCCAAATATCAGCGCGTTATGCGATAGAGCCTACAGCTGAATAGAGATTCCTTGACATCTATTGCCATGAGTCCCTGCATACTAGCATGCACAGGTTCCCTTGATGAGCCACCAGTCAGCTTCGCCAAGAACAGGGAATTGATATTGGGACTTACTCTTAAAATAGAGCCCCCAAACGTTACAGGTTTTAAGTATTTCCAACCGAGCCAGCTGGCCCCGCCTCCATGAGTAAGAGAAAGAGCAAGACAGACAGATAGACAGACAGAAGCTGTCCTCAGATACACAGAAGCCATTATTGACTGATAGTCTTGCATGCCTTGACGACATGCTATGAATAACATGCCGATGTGGCGGCAAATCTCATATATAACACAATGATCTAGAGCTTCGTCCAACGGCCGCCCATGACGAACTCCCATAGCACGACAGCTCTTTAAAGCACCACGGAGCCCACGAACCTCTCTGAGATCTTAGCGTCCTGTCCCATACTCGGATGTAATGATAGTCAGTGTGTGACTGGTCGATCGGAGCTCGAGTGTGATGGTGATGCAACGATAATCTACCGTCCTCCTTGTCTGTTCTACAGGAGCGACACATGGATGATGAAACGCCTGAAACTTCTAGCTCGGACTCTCGCCACTGCCACCTTGAGCGTCGAGGGGTTATGCGCTACAGGCATCTTCCGAGATCTAGATTCGACGAAATCGCCCCCACTGTGCTCATCCCACGGTGGTGCAGATCAGGGCTACCGAAGCACGGAACTTATAACGAACGCTTATCGCGTTGAGCTATGTAATACTATCCGTGGCGAGAGAATGCTCCAGGGCGTGCTGTGCTGTATTGGCCTGACGGAGCTTGGGCATCCCAGCATGGACATGCCTAATGGGTGCAGCTCGTATCAAAGCAAGGAGAAGAGGCAAGTCACTTCAAGAGCCCGTACATAGCTATCTACATTTCTTCTACCTTACTTTGACCTTCTGCTCTCCATCTTAGAGTCAGTGCTGCGATCAAAGTGGCATCTATCTCCAATACCGTATACTTAATAGGTAATTACTAAGTAGTGACCTTCTCGGACAACGCAAAACCCCAACCAGATACAACCATCACATGGACCCTCTTATATACCCGATACAGCCGAGTTGTCTCATACTTCGCTCTAGACAGCACATCCTCCTAACCTGGAAACCTGAATAATGCGTAGCCCGAGCAATCACCATCCAAAAAACCCTGAAACAGCCTCTAAGGGAGGCAGACCATAGAAAAGACGTGAGTCAGTGATCTATCACCTCTCAAGGAAGCGCTTAGCTTATCAGCACGACAACCTACCTACCTGGGTACCATGAATCTTGTACAGAATAGAATAGAACCGAGCCCACCACCACCATCACCAACCAAACCAAACCAACAAACTTTGACCATCCATCCATCCATCCATCCATTCATCCATTCATCCACGCTCAATACAACGCAACGCAACCCATGCAGCGTCCATAGATAATTCTTTTCTTTTTGTGAAGGGGGGGGGGGGGGTTGAATGACCAGCCTATAACACCATACTCACATAAATAGGACTCAAGAAACAGATTCCAATTCCCAACCCCATATTGAATTAGATTTGGACAGGATAGGAAATACGCCATGTCTCATTCTCATAAGGAAATGGTGGATGAATTAATGAATGAATACATGGCATGGTAAACGGAGGATAGTCTGGATAATAAACACATTGGGATCTAGAATTATCATAATAGATGGACTATTTCATTTTGTTCTATCCCAGGGATTGAGGTGAGAGGTGTGGATAGGTAGATGGATGGATGGATGGATATATAATAGAGTCTACTTATATAGTCGGAAATAGGGCCAGTAGACTAAACTACACATTATGTCTGATACTCTCCGAGCTAGCTAGCAGGGTAGGTAGACCGTAGGTGGGTTGGGTGGGTAGGTGGGCAAGTGAGTCAGCACCTCTGCTAGTTTGACACTACATACCATAACCCATACAATACAAACAGGCAGACACAGACAAAGAAAACACAATCTGGATATCATAACGACATAGATAGATAGATACACCCTCCGGTTCCCAAAACGTCTCTCCGCTAAGTAGAAGCAGCTCAACCAATCCGCGGTCTCGGCCCCGTAATGGCAAAGAAATCCAACGGCTTCACAGTAAACGCGCCATTATAATGATCGCCCGCACCATCAGTCACATACCCCTTATCAGCGAGATCGACCTCGACGTCCTTCATGATTGTGATGAGGGTGAAGAGGGACCATTCCCAGGCATAGCGTTTGCCGATACACTCGCGTTTGCCGTTGCCGAAGCCCTTCTTGACGCCTTCGGGGAGCTGCTCGTATTTCTCGCCGAGCATGCGGTCGGGGTTGAAGGCCTCGGGGTTGTCGAAGACGGCGGGGTCGCGATTGACGCCGTACAGGATGGCGATGAGGGGCTGGTTGCGCGGAACTTGGTATTGGCCGCCGGCGAGGAGGACGGGGGTGTTTTCCTCTTCTTTGGTCGCGGCGGGGATGGGTTCGATGTTGAAGCCTGGGGCTGGCGGGGAGAGACGCATGGCCTCGCGGAGGATGGCGGTGCAGTAGGGGAGAGCGGCGAGGTGGTGATGTTCGATTTTGGAGCTGGGGTTGGGACCAACGACGGAGTCGATCTCTTCGCGGGCGCGGGCAAGGATGTGCGGGTTTTTGATCAGGTAGTAGAGGGCGAAGGCGACGAGGTTGGGGGCGGTGGCGCTGCCAATGAAGCAGTTGATGATTTCGTCGATCATTTGCTCTTCGTTGAGTCCTTCGCCAGTTTGGGGGTCCTTGCCTTCCATGATGGCGTGAAGCATGTCCTTTTTGGCGGAGGGGTTGGCGCGGCGGTGCTCGATGCAGCTGGCGGAGTAGTCGCGCATGGTTTGGTTGTAAGTGTCGAATTTGCGTTGGTAGAAGAGCCAGTTGAGGATCTTAGGGCGGGAGGGCCGTCGCACGGCCTCGGTGGTGGCACCCTCCATGGCTTTGATGAGGGATGGCTCGGGGCCTTCGAGGCAGTGGAGGCGCTGGTCGAAGAAGCAGAGCATATTGGCCGCGTGGTTGACACGGTCCAGGTCGTCGGTGACGTTGACGCGCTGACGGGGTCCTGCTGTCCACTTCTTGATCAGGTCGGTTGACACCTCGCGCATGTCGGCGAAGACTTGCTCAACAGCTTCCCAGGAGACCAGGGGGGCCATGATGCGATGGGCGACTCCCCAGGATTCCAGTTCATTGTTATAGGCTGTGAACAGACTGGAGTGGACGGCTTGTCGGATCTCGACGATGGGGCCGGCGACGCATTTGCGGAAGCGTGTCTCGTCGCAGATTTCCTCTATGAGGGCGGCGCCCGTGACCAGGACGATGTCATGGCCGAGAATGGTGACCTTGCAGATGGGACCTGGGGACGAGTAGAGCCATGGGTCAGTTGACGGTTCAGGTACGGGACAGGGACCGAGCAGGGCTCCACACTCACGATATTTGGTAGCAAGTTTGTTGAAGGAATTCCAAGGGTTGGAGGCGTTGACGTCGAACAGGTTGCCAAGGAGGAAGATGCCCGGGGGCTTGGGAATTGATGACGCCATGATTGGGGACGGAGGAAGGCTAACAATTTAGGAGGAGGGGGAGGAGAGACGCCAGCAGGGTCGCGGACGAGCGGACTGCCTTATATGCCCAGCCATGATGGCTCGCTCAACTCTTGCAGTCTCGCTCCCCGTGCGACCTCCATTGAGACGGCGGCGATTGTTAATGGTTCTGGGCCAGTATGTGGCTGCAGATCTCAGCTGAGCTGAATGGCGCCGATTCAGCACGATGATCCCTTCGATAGTTGGCTTGGAGGGGGGGTGGGGGGGCTCCCTTGGGCGCTCCACCCTCGGCAGGCCAAAGGAGCCGATCGCCGCACAGATCATGGTTCGTGGAGAGACAGCTTCCTTCCTTCCTTACTTGCAGCCAGATCAATTGTCAGCGGGAAACCGGGCAGGTGAAAAAGGAGGCTGGCGGTGTCTGCATCATTGGCCTTTGCATTGGTCCGGAATGAAGGGTGATAATGATGGATGATGGAGGGATGCAGATTGCAGGGTGGTTGCTGAAGGAGAGTTTGGTTTGCTTGTTTGGTGCCGCCGCGGCGGCCCATCGCTTCCCCACCGCATCTCCACCGCGTCACCGAGTGTCAAATCTCTTCAACTATCTACTATCTACTATCTACCACATCGCAGTCTGCCAGCAACCATTATTGCCAATACAGCACCAGGGGGACAGGCAGGTTGCACAGGCCATCTGCCTTGGGGTTTCAGGGGGGGAGGATCCTCCGCGATCGAACCCTGTCGATGGCTCCCTCGATTTTCAAGATTCTGCAGAGACCCAGTCGAGCTGAAGCTAGTGCGGTGTCTTCGGGTCGCGCGCAAGCCAATCTCTGCAAAGCCTACAAATCACCCCCCCCCCCCCCCCCAGCAGACCCTCTGGGGGGGGCTGGGATTCCTGACGAAAGTTTGTGGTGTGTCACTTTGGTGATTCAGTCTGTCTCCCCGCACATCAGCAGCAGCAGCAGCAGCCACTGTCGCATTTGGCGGTGGCCATCATGCCTTCACACAGCATAGTACGGAGTTCTCCGTCGGTACTAATAGTCTGCTGGACATGTCGTATGTAGTATGCTTTCTCAGGCTATGTTTCTCCTTCCAATCCCCTTGATCAAGTGACGCTCCTCCCAGAGGAGCACAGAACCCCGAGATCAACCCCAGCCAGGAGTGGTTTCGAAATCCCCGGACTGGGTTGACCAAGCTGCCAGCTGCCAGCACAACTGCCGTGTCACCGCCACGCCTGATCTAGATTCAGTTGCAGTTTCAATTGGTCTTCATACTGTATCTTGTCCGATACGGAACACTCAATTGCTTTATCTGTCTTGCGCGAGCCTGCCCTGACACTGTTGCCATCCACAGACCAGGTCCATACGAACCTTGACCACTAACCACATCCATTGCTCGGGTCTTTCAAACTCCGATCATAATACGGCAACCACCTCTACAATAATGGAGGCTCATGACTCCACAATTTTCCTGGGATATTGTTTGGTTCATGGATGCTGAAGTTGATATGATTCATTGGAGGTGAAAGAACTTCGGATGGTCGGGCGCGACGCATTTCGCGCCGAAGATCGAGCGGCTCCTTCCTGGCACACCAGTGGTTCGTCTGTATATTTAGATCCCTAGCCGCGCAGCGGTTTCATGATCCCAACCACACAATGTAAGCGCCAGCGAAGGAACACTACCCATGATGCGAACATCTCTTTATGTCTACCCAGCAGGAATCATGGCAACACATAAAGAGGCAATAGCCCCCGCCCCATATTCTTGGTCTCGCCGACAACATTAGGGTGATCAAGCTCAGTATACTACTCTTCCATGACACGCCGTCGAATATTTCGCATCACTTTGAAACAATGGACGTCGCTGCCAGAGGCGGGATCGGTGAAACTCGGACATTGGTAACGTCAAAGTGAATCCTTCAAACTCCGATTGTAATCAGGCAATGCCCACTTAACCATCCACTCTGACTGGAGCACCTCGTCAGCAGTTAGTCGCCCTTCTGGTCGAAACACCAGCATCCGGCGCATTAAATCTAGAAATGCGGCTGCCTCGTCTTCTCCAAGCTCACTTTCCCTTTTTCGCCTCCATTTCTGCACATCGTTCTCGAATGTCTCCTTCAGTGGAGGCCGTTTGTTTCTCTGGTGATACTCCGTCGATTGCCCATCTTCAGAAAAGAATTGGCTCCGCCCCTCCCAGCGCAACCACCACTCTGAAGGCATCGGCCCTAGCACATCAATATACTGACATACTAGCTCATCTTCAGTCACAAAATTAGAGTTGAATATAGGATGCAGTCCAATTATATCCCAGATGGCCGTAGCCAGGCTCCAAATATCAGACGAATAGGTGAGTAGCCCCTCTAGCTCAAACTTGATTTCTGGGGCCCGGAAAGACAGTGGGGTATGGCAGTCCTTTCCAAGTCGAATTTCTGAGGCTGGAGCAAAAGCCTCGCCAAAATCACTAAGAAGGAGGCGTGCTTCGGAGAGTGTGAGCTTATCCGCAGTCTTTCCAAGAAACAACGGTAAAACTGCTTTAGCTGGGACATTTGGGGGGAGCGGCTCCCCGCTGCATTGTGTAATAGGGACTGTCTCAGGTTCGCCGTATTTCTTGTAAAACTGCTCAATGGAAAGGTCATCGAAGTTTGAAGGGAGCTTTAGCAAAGCGTTATTCAGATATATATCTAGTCCGGAAGAGGCTGAGCATTAGCTGATCGTTCTCGAGATGTAAAGGAGCATGATCACTATTATAGTATACCTCCGTGAACATAGCCTCGTGAATGAATATGTGCAACAGCCCATGTCAGGCCATATGAAAGCGCTCGAGCAATTTCCAAAGGGAAAAAGCAGTTGAACAGGGTATCTCTCAAGCTGCAGGCAGCCAATGTGACCGTGTAACATCTATGCGTTCCGTTGGGACCTTGCACCTCAAACTCATCTAGCAGGTCAGAGACCAAACCATGCCCCGTGTGTTCAGGTGAGGATGGATCAGGCGATGCAGATAGAGCTCTGAGGACTTTCGGCTCGCGTGGGATTGTGGATGCCATATTGACCTTAAGGGCAACATATCGCTTTAGATGAGTGTCATGGGCCAGCCATACAGTTGAGTATTCTCCATGCCCAAGTTTGTCTGCAATATAGTATCGTCCATGCAGCATTTTGCCGACCATGATAGGATGGTAGCCTCCAGGCTCGTAGTTCTCAAGTGTCTCTACATCTCTGATCCAGTTGTACTCGATGCGACGCCCCTGGGTCATCGTAGAGCTCGCCCGTGCAAGACAATCATGTTTAAACTTGGAAGAACGCCAGAAGGATTGTGAGAACGAAGCTTGGTGTATTATCAGAGGTCTAAAGAGGGGAACAGAACGCGGAACTATGTTAGCGTAGCGTGGCATGATACCTTGACGTGATTGTTCAAAGGAGGATCAGGAAGCGCCCAAGGAAGGGAAGATGCGGTATCACATCCTCTTGCCATTCTGCCGGCAGAATACTGGATGATATAAGCGCTTTCGTTGTTCCAAACCCCGATTAACTCCGTCCGACCGACCGCCTAGAGAGCAGGCGAAAGAGATAAGTAGTGGTATTATTGTTCCACAGATGCTTTGTCTTTGTTTTCTATCTTGAAGACCTTTCTGTCTTCTTTCGAGTTGAGTCTGCTTCTCCATGCGCGCCAGAAGTATGGCCCGTATTTATTTTCATCTGCCATGGCTCGTATTGGTGATTATTCACCCAATTTGCCTCCTTTTTCTTTTTTTCCTCCAACTTCCTCGGATATATATATAGGTGTCACCGCGATAGTGACCACGGACGCTCCAGGCCATCATTTATACCTACCGCAAAAGAAAAACTGGCCAGAAAATTGACAATCCATCATTTCAAAATGGAACTAGTCCAAGCAATAGTTCAAACAGTTGATGCATGCAATGAGAGCCATAGCGGGCGCATGTAAGTGGTAGCATATGATCTAATATAGTTGACAATTCAGCACTTTGTTATCCATGCATTGCATCTGACTGGCATCACCAGCAAAAACTAGCAAATCGATTGGGAAAGCGGATATAGTATGTATGCGGTGGTATCTCAGAGAAAGAAAAAGAAAAAAGAAAAAGAAAAACAAGTGTTGCTGGCATGCAATGGTCTGTACAATGTCACATGTCGAATGCAAACCCCTTCTATGTTTACTAACTCCCTCAAACTCCATAATGCAGAATGTCCACCGTGGTATCAAGTTAATCCCCCAGTGTCATCGATATCCTCCCCTCAGCGCGTCAAACTCGAACATGAGCCGGCTATCCATCAGAAGAAAGGATTCATACCGAATACCTCGCTCGCGCTGGTATCTTTCCGACCAGACGGGGACACTGCTGTTCCAGACGCTGCCGTAGCCTTCGAAGAGCATGCGCCAGTAACAGGCCTCCGCGGCTTTGGTCAGATAGCGGTCGCGGAAAGTTCGTACGCTGTTGTTGGCGATGCGCTCGGCCTGGCTCGGGTTCGCTAACAGAGGCTCCAGCTTGTCTGAGAGGTCGCTGAAATCCCGTTCGACTTCGACGTAGTTCTGGTTGGGGCCGTCGGGGACGAGAAGATAATGATGGTGCTGGATGTACTGCAGCTTGTGCGCCACAATGACCGAGTTACATGCCTGGCGGTATTTCAGAGACGCGGAATATGATCGGCCTGCGTTGTGAAGTGGCGGGTCAGTACACGTTTACGTTGGTCTGTAAATGAAGGCATCTGAGGGTCCTTACCTTCAACATGTGCAATGAACTTATACTGGCAGTGATCCTCCATGCGCATGATATTCGTGCGCTGTCCCCAATCAACCTGCTTGACGTCACCCCACGGCTGGTCACGGGCAGCTTCCATCAATGCGCGGCGCAGCTTGGGGGCAAAGCTGGGCTTTCCTCGCCAGACGAGCTGTTGTTTCTTCTCCGACCAGGGGATATCTGTGCGTTTGATGTGGTCAACGACCTGGTCGTACGGGCCGAGTGCGTTGTGGACATTTTCCCACGCCCAGAACCCGAAGTCAGGCATGAGCCAGATGGCTTCCTCTGTGGCAGTGCGCGCAAGTGCCCAGATAGGTTGATCGGAGGTGGTCACGTCCTCGACCTTGTCCTCCACCGAGAAGACGAATTCAATGTCCCGCTTCAAGCCGCGACTGGGGTCTGCGACCAATGCGCGGTGGATCGCGCTCAGCGCTGCGACAATCTTCCGTCGATGATCTTCGCCCTTCGACCGCGCGGCAAGGACGTAAAGCTCGCCGCGGTGGATGAACACTCGTGCCATGCCAAATCTCAACGGGATCTCATCCAGGTCCTCCATGGCGAGCGCCCCGTGAGTCCTCCAGAAGGTCGCAGCGCGGTGGACATCTTCGAACAGGCCAGGGAACGCGGTCCTGCACTGCGCTCGGTCTAATCCCTCGTTTTTACCATCTCGGGCCGCTTGGAACTCCCACGCGGGAATGGGGTTGACCTGCTGGACAAGGCCTTGGTGCGAGCAGGTCAAGCAGCTCGAGCATTGGAAGGTGGTGGAGGTTTGGCACGCGCAGTGACCGGCGGGGATCAGCTGGGTCAGCAGAGGATGGATGTAGTCGCGGTCCGAATTGACGCCGTACCAAATGGCGAGGGTGCAGGCGAAAGTCAACAAGCCGGTGATAGAGAATAGGTAGAGGAAGATGCTCTGTCGTAGGCGCAAACGAGAGCAACCGGGGAGCGCCATCGCGAGGGGGCAGGTGAGGGGAGGTCAACCCGGGGGGAGAATGATCGCATTGTAAGTACGAGTAGGGGAGGGGGAGGTGGGGAAGGCAGCAGGACGGGGTCGCAGTTCGCGCTGCCCGTTGATGAGTGTATTATAGCATATAGTAGTCACTGGCAGCATGTTGTTGGTGTCAGGGGAACGTTGGCCCTGAAAGGGGCCGTGCCTGAGTACGTAGACAGCAGGAGAGTATCGACGGCGACATCAACGGCATGACGCGGCGATCGCAGCGAATCCCTGGTTCGACGGCTGAAACTGTCTGGCCCGGGCGATCTTCCCCTTCTGCTTCGGGCCTGATTGGCGCGCGGTATTAATTGGCGTCGCAGTTGCTTTCATCGGGATGCTGCAACTTCTATAATTACGATCTGACCTATTCTAACCCCCGCCCATCTCGATAAGTGTCTGCCTGCCGTGCCTAGAGCTGGATTCTTCTAGACAGCCAGACTCCATCCGAGGAGTATAATGAGGCATTCTTTCCAAACGGGTTCGAAACGCAGCCGAAATCTGCCCCAGTCCCACATGAGGCGGTGCTGGTCTCAACGGCACACTTCCCTTCATGATGATCGCGATGATCAGGGCGGCTGACTTATTGTGTAGGACAGACAGCCAAGCAGTATCTACCCCTCCTCTTGAACGTGGGTGCCATCCCTCTGGTCACAGTTGCTACACAGCACCTAGCATGGTGGGGGTGCTGCTGTCTCTTGCGCAAGGAATCGACAGATAGACCTTACACTACATAGCATCCTGCCACCGGATGGGGCTGTGATTGACTTGTCTGTGTCATTAGAGCTGTCACAGAACAGCTATGGAGTAGTAACTGCCCTATTCGTTGCGGTTAACGAACCCATCTTTGAAGATGTACAGCGCAGAGCACTACCACGTACTACCCTGTACTACACCAAGCTGAGTGGCTAATGAGTCTGGAACCAGTGTCGGATCCGAAATGAGGTGATATCCAGTTTGCTTGCCAACACTGAGCACGATTGATTATATTTCAGGTCAACAAAACTGGATGCACAATAAGAAAATGATGCTTAAGAAAAAAAAAAAAAACACATCTCCAAGGAACATGGAGAGAATGAACCAGATGTAGGGAGAAAAGAAAAAGAGATTCGACAAGGACGCGATTTGAACGCGCGACCCCAAAGGGATAAGATTTCTTCCATTGGCTGGATTCGAGTCTTACGTCTTAACCACTCGACCACCTTACCCAAAGTAGTTAGACCGCTCGGTCGGCCAGATCCTCAAGCCACATCCAAACGTTCACCCGAACCAACCATCACGCGCGTCGCGCAGTCAAAAGCTGACGATACAGCGAAAGAGGACTGGACTGACTGGCCCCCAGGCGAGCCCACCCTCCGCCCAAGACCCCACCGCATCCCGCCCCGGTGGGCCCTCCGGAGTTGCAGTTCTCCGTAGCGCTGGCGCAGCGCAGCGGCGCCCTGAAAGCCGAGACAAAGGCACGCGAAAGCCTAAACCGTCAGCCACACCGCGGTACTGCCAGTCTACCAGTCTGCCAGTCTGCCACAGCCCACAACGGACCACTGGCACGCCATCCACTGTCCAACCAACAATGCGCGCCCCCAAAACCAACACAATTCCGGCACCAGCCAGGCTCCCACAATTTTACTTTCACTTTCCCAGGTCCCGTTTCAGCCCCCGAGTGTCTCCGCTAGCTAAGCTTTTTGCCTTACCGTTCAGGTTGGTCTTGGTGTCAGCTTGCGACCCGGAATAGTAACACTGCCAACACAACGACATACTGCAACTGGCTGCAGGCTTGGAAAGGGAAAGGGGCAGTTCAGGGATGGAAGATCCTTCTGCACTTGGTAAATTGATGAAGAACGAACCCTGACGATCCTATCAGCCATGCTGTACTTCTCAATATCATATCACAGTGCCAACCCGAGTGCGGTTGTACTCCGTGTGTGTCCCTGGACCCTTTTCCCCCGTGGATAAAGAAAACTAAGTAGGTATCTATAACTGGTCACGGCTTGGCGCTAACTCGAAAGACGACAAAATCCCCCGTCTTAGTAAAAGCAAGCCTGTACGATAGTTACTTGGTCGCATACTACTTACTACCTATTAGGTAGTATTACTGTACTGCTTGACTCCTGCCCCTTATCTGATTCACCGATTACTGTTTTGCACTCCGTACCGAGTACAGAACGGCAGATGAAGATCAGATACCCTTCTAAGTAGAGAGAATTAACTCATATGGGATCGATTAATATTATTGGCAGAAACCGTACCTACCTAGATATGTTCGGACGATGATTGACAGCGCGCCGTGGACGATCTGAGACACAGCAATCCTGCCCGCCCCAACGCTCTGTGAGATTAAGTCTCCGTGGATCGCGTATATCGCGTATAGACATCGTGAGCTAGGGACTTTTTATAGCCGGGTGGGGCCACTTTAGTCCTTAAGCATAGATAAATTGCACGGGGCTTGGGAAGTTCATATCTAGCCAGGGTGGGGTTGGGTTGGGTTTGTTTCTTTGTCGAGTAGTAGTAATCTAATACTAGTACTGGGGCGTTGGATATGGCGTTTCCCTTTGGCTTCAGGAATTAAGGGAATTTTGAGTCATTGGCCTCGAATTTGTCATCGCTCTTTTGCTGTATGCTATTGACTTGCAGCCGGGGTCGAATTTTAATATTGGCCAAATAGATACCAGGTTTCTTGGTCACACAGCTAGCCAGTGAGTTGGATATACACCAGTTTCATTAGTAGTCATTCTGTCTGGTTAGACGAAAGAAGTCTTGTCTGTATGTCTACGATTGAATTGCATGGCTTGTCACTTGATAGGGGGGAATGAGACTCTTAGAGCAGCAGGACTGGTTGGTGGAAACATGTATATCTAACCCAGGTGGTTAGGAAGCAAGAAGAACTAACCCATATTAACAGTAGCCAGTATATGATGCCGTGACCTCTGGTAATGGGCGACAGCACTCAGGAGTTGGAAATCGCCACGTACTACTGCACTTCTGTAGGGACATGCTGCATTTAAACAACCATGCGACTGTGAAAATATCTTCTATTATCTGTAACCAATGCCTTTTTGATGATTCAATCCGTTAAAAGTCATAGAATTTATCTATGTAGAATTGCTTTTTCCACGGTAAGTTTTATGACACAACCTACTCCGTACCGCTGCACCGTAGATCCATTCTGAACATCCGCCCCGTGCTTTTCGGTCAGATTGTTGTTTCAGGTGTTAGACAAACAGCTGATAATGATCTCATAAGATGCAAGTATACCCAGGCACATTCATGCAGATGCAAGGGAGGATTTATCGGCCAACAAGAACAGCCAATAGTTCGCTGATGATCGCCCGGACTATCGATGCGCTGTGAGAGTACAGCTCGGTGAGCCATGGGTTTGCCACTGGCTTTTGTTAGGGGTCCAACAATTTCAGCTTGCTGGGTATCTTCGCCTTTCTCCCCGCAAGCTACACCACGATGGTCCTGGGTGAAGAAGTAAAGGAGGTTTGTGCCGAGGTCCAGGCCAGCGCGAGTATTGGCGAGGAGAGCAAGACTCGGGATGATCATCTCTCTGGAGGTAATACGGAGGATCCATCGTCATTCCCAGAAGGAGGATGGGAAGCCTGGTCGGTCGTTTTGGGGGCATGGTGTGCTGTGTTCCCGACGATGGGTATAATGAACCTGACCGGGCTGCTGGAAGAATGGCTGGCCGACCACCAGCTACAGGGCCGTACCAAGGCTTCCATCTCGTGGATATTCAGCCTCTGGTATTTTCTCTTCTATCTGGGTGGTATCCAGATTGGTATGTATGTCTTCCTTTGTCCGAATCGACATTTGCTCACTTTATATTCCGTAGGGCCCATATTTGATACTCACGGCCTTAAATATACCCTCATCCCAGGATGCATTGGCATGTCATTGTCGATGATGGCACTCAGTGTTTCCAACGGTAAAGCAATCGCTCTCGAGTCCAGCACCCATTGACTGACAGTCAAATTGTCTAGAATACTATCAGTTCGTCCTGGGATTCAGCATTCTAGGTGGCCTCTCCGCATCAGCGGTGTACACTCCCAGCGCCGTGTGCATCACACACTGGTTCCTTCAAAGACGCGGCCTAGCAACCGGTATTGCAACAACAGCCGGTGGCGTTGGGGGGATCATTTTCACCAATGTATTCGGGGTCCTTAGCCCTCAAATCGGGTTTCCCTGGACCATTCGTATCCTTGGGTTTATGTTCATCGGAAGCTTAACCATCAGCCTCCTGTTCCTCAAGGCCCGTCTTCCGCCTAGCCCATTTTCACGTGCGAGAATTGATATCGGGGCGCTCAAAGAGCCCGTCTTCACCATGACATCTGCCTCTGTTGTCCTCGCCGAGGTCGGCCTGATGATTGTAGTCACCTACCTTCCTTCCTACGCACGATCCCACGGAATCAGAGATTCTCTATCGTACCAGCTGATGACCATTGTCAGCGCCACCTCTATCGTTGGTCGGGTCATTCCCGGGATCTTAGCAGACAAATGGGGCCGCTTCAACGTCATGTTTGTGACCTGTGCTGCATGTGCCATCCTCTCATTTACGCTGTGGTTGAACAGTAGCAACATGGCGGGCATTCTTGCTTTTGCAGCACTTTTCGGATTCTGGAGCGGACCGGCAATCAGCCTGACGCCTGTGTGCGTGGCTCAGATCTCGAAGACGGAGAACTATGGCACGCGATTTGGGGCAACCACGGCAGTGTTGGGATTAGCATTGTTAGTTTCCATCCCAGTGGCAGGAGAGATTTTGAAGGAGCAGAATCGAGGAGGTGCAAGTGAAACAGAGTATTCAGGCCTGATTGCGTTTTGTGGAGCGGCGTATGCTGGGGCCTGCTTGTTCTTGTTTCTGGCTAAAGGGGCAAGGGTGGGATGGAGGCCGACAAAGATCTTCTGAGAGACGCAGGATATGATGAATTAATTGACTGGAGAAGGAAGGTCTCGAGTATGCCAGTTCCAGAAGCGATTACCCTCAGGGTGGTATAGATGTAGACTTGGTTAGCGAGATTTGCATGGCGAATCGATCCTTTCGCGCATAGGATAGCGTCACTGCCATGTTTGCATGCGGGGTTCACCACCGTGCCCTTCCCATCGGGTCTAGAGAGTAGTAAAGAGGAGTGTCGGGGACGAGGGGAAGGGGAAAGCTGGGGGAAGCGGATGGCCCAATCGGGAAGACGCACGGACCCGGACACGCGCCGCTTTGGTTTGGTTTGGTTTGGCAACAGGCCGACGGACTTCCCATCGAACGCTTCTTCTCCAATTTACTTGCTGTTGCCTCTGCTGCTGCCCCCACTTTTGTTTCTCTCTCCAGTCCTCAGTTACAGGAAGCTCTGACTGCCGGGTTGCGAGTACTGTCTGACTGCTCTGAGTGTTTGCGAGGCAGCCCGCGACAAGTGAAACGGCCGCGGTCTGTTTATCCTCCGCCCTCCGCCGTCGCCCCTCCAACCCGCCTCATGCCTCTGCGTCTATGCGACCACTGTGACCACCCCTCGTCTTCCAAGCTTCCTCAGCCCTGCCTCCCACGTGCTTGATCCCGCCATGGAGAAATTTATGCGCTCCTGGCGTCAGGATGCGCTGAACCGCGGCCAGCACGATGCGGCCATCTACATCGGCGACAAGGTGCTGGCGCTGACCAGTAAGTGGATGGGCCCGTCCATCCAGCGACCTGGGCTAAACAAGTTCTCTCTCTAGACACCGATGCCGATACCTTCTGGTTGGCCCAAGTCCACTTCTCGAACAACAATTACGCACGCGCATTAGCCCTGTTGTCGCGAAAAGACCTCATCGCCAGAAGTACCGCCTGTCGCTACCTGGCCGCGCACTGCCACATCAAGCAGAACCAATTCGAACAAGCGCTCTCGGTACTGGGAGACCACAACCCGACCCACCTCATACGCAGCAGCAACAGCCGACGCAAATTGCAGCACCTCAACGGCCAGAGCCATGTCACGTTGCGTAATGGGAAGACGACGGCGTCGCGCATCGACCGCAGCGAGGAGCGGGAGAAGGAGGATGCCACCAATATCCGGTTCGAGGCGGCCATGTGCTACCTGCGGGGACTGTGTTTCGCGAAACAGAATGCGTTCGATCGTGCCCGCGATTGCTACAAGGACGCCGTCCGCATCGATGTGCAGTGCTTCGAAGCTTTCGACCAGCTCATGAAGAACTCCTTGATGTCGCCCGCAGAGGAGCTGGAGTTCCTTGAGTCCCTAGATTTCGACTCGCTGTCCAGCCCCGACCCGTCTGTGGCCCAAGAAGCCGCCCATTTCATCAAAATGCTCTACACTACCCGATTGTCGAAATACTCTTCTCCAGCCATCCTCTCGGACGCCACGGAAACGCTGTCAACTCACTACAACCTGGCGCAGAACCCCGATATCCTCCTTTCACGCGCGGAAGCATTGTATACCCAGTGTCGCTTTGCAGAAGCACTTGAACTCACATCATCGATCTTATCTACTTCTCAGTCTGCCGCATCCCCGACGCAAATGACGCCAGCAGTGCATATGCCAGCTCAAAGCCACCTCGGTCATCCGCCTGCAGTGTATCCCTTGCATTTGGCTTGTCTTTATGAAACGGGTGCTACAAATGCCCTTTTCCTCCTGTCCCATACGCTGGCCGATCATGCTCCTGAGGAGCCCTATACATATTTAGCTATCGGTGTTTACTACCTGTCGGTCTCAAAAATAGCTGAAGCGCGGCGTTTCTTCTCCAAAGCATCCCTACTCGACCCACATTCCGCGCCAGCCTGGATTGGCTTTGCTCACACATTTGCCGCCGAGGGGGAGCACGACCAGGCCATTGCGGCGTATAGTACAGCAGCTCGGCTTTTCCAGGGAAGCCACTTACCGCAGCTCTTCCTGGGTATGCAGCATCTTGCATTGAACAACATGTCTCTGGCCCATGAATATCTGTCGGCTGCCTATGCGATGTCAACCGGCGCTGCGTCCGGCTCTGCACCTTCTATCCGAGCCAATCCGACTTCGGAACTGAGTTCCTTGGGGGGTGACCCGCTCGTTCTCAACGAACTAGGTGTCGTCCTATACCATCAGAATCATCTCGACGGAGCTGTCGAACTATTCCGTCAAGCACTCGCCTTGGCAACGTCACTTCAGTGTGAACCAGGGGCCTGGGTGGCCACGCGAGCCAATCTCGGACACGCACTCCGTCGTATCGGCCGATTCCAGGAGTCTCTAACGGAATTCGACGAATGCCTCCGGATTGGCGCTGCGGGCGCAAGCTTCGGGTATAGTCCGTTCCTGGGGGGCAGCGGTGGCAGCGCTTCAGGCGTAGCCTCCTCGGGCGTCGGCGGATACGAGGACCGAGGATTGGTTGGCTCACTACACACTGCGCGAGGTCTTGTGCTATTGGAACTGGATCGCACCATGGAAGCCGTGACAGCTCTGCATGAGGCGGTGCGTGTCTTAGGAGCGAGTGGCGGGGGCGATGCCGCCGGTGGTGCCGGTATCGCGGGCACACTTTTATCACGCGCGCTGGAGATCTGGGCACTCGAAGGGCAGGAGACAGAGCCAGCTGTGCTGGAAGACACTCGAGGCACCGCGAGTCGCAGCTCGACGCGGTCCTCCAAAGGAAAGGGCAAGGTTGTCAGACGACGTGGCACTGTAGACGAGCCCTACGCGGAGGAATGGACCGACGAAGTCGCTCACGTCGATAGTCAACTTGCCGCCGAGGGCGAGACTATGGGAGAACGAGTGGAGATGGAGCTGGACGACGAAGCGGACGGACTCCTGCGTCAGGCCATGAGCCGGGTGCGAGGCGGCCGAAGCAAGCGCCAGCCGGGACTGAGCCATGAAATGGTGGTCAGCGAGACCCCGGGGCCCGCCGGCGGACGCATTCGAGGGTCGCGGACGGTGAGGAGTAATGCTAGGCAATAGTTGATGGGCACAGCAGTGATGGATTGACATTCATTGGTGTCGATGGAGCATAGCAACTGGGCGTTTGGATGTGTTATACCCTGGTTTTGTACATTGGTCCTGGTCCTGGGACCTGGGGGTTGGGCTGCAGCATTAGAGGCGTATATCACTCTAGGTTTAGATCGAATATGGTATGCGCAGCAATGGCTACTCTACTGTTTACCATAGATATGTTCACGTTTTCAATATAGTAATAGCATCATCACCCTGCAGAGGGGCATCACCTTGCATAAACCACATAACTTACATAAGCCAATTATCCCCTTGCGCCGATAAGCTTTACTAACCCCACGTGACCCGCTATCGAGATCGCATCGCCGTCCATCATATCATCTTCACTCTCACTCATCTCACACCCCAGACCACCCAACAACCAACGCCACACGGCACCACCGCCTCGATTCTCCTCTCACCATACCCACCTTCTGTCTAAGTCTCTTCAACCTCTCAACTATCGCTTCACCCAGATAACCCGCCACCATGTCCGAGCGAAAGGTCCTAACGTAAGTCCAGGCCTCAACTTCCATAATCCTAATCTCCGACCTTCGAACCCGAAGCTAACTATCGTTGCTCACAGCAAATACTACCCCCCGGACTTTGATCCGAGCGCTATCACGCGCACCCCGAAACATCTCCGGAAGTAAGTCTTTCATCTAGCAAGTGCAAGTGCAAGCACAGCACAACCCAGTAACGCAAAGCTAATACCCACTCTCCTCCTCCTCCTCCAGAACCGGCCCGAAAGTCATCACGGTCCGCCTCATGGCTCCCTTCTCCATGAAATGCACTAAATGCGGTACGTCCGTCCCTCTTCCCCCCCCTCCCTCCCCTCTCTCTCTCCCATCCCCAAAACAACCCCACCCCACCAACCCCAACCTACCCCCCCACTAACACTCACACTAACACAAACACTCTCCAACCCAAACAGGCGAATTCATCTACAAAGGCCGCAAATTCAACGCGCGCAAAGAAACCACCGAAGAGAAATACTTCTCGATCCCGATCTACCGATTCTACATCCGCTGCACGCGATGCAGCGGGGAAATCACATTCCTAACGGACCCCAAGAACATGGACTACCGGGCGGAAAAGGGCGCGAAACGGAACTTCGAGCCGTGGCGGGATGCGAAAGCGGATAACGCGGACGAGACGGAGCAGGAGATCTTGGACAGGTTGGAGAGGGAGGAGGGGTTGGAGAGCGAGCAGATGGAGCGCGATAAGATGGCCGAGCTGGAGGAGAAGATGAAGGATAGTAAGCGGGAGATGGCGATTGCGGATGCGTTGGATGAGATTCGGACGCGGAATGCGAGGATTGAGAGGGGGGAGGCGCTGGGGGAGGAGGTTTTGGTGAGGGATAGAGAGGAGAGGGAGAAGGGGGAGGAGGAGATGAGGGCGGAGAGGGAGGATGAGGAGATGGCCAGGAGGGCGTTTATGACGGAGGAGGGGGAGAGGGTTAGGCGGTTGGGGACGGGGATTGAGGGGGAGGGGGAGGCGGCGGACGGGGGGAAGGAGATGCCGCCGCCGCCGGTGCCGTCGTTTGCCAGGGTGAAGAAGGCGAGGAAGCCGCCTATCGGTGGGCTGGGGATTAAGAAGAAGCCGTCGTTGGTGTAGTATGGGCTTCTTCATTCTTCGTTCTTTCATTCTTTCTTGTTTGTGTTAGGGATGGAGTTCGGCATGGCATGGCATGCTTACAACTACTGGAGTATGGACACAGCATTCAAACATAAACTGTCTTGATTAATTATGATACACCAGCAATGCATAGTAAAGAACAATGAGATAAAAGAAAATAAAAGCAAATATCACAGCAAGTCATAAATAAGCAACATCCCTGTTTTCCCCGGAGCGCCACGCTAGAATGAATCCTTGCCCAGAAGCTCTCACCTCCACAGCCCGAGAGCGAAACGCCAAACATAACAGGATAATACAACAACGGACGGACGGACGGACAGACAGACAGACAGACAGACAGACGATCAAGCAGGTAAGTAGGAAAGCAGGCACTTAGAGATACGGCATCCAGAGAGGATCGCACGACGCCAGATGCTGCGGGTTCACGGCCTTGGAGATCAGATCGATGGTGGTTTGGTTGGCAGGCAGATTACCCTCGGGGGGACTGGCCAGGCTGACGGCGCGGTTGACGATGATGTCACTGTTGTTGTAGACCAGATCGCGGAGCTGGGGAGCTGGCAGGGGCCCACGGTGTTGCGCAGTGGCCCAGACGATCATTTCATCGCGGACAAAGATGCTGAGCTGCTGCTCGAGCTCGTGCCGTGGCTCAGTGAGGCAACGCGCAATCGCCATCATTGCACAGGCAAACAAGCCCTCGGTGGCAATAGGTCCCAGCAGGGTCTGGATGTTGGGGGTGAAGCGGAAAGGCACCTGCTCAGGGTTGTAGAAGAAGGCCTTGGTGGGGTTTATTGTCGGGATGAGCTCCGAGCCCCAAACATCGCCAGTCGATCTCGAGATCACAATCTTGTTGGGATACCGGTTACCCATATGCATCACATAAGTCATGAATGCGATGGACGCATATTGGTAGGCAAACTGCCGCCGGAAAAGCCAGAAGTCCGCGAAGCTCGGGTAGATCTTTTGGAAGTAGTCCAACAGGACAGTGCTGGGAACCCACTTCTCCTGGATAGCCGTGAGCATCTCCGTGCGGAGTACCTGCTGCTGATCGGGTGAACGCTGGGAAACGTCAGTCGTGTTTTCCTGTATGATCGAAGAAGGATGATCACTTACGTTCTGTTTTGTTTCTGTCAACGATCTCATTTTATCCATCATGAACATGACAGGTTCATCCTTGAGGATTCCTATCCGCCGGCAATAGTCCTCGTAGATGCCCTGCATAGAGATGTAGGACGAGTCATCACGAACCAAGCGGATGTGAGGCGCCAGCGGGACCATGAGTGGAAGATAGAAGTACAGGTTGCGACGCCTGCCTTCTTTGCGCTTGCCCAACAGCCCGTTGAAGATTCGGAACAGCTGCAGGATACGTTCTTCACGCCTGCAGTGCCTTGCGGCGGGGTGCTGCACAGCGAATGGGTGCACACTACCATCGTGGCCACGGATCTTGATGCGACGGTGACAGACGCCGGTGCCGCGCACAATCTGGATATCAGGCAAGAACCGATCGATGCGAACGAAGTCCTGGTTCTTGTCCTTGTGCAGGAGATACTGACCCGGCACCTCGACTTCGTCGAACTTGAGGAAGCGGAATTCACTGAGGTGCGGCGAATAGGTCTCCAAGAACTGGGACGGCGCACGGCGATCGAGCTTCTCCTCGAACTTGCGACGCCAACGACGTAGCTTCTGTATGTAATCGTACATGGTCGGCTTCTTCTTGACAAAGTCCGCCTCGAAAGCCTGGCGAATGTGATTCGGCAGGATAGTGTCGGCGAAACGCACGATGTTTCCTTCGGTCGTGGCAGGCAACTTGGAATCATGCGCATACGAGATCGGCATGCGGCCAACGTATGCCAGCCCGTCGTTCAGAAGTGCAACAATGAGACGGAAGGCATCCTCGTCGGGCGGGCACTTGAAGTTCTTGTAGATCTGATCGACCATAGTCTCCATGGACAACGCAAGCAGAGGGAAAGCGGTTTTGAGACCAGACATGATTTCGTCCGAGTACTCCCATGGGTGCTTCAGCGGCTCCTTCTCGGTTTCCGTGCCCGCAGCATTCTGAGCTGGCTGTGGGGCTCCGTTTTGTCCTGGAACCTGCAGATGACCCTGCTGTTGAGCTTGCGGCTGTTGCACTTGAGGTTGCCCTTGGTTTGGTGCTTGCCCTTGGACAGGAGCCTGGGGCTGCATCTGACCTTGACCTTGAACGGGGGGCTGCTGCACATTCTGGCTGTTGACTTGACCGGGATTCGGAACTTGATTTTGCGCTGCGACTTGCGGTTGGGGTTGAGCCTGGTTTTGCACCGGTTGCTGCCCGGGAGCCTGCACAGGAGACGGCGCTGCGGCATTGGCGGCCTGGTTGTTCTGCGCAGGCGAAGCATTCGCCGCTGCAGGCGTAGGCTTGGGGCGCGGCGAAGCCTGCTGCTGGAGTTGCTGTTGCCTAGCACGGGCAAGCTTCTCTTGCTTCTGGTCATGCTGTTTCTTGATACTGAGCATGTCTTCACGGTTCGTACGGAGTAGGAAGAACAGGGCCTGTGGGAACAGCTTCGCAATCTTCACCAGAACAGCCTTGCACAAGCGAGCTTCACGGTGCGACAAGCTCGTAAGGAGCTGGGGTATGAACGTAATCCAATACCACACAGGAGTGTCTCCCTTGAAACTCTCAAAGGCACGCGCAATCTGGCCTTCTTCGTTGTCCAGGCTCAGAAGCCAAAGAATACGACTGAGGAGCTTTCTTGACTTCGCATTCTTGTACAGACCCGCGGCCTCCAGGTAACAGCTGACCGCGTTGCTCGCGAGCTCATAGTCCGACGAGTCCGCCTTGAACCGTTGGTCGCTGTACTGTCCCCATTCCGACCACGCTTTCGCGAGCCTCAACTCGTAATAGAGAGCCACACCAAACGCCTCGTTTGCCTCATTGACATGGTTCAACTTGGCGAGGAACATACCCTTGAGCGTGTAGAACTCCGCCTTCTGCTGCGCACCAAAGTAGTTGAGATTGGTGTTGTTGATCACGTCCAGTCCACTGTTGAGTTCCTTAGGGTTCTGGTAGTGACACTTGGCTTGTTCGCGCAGCTTCAAGAAGGCCTCCTGAATCTCGATGTTCGGGAGGGTGTAGATACGGCTGAGCTGATTTATGCACACTTCGGGCATTTGATGCTTGCGCGCAACATGGGCGAAGCGGTTGATAATCCATGCTGTCTCGTGATATCCACGGTAGGCATACGAGTTGCTCGCCACGTTGTTAGTCTGCGGGGGCAACAGACTGAGATACGTCGCATTGATGAGTTGGAAGATGTGCTGCCGCCATGTAACAAGGTCCTGCCAGGCATTGATATCGTCCCAGAGGTTGGGTAACCGATCTCTCCAGGTGCCCAACAACAGCTTCAGCTCGGCAGACTTGGTGTCAAGGTTACGATCATTGGTCTGCGAAAGACTGGCGCAAATATGGCTTGCATCATGAAGCTCAACCAGGAGCTGGAAATGCTGCAAAATCGGAATATGGGCGTTCGTTATCTTCTTCGGCAGTTGAAGCCATTTCCGAATGGACAGTTGGATAGACTCGTCGCAAACACCGTTGAACTCCTGAATGTTTTCCTTCTTGGAATGGAACTGAAGCAATGCCATGAAAGCCTGGAAGAAGGTACGTCTTGGCGTCGGAGCGTCCGAAACCGACTTGATGAGAGATTCCAGCTGTTCTCTGCTAGTCTCACTCTGCCAGTTCTCAATGTTCCTCCAAGCCGACTCCAAGAGAAGATCGTTCAGGTTCTCATGCTTGGCAAAGTCACTGAGAATTTCCCACTGTTGCAGCTTCTGTGCGCAGATCAACCAATGGTCCTCCCACAGATAATACTCGCCTTGGGAGAACGGCATTGCTCCCGACCGAGCCTTGATCTGGGCATTTTCATAGAGCTGCTGCGCCTTGTCCCACATACCCTGCTGCTCGTAGGAAAGAGCCGCGTTGGTCTCCACAAACTTACAGCGACGTCGCCAGGTACCATAGAAGAAATCGTCTTCCTGCAACCCTGCGTATACTTCCACAAGGGCATCGAGGTTGCTCTCGCGGACAGTCGGGGTATCAATGAGAGGACTGATAGCCGTTTCTTCCAGGTACGTGGCAGCAGTGTACCAAGCGTCGTAGGTCCGGCTAAGGTATTTCATCACATGCGGAGGAATCTTAAAGCGTGGCTTAGCTCGCACCACACCTTCCAGCAGAGCCTGTACGACATTCGGTCTCTTGTCCAGTTGTCTCTGGTGATATTCGCGCGTGATGAGGGTGACCATTCCCTTTTCCAGATCGATGCGATCCTCCCTGGTGAGCGTAGACCAGAAAATTCTAAACAGCGTCGTCCAGAGCTTGTATGACACGTTAGGGTCAGTGTGTTGAAGTTGGCACAGGGGCTCAATCAGATCACGGGCCTTCACATCACCAATGTCAGCGACGAAGCGTTTGCGGTCCGATACAAAGGCTTCCAGCTGGGCATCTACTACAACATCGGCCTTCCTCGGATCTTTCTCGGCATTGCCGAAGAGGAAAGACATTGGGTAAACCGTAAAATCTTCAGGGTGCAGCTTCGCGGATGATCCCATATCAATACAGCCCATGATGAGGTGAGACGCTTGTGCCAGCCAGAAGGAGTCGGCAAGGGTGTCCCAGTTCTGGCATGTCAGCACGTAGCTCAGACGGGAGCTGGCCAAACGGGTCAAGCTGCGGTCAAAGATAGTCATGAAGCGGTTCCGCATCTCAACATCTTGCGCTCTTGTACCGATCAAGAAAGCGTGCTCCAGTCTAACCGTAAGCTCGGTCCGAGTGATCTTGGAATCCTCGTAGATCCTGATAACTAGGTCGAGGAACTTTTTCAACATGGTCTGATCCGGTCGAGATTCGAAGAGTAGCATCTTGTGCAAGACAGCAGTTTTCTCCTTCAGTGTTGGCCATGATTCTGTCGAGCGGAAGATCCAGGCCTCAACCATGTTCAACACCTGAGTGCAAAGCTTGATGGTTTGGGAGCGTTCGACGATCTGCGCCAAGACACTCAGGAAAGGACGCCTCTGTTCCCCTAGATGAGACATGCGCACCGAGATCAGCTCAACTGTCTTGTAGATCAGATCTACTCCAATCTCGAATTCTTGTTGGTCTGGGACTCCCTCTGGAGGTTTAGTCCCCGGAGTATACTGTCCTTGGTTGGCGGTGGAAGCTGCAACATGCTCCTTGGCTAGCTTTTGGGAGAACGCCTTCATGACCTGGGGAACATGGGCATCCATCTCAGCCGGTCGGCTTTTGGAAAGAGTCCATAGGATGTTCAGGCTGGAAACGTAGTTGTTGGCTGACAGTGTTTCCGTTGCAATGGCCGACAAGTACGTAACAAATTCAGATGGCGAGTTCTCAACGTCCATGGCATCTTCTTCCTCCGGCTGATCATCAGGGAGAGCATCGAGGACACGTCGGACAGGGGGCAAAGGCTTAGGAGAAATATCCATGTCATCCTCAATACCGTGCAGACAGTCCTGGATCTCTGGGTTGTCCGAGCGCAAGGGCTTCTCGAAGAGCCTCTGGATGATTGTCGTACGCGGGACGATCCAGTCATCCGACTTGGAATTAAGAAGGACCCGTACAACTTGCAAGGCATTGATCATGCTTGTCACATGCTTTTCGTCCGGCTTGTCCGCCTTCTCGCCCGCGAGGATCGGTTCCGTGACCTTTTGATACAGTTCGATATCCAAATCTCCCCAGTACTCTGGAGACAAAAGGTTCCTCAGCAAATACACGGCCTTCTTCACCATGTCGCCCGTGGGCACAGGTTGCTGCGTCTTTGACGAGGGGAGGTCACGGAAGCGAGCAGCTGGAACTGGGAACCTCTCAGGAATGGTGGTGATGAATGAGATCAGGTACTTGGTCAACGAAGCTCGGAGATCCGAGGGGACCAAATAATCGCGACCAGACCCAGTTGCAGGTGAGGGAGAAGCAGTGGCTTGAGCCTCCTCCAATTTCCGCTTTTTCGCATTCGGAGAGTCGAGAACGCCATTTGGCACAGCAGGACGGCCACCTTTCACGCGCTTTTCTTCCCAGTGCCAAATGAGGCTAATGAGATTCAGTGCTAGCTTCTTGCTGTCATTGGACGCACTGAGAGGAGAAGCGATCTTGATCAAAGAAGGAACAATCAGAGGAACAAAATGCTCCCTGGAGTCGTAGAAAAGGTCTGGTTGCCGCACCAGAAACTGGAAAATACACATGACTTGTTGCAGATTCGCGGTTTCTTCGGCGAGAATGCGTCGGGGCCACTTCGCCCAAAGTGGATACCTTGCATCTTGCAATGATGTATTGTTGTTTGCCATGTGAGTCCTGGTGGGCAAAACCGGCGCTAGAACATCGAGAGCCTGGGTCACGAGCGCCTTCCCTTCGGTCTGGTGGGCTCGCAGCAAAGCCACATACACTTGCACCACAATCTTAAAGGGCGTCTCGTAATGGGCAATGAAGTAACTTATAAGCACATAGGCGCCGTACTTGTTGATGATATCCTCAAGGCGGATATAGTTCCAGGCAAACTTGATGATGTCCTTCCGCGAGTCCTGCACGGTCTGATGATGATATTTGATCAACAACGCAGAGAGCTGAAGAAGCTCCATACGTGAATGATCAACACCAGCCTGGTTGGATTCTTCACTAAGATCAGCCAATTGAGGCTTCCACAAGCGACTCTGGATAAACTCAGTCATGCTCCTATCCATCAGCTTGGGGGTATTAGGCGGACTATTCCACGTTGCCTGAACATCCATAGCAAATATAGGATTGACCAAGTGACGGAAAGCGTATGTCTTCATCTTCTGGGAGCAGGATCGCTGACTGTACAGATCAAGGCAGCGCATTATCACGGAGCGGCGGTAATCGATAGAATCGTTCGTGATGATATGGCGGAAAATGAATTTCGGGAACGCGAGCGTACGCTTCAATTCATCCGAAGACAGGCCATCGATAACCTCGAACAGGAAATCAAGATCTTGTACCGACTCGGTGAGATAGGTTGTGAAAATTTCCATCAATTGATCTTCCGCTTGCTCAACCCTCAACCGCTCGTTGGCTGGCAGTCTGTCGTGACGCAGCTTCTTCTCAAGATCGCGGCCCGAATTCAAGAGCTTGGCTCTCAACTCCGCATGTGAAACCAGCCAGCGCTTGGTTGGTTCATACGCGCAGATGGAGTGCACAATATAGATACCGTTGATAGCAGCAGTGTTCTTGCCATCGGCGGACTCTTGTCCAAATGCCGCAGCGGTGAAACTGTCAGTATCAGCAACAACCGCAGAACGGAGCGCCTCGCTTTCAGGATCAGCCAGAACCTGGCCGAAGAACCGGCCAAAACGCTCATCCTTGAACCGAGACTGGAAGAATGCCAAGCTGTCTTTGGGGTACCGATTGAGATACTTGACCAGAGGCTTCCTGAAAGGGCTATTCGAGGTCCTGCGGAGCTTGTCTTCGAGGTCCAACACCTTGTTCACCAGATGCTCCATGAAAGACGTGGCAGCCGGCGGCAAAAGATGGAAGATATTAAAAATGGCTGCCACAATCTTCATGGGTGGACTTTGCTCCACAAGACTGAAGGACACCTTCTGTAGTGTGCTGTCATCTGCAATTACTTTCATGTGGTCCAGGAGCCGTGCTCCGATCTCCACCTTGAAGTAGTTTGTAAGCAATGTCAACAACCGCGCAAGCCCATCAAGCCCCGCGACACTCAACCGTTTGGGATCTTGCAAGTTCATCAGGATTGGGCGAAGACCGTTCTGGAGCAGATCTTTCGGCAACTTGTTAGTCTGCGTGAGGACATCTCGGAGACCCGCATTTGCCGCTTCAATAACATCAGATGACCTGGAGTAGAGCGACTTGAAGAATACCGAGATAATACGTGCACGACTGGTATTCTGCGGAGCGTTGCCGAATTCCTGGAAGCTCATCGCCATTGACAGGAGGCGGAGGCAGGCAACACGCAAGTTGACAATCATCTCTGCGTTCTTGAACTCGTTGGGCTTGGGGGCGAGCGACTCATCATCAGCATCGGCCAGGGCAAGAGACTCTAGCATCAACCGGTTGAGCGGGTCATTGAAAGTCACAATATTGTTGTGAAGGCTCAAACAGTAAGTGATGGCATCGATGAAACCAATCTGCGTAGGGAAGGGCAGTGCTCGCAGGGGCTTGTTGAAAATAGACTGCAAGAGGCGATCCTTGACAGGCAGAACAAGTTCGTGCACCTGGCAACCCAGCACTTCCGCAATTGTGGAGAAGCTTCGACGAGACGCCTCCCGGGCCTGCTTGTTCATGTGGGACAACTCATAGACAAAGTGGCCACACAGAGAGTACAAGCGGCTTTTCTCGTTCTTCAGATCAGTCAGAGGAAGGGTCTTGCAACATCGCCGAAGAATCACGTCTAGAGTCTCCTGCGCCCTTATCCGCGTACTGGCCGGCAAGTCAGACGGCGTATCCTTGATGACGTGCATCAATGCTCTCACGAATTCCGTCTGCTTGTCAAGAAGCCATGAATCGCCCAGATCCAGCTTGGTCGCAAAGATGTGGATACCAAGACTACCTCCGGCTTTAGTAAACCACTCCTCGCTGTGGCAGCTATGACAAAACACACGGCCTAGATGTTGGAAGAACGGCAACTTGGCCGCTCGTTCAGGCGATCCGAATATGACACTGGCCGCATCCTTCACGACCTGCATGGCTGTCTGAGCACCCTCACGGACACCAGCGTTATATGAAGACAAAGATTCCACCACAGCTTCGGCCAGGACCCGGGAGTCAAGGTAGATAGGGCCTTCCCCATTGAAGACATCGAACCTGCGAGAGTGCCTTGCCTGAGCAAGAGCCCGTCCTACTTCCACAATCGCAAAATGTTTGCAGACATCCGCCACGAAAGCAGTCGCTGTCTGCTCAAGGTCTGGTATGGTAGTGGCGAAGATACAAGCTTTCAGGAGTTTCTTCAGCGAACCTTCCTGGCCCAACTTCTTCGAGATAGAACTGGACCAGTCGGACTTCTCCAAGATATCAGGCATAGCTGTGGTGTTGTTCTCGAAGAGATCGTTCGCATGTAGACGAATCAGGGATGCCAGATCCTCCGGAAGGTTCTCATGCCCAATGTAGAGCTTGAGCTGGGACGAAAGCATACGAAACGCTTGCTGCTTGTAATAAGTATCGGACGCAATTGCCGTGGGAGATTTGGGCACCTCCATCAACTTTCCGATCGCCAAGTCGAGTCCAATATCGATGGGGAAAGGCCGTTTCTCGCTGGGCCCTATGAGTTTGATGTCGAAGCTTGGAGCATCATCAGTGTATTGCTCAAAGGACAGTTCAGGAGGATGGTTGAGAAACTTTCGGTTGCGACCACCAAGCTTTCCCAAGATCCGCATCGTTGTATGTGCGTGGAAATGATTGTAGGGATGGGGTCGCAGATGGTCCCATAGAGCCGTCATCAACTCGTCCATGATAGGAGCCATGATCGGATCCAGATAGTCAGCTGTGAGGTTATCCACGCAAAGTTCGAGTGTCCTAAGACCCTGTCCCACAAGATCCGAGTCTGCGCGCAGTGCTACCACTATAGGACGCATGAGGTAGCTGAGATGTGGAAGCAGGTGGCTCAGTCGAGCGGGGACGGTGAGCGTAAGTTCAACATAGAGGTCGCGCTCTTGTGGTTTCCGGGCAGCGAGCAGGAGGTTGTTGAATGTCTCCAGCAGCATCTCTAGTAATGGCAGGATTTCCTTGTATAGGAGCTCGAACCGACCACCACCAATACTGCGGAAGAGCGACCGCAGCAGAAGGAAGTAGTTCATGGGTTCCTCCGCAGTAACCGAAAGCTCGATACATTTGGTGACGATCTTGGTCACATGCGGGTGCAGTACCTGCTCATTCTGAACAGAAAACAAAGTCACAGCCATGAAAGAAAGCTTGAACATCCTCAGCAGGATCTTCGCTTTTGTCATGTCGGATGTTCCCACTTCATGGATCCGGTCCATGAGATACTGCAGCACCATGCCAGAAAATGCAGGAGAGGTTGCTTCGCTAGCCAGGAAGAATTGCGGCAGATGAAGAAGGGAGCCATGTTCAAACATAAGCTCGTGAAGGTACGGGATCTCGGAATGGAAGACTTCGTGGAAGGTGGCGGTGTCAATGCAATGGAAGATGGTTCCGAAGCTCTCCAGGAGCTCCTTCTCCTCGCGTGACATGGGAGCTGTATATTGGCCAGCAAGGAAGTCAAATGGAGTAGAGTGGCTCACTTCCGGAGGGGGCTGGTCCACGCCGTAGTACTTGAATACGCGTGCCCCCTCGTGGAACAGCTTCTTGATGACCCGCACTTCCTCGGCATTATACCCATATGAGACTTCGGACCAATTGATGGGAACACTGCTCGGATCAATCTCGATATTATCAGGGTTGCAGTTCTTGAGCTGGTGGAAGATGTTCTTCAACCCATTGATCAGGTTCTTGAAGAGGAAGATGTTGTCCGAAACCGGATCCCCACCACGATCGCGAGGGTTGGAGGTCTTGATAGGAGAGGCAGAGAAGATGTCGATCTCATCCCAATCAGGGGGGTACTCTTTTTCAGCAAGATACCTCTCCGAAGAGGGCTCCAGATCCTTCCTGGTGGTCTTGTACGCCGTGGAGACCTTCACAGCATTGTCAAATTGATAATTCATCGATGCGAACTTATCGCCGATCGCATCCAGAATCATGATCAGGAAGTACCGACCCTCCCGTTTGTCCTCAAGCCTGGAGATTCTCTCCGCCATGTTCAAGAGCAACTTGGCGCTCATGGTCTGGAAGCTCGTTCCAGGCAAGTCATCGTGAAGATTCTTGGTGTATACTTCGAGAGTCCGCCTAATCTGGTCCCGCGTCAAGTGGTCCCGCACATGGTGAATTAGATCCGCAAGCATGCTGTAAGCCAAGGGCCTCATGGATTCGTAAACAGTAAGGCCATCTCCGATCAGGGTCCGCTCATCCAGAAGCTCGTCAATCTTCTCCAGGAAAATCTTCCGGTAATTAAAGTTGATTATATGGCGAATTGCAACCAGTAGTTCCTTCCTGGCGCTAGATTTCTCCCTAGGGCAATCTTGAAGAAGGCGCACCACGACCGAGGGGAGAGTGGGAAGGAAGTCCTGCAGCTGTTGCGCATACATTCGAAGGAGATAGGCCAAGAAGCTCATGGTCTTCACCTGCGCCGTGATGAATTCACCAAACGCAGCCCTGTTCTTGATTTCCTTGCATACACCGGTGAAGATGGTCCCTTGAGCTGCGGCGTCCGTGTGTGCCTTCTCCTGCGGCTTGGCCTGCAACAGAAGAATACTCTTGATCAACGGGACGAAAAGCTTGACGTTGGCCGCAACGGAGTTCCGATGAGTCTGGAAGATGGACACGACAATGATTGGACATTCTGCGAGGACCTTGAACGACTGCATGCCCTTGAGCAAGACATTGTTGGGTTGGTGGTCTGGTCCGAGATCCGAAACCGAGGTAGCAGGCGAGCTGGGTCTGGGCGACTGAAAGGTCTGGGCCGACGCACTGGGTGTTGAAGGCATGCCGGAAGGGGTGGCTTGACTGGGTGTGTCGAAAGTGTCCCGCACGACTTGCTCCATCATCTGGAACATCTCCTGGATGAGCGCAAGGAAAGGCTGGACGCGTGCGGCTGTAGCCTTGGCCTGGTTGCGCTCCAGGTCCATTATCGTCTTCATGCACAGAACGGCGTTCTCCTCATTTTCGATGCGTACCAGCTCCATCAACAGGTCGACCATGTCGGCGGCATAGGGCTCCACGTCTGGAGATGCCATTGGCAAACGATGTAACGTCTCAAGGATACAATTCCGTAGTTTCTGGTAGTGTGTCCATGCGTAAGTCCCCATACCATCCAAGACCTCTCCACCCGGTATGATTTCCCCGACTCACCTGCTCGAAGGACAAGTTCGTGAAGACGGGCTCGCCCTTGAGAATGTGCTTGAACACCGGCCATAGTTTCGACAAGAAGATTGGGTAGCTGGCGCCAGAGCATAGTGGTTCGATGTTGTCTCGTAGTTCGACGGCGACATTCGCTCTGATTTTAATATCTAAGTGCGCAAAACGCCGTTAGCTCGGAATCCTACTCGGGTTGGACTTGGCGACTCGATCCAGAACTGAGACACCTATCTCTTCGTGTATGAGCGAAGATTATCACGCACCAATCTTGTCGTCACCCAGCTTGGTGCTGTAGATATCAATATTACGCTCCGCGTTCCGCTCCATGATTCCTCGGGGGGGCTCGGAGGACATGGTGCGTTGTGAAGATTAATGTACTGCCAGGCCGTAAGGCCGGCCTGAAACTAGACGCCGGCACAAGCTGCTCCTTATGTCGGATTCATATGCGTGTGTGGTGGTGGATGTGGTGGAGCTATGGTGAACGGCTCAGCGACGGAAGAAGGCGCCTCATAAGATCGAAAGAGATGGTCGTTAAGTCATCAATCCCAGTCGCTCACTCGAAGACGGGAGAGGAGGAGGATAGAGGAGGAGCCGAAGGGAGTATTATATAGCGGTCGGACAAATGAGGGGAAGGGAGGACGAAACTAGCAGTTAAAGAGTTAAAGAGCGCAAAGCGACAGACGGGCTGCAAACCGACAGGAACAGAAAGCAGCACAGCAGAACGCGGGTATCGCAGAGACCCCGAACGAAAGACTAGGCCCGATCGGGAAGTTGCGGGCCATCGTTTCTCCCGTCCGGCAAGCGCGCGGTTACTCGACAAGGCTGCACGGCTGCAAGGCGGCAAGGCTACACTGCCAGGATAGGATGTAAGGCACCACGGCTGCACTACACGGCTACAAGGCTACGGACACCAAAGACACTTCTTCCACGGGACTTCGAAATTCGCGCGGTTTAGAAAGGAAATGAATCTGGTTCTCGAGGCTATGCCATAAAGACTTCATGTTTTAATCTCAAAAGAGCTTGTCGACATCACGGTCGACCGAGGGAAACGCCATTCGCACCCGTTTTCCAGACCCGAACACAGTTCTAATAGTCCAACTCGAACGTTCGCTCCGACGCACAGGCTCGACCAGCCAGGGTGCTCGCGCGGACACAAGAATATTGAAGGCCATGTACATAAAGTAGTAGTAGAAGTAAATGAGAAAAAAAAAAAAGAAGAAGAAGGGGGGAGGGGGAGAAAATGGGACGCGCGCAAAAAAATGAAGAGCAGCACGAACACAGAGGGGGTTGGCCGAACGGAGAACCAATTAGGAACGAATACACTTCATCGCAGCTCGTAGTCGCTATGCCATCAGGGGAGGAAAATCTAACGGAGGAATGCCCATGAAGCCAACCGTCACTTGGTCGAGTTGCTTCGAGACAGGATCGATACAGCAACGCCAGAACCAGCCGACCGCCGTCGATCTACACGGGGCCGAAGCTCACTGGCGCTACCACTTCTTCGCCTTCGAATATCATCAGAGGAGCCGCGGCGCCGTCTCTGGAGAAAACGGACGTTTCAACATTAGAATCACGCTTGCTATACGATAAAAACGACAACTTCTTAGCAAGACAACGACGAAGCAGGAGGGGGACAAAAGGGTTCCGTGTTGGCGAAGTGCGACAATGCCATGCAGCAGAACATAACCACACAAGCTACTAGGGACGCTCAATACTCACCGAAGATGTCGTGCTTTCGCGGGGCCTTCGTTCCTTGGACGCGGCCGAGTCATCCAATTTCAGAGCATGAAGACGTTTCTGGCTGTCGTGGGTCACGCTGTCGATGTCGTCGAGGTGGACCGGGATATCCGCGACCTGGCACTGTGGGGGGACGAAAACACCATTCTTTCTGTCCGTGGCCCGCTCCAACACCTTATCCCATCGGTTCTGGCGACTCAGTTCACGCTCTTCGGCACTGTTCTGGCGTTCGTTGTATTCATGGGAACACTCGTCAAATAGCTGTGGGTTAATCTCCATGAACATCTTCATCGCGTTGTACACCATGCTGTGAATGGTTCTGGATATACTCAGTCAGTCGCGATCCAACCGCCACCCAATCGCTGGTCACGTACCTGTTCCAGTGACCTTTAGAGTTCTCATACAACGGAGGGAACATGATCGGCAAGATGACCTCCACGTTGTCGCTGACCAAGTTGCAGAAATATTCGTTGTTCCAGAAGTAAAGGGCACGCTCCGCGACCTTGAAACAATCAGTACTATCCTTCTTCCTCCCAGAGAATCCTGGAAACCTACCTGGAAGTGTGGGCTGGCGACAGACTTGGCGAGTTGCTGGAACAGAGGTCCTTGGACCTTCGCGAATTCTGCGGGATCCATGACCTCAAAGATGTCTTCGACTTCATTCAAATACATTACCTCCTTCGTGCTGTTGGTCTTGGGCCAGTAGCGCAGCAGACCTAGGACGACCTGTCTCCGAGTTAGAAAACGCCTCCGGATAGAGCGCATGCAGCAGGGGTCGGATCCAATCTCACATCTTCCGTCAATGTCGAGTCCTTCTCCAGGAACTGAACGATGCAGTAGGCCAACTGTGGGTGATACATGCTCAAGCTCTTCACCTTGTGTAGAGGTAGCAAGACCCGGGTCAAGAAAAGTTTGTGTTCCTCCTTCAAGGGGAGAGCAAAGCCGTTGATAATTGACCCCAGGATCTCCAACAGCTCCGCGATTCCATTGAAGCGCTCGGTCTCGTACGTAAACTGGAAGAAAACATTGTTGATAGATCTGCGAATATATGATCGCAAGTTCAAGAATTTTCCATAGATGCGATGCAAGGTGGTCTTGAGGAAATCGCGTTCGCGGGGGTCTTCCGAATCGAACAGTTCCAACAACTGTAGCAGCGTTAATATCACGGTCCGATTCCGGCGCACTCAGTGGGTGGTTCGCAAGTAGCCTACCTGGAGCACAAAGTGGTGATCGATATACCCCTTAGCGATGTTCGTGTTGAAGTCCTGGCTCTCGATGAATCGCAAGAAAAACTCGTAGACAACCTGGATATGGGGCCACGCCACTTCCAAGACCGGCTCATCCTCCTCGGGATCGAATGCCTCCCCCTGAGGAGTCACTGGAGGAGGGATGGGTCGGAAGAGATTCTTGGCGAACATTTCGACTACCCGAGGGTACATCGACTCCGTGACAACCGAGCGGTTGTTGGCGATATAGTCCAGAAGCTCGTGGAGCGCCAGTCTCTTGATCTCCTTGGATTTCATATCGGCAGTCGGGTCATTGAAGTCGAATATGATGTTGCATTGGTCGATCTTCTGCATGAACAGTTCCTGGCGGCGATTGGGAGGGACTTCGTGGAAGCCGGGAAGTTTCTCCAGCTCCCTCTGGCGCTGGTCGGAGATATCGAACCGGGACGAGTGCTGGCGCTTGGGGGTCCGGATGCCCTCCGACATATCCTTGGGCGTTGTCTGGAGGCGATCAAAAACGTGGGACCTTTTGGGGGGAGCCAGGTCGCCCGGCATGGTCTCGGCGGCTCCGGGGGGGGCAGGGGTGTGCTACGCAGAAACCAGAGTCAGCACCGATCGAGAATCGATCAACGGCCATCGCGAGTCCAAACTGAAGGTCGCAGATGCCGGTCGATATACTCAAGTGAAAGAACTCACCGGTCCACTCGGGCTGATGACGACACTGGGAGCCATGGGCTGCCCCTGCTTTGTGGGAGTACCTGGTCCACCGTTATTCACTGGCTCGCCAGTCACGTCTCCGCCGAGCGAGTTCTGGTACTGACCAGGAGGATACATTCCGGGCTGCGCGGCACCTTCCGGCGACTTGCCTCTCGCATCATTCACTGAAGTTGTAGACGAGGTCGGGGTGCCTTGGTTGGGGGAGGAGGATTGCTGGCCATGTTGGACTCCGAGGGCGGTGTTATTCTGGGACGAGGAGTTGGAGGAGTCTTTCTTCTTGGAGGATTTGTTTGCGTCTTTTGCCCTCGACAACTGCTCATGCTGAGAAGGTCAGTCTGCGTTCGGAGCGTCCCTGTCGAGGAGAGCCGGCCAAGCCAGCAGGGGCGAAGGCGGGGAGTCCCCGGTAGGGGGGCGGAAGTCGAGAGGGAACTCACCACTCTCTGTCTGAAACCCTTCATTGTCACGACTAGTCGAACAGCCACATGTACTCGGTCTCGGATCTCGATGCCAGTGCAGCACGACGCCGCACACTAGCAGGAGGGGTGGGAGTTTGGACAGCGCGGGGGCAGTTCAGGAGAGCCACGTCGGGATTTGTTTATGTCGGCCTGGAAATGACCACATGAGCATTTCCAACCAGAACACCGGCTCGCATAGCGCTCGAGTCGGATCGATAGGAACCAGAGCTAGCCCCAGGGGCCGGTCTTGTCTCGCGAGTGAAAAGGGCGGGGAAAACAATGGAATAAAAGAAGTTTCTTGGTGGGGAGGGGGGGGGATGGTGGACAAGCCTGAAGGCAAGCAAACACCAGCAGCGCCGGGGAGCGGTCGGAGAGATCCCAAGGGAGCAGCGGATGGGGGGGGTGGGTGGGAAGTGGGAGGTGAGGGGGGGGGGCGAAACAAGACGGGTTCCAAGAGCGCGCGAGAGGAACAGGAAACTATGGCTGCAGGACTTACCTCAGAAGAGTTGGGGCTGGGACGATTGGAGAGGGATTGGGGGAGGAGGAGGATCTCTCACACAGGCCGGGACGCTCTTTGGCGCGAATGAACGAAGCGGTATAGCGAGCAGCCAGTGGTGAGGAGGCAGTCAGCAGTCAGTAGTAGCAGTTAGTGAGGGAGTCGCCGGTCGGGTCTGCTGGAGTCGATCGCCTTTCCGTGTCGCTTAGCGGCTGGCCGGGAAGCGGGGGTGCGAGAGGAAGCCCCGGGGGAATTGGCTCGGTCGCAAATCCAGCTCGAGTCGCGTCGCAACAAGTCGCACGGGCGCTACCCACGAGGGAGGGATGTCGAGAGGTGAAGGAGAGTGTGGTCAAGTGGTTATCTAGCGGTTGGGGAGGGAGTTTGATCGAAGGGTGGATGGGTTGTGGCTGAGACGGCGACGAGCGCTCGGACGTGTGATGATGATGGTGATGATGATGATGGTGGTGGAAGATACAGGACGGTGGGTTGGGTCCCATACAAAAGTTACTGAGAGACAGGGACAGGTGAATGGCAGCGAAATTATATAGACTGGGGACTTGTACGATCTATGTATGTATCTCCTCCTAGCGACCGGCAATAATCATGCCTCGTCCATCCCGTCCCCCTCCCACCGTTGGGATGTTTACAAGTTATTAGTAGTAACCTACAGGCAAGGGGCCGACGGTGCAGTGCAGGGCCAACGAAAGGAAAAAAAAAAAAAAAAAAAAAAAAAAAAAGAGAGAGAATGAAAAGAATCCGCGTCCCAATTTTGGTTTTTTTTTACCCTTGGGGAGTGATGGCATCGCAGACATCGATCGGGCATCTCTCTCTCTCTCTCTCTCTCTGGCCACCGCCAGGCGCGGCTTTTTTCCCATTCGATTTCGCTGTGGCCAGTCATGTGACCGGCAGATTCCTGCCACGACCAACCAACAACAACCACCGTCCAAGGCAGGTAGACGTGTAATCGAGTGGGTTCAGGAACTTGCTGGTGCTGGTACCGAGTCGCATCAGCAGAGAAAGGGTGCCCATTCACGGAGCCAGCAATTGCAGGGTGGATTAACTTCGAGCCCCTGGATGGATGACAGTTGACGTCAATCCTGATTCGAGATCCGTGCAGAGTTATCCACATTTTATATAGCGTTCGGTTTGGGTCGGTCACTCACCCATCCACCCACCCGTCCATCATACCATCCACGTCGCGATTACCTACCATCTAGATAGCCCAGCCGCCGGGAAAGCCTGGTTAAGACCGGCCTGCAGGTAATCAGAGACCACCCATGGCCGATCATCATGGGGCGAGAACGGCCCCGTTCTACACCATCCCTCCCCGGCGCATCGTCAGTGTCGAGCACCCGGCCATTATCAAAAACCTCGACAAGGCCGTCGACACCCTGCAGGGCGATGCAGGTTTAGCCAAGGTACGGGAAACTTTATTTTCTTTTTCTAAGTTCCCCCACGCTCACATCGCTGTTGATCTGACCGTTCATCCAGATATTGAACCCTCCGAAGGCGGACACCCCGGTCAATCTGCTCCTCCGTCCGGAGGATGCGATGTCCAGACCCCTGCATTCCATCAGCTCGGCGTCCAACAACATCCTTCTCAAGGTGACTGTTCCGAAACGAACAGGTCGCAAGCGCAAGAGAGGATCCAATGAGCCTTTTAGTGGCGTTGCGGTCACGACGATCCCGACTGGGCCGCAACGGCGCAGCGCGCGGGAGCTCCTACAGAGTCTTCGCGACAATGTCGGGAGGTATCAAGTCGAGCCGGCGGGGTTGATTGACCGGACGCATGTATTTCGAGGTAGGTTGTCACTTTATCTGAATTTAAGCAAACGGAATTGGATGCTGATATGCGCAGGAATGCCCGACTATGTCTTTTCAACGACCTCCAGCGCATTCGTCAACCGGTTCCGAGAGCACATCTTGCCGTTTGACTGTATGTGACCCATGCTCCCATGGACTCCAATGGCCTTCACCTAACCACACCAGACGATAAAATGAAACAATTCGACCTCGACATGAGCAAAGGAGCCATCGCCAACGTGGACCTCATCCCACCGCCCTCCTTCAGCCAAGGCGACGTACCGTTCAGCTACATGTATGGCCCTCCCTCCATCTCCCCCCATCTCTCACTCCCAACCAACCCACAAACTAACCCCTCCCTCCAGCTACCGCCAAAACCCCACGGTCCGCCAATCCATCGACAACTCGGGCAACATCACCACAACCAACACGCAAAAGATCGCGAAAGTCCTCACGCACCTAGTCTCCTACGACGTGGCCAACATCCCCACCAGCCCCCGAACCAACTGCCCACCAATCCCCAGTCTCGACAAAATCCTCCAAGAGACCATCGCAGCCGTGACCGCGCTGTTCTCACAACGCCCGGCCTGGACGCGGCGAGGACTCCGCAACTCCCTCCCAACAGCAGAACACCGGTACGCGCTCCGCCACGCGATCCCCTACGTCGGATACATCTTCCGCTCCGGGCCCTGGCGCGACGCCATCATAAAATTCGGACACGACCCGCGCACATCCCCCGATTACCGGGTATACCAGACGACGATGTTCCGGATCTTGCCGCGCGAGGCGGAGGTGGCGCGGGATGGGTATACGGGGCGACGACACGCATTTATCCGGTCGAATGAGGCGCCGCTGCTGTTCAACCAGAACAACATGAACATGGACCCGGACTTAAACCCAAACCCAAACCCAAACCCAGACGCAGACCCAACCCTCCCAACAGATTCCCACCTCTTCACCGGCACCCCGCCCCTTCCACGGGACGGCCGAATGTGGATGTTCTGCGACATCACCGACCCGACCCTCCAACGGATCCTCTTCCCCGCATCCCCACCAGACAACTTCGTCCGCGAGACATGCGATATCGTCTCCGACGGGTGGTACGGGAACGGGACGCTGGCGAAGACGAAGACGATCATGCGGGCCAAGATCCTGGCGCTGCTGGACGATAAGCTGCTGGATGATGAGGCGGAGTTTGGGAATATTCTCACGTTGCCGGATTATGCGACGCCGGAGACTGTGATGACGGATTTCTGGCTCGATCCGGGAACCGCGTCGCAGAGGGAGATGATGATGGCCACTGAGGTTAGGGCGATGATTAAGGGGGCGCCCGCGTGGAAGGAGAGGGTTGCGGGGGGTAAAGACAGTAATAGGGAGAGGGAGAGGAGGTTGGGGAGGGGTTTGGGGGGAGGAGGGGGAGGAGGAAGAAGAAGAAGAAGAAGAAGGGGAGGGGCAGAGTGTGAGTGCCAGGGCGAAGGGGAAGAGGGCTGTGAGGAGGGTGCAGTTTCAGGATGATGTGGTGGGGGGTGAGGAGGAGGGGGATGGGCAGGACGACAGGGAGGACGAGGAGATGAGTGAGGGTGAAGAGGAGGCGTATGAGCAGGAGGCGTTGTTGGAGGCGCAGGTTGCTGCGGCGGCGGAGGCGGCGGATGCCATGGCTGCGGCTGCGGAGGAGAATGAGGAGGATGAGAGTCAGGATGAGGATGAGGAAGATGAGGATGAAGAAGAGGATGACGATGAAGAGCAGTCGGATGAGGACCAGGATGGGGATGCCGCGATGCTTGGGGCTGGAACGAAAAGGGGAGCTGCAAGCCAACGGCGTTAGCGATACTAGTACTGCTACTATTTTTTTTATTATCACCACGGAGTACTAAGGTGCTATTGCTGCTACTTTGACTGCTAGTTGTAACAAATGCTTGTTCTAATAAATTCATATTTTTATGGATTAAGGACAGGGTATGTTATCTATCTCATACAGGACATCAAGTGACGTGACACATTCTCGGGTCATTAGAGGGTACATGCAGATGAGGTGCGGAAAAGGAACGAGGTCAAGAAGTGGCCATTATACTCGAAGGCCAAGGGACTGGCGCGTGGTAGGTAGGGTGGTAGAGGTGATCAAGGAACAGTGTGGTGTGGGGGGGGGGATGCTTTAGTGGAGGATGATAGGAAAAGGACAACACAAGGAAATTCTTGCCGTGACGGAACCGGTGGGTTCATGAGAGCTTTGAAACGAAAAATCAAAAAGACTGTATAAGTAGGGTATCCAAAACAAATCTTTACAGACCCTGGAAGCAAACAGAACTCCTTTGAACTCCTGATGTAATGGTTGATGATGGGGGAGGGAAAGGCACATCAAGCGCTGGAGACATCGGCAGCTTCTTCTGTAGCGCTTTCGCTCTCCCAGATCTCGATCTCAGCCTCTGCCGGCCCGGCCTCTTGTTCGAGAGCGGGCTTCGAAGGGGTGGCTGCTTCAACCAAAGCGGAGATGGAGGAGACGCTGGACAGCTTGCTGCGGCTGGTTTGGGGAGCCGAGCGAGGCAAAGAGGGTAGAGGCGTTTTCTTCTCTGCGTCCTCGTCTGCCTCGTCATCGTAGATGACAGCATAGGAGAAGGCATGGCAGTCATCGCCGTAGAAGTCAGCCGCGCACAGGTCCCCCAAGGGCTTCCGGGATTCCTCTAGCATGTCGGACTTGCGGGCTGCAGCGGCAGGAGACTCCTGCTGACGGGAGCGAGGAAGCTCGATTCCGAGCTCCGCGGGAGGGATGTTCTCCTTGCCTCGACCCGAGGTCTCCACCTTCCCTTCCTGGTCGCTGATGTCTAGGACACCGGTGGAGTGCTGCATCAGGTTGGTCATTTCTTCCTGCTCCGTGTCCACATAGATGTCGAAGGACCAGGAAGCGGGGGCTTTGGGAGTGGCCTGGCTCTTTGCCCTCGAGCCAGACAAAGCACTGGCCAGGGAGAATGGACGATGCACGGTTTTCCGATTGGCCGACTCGGGTCGGCTTTTGGCGATGGTAGAGCGACGAGTGAATGCCTTGCAAGATTTGGTCTGTGGGGAGCGTCCAGCAGGCTTGAGAATAGGAGCGGACTTGGGTGTAGACAGGGTAGGTTTGACAGGGGTTGTAGGCATGCGGTGAGTCGTGTTGGATCCTACGGTGGTCAAGATCACACGGGAAGATTTGAATGGCTTGGAGGGTTCCTTGGAAGGCTCCAGGTCGTCCTCGTCGTCGGCCGCACGCTTCCGCTTTATGGAGTGTTTGAGAGTGGTCGGGTCAATATTCTCCGAGTCCACGTCGGCCATGGGCTGTCTCTTGCGGGCCAGAATGGCACCTAGTTCCATGCAAGTCAGCATTGCTCCGTATTGAACGTGAGGTTCTTCGTAACCATACCATCCTGTTTGTTTTTCATGTTCATCTTGGTCCGGAGCAAGGGGCGCATGCGTGGGGCATCCAGGCTGGCAAAAGGCTGGCGCATGGAAGGCGTCATGGTGAGAGCGGCCATCCTGAGGATATGCCGTGATACACACGGGAGGATGTTGGAGGATTGGGGCGGTAGAAATGGCTAGATAGAGGGAGGGATAGGAGGGTTGGAGAAATGAGTTGTTTTGGTCGCGTCGGTCGGGTCCGGTGGGGTTGAACCGTCCACGGTTGATTGGCGGTCTGGGAGATCGACGGACAGGATTGGAGAGTATAGGAAAGCTGTCGTACTCGGACCGGACCAGGGAACGTGACCACGGTTGAGAGTACGAGTCAAGGCCAGGAACTCCAGTGACAAGAGACAGAGAACGAGCGAGCAGGGCGAGGAGATATAAGAGTTGGGTGAGTCTCGGGGTTGAGGGAGGCAAGGGAGCGCAGCGCGGTACTGAAGCGCGACGAGGGAGGGAGGGAGAATGCCCGAAAAGAGAGGGCAGGGAAGCGGGACTGCTGGGCTGCTATTCAAAGCTCATTCCTTCCTTCCTTCCTTCCTGCTGCACGAAGACGAAACATGCAGGCGCGGGAGTTTTCAAGGGCGAGAGGGAGGCCATGCAGCGTGGCGGAGAGCGTGTATAAGTAAGAAGGCGGAATTTGAGGGGAAGAATGAAGCGCGTCTTGTTCGTGTCGGAGGGCGTTGCCGTTCCGGGCCAACTTTTACAACATGCAAGGCTTGGACGCCCATTATTGCCCCATTATTGGCCCGCGTTGCTGCCTTTCCATCCATTCTTCCCCTTCCCCTCGAGGCGCGTCGTCTTTCTTTCTTTCTTTCTTTCTTTCATTTCTTCAGTCTTCATCGTGTACAGATGATCTCATCCCGGCTACACAGATCCAAGGAATCCCGCCCATTTCCTTCCATTCTATTCAATATCCATCAGTCCATTGAACTTAATTAATTGTTCGTGTCATTTGCTGACCGCGTCTCTCCCCCCCCCCCCCACCCCACACTTGTTCCACCACCCCTTCAACGCGTTGCCATCACGACCCTTTCTCCCCCCTCCCCTCATCCTCCTCACCAACCAGATCCCGACGTGTCGCCCATCCCGAGCGCATGGCGGCTCCGTCGCTCCATCGCGCGTGTCCATCACCGCCAGCGCGACCACGTATGCCCAACTCGTGTTTCACCACCTGCACCCCTTGGGGGCGGCGCTACCGTCTCTTCCTATAGAGATTTGAGATTAGAGTATGATGTCGTCCAAACCCCCAGTGCAACTCCAACGGAGCTGCCTGGTCCACCCCCAGTCTAGAATTCTAGATCAAGCGTTGCTCCTATGAGATAATCCCCGCCGGGGCCGACCTGACTCTAATTTAGGTTCCCCAGCGAACGTTCCCTCCCCCGGCGCTTCCTGACCCATGTCTCTGCTGCTGCTGCAGACAACCTGAAACAGAGACCCTGGAAGGTGAGGTATAGGGGTCCGTCCTTACTCGCTGCAATTCCTACCAGCTATCCACATAGTAGCTATAATTATCCCCTCGCCGACATGTGAACCGGCCCAGAGCCAGAGGAAATGCAATCTCAGTTAGGCGCCGGAAATGGACGCCTCGAGTGGGACTACATGTGCCTGCTTATAGCTTTCACAGTGTAGGTTGGCATCTCCGGGTCGCGTTCATTCCATTCTTCGCCCCGCGGGAGACGGGCGACTTGGAAGGCGTCCGTCACGGCCTTGCCATTCATTGACTTGCAGCTGATGCCTTGCGAGTTCCGATTTTGATCTTTCCGCATGATTGGGTTGGGTGATCTGTGACCTATCGCGATTGCATCTGCATCTCGCCAGCCACCGTTTGAACCCGCTTGTGGTCTCATATCTTTCAAGGAATGCTGTCAGTACGGAGTATCCAGGCCATCATTGCTGCCTGTTCGATTAGCCGTCGGTGTCATTTCTTGTCTGCATTTAGAACAGACCGTGTTTTGCCACTGATGGGGCAGGACGATACCGTAGTTCAATGGATGATACGCGAAAGCACCATTCTAATGAATGGTAGCTGTTGGCAAACGGAATAAGTCGCAACTAGAAGGTCCTAGAATTTTGAGATCTATGTAAATTCATGTTTACTCCTTAAAATACTAGCTGACGTGATTACTTGGGCAATGCATGGTTCTGCCGTCATCACCCTGGCTGCCCAAATCCCCCGGGGCTTGATTTTCCATAGACATAATTATCCCGTCGGTGGAAAGGACCTTCTATATATCTACCAAGCAGACATTACACATCATACATTATACATTTTAGAAGCAAAGATTTATCACAGACAACGGAACCACGGATCGAGAACTATATCATTGCTAACCACTACTAACTAGCATGGTCTCCAAATCAACAACCCTCCTACTACTAGTAATTACACACACCATCTAACGAGAACCACCTTCAAAAACAGAGTGATCACTCAGCTTCCCAGTTTTTTATCCATGCGCCCCATAGTCCCGTCCCGCATTGGGATTCCGAGTCTAAGCGGATTCAGGCAGGCAGGTAGGTGGGTAAGGATCTCATGTTCGGGATTTCGCTTCTTACTTTCTAGGAGGATGCTATGTCATGTTGTATTAGGGGTGGTGAGATTTTGTATTCCTTCGATCAAATTAAAAGGTACTTGGTCTGGTTGTGGTAGGCAGGGTGGTTGTGATTAAGATTTGCTTTGTTATATAGTATATAGTAGTATACTAGTTCGGCCACCGGGTTCTGTATACTTCTTTCACCCACGGACTACTACTTAGTGCCTAGACCAGTAGTAATTAAACGCCATGCATGGGAACAACATTATTTAGACAGAGTCAGTACACTCTTTTTGGTAAATTAGGTATCTACTATTCTCTGCACCAGGGCTCGGAGATACACATCCTAGGTAATCCAGTTGATGACGCGGAGATTGTGCATAGGGTGTGTGAGGTGGTGGTGATGGTGATGGATAGATATCATCATCAACAACAACAACAACAACGCAAGTAAAAATTTATCGAATAGGATTTTATCACATGATCTATGTAGTTCAACGAGCGGGCTGCAGTCGTAGTAGTAATATTGGTTCAGTGGATTGCTCGGGCAAAGCATAAACTGCCTCTGACGGAAGAAGCGCGTAGGGCTGAGGGATGGAAGTATACTATACAAAAATTCTGTTCCGTTGTTATGACCAAGGTAACTCCCAAGTATCTCACTCTCATATTATTATGGTTAGATCTGTTATACAGATGTTTTATATATATCCATCTTACTATCTTCATGGAAAGCCCGATGTCACCGATAGAGAACTATATACCATACTATACTCCCTACACGACCATCGAAGCCAGGCTGACTTCGACGTAGACATGTAGGTCCGATATGCTGTGATGCAATGGTGTCTATATCATGTCTAGCTAGCTGGAGGCAGTGCATCGGTACTATTGAGCGCAAGTAGCCCTGGACCCAAAGGTTCATTCATACTATACACCCAGCAGCGCAAGAACCCCCCTACCTTCAGATGTCGCCTTCATTTCGTAATGTTGAGATGGATGGCTGGATGGCAGCATGCCCTCCATGGAGTCATTATGATGAGCTGAAGTCATCTTTGCAGTTAGGGCAGGGCTTAAAAATCTCGTCTGGGCACCTTCCTCCCCAACACTCCCATCCACCCACCCATCCATCCACCTAGTACTCCATATCATCTGTGCTCGTACTGCTAGCAACATCAGAATTTGCTTGACAGTATTGGCATTATTCTTAGTTGCATCTTTCCTCGCAGCTTTCTTTCTTAAGAGCAGTGTCTGCATCACAGCACTCTCAAACACAATATTCTTAGATATCTTTTCTGGGGGCACACGTGCCCCCACCCACATCATTAGGGTCTGCCTTTCGACACTCTTTCCCAGCAGAGAAGCACCATGAAGGGGCAAAGCACTGCTGGGGTTACCCCCACCCGGGGTAACCAAGTATCCGGCGTTGTCAAGGGCAAAAAAGCCAGAAAATCCCTTGACAGCGCCAAGGAGCAACAAAGGGCCGTCCAGTGCCCACTCAGTCCTCAGAGTGGTGTCAGTGACAAGATCGGAGATTCCCAACCACGCGAGGACCGGGGAGCTGCTGCTGCTACTACTACCCCTGTCCTCGGAAAGCATAAGCACGCAAGTGCCAGCAGCAGAAGCAGCAGCAGCAGCAGCAGCAAGAGCAGCGGGGGCTCAGATGCTCACTCCCAAGCTGCCGAGACAGCTGCCACTACCCCCGTTTCGAGCCCCACACCCACCGAGCCCTCCGGGGCCATGAAGTGGAAGAAAGGTCGAAAGGCGGGCAAGAAAGAGCGGCAGAAGCGGCAGTGCACCCAAGAGAGTGCTGCCCCAGAGAGTGGTTTCTGTGGGAAGTATATCGGTCTTCCCGTTGAAGAGGCGAGAGAGTTCGCTTGGAAGGCGCACCGAAATGAGTCCATTTCGGACCAGCCCACAGAGTACCATGACTTCTGGGTTGATGCGTCGCTCTCTGGACTTAAGAGCGTGGGGGCTGGGGCGGCGGTGGTGTATAAGGAAGACCCGCAGAGCGAAGCTTTCATCGAGGACATGTATTACGTCGATGAAATCCGGAAGGAAATCTGCTTGGGTGAGATGTTTGCCATCGGCGCCGGGTTGAAGACCGCTGTTGCGAGGATGGAAGAACGGGGACGGCCGGGGCAGGCCACAGAGGCGAAGGCCCAGGTTGTTGTTCGGGTCTTTAGCGACAGCCAACGGGCCATGGGTACCATCGAGAAGGGTACGAAGAGGCAGGACCCGCTGGAAGTCGGCCTGGTGCGGTCGGTGATTGCGCTTTCGCAGCGACTTTCCCAGATGGGAGTCGAGGTCGAGCTTCGTTGGGTCAAGGGGCACGAGAGAGCTACCCCTGGCCATAAAGCAGCTGACTTGCTGTCCAAGGCAGTCACAAGGCATATGCAGAATGGAGTTGGCGACAGGGCCGTCATCCAGATTCGCAGGGTCGACTGCGCCTCCTTGGTGTCCTGAAGAGGAGGGAGCAGCGTTGGGGGGTTAAAAGGTATGTTTGTGGTCATATTGCTTCTCATAAATTGCGCTTATCTAGTAGCTAATCAGTCGACGATCCCAGAGCAAAAAGATACGCCATACACCGTTCATCCCCATCGTGCCCACGCCCAGTTTGATACAAAGAGACACTCCAGCGAATACAAAATCAGGACCATTCGTGACCACATCACATGCTGCCAATTACAAGTTATAGACAGAAGATGGACGCACTATACACCGTGCCGGTACACCTGTGATCCGCCGGAGCGGATCTGGACAGTGTCTCGTCGTTGCATGACGATCAATGCCCGGTTGAGAGCCGGCTCGGTGTAGCCCCGGCCGTCGACAAACTCGCGCCGCAAGGTCGCCAGGCTGGTGCTCCAGCCGATGGGGAGACGGCGCTTCAGCTCGTCTTCGATCTTGCTCGCTTCTTCCATCATCTCCTTGCTACCCTGGCCCTCGCCTTGGGTGACAGCGTCCATAGTCGAGGCCAAAAACAGGCGGATGGCTTCATCGACATGGGCCTCTGTGGCAACAGGCGACAGGCTCAACTTGGCCAGGGACTCGGTGATACGGACAATAGCCTCAAGCTGACGAACAGTGATGGGGATGGAAGACCGGCTGTTGGCATCGAGCTCCGCACGGTGGACCTGCTTTCTGATCGTCACGAAATGCGACGACAGCTTTTCAGCAGCTTCATCTGAGAGACGGGGTGCGCAGCGACTGTGAAAACATATTAGCATTCATGTATAATAGTGAAAAAGGATCAAGGGATGGATAACATACGTGCGGCAATAGCTCACGTAACGCTTCATCTTGTCAAGCGGGATTTCAGCCTCGACTTGCTCCTCAACACCCCGACCGCCCATATGCACACCCATAACGTGCTTGGCTATGCTTTCGTCGCGGGCGCGGTCATGGTCATCGCGCACAATGAAGATCATATCGAAACGGGACAGAATGGTCGTCTGGAAATCAATGTTTTCACCCGGAGTCTTCAAGTCATCGTACCGACCGAAGACGGGATTGGCTGCGGCGAGAACCGACGTCCTCGAGTTGAGGATAGTAGTGATACCGGCCTTGGCGATGGAGATGGTCTGCTGCTCCATGGCTTCGTGGATAGCAACTCGGTCCTCGTCTCTCATCTTATCGAACTCATCAATACAGACAACACCGCCGTCCGCAAGCACCATCGCACCTCCTTCCAGGTAGAACTCGCGTGTGGCGTGGTCACGCTGCACAGAAGCAGTCAAACCGGCCGCAGACGAACCCTTACCAGACGTATAAATCGCAATTGGGGAAACCTTCTCCGTGAACTTCAGCAGCTGAGACTTGGCAGTACCGGGGTCACCAAGAAGAAGCACGTTAATATCACCACGAAGCTTCATGCCATCAGGGAGAAGTTTCTTAGAACCACCCATCAGCAGGCAGACAATGGCCTTCTTAATGTCCAGGTTTCCATAGATCGACGGGGCGATACTTCTGGCGAGAGCGTCGTACAGATCAGGACGACGACTGAGTTCCAGAAATTCCTGCTCCTCCTCTTCCGAGAAAATGGCGGCGCCTTTCGCGGTGTGGTCCAGATCGGAGCTGATACCGACCGCCCGCAAGTACGGGTTGCGGATGGCGACAGCACCATCCCGTTTCCCGCCTTTGGATGATTGGTAGATAGAGAAGATTCCCATGACTGTGCAACGAGAGCCAGGAACAACCCTGTTGGAAAGGTACCGGTCTGCCGAAATGAGAACATGTCTGGGAAGCTCGCCGACGGGGACCTGATCCGGGGCTTCTTGCAGCTTGAGAACTTGCTGGTCGACGAATTGGCATTTCTCATGCGACACAACGTATGGGTCGAGCGGGCATGGCTCTGATGGGGCATCGCCGGGTTGCTTGTCGCGGCCACATTTTCTTGGCAATTGCAGACCCGCGAATCCGCCATCGACCCGAAGATTCTCGGTGTGACCACATCCTTTGCAGCGGAGGTGCATCAGCGTGGCCTTCGATGATATCGTCGAGGCGCCGATGACGATACCGGGGATGCGGACAAGGTGGGAGATATTAGTGGCGTTGAGATCGCGGATCGAGATGTGGGTCGCGGAGGAGTGAAGCAGAAGTTGATGGGTTGGCAGGACGATATCCCTTTGAGAGGGGTATACGATTCGGCGAGTGCAGTCTTGAAGGGCCACTTCGAACTGGACGATGGGGAATTGCAATCAGCATAGAACTAAGGAGTATTGTGGAGGATATAGAAGATCCTTACCAGGGGAATTATGTCTGCGGGCTCTGTGGTGAGCTTGTGGGCTAGCTCTTCATTGTACGAGATCAGGTGTGCAATATCAATGTCACAATAGTACTGTTTAATTAAGACATTCTGGCGCAGTTGGTCTCTGGCATCTATATTAGCCTCTTCTTCGCGTGGATAGCAACGTGGATCGTAGCCTACCGGTAGATGAAGGCATTGTCGAGCTGGAACTCCAGCACGAATTCCTTTAATTTGGCCTGGATCTGAGTGCGGGAGTCCTCGACACCATCGACACTGGGAGCCAGCACGCTCAGGGTATAGGGGGTGCGTCTGTCCATGGCTAAGACAGCAGGGCAGGCTGCGGGGGAGGGATGGGGATGAGGTGTGTTGATTTCGGGTCCATCCCGTTGCGAGGAGGAACTGAACTGCAAATGACTTTTGCGGTGGGACACGAGAGACACGCGTCGCGTCTCCCGCGCGTTAAGTGGTTTTTGGCCTGAGGCAGGTTGTCGGCCACAGGCACAGACACGGAAGGCGGAGATACCGGGCTCCGGGCTCTGCTTAAAGAGGCATAGCGTCTCCGCCCTCGGGGCCTGGCGCCTTACCGGATCGGGGAGAGCTGTCACCCCGTATCAGAGGGACGAGGGTGACGTTGCAGCTGTTCGCCTTCGTCCGGTATCACAATTCGCGTCCCAGCACCGTGGGGTCCTCGGCAGATCGCTGATCCCTCTCATTCGTTCTCGTTTTTAGCTCCAGCTGTCCTCTTGTCATGTGTAGATAACGTCGTCCCGAAGAGCACGGTGGCCGAGGGAGTCGCTAATTCGGTCTCGACGAGATGTCCTCCGCGACCCCCCGGAAGTCGATCGACAGCTTGGGGTCAGGCACATCGACCCCTTCGCTGTCACACTTTTCATTCAGTCAAATCGAGTCCCCGCGAGCGTCGTCTCAGAGGTTCCCTTTAAGGAGAGGGTCGACTGCCAGCTCGATCGCTAGTATTGGCGGCATTCTCGATCCCTCCTACCGCCATGGATCCATAGCCGAGTCTGGACAAAATGGTATGTATAGCCTGAGAGCGTCGGAGAGGGGATCCGGTGTGGCTCAATGCTAATCGACGCAGCAATCTCTACCCTCCTCCAACCCCCGATCGTCCGCACGGGTCTCGTTCCGCATGCCGCCGTGGCCTCAGCCGGTTACAAGCCTCCTACATCTCGCGATATCCCCCCCGTTACGTTGACCAATATCCCGCGCGTGGATCCTAAAGCCTTCGAAGCCTACTTGTCGCAGGTGGGGTCGTTGTACGATGTCTTCCAACAGGCGAAAGAAAGCTCCGGGGATCAGGATTCACAGTTAGCACGGGGGCAGGATAAGTCTTCGCCCAAGGGCGAGGAACCCGACTCCTTGGCTCCAAGGTCTCGGGAACGACGGCCTTCGGCGATATCGAACAGTTCCCGTGCTAGTTCTCCGTACGACACCCGGGGCAGGAGACGGTCGTCTGGCCGCGGTCGTGGCCATGGTCATGCAGTCACACCCCTATCTACGATTCCGACGGTATACTTTGAGGATGACTTCCACCTGGAGAACCCGCGAACCTTTGACGTCGTCTCGGAAAAGTCTGAGATTGTCTCGCCAAAAGGAGAAAATGGGGCTGCCCTGGAGCCGGCTCCTACGGGCAGAAAGGCTCTTGCTACGAATGCAATCTTGCAGGAAAAGCTCTCATGGTACATGGATACGGTTGAAATTCACCTGATATCTTCGATCTCGACTGCGTCTAAATCTTTTTTCACTGCGCTTGGGTCGCTGCGCGAGCTGCATGCCGAGGCTGCGGATTCCGTTAAGCGCATTCAAGTCCTGCGCAAGGACCTTCAGAAGATTGATAAGGAGATGGCGCTGGGGGGTCTGAAGATTGTGAACCTGCGACGTCGGAGGGAGAATGTCCGCATGCTCGCTGATGCGGTGGCCCAGCTTCGTGATGTGGTTCAATCAGTCTCCCGATGTGAGGAACTGGTCGAGACCGGCAAGATCGAAGAGGCGGCAGATGGCCTTGAAGAGGTGGAGCGGCTTATGGCTGGTGAATATACCCCTACTCCATCAAAGGGAGAAGAACCTCAGGAGCAGCCGAGAAAGGCAATTGATCTGCGAAAGCTCAAAGCGCTGGAAGGTGCCTCTGACGACCTGGCTCATCTAAGATTCCGTATCGGCACCGGCTACGAAAGCCGTTTCTTGAGCGATCTTCTGGGAGATTTGAGGCAGCACGTTGAGAATGCACCTCTAGACGCAACCCTACAGCGATGGGGCTCTTCGTTCCAGCGGCAGCGCGGAGCACAGCGCTCAGGAGCTATGCAACCCCCGGCTTATATGTCATTTGATGACCAGTTGCGGTCGAGATTGCACATGCACCTTACTGGTCTTGCTCGTGTACACCACACAACACCTGCAGCAACGGCATTCAAGACTGCTGTCCTGCGTGAAATGAAGAGTCTGATCCGCAAACACATGCCCAGTTCCAGCGATGATGATAACGAGTCAGTGGTATCTGTATCCACACAGAAATCCCAGCAGCTCAGCCAGCAGGAGAAGTCATCCATACTTGCGCGCAATCTTCGTGCTTTGGACGCCCAGGACTCGTACAACATGTTAGCTCGCGTCTACACCGGCATCAGTGAGTCGCTTCGGAGACTTAGTGTGCAGGTCAAGGTCCTTCTCGATATCGCCAGTGGGTTGGAGAACCCGCACCCTATCGGCGTGCGATCCGGCCCTCCAAGCCCGAACCCCCAAGGACCTGGCAAAGCCACTCCCGATCTCCGCACAATGACAACTGTCGTGGCACAAGACGAGATTCTGCAGGTCTTGGACATGTCTAGTCTCCTTGGCCAGGCTGTTGATATTGCTCAATCTCAGGTCACCAAGGTGTTGAAGGTCCGATCCGAGCAGACGTCTCAGTTGCAAAAGGAGGACTTCCTCAAGTACTTCACTCTCAACCGGCTATTTGCCGACGAGTGCGAGGCGATTTCCGGGAGAGGCGGTACCGCTTTGAAGACCGTCGTCGGTAACCAGATCCGGGACTATATCAACCGGTTTGGAGATGGACAACGGCGCCGCATAGTCGAAGTTATGGACTCGGATCGCTGGGACGCCAGGGACTTCGGAGAAGCCGACAACGCCGTCCTGGATCGAATCCTTAGCGCGAGCACGAGAGACGTCGAGGTCTGGGTAGAGGCGTCTAAAATCTGGCTGTCTCCAAATGGCCGCCAAGGACAACCCCCAGCGAGCACCGGTGTCAACGGCTCTGGGAAAGAGAAGGTGCGCAGTGCCGTGATCGACGAGCAGAAGTACATCCTCTCGGAATCCGGAGTGGCGATGATGAAGAGCATCGAGGAGTATCAGTTCATAATGGCGAACATACCCAGCATGATGCAGGATATTGCGCCTGGCCTTCTGGAGTCGCTGAAGCTGTTCAACTCTCGGTCCTCGCAGCTGATCCTGGGCGCCGGAGCCACCAGGAGTGCGGGACTCAAGAATATCACCACCAAGCACCTTGCGTTGTCCTCACAGGCGTTGAGCTTTGTCATTGCTCTGGTCCCGTATATCCGAGAATTCGTCCGTCGTCACGCACCGTCTAGCCCGCTGATGGGAGAATTCGACAAGGTGAAGCGACTGTACCAGGAGCATCAGTCGGGGATCCATGAGAAACTGGTGGATATCATGGGATCGCGGTCAGCCATTCACGTCAATGCCATGAAAAAGATCGACTGGAACGCGTCCGCCGGGGCCAATGGTGTCAGCCCGTACATGGAGACCTTGGCGAAGGAGACGGGAACGCTGCACCGGGTGCTAAGCAAGCATCTTCCCGACATGACCGTGATGATGATCATGGAGCCCGTCTTCAAGAGCTACCGGGAGCAGTGGACGAAGGCATACGACGAGGTAACCCTCACCTCGGAGAGCGGCAAGCAACGGTATGTATACTTCCCTCCCTCCCTGCTATAAGCACAACCCACAACCCAATCTAACAACAAGCAGTCTCCAACGAGACGCGGAGTATCTGCAAACGAAGCTGAGCAAGATCGACGGCTTCGGCGACCTAGGCGAGCGTCTTCTCGACCTCGTGAAGCAGAAGAAAATCACAACCGATGGCAGCAGTAAGAGCTCGAGCTCCTCGAACACCCCCAGCCCGAAGGCGTCGTCTGAGGCGAACCAGTCTTCGTCCAAGAGCTAATCTGAATCTGAAATGCCGGGCGATTCGGATCGAGCCTTGACGGCTCGCTGTATACACACATCCTTCCTATCGCTGCAGGTACCTCCCTCCCTCCCATCCTGGATTGTGTGGTCCGGGGATTGGGGTTGTACAGCCATCCAGGAAGAATTCTGATTTGTTGGTCGATGTGACTGGCGTACTTGTGCATACCATCCAACAGCTTGGCTTCTTCTTCATCTTCTTATATAGATATTAATCCGATTTAACCTGCAATTATTGAAGTACTTGTCTTTTCAACTTACATGTCTGTCTGGAGTGTCTGGAGGCGAGGTATGTAGGCCTGGGAAGGACTACTCCTAGGGCGGGGAGTTCATTCTCCTTTTGCCGCAGGCGTAGTAAGTAGTCTTCCTGTCAACATCTACTACACCTACCTAGATCTACCCACCCCAGAATCATACCATTAAAAAAAAGAAAGAAAGAAAGAAAGAAGAATATAATATAATATAATGAACTCAGTCCATTCCCTCACCCAGGAGGTTCACGTCTTTCTTTTCTCAAGACGTACATCATAGAGAATACTATACTATAGATACATTCATCGTCATCAAATCATTCACATCACATCCCCAAACTCCAATATCTTCCCTGTTCGGAAAAGTGATTTATTTATTGAGCCCCCAGTCCCTTCTTCTCCCCCAGCGTCTTCGGCTCATGGCCCCCCTTTCCGCTTCCGGACTTGGTCGGCCCCGAGCTGCCCTGCGCGCTGTACGTGCCGCCGCTGCTCTGAGCCGCCTCGGGGAGTTCGGCGGTGCGTTGCACCCGGTTGAGGTGGTCGTTCTGGGGGGGGGGGGGGTGTTAGGTTTTGTTTTCTTTCTTTCTTTTTTTGTGTGTCTCTTTTTGTGTCTTTTTTTTTGGGGGGGGGGGGGGGGGGGGTAGAGAAGGGAAGGAAAGACGTACCTCGGGGTTGGTGCCGTGGACCTTGGTCTGGCCGGGGTCGATGGCGTTGTCGGATTGGGGGACTCCGTTGTCGTATTCGGCGCCGCGGGGCATGATGATGGTTTTGTTTGTGAGAGGTTGGAGCTGGAGGGCTTGTATTAATTTTTTTTTGTCTTTTTTTTTTTTTTTTTTTTCTTGTCATATGAATAAATGGTGGGTGTTGATGTGGTGATGAGAACGTACGTACCTTAGTTTTGTTTAGGTTAGGAGATGATGAAAAAGAGCGGGATTGATAGTTAGCAGCGAATTTTTAATATGCTTGCCACAATTGATTGACCGATTGATTGATTGAAGTGAGAATTGAACTGATACTCTTCAAAACCAGACCTCCCTTCCTAGATTCTACCTACTTATACCCATCCATCCCTGATCCCCCCCAACCTAGATGCAATCGATGTGTTCATCGACCTCAACAAGGTGCTTGATCTGACACCATCATGAAGTCATATTCCCCACCATGACTTCATGGAAAGGGATGTCTGTCTCTGATCCGGTATCAGGTACCATGCTTTGCTTGCTTGCAGACAAGATATCCATCCATTTGGTTTTGGTTGATCGAAGGATCTGGAACCATCGTCTGTCTACCTTACCTGGCCCAGGAGAGTAGTTGAGGGATTATTGTGTTGTGTTTCAGGCTGTGGGATGGTTGGTTGGTTGGTTGTTCTTGGATGTGTTAGCGTACTTTTAGCTGCGGGAAGCTTGGGCGGTTACTGGCAGGTGCGAGAGATGCTGTGCGAGCTTGGATTGTTGATGAGACTGGTTGGGGGGTACAAGATCTTCTTGCGACTAACTGTTATGGAGACTATTATTAGATGTGTTTTGCTGAACTCGACATACAATTCATCGCTTTACAAGGGCCGATTGGCATAGTACTAATCTATGGTGCCTGAGGCACAGTCAGGCAGACAAACAAGGTAAATTAATGGTGCAAACTACTCAAATGGTACCAACAGTGCAAACTGGACAAACAGTCTCGGCCTCCGCCGCTAAACTCCGCCCTCGCATACACGGCCGCGCATCCAACACCACCACCTCGACTTGGCTGTTTTGATTTGTCCCCGAGCCTAGGATCCCCGAGAGCGCTTTGACGATATTCTGGTTTGCATCGTTTGCGCTATGGATTTGACGGTCATCCAGCCGGAGATACCGGGGCTGGGGGTGTTTGTTTGGTCCGTTCGTGTAGAGATATATAGTTAGGTACTGCGCCTCCGTAGCTGAACACGAGGAAGATTTACCCCCTCATCTTATCGCGAGCAATGATAGTTCCTATTACCATCGTTGCAAGGAACGGGCGTTGAACATAAAGGGTCGTCTACATCTTACCTGAAACCCAACTTACCCTGACCACATATCTACCCATCTACCTCTCGTTTGTTTGTAGCCGAGGAAGGAAGAAAAAGAAACACAGGCAAAATGTCCACCATGAAAGCGATCCTGATCCGAACCCCCGGCCCCCCCCACGTCCTCCAACTCACGCACGTCCCGATCCCCGTCCCGAAAGCCGGCGAAGTGCTCATCAACATCAAAGCCTTCGGAGTGAACCGCTCCGAGCTCTTCACGCGACAGGGCCACTCGCCGGTGCAATTCCCCCGCATCCTGGGCATCGAAGCGGTCGGGCTAGTGGCCGGGGCGGCGGCGGGCCTAGAACAGGCGTTCCCCACCGGGGCGAAAGTGGCCACCGTGATGGGCGGGATGGGCCGGGCCTTTGACGGCGGCTATGCGGAGTACACGGTCGTGCCGGCGAAGCAGGTGCGGGTGGTCGAGACGAGTCTGCCGTGGGAGGTGCTGGGGGCGTTGCCGGAAATGTTGCAGACGGCCTGGGGCGCGCTGGTGAGGTCGTTGGATGTGAAGCGCGGGGACAGAGTGTTGATTCGGGGGGGCACCACGTCGGTGGGGCTGGCGGCGGCGGCGATCGCGAAGGGCATGGGGGCCGTGGTGGGGGCCACGACGAGAAGGAGCGACAGGGAGGGGTTGTTGAGGGAGGTGGGCGCCCAGGAGGTCTGGATCGATGATGGCGAGATTGCCCGACAGATTGGGGATGCCGGTGAGAGGGACGGCGACGGGGGAAGCTATTTTTATGATAAGGTGTTGGAGTTGGTGGGGACCGTCACGCTGAGGGACTCGTTGAGGTGTGTTAGGCCCGGCGGCGTCGTGTCCATGGCCGGGATTGTCGGCAACGAGTGGCTGTTGGAGAAGGTCAATCCGATGGAGTTGATCCCTAACGAGACTAAGTTGACGCGCTATGGCGGCACGGAGGATATCTTCGTGGAAATGCCGTTTGGGGAGCTGGTCAGGCAGGTCGAGGACGGCTCGTTGAAGGTCAAGGTGGGGAGAGTGTTCCAGATCGAGGACATTGTCGAGGCCCATCAGTGCATGGAGGATAACGCGGCTGAGGGAAAGATTGTCGTCTTGACCTAGTACTGTTAGTTTGGTTTGCTTACGGGGGGGTTGTCTACATGGACCGGGGTTGGTAGGAGATTGATTGATGACATTGTTGATTGTTTGACCGAGTCGTTTTGGTTGATGAAATTGAAAGCATGACTGAGAAGATCGCAAATAGTAATCTAGATCGTCAGAATCGTAAATTGACTCGGAATGATGTTTGTCGCAACAGCAGCTGTGAGCGGCGCTCCGTCTTCCAGCGGCCTAGTCGCTCTCGCTTGAGGCGGGAGGTAACCTTAGACAGCGTAGACTCCGCAATCATAGAGGCGGTTGCATTTACAGGCAAATCCGCCCTCCAGAGATCGTTAAGACTTACACCGCGACCCGCGGAGTTCGAATGTAGGGTCGCTTGTTGGGACATTGCTGGATTGGAGCTATTTGCGAATCGGAAAGCAATTGCCCACGAGATCTGTATGATCGATCGATGGCGGGGTTGAAACGTAATTAGTAGTAGAAGACCAGACTTGGCATGTAGATTGGAAATGTATAGGCGCTTCGGGTGAGTTGAAGAGTAGTATTTTGCTGGCCATCGACGTCCCCGAATGTCGAAAGCGAAAGGGTACCACCATACCGAACCCCGCATTATTGCGAGGGGGGGGGAGGGGTATTTTGAAGAGCCCAGAATCTCGCTCTCATAGACGACTTACATCGTTTCCCAAAAATCCGGAGATCCTGACACAGTTCCCACGGATATCGGAGCAATGGCTTGAGAGCATATGTCCTTTGAATGTCCCTCGCCCAGATTCAGCCTTGTAAAATAACCGCGGGGTCTGTGATTTTGAGGGTGGAACTAGCAGAATGCTGGGAAGCAGGGATTCCGAGGCCTCTCTTTGTGTAGGGGGTCGATGTGGTATTCTCTTCCCTGCGATTGTTGGGCGACTGGCGTTCTTTGAAGGACAAAGGGATTGTTGACTTCCAAATAAGTATGGTGGGGACTAAGACTGAGGCAGTGATTGTCAGTATTTGGCAGGAACGCATTGGATGGGGTATTATTTAAATGGAAGATCACATCTCCGTCATCTTTATCCTGTTTCACTCTCTGTGAACACTGCTAAATTCCATTTGCGTATGAGAGAGTTCTGAGTTCTGAGTTCTGCGCAACATGACAGGAGGGTGGATGGCAAACTTGTACCCTCCTCCTCTGTAGAATCCCTGCCCGGATGATGGTCCAACCTCAGGGCGATCCTCCCGTCGTGATTGCAGAGCAATGCAGCACGGTGGCTGCTCACTCGCATGGGTTTGACAGGATTGACACGACGGGAAGAGAGATGACGTCACGGGACTGGCAGCTTTCCCCAGATTTGCCCAAACCGGCGCCGGAGCCAAGCGGGGAGAGAACTTGGTTTGGCCATCAACCAAGGATTCCACCAGAGCCACTGACTGGCAGAGAGCTCACCACTTGCGCCAGGTGCACCCGGACGTCCGTGGGTGCTATTTCCCACTTGCCGATGTCTTGTCTGAATTTTCCATTGTGCCACCTCAAAGCTGGCCCTCAACGCTTTCCCACCCCCTTTCTCAAGACCCCTGCAGCACGGCTTACCGGTGCACACCAAGTACAGCAACACTACAGCAGCACCGCAGCAGCACCGCAGCAGCACTACACCGTAAACCGAACCGGCGTAGGCGCGCAATGCGCTCTGGGAACCCGTCGCGCAGCGTTGCAACCTCCTCCTCATCTGGTCGGATGATTCTGCAATCGCCAGGCCCAACCGGGGCTGTGATTTGCCGGGTGTTTCCACGGGGGCCATCGCCAGAACCGGGGATGCGTCCGTGCAACTCCAACCCTGCGAGGCCTGAGACACCTTTGCCTGCGCGCGCCCTGGTCGCAGCCATTGGAGGGGTACAAAGAAGGGAACTGGATTAAAAAAGAGCACGTTCCCCTCCTTGCGGTTCCTGTCCAGCTCCACAGCTTTCCAAACCCTCCTTACCCTTACGAGGTCCAACCTCCTCCTCTTCCTCATAATCTCCCTCTCCCTCTCCCTCTCCCTCTTTTCCCTCGTTCCCCGCCACCCACCCGCGCCCTTCCCCGCACGTCACCATCTCACCTCCCTCTCTGCTCCCCCTAGTCCATCAACCCACCGGTCGCCGACTTTTCCCGGTCGCTGCCTTTTATTGCGACGGTACTGCCTTCTTCCCTTCCTTTTTATCCTTCTCCCTACAGACCGCAGTGGTGAATCCTGGACGAGCTCCCCAAGCACGCAATGGCCAGTGAGGAGAATGGCCACGAGCCTATCAAGCGCGATGTGCGCAACCATCTTCTCTTCGAGATAGCCACGGAGGTGGCCAATCGGGTCGGAGGTATCTACTCGGTCCTGAAATCCAAAGCCCCCGTGACTACCGCAGAGTATGGCGAGCGCTACACCCTCATCGGCCCCCTCAATCGTGCGTCGGCCGCCGTCGAGGTGGAGGAGCTGACCCCGTCCAATCCCCGCCTGATCGAGACCATCAAGTCCATGAAGGAGCGCGGGATCGAGATCGTCTACGGTCGCTGGCTGATCGAGGGGGCACCCCGCGTGCTCCTCATCGACACGGGCACTGGCTACAAATACTTGGACGAGTGGAAGGGCGATCTGTGGAATGCGGCTGGCATTCCATCACCCGCTGCCGATACTGAGACGAACGAGGCGATTGTCTTCGGCTACCTTGTGGCGTGGTTCCTAGGTGAAGTATGTGCTGGCATGACCGGGCGCACGTCTCCCGGCTTTCCTTGGCTAACAGCTCTCTAGTTCATTGCGCATGAGCGGCGCTATGCGGTTGTCGCCCACTTCCACGAGTGGCTGGCTGGCGTGGCCCTCCCGCTGACAAAAAGGCGGCACATGGACCTGACGACGATCTTCACTACCCATGCGACTCTGCTCGGTCGGTATCTGTGCGCCGGGTCTGTTGACTTCTACAACAACCTGCAGTTCTTCGATGTGGATGCAGAGGCTGGCAAGCGAGGCATCTATCACCGGTACTGCATTGAGCGTGCCGCAGCGCATACAGCTGATGTATTCACCACGGTTTCACACATCACAGCCTTTGAGAGCGAACATCTCCTCAAACGGAAGCCGGACGGCGTGCTACCCAATGGGCTGAACGTGAAGAAGTTCTCGGCGGTGCATGAGTTCCAGAACTTGCATTCCCAGTCTAAAGAGAAGATCAATGACTTCGTCCGGGGCCACTTCTACGGCCAGAATGACTTTGACCTAGAAAACACCCTCTATGTGTTTACCTCCGGGCGCTACGAGTTCCGAAACAAGGGAGTCGACATGTTCATCGAAGGGCTAGCCCGTCTGAACCATCGTCTGAAGAGCAGTGGATCTAAGATGACTGTTGTCGCATTCATTATCATGCCCGCCCAGACGTCGTCTCTTACTGTCGAGGCGCTCAAAGGCCAGGCGGTAGTGAAGTCCTTGCGCGATACAATCGAGATGATTGAGGAGGGGATTGGAAGACGAATGTACGAGCGTTGTCTCGCGTGGAAGGAAGGTGACAACATGCCGGACGAGAAGGATTTGATCACTAGTCAGGACCGGGTGCTTCTCCGTCGCAGACTCTTTGCAATGAAGCGGCACTCCCTGCCCCCGATTGTCACCCACAATATGCTCAACGACCACGAAGATCCGATTCTGAACCAGATCCGTCGTGTGCATCTCTTCAATCACGCTTCCGACCGAGTCAAGGTGGTCTTTCACCCGGAGTTCCTCAACTCCTCCAACCCCGTGCTCCCACTGGACTACGATGACTTCGTTCGTGGCACGCACCTGGGGGTGTTCCCCTCCTACTATGAGCCGTGGGGGTACACGCCGGCGGAATGCACGGTGATGGGTGTTCCCAGTATTACCACCAACCTGTCTGGCTTTGGTTGCTACATGGAGGAGTTGATCGAGAACTCGTCCGACTACGGGATCTACATCGTGGACCGTCGGATGAAGGGCGTGGATGACTCCGTCAACCAGCTGACGGACTTCATGTACAACTTCACCGAGAAGAGTCGGCGCCAGCGGATCAACCAGCGAAACCGAACGGAGCGCCTGAGCGATCTCTTGGACTGGAAAAGAATGGGGCTGGAATATGTGAAAGCTCGACAGCTGGCCCTCCGGAGAGGTATGTGCATCTGCGTCCAGTCCTTGGTTCCATCCTAACCCTTTATACAGCCTATCCCTCTTCCTTCGAGGGCCCCGAGGACATCCACGATATCATCGGCGGCACGGAACAGAAGATATCGCGGCCGTTGTCGGTCCCTGGCTCCCCTCGGGATCGTTCTGGCATGATGACTCCCGGAGATTTCGCGTCGTTGCAGGAAGTCAAAGAAGGGCTCAGCACGGAGGACTACATCGCATGGCGACTGCCGTAAGTCCACTCCCCTCGGGCATGAAAACCATAAGGCGTCCTGCTAACTCAACTCGATATCAGTACTAGCGAAGAAGAGGAGCCGGATGACCATTACTTCCCCCTCACCCTGCGCACGAAGAAGAACACGGATCGACCGGCCTCGCCGCTTGACCAGTTGTCGGTTAATGGAGACAGTTGATCGATGGCAATGTATTGTTACGCTCTGCAGCACGAACTCTCAACTCTTCATCACCTGTCATCCACGAACCAACGCTTATTGCCGCTTGCATTTGATTCGACTTATCTTCTCTCAGCGACTGCTTATGAAATACTGCTTTTGGTCACCCTGCATTTTTACGTTACGGACAGGGCATCGCCTCTTGAAAGCTACACCTGATCTAGACGATGAGGTCCCCAGCGCCGAGGGTGTCGTGCCTTGTCCTTTCCCATCATGTGCCTAATCCGTCTGTCCTCGCATTGTTGCATTTCTGTTTGCATATGTCCTTCTACGTTGTAGCCAGCGAATTGTACCTTCTGTTTGGACCCTACCCCAGTAGGTCCAGGTTGAGATAGTCAATGCACGATGCTGATTGTATCCCACCCACGTCAACTGGGGCGTAATTCAGATCGTTCTCCGTCGAGACAGATGGGCAGAAGTCTTCTTGAGCGTGAGGATGCGTCGCTTGTACTCAATTATAGCGCGGAGAGGAGGACGGAGCAGATCTCGAGCAGAGCTGACTCCACCGCAGTAAACCCCCTCAGTCATCGTAGATCGTCCGATTATTCCGAACACCCAGGGATCCGGTTGAGGTACTGTTGGGGTTGTTGAGTCATCGGGGTCCAGTGCGGGTCGGAGAGCGGGGGAATACGTATTGTTGCGACTAGTAGCAGGCCAAGAGAGTCGGAACAAAGTTAACAGGAGCACATCAGTCCGAAGGGGATGCCCCAATAGAGCCGGGGCCTCGATCTCGTGGAGGGGTCTTGTTGGTGGTGTTCTTTTCCCGTCCGGTGAGACAGACAAGCGAGACGAGAAGCTGCAACCCCGTCCCTGCCTGTTTGGGAAGTGGTGCCCCGCCCCAAAGTATTTATGGCCGATTCCCCTCCCTTCATCCATCCTCCGTCTCTTCCCCATCTTCCTTCAAGCTTTACTCAGATCCCACTACTGTCTATTCATCCAAGTCTCTTCTACTATCCATCAATTCGGTTTCTCAATCCCTTCGGTACGACTCACAATGAGGTCGCGCTCTCCGGGTCTTTTCGCTATGGGTTCATACGGGTCAAGGTATCGTACACTGTATAACAGTCACTGCTCGCGCATGACAGGTGTCCGGCTCGAGATTCTGTCTTCGACTTCCTGGCTGGTTGGTTCCTGGCTTTAATCATTCCTGGTCATCTTCGTCTCCGTCTCTCGTCTGCAGACTGAGGACGGGGCGGAATGGACTATAGAAGGGTCAGGGATTCCATCCAGCCAAGACGAGGATAGGAGCTCGGTCGTTCTGAGATTATACTGTCAAAACTTGATCTAGATAATACTAGCGAAAGGACATGCGTGGCACTGATTGTCCCCCTAATTTAGACCTACAGAGACGAGAGGGATCTGATCCCTCTGTTGCTGACAGTTTCCAGAACTCTGTTCTTCACTTGAGTTTGTGCCAAAATGTCTACTGACAAGATCACCTTCCTCACCAACTGGTATACATCTTTGGTCTTGGGACTATGTATATAGGTAGAATCATTGCTAAGAATTGTGTCAAGGCACGCGATCCCGTACCACGCCCCCCTATACCTCGCACAGATCAAGGGCTTCTTCAAGGAAGAAGGCCTCAAGGTTGCTCTCCTCGAGCCCAATGACCCCTCCGATGTCACCGAGATCATCGGCAGCGGCAAGGTCGATATGGGCTTCAAGGCTATGATTCATACCCTTGCAGTACGGATCACTATCCTGTTCTTTTACGCCGCATCCATCTAATCAAGCAACAGGCCAAGGCCCGCAACTTCCCCGTCACCTCGATCGGCTCTCTGCTGGACGAGCCCTTCACCGGTGTGGTGTACCTCAAGGACAGCGGTATCACTGAGGATTTCCGTTCCTTGAAGGGAAAGAGAATCGGCTACGTCGGTGAATTCGGAAAGGTTCGTCGTTCTTATACCCGACATCTGATACTTGTCCAAAATACTAACCTGGCTGAAACAATAGATCCAGATCGACGAGCTCACCAAGTACTACGGTATGACCGCCGACGACTACACCGCCGTCCGATGTGGAATGAACGTTACAAAAGCCATCATCCGCGGCGACATCCACGCGGGCATTGGCCTCGAAAACGTCCAGATGGTCGAACTCGCGGAATGGCTCGCAACCCAGAACCGCCCCCGCGACGACGTCCAGATGCTCCGCATCGACCAGCTCGCCGAGCTCGGCTGCTGCTGCTTCTGCTCCATCCTCTACATCGCCAACGATGCCTTCATCGCCGCCAACCCCGAGAAAATCCAGAGGTTCATGCGTGCCGTCAAGCGCGCCACTGACTACGTCCTCGCCGAGCCCTCCGCCGCATACGAGGAATACGTCGACATCAAGCCGATCATGGGTACTCCGGTGAACCGGAAGATTTTCGAGCGCTCGTTCGCCTACTTCAGTCGCGACCTGAAGAACGTCAGTCGGGACTGGGCCAAGGTGACCAACTACGGAAAGCGTCTCGGTATCCTCGATGCCGACTTCGTCTCCAACTACACGAACGAGTACCTATCCTGGGCGCTGGATGCGGACTCGACCGATCCCACGGGCGACCAGAAGCGGATGGCCGAGCTGCAGAAGCAGGTTGCTGACCAGGGCGGTTATAAGCGCTTGGAGGTCGCTTCTTCGGCTTAACTCCACACCAACCGGCCACTGGCCATTGGCCACTTGTTGATGTGGTTCTGGATCAGACCACTACAGGCCCAGACAGACATGCTATATGCTAGGCAGCACTCGTTATGACTATGCAATTGATGATATGATCTTTCAAACTACTTAACATCGTCGGAAGTCTTATACTGCGTAAACAATGTTAGAATATGGTGGTGCACTGGTGTGCCATGACACCATCTAAGCTGGACATCATCTTCCGTCCCTAATCTTATAAATCCTAAGCAACTATACATGCAAGTAAGTAAGTATATATCAAAGACGCTGAACAACACGACATGGCCAGACCAAACACGTCTAGTAATTGATAAGCAAAGGTGCCATTACCCAGACACCCAGACACCCAGACAAGACACATCACATCACAGCAGATCATCTCTCCGCACTGGTAGAATCCAGCCTCCCGCGCTCACCGTACCCCAAACTCCCCTCCAAAGTCGACCCGGCCCTCAGATGCCTTAAGTTCAACAGCGTCGAAAACTCCACCCCTTCTTCCCCATCACTGCCCTCCCCGCCCCCTCCATATCCATATCCCTCTCAAACCCCCCTCCCCCAAGGGCTTAAACACCCCCCTCTCCCGATCCCCACCGCCTCTCCCCTCCGCCCGTCTAGCCAGAACCCGCCTCACGCCCCAAACACACCCAGCCAGGAACACGGCGCCCGAGAAGCTCACAATCGAAGAAATGAGGGAGTGAAGCCTCCCGGACCCGTCACTATCATCGTCACCGTCATCGCGATCCGCGGGGAGATTATCGCCGCCGATGATGAGGGCAGAGTCGGAATCGGGGTCCCATATCGCGAGTTTGGTGGTGCCGAGGACGTGGCCGGTGCCGTTGAGGGCGAGGGCGCGGAGGTGGCTGAATGTTGCGTTGCGGGGGATGGGGAGGAGGGTTTCGAAGCCGGACTTCGGGGTGGTGAAGAGGGTTGTGAATTCCTCGTTTTCGACCTCGTTTATGGAGTGGGGTTTGGGGTTGGGGTTGTTTGTGCCTTGCAAGACCCAGGTTCGGACTTCCGTGGCGCCGTTCCAGCTGGCTGCGGTGCCGTAGCTGAAGACCTCAAAGGTGGGCCAGGTCTTTGGGAATCCGACCCAGGGGTGTTTGAAGACGCGGTAGGACTCGATGTTTCCGCGACCGAATTCGCGGGCGGGGCCGAAGTGGATGTCGCAGACGACGTCGCCGTCGATGGTGTATTCGGTCCAGGCGGCGTTGAAGCCGTAGCCAACGAGGATGTTGCCGGAGTCGAGGATCTGGAGGGAGCCCTGCGATTGGCTTTTCAGATGGTGGGGGTTCCAGTACTCGTGGCGGATCTTGACGGTCATGTGTTCCTGGTCGATGTCCAGGTAGAGGCCGCGGCTGACGTACGAGGGGGCGCCGACGCCGCGGGAGGCGTTGTCGAAGAGGGTTATGACCGTGCCGTTGTTGTGGAACCGCGCGTGGTGTTGCCAGGAGATGTCGGTGGCGCCTTTGGATGTGTTCTCGGAGAGGTCGGTGAAACTGTTGTTTTTGCCGCCCAGGCGCCAGAGGACTTCGCCGGTGCGACCGTCGATGTAGACCAGGCAGCTGGCGTGGCGGGAGGAGACGAGGAAGTTTCCTTTGGCGTCTTTGTCGACGCTGTTGATGTGGAAGAAGTCCCACGCGTTGTCTTTGTCACCGCCGGCGCCTTCGCGACCGCGGACGACGTCGCCGATGTCGAAGTGCTCCGAGGCGTGCCATTGGAAAAGACATTCGCCGGTCTCGATGTCGATTTCTTGGAACGTGCCGTCCCAGACCCAGCCGTCTTTCGGGCCGCCGGCGGCGCGGAGATCGGCTTGCCGGAGGTCGAAGATCGTGAAGACCGCCGTCTCGTCGAGGGTGATGTGGAATTCATGAATGTCTCCTTTGAGGCCGTTGGCCGCTTGGACCTTGTAGGCTTCCTTGTAGGAGGAGTCGAGCTGTATGCGACACTTAGAGATAGAGTGGCGGGGGAGTCAAAAGGGAGATCGTACCATGTAGTATACCCCGTGGCCGTGTCCGACAATTCCGTCGTTGCCCACCCAGAATGTTATATAATCCTGCCCCTTATATCGGTAGAGGTTGGTGTTGTATGTTTGTCCATAGTGCTTGGTCCAGATCAGATGGCCATCGTGGTCCAGAATCATCGGCCCGGGCTTGTGCACGCTTTTACCGCGAGGGGCGATGAAGTAGTACTGGCCGTCCTGACATTCGGGATTATATGCGACGAAATTGATGGCCGCGCCGACAGCGGAGGATGAACGGTAGGTTTCCATGGGCCATGCTCCCAGCTTTCCTGCTTCATACATACCGTTGTGGAAGTAGGGTCCCATGTCCGCCCAGACAGGGGTCAGTAGAGTCGCTAGAGCGACTAGTGGACTGACCAGCATCATGGCGCAGGGACGGTGGAGGGAAGTCTACCGGTTGTTAGGAGACATGGATTGGCGCGAGGATTGGGCGGGAAGAAAAACAACACCACCAGATGTTGGGGGAGGAGGAGAGAGACATGGAGGTGAGAAAATAGCCGACGCCATTATCATATAGTAATGGCCTAGTCTGTGACTGGTGACGGTGATAAAAGCGGCGCGACTCGCGAGAGGTCCACAGTGGCCATCCGTTCCCGATGATCCACCAGGGACTCCAGGGAGGGTTGTTGGCTTCAAGCTTTCGAGTCTTCAAGGCCAGCGGAAACGGTCCACCTTGGCACCTGGTATCATATTCATGGCACTATGACAGGCTCAGTGCGTGGGCGCAGCCTCCCGCTGAGCGCTTCGTCCCCGTATTTCCCAAGATAGAACGAGCGATGACGAGTCCTGCAGCAGATAAATTCCCGACCGGCGACATGAGATTTTTCTGGCGTGTCCCCCTTTTGCCTGGTGATTTCCCTGCCGGGCTGGGATCCGGCTGGGATCCGGGTCCCTAGCTATCGGGCGGTTTGTGGTCGGTCATAAGGAGGTGGTGGTCGGCGGACGTGCCATAGTCCTATAAACCCATGATCACCTGGTCCAATTAAACATCCCATCGCTGGTTGATTTTGGTGCTAGGACAGGGCGCGTCCCACTTGATCGCCTGTGGTTCCTGTGGCGGCTTCCGTGGCTTTTGTAGTGCCCGACTTAGCCGGAGGGATGAAGGACTGCTGGCCTCGGACTTAATCAGTCGGTCTCCACTTGGCGCTGCCGCTGTTGAGGGGGAAAGGCGCGATGGAATCGAGTATCATGGAGGGGTGGAAGAGGGAATATCCGTGGAGTGAGGATCGGGTGGTAGACTGAGCATTGCAGGCAGACATGTACGGCGTAGATGAAAAGAAGGTTAAGATTGTTTGGTGGTACAAAGTACAAAGTAGTACGGTGCCAGAAGTGGAAGGCACGTGGCGGGGTGGATTACTTCGGGGGCGATGATGCCATTCTTTCCCTCCCCTTGTCATCTTCTTCCTCTGCCACTCAACTTTCCCTGAAGAACAACAATGACGCTTCTTCCCTCGGCTGAGTTGGCCCCCAGGATTCAGGGTCGTGTCGACTGTGGAGTTCCAAGATGGCGTCCCTTGAATCCGGGGGATCTCTTCCGATTTGACCATACGTGCTCTACCGACAAACGATGATCTTCGACCCTCAGGTGAAACCCCTGGGAGGGGCTCTGCTATTTATAAACGGCTCCCCATAATCCAGAGACAGATGGGCGCAGAATATTGCCGGGATATGGCTGCACTATGCGGACGGACTCTTGCAGTATTGACGATCCTTTGGCCAAATTTATCGCACGTCTCCGGTACAGACGAGGCAGGAATACCTCCGAGGTCTCTGCAGGCTGCCATCCATCGGTCACAGGTGGTTTCCCGTTTCAGTCCTTCACGGAATGCCAGCTCGACAAGCACCCCTATGCAGGTCGGAAATGGGAGTCTGGCATTTGGGGCAGAGATGACAGGGAAATCAGATATCCCTCCTACCCTCCTATAAAACACTATTTCTTCCTGGTCTTGGGATTATCGTTTCCTGCTAACTACTTGTTGTCGGACTTTACAGGCTTAGTCCGGTGGACTTATGACCGGCTAGTAAATTATGGCAGCCTGCAGATTCGGAGATATCTCAGTGGCTGGTTGCAAATCCACACCGTATCATTTTGGGCCGGATCGGACTGGCCTTCATTGGACGCGATACAAACCTCACCGAAGAGGTCTTTCTATTTCAGAGTGCGCAATTTACGCCCATCGGTACATCCTCCAACCTAAAGCAACGTCTCCAAGAACTATGAATCAACAGCAAGATATTCACACAACGATACCCTACAGTCACCACTATCCTTTGAGACCGCTCTTGCGAACAGTCTGGAACTATGGTAGGTCTATTCAGAGACAGGCGTCTTCGTGAACTTTACTGCCACATATAATGCCACAACAGGCTCTATCTATTCGCAGTTAACGAAGCCGGGCATGGCCCCCTCAAGCATCAGGCTTAGTGATTAAGGGATATGGTAAATTTCACATGGAAATGTATCTATGACTCGGCTCATTAGACTCCATAGGGTAATATCCCTCCCTTGGAATCGAGCATCGCATCTACAAACAATTCCTTCCATCGCTAGAACGAGCAGCAGATCTCCCCTGGCAAGATCAACGTACTCCTTAAATGGCACAAGCCCCATGTCTTCTACTTCGCACAACAGAGTGTCACTTTATCCGCTCTACCGGGAAAGAAAAGCAGGACATACTCACCAAATGCTACATACTAAGCTAATCGGCGGATCCCATGGCATCGTATGCCTTCTGGAACTCCTCCACAGGTGTTTATGACCTCAACCCCCCCCCCCCTCCCCCCCATTGATCCGATGTCAGAGATCGCCTCCAAATGGTAGGCGAAGTCCCACGTTCGAGCAGGCATATTCCCACTTGATCCGGATACGGTCATCTCGTGGAAAATCAGGCTTGGTCAAAGAGCTCCTTCATCCTGGGAAGCACGTCAAAGAGGCGGTAGGTTCGTTAGGCGTGAGACTGCGACGCTTGCTTTTCTTCGAGCCAGCGCCGTTGCTTGCCATAGGGATCATAATTGGTGATTGGGATGGAGGAGGAAATGCCATACGCAAGGTTCAGCCCCTGAGTTTCCGGCCTAGTAGTACGTCAGGGCTGAGGGGATTGGGCGGATGTTGTAAGTTTGCAACTGTTGAGGTAAGGCTTTATGACATCAACATACTCGTAGGATAGTTCAACGGGGACAGTCATGTACAACCATTTAATGCACTTCGTCTCAGTCAATTAACTAATCTATATCGAAGGGGTATGGTATGTAGGGCACTAGGCACTATGTAGAGAGATGATGAGGCGGGCGGCGGGGCAGGGGTATCTTTCCTCCAGATTAAGGGTAAATGAAGTGTCTATTTGGTGCGCTTGTAGATCTTGCCAAGGAAGGCCTCGAAGACCTCCTTCTTCAGACCGTCGGACTCGTTGACGGCGGCGATCTTGGTGCGGATCTCACCCACGATCGTCTCCTCGTACTCCTTGTAGACCTTCTCGAGATCCAGATCGCGGTAGATGGCCTTGACCTTGGCCTCGAGCTCGCTGTCCTTGCGACCGTAGGCGACCTCGAGGACCTTGCGCTGGTCCTCGCTAGCCCGCTGCAGGGCCTGGTTGACGAGCCACGAGCACTTGTTATCCTGGATATCGGTACCGATCTTGCCGATGAAGGCCGGGTCACCGTAGGCATCGAGGTAGTCATCCTGGACTTGGAAGTACTGGCCGAGAGGGATGAGGATGTCGTGGGCCTGCTTGAGGTTCTCGGGGGTGGCGAGCTGGAGGTAGTGCAGGGCAAGGGCGACGGGGAGGTAGAAGCTGTAGTAGGCGGTCTTGTAGGTGACGATGAACATGTACTTCTCCATGGAGAAGTTGTCAAGGTTGACGTTGTCCTCGGGGGCGGTGATCAGATCGCAGAGCTGGCCGAGCTCGGTCTGGAAGGTGGTCTCGTGGAAGAGCTCGACGAGGTCGATGTACGCCGGGTGAGAGCGGAGGTACTTCTTGAGGATGATGTAGATGCCGGACTCGAGGAGGAAGGCATCGTTGATGGCGATCAGCCCGACGCCCTCGTGCCGGTACCAGCAGGGCTGGCCACGACGCGTGATCGAGCTGTCCATGATATCGTCGCTGACCAGGAAGAAGGCCTGGAGCAGCTCCGTGAGCCAGCCCAGCAGGCTGAGGTGCTTGAATTGCTCATCCGTCAGGGGCTTCTTCAGGAGGGCGAGGCCGGTGTCGGGGACGGAGAGACCACGGTTGAGCTTTCCGCCGGGGACGTTGACGTCGAGGACCTGTGTGTAGATTTGGGGTGTCAGCTGTCTGATTGATTCCAAGACAGTAAAGGAAGGGGAGCACGCTTGGGCAACCCACCTTCTCGAACCACTCGAGGGCGTTCTGGGGCAGCTTGTACTGCTTGGCGTAGTTCAGGAGGTCTTCGCGCAAGGCGGGGAAGACCGCCTCGAAGTCGGCGCGAGCGGTGGTGGAGGACATCCTGCGGAAGAGCACAAAAGGGTGCTGTGAAGGTGAAGCCAGGAAAAAAGAAAGGGGAGAGAGAATTGGGGAGAGGGGCCGTGGGGAAGGACAGGGGAAGAAGCAAGAAAGCCAGAACAATAGTATGGCGATAGACAATTGTTGCCCGCCCAATGCGGAAAACCCCGCTGTTTGTTCTGTTTGTCCCCCGCCGCCCAAACAGGCAATTCCCCATTCTCGCCGTTGTTGTTGACCTGCTCTTCTGCTCTTCTGCTCTTCAACTCTGCAACTGGTCATTGTGTGTCCCTCCGCAGCTCAAGCGCATCTCCTCCTCTCTCTCGGATCGGCGACTTTATTCCCTGGTGCTTCCGACGCGGTTTGCCGGTGCTGGAACCCCCCGAATTCCTCTAGCGCGACCTCTATATCGTGTTTGGGCCTCCCCAACCCTCGGGATCGAATTATGGTCGCGGCGCGTCACTAGCGACAATCGACTCTGGGATCCGTTTCAATCGCTCATTCGCGTGCGCGCGGCACGTCTCTCTCATCATGGCTGTCCCTTTCACGGACGACAATATCAAGGAGCTCAGGTTCCGGCTCGAAGATGCGGCGATGAAATGCTCCGAACGCTGTCTATACCAATCTGCCAAATGGTACGCTTGCACGCATATCTCGGTCCACCACCTTGGGACGACGAAGTACTGACTCATTGGACCAGGGCTGCGGAAATGCTGGATTCCCTTCTTCCGATTGACGCCTACGACACCGATCCCGACTCTCCGATGGACATCCCCGAAGCTCCTTCGACCCCCCAGAACCCCTACCTCCGAACCCAAGATCCCCCCGAAGCCGCGCTGGAAACGCAAGAATCATACAAGTACCTCCTGGCAAAATCCTACTTCGATACCCGCGAGTATGACCGCTGCGCCGCGGTGTTTCTCCCCCCGACCATCTCACCCGTCCCGCTTACTTCGTCCACGTCGCCGAACCCGAAGCCTAGACAGTCGTTGACACCTCAAAAGGGCAAGTCGAAGGCTTCCGCATATGCTGCTACCAAGGACAACAGCTTGACGAGGAATCCATACCCTAGACTCAGTCAGAAGTCGTTGTTCCTCGCCCTGTACGCCAAGTATCTGGCGGGGGAGAAGCGCAAGGATGAGGAGACTGAAATGGTGCTGGGCCCGGCAGACGGGGGGTCGACGGTTAATAAAGAGCTACCGGATCTGGCGCGTGGTCTAGAAGGGTGGTTCGCCGAACGGCGGGAGAAGGAGGTAGAAGATCGAAACCAGGGTTGGCTGGAGTATCTCTATGGCGTCATTCTCCTCAAGGGCAGAAACGAAGACGAGGCCAAGAAGTGGCTCATACGGAGCGTTCATCTAAACCCGTTCCATTGGGGGGCGTGGCAGGAACTGAATGACCTCCTTGCAAGCACAGAAGATGTAGGTCGCTTCGGAACACGTCGTTGCTATGTGTCGCTGATTGCCCCCGCAGTTGAACCAAGTGGTCAAACTTCTCCCTCTGAACATCATGACTCTCATATTCCGCGTATACTGCAGCCAGGAGCTCTACCAAGCCACGTATGACACCTACCAGTCGCTGTCGGAACTGGAGAACATTTTCCCCGCGAGCGCTTTTCTAAAGACCCAGAGAGCGCTGCTATGTTACCACTCCAAAGGTAACCTGACCACCGAACACCCTTTGTGCTCCATGCTAACAATACCCACAGACTTCGAAGAAGCGTCAAGTATATTCACAGACATCATGGTCACCTCCCCGCACCGTCTCGACAGTCTGGACCACTACTCCAACATCCTGTACGTGATGGGCGCGCGCCCGCAGCTCGCCTTCGTCGCGCAAATCGCAACCGCCACCGACAAATTTCGCCCCGAAACCTGCTGCGTAGTCGGCAACTACTACTCGCTCAAATCCGAGCACGAAAAAGCCGTCATGTACTTCCGACGCGCCCTGACACTCGACCGCAACTTCCTCTCCGCCTGGACCCTGATGGGCCACGAGTACATCGAAATGAAGAACACGCACGCGGCCATCGAATCCTACCGCCGCGCCGTCGACGTCAACCGCAAAGACTACCGCGCGTGGTACGGCCTCGGCCAAGCTTACGAAGTCCTGGACATGTCCTTCTACGCCCTCTTCTACTACCAACGCGCTGCCGCCCTGCGCCCCTACGACCCCAAAATGTGGCAGGCCGTCGGTTCCTGCTACGCCAAGATGGGTCGGATCGAACAAAGCATCAAAGCGCTCAAACGCGCCCTCGTCGCAGGGTCCTACTACGCCGAAGACGCCTCCCAGGTCGGCAGCGTCACGGGCCACGAACGCAAGATCCTCGACCCCGAGACCCTCCATCAAATCGCCACGCTGTACGAACGCCTCGGGGACGAGGAAGAAGCTTCGACTTATATGGAGCTCACCCTGCAGCAGGAATCCGGCCAGCTTGTCCAGCAGGACGACGAGGACGCGTCGTCCGATATGGCCGACAACGACGATGATAGCCAGTCCGTCACGGAAGCGCAGTCGAGTTCTCGACGTGCCCGCAAGTCGTCGACGCAGAACGATGACGAGGAGGAGGCCTGGCATGGGACCGGTGTTACGGCGACGACGTCCAAGGCGAGACTGTGGCTTGCGAGATGGTCGTTGAGGAATGGCGATCTGGAGCGTGCCGATCAGTTGGCTGGTGAATTGTGTCAGGATGGGGTGGAGGTCGAGGAGGCGAAGGCTTTGATGAGGGATGTGAGGGCTAGGAGGGAAGGGGGTGAATGATTTTCTGTTCTTGTCTTGTTGAGCGTGAAGCCGTAAAGCGTAAAGCGTGTGTGGTCTGTGTGGTCTGTCTGTGTGTGTGTGTGTGTGTGTGTGTGTGTGTGTGTGTGTGTGCTTTGTACATCAGCTTTCTTTTCTTCTTCCCTCGGGACTAGCGAGGCGTTTGTGGGTGGGCATGATGATGATCCCGGATGTTTCATAGATATCTTCTCGTACGTAACATATGTGATTGTGGGGAGTTGATGTGGTGGTAATAACTAGGTAGTGACCTGTAATTTATCACTGGAGTCACATTCAATAACTAGTAGTACTACTGTATAGCATAATCTCGACAGCCACTCGCTACATAGTAGTATATATACCAAACCATCACTCAGGATATTATCCACCCCTCCCCTTCAACATGAACCACCGGCTCCACAGAACTAAACTCCCCCAAAGAGGCCAACTCCCGTCTATCAAATGAGATCGTAACCCTAGGCTGCGGTTTCTGGATCGGGATCAGTTTCTGTCCCTGTGCATCCACCGGCGTCCCCGGAATCTCATCGGCAAGAAAAGAAGTCAGGGACGGGGGTTTGGATTTCCACTTCACAGCCGCGTAGAAGTAATCCTTACTTATGTTCTGCCAGGTCTGCCGGAGACAGAACTTGAGGTGGGTGTGGCTGTGGCTGGTTGGGTGGGGGTGGAGGTGGAGGATGGTGGAGTCGAGGATGAAAACCTTTCCGTTGGGAGGGAGAGGGACAGAGGAAGGCTGTGAGGGTTCATGGGGGTGGAGGAATTGTGATAGCCCTCTGGTTAACTGGGAGAGGAGGGTACTTAGGGAGGGTGCGGACTGTGGGAGGAAGATCATCCCGAAAGTTGTGTTTTGGGAAGCGGCATGGGGGTTGGATATCTTGAGATGGGAGCGGAAGTTGGGGGATAAAAGGGCGTGGAGGAATGTGTCGAGGGTGGGAAAGATTGGTGGTGTGTTTGGTATATAATGAGTCGTGGTGTTTTGGTGGACTAAGGGGTCGTGGTGGATGTATTTGGGGATTTGAAGCAGGGGGGATTGGATGATGGGGTTGTTTGGCTTGGGGGAAGTGGTATCTCTTCCTCTGGTAGCTCTGTGTGTGAAGTGCCTTCGAGATATGGGTGGCTGACTTGGGAGAGTAGATGTGTCGACAGTCTTCAGGCTGGTTTCAGACGGATGGGAAGGGCTGATTGACATCTGGTCCTTCGAGCAGATGGAATGGGCCAAGTTCCTTCTTTGGCCTGCAGTATGGGATGAGAGGTTCTCGTTATTCGTCAAGTGATTTCCCGAAACATTCGACTCTTTAGGCGGTGATGATGATTCCACCGTCAGATCCACATGTATGGGGATGGCGCGCTGCATGGTATGTCTAGGGCCGTCACGCCGAGTTGGTCGGTTTGGCGAGTCCACTTTAGCAGCCAAGACAGGTATGGATGCCCCACGATGCGAATTGACCGTAATTTCCGATAGTGGCTCGGAGCTCTGCGTAGTCGATTTGGTCTGGGATCTATTGACCGAGTACTGCGATGCGTGTCCCAGCTTCAACCGCTTAGCCCACTCGTACTCTTGCTCTTCCGAATCCTCAACAGGGACGGACCGGGCGTCTTCAGCCAGAAGTTGTAGATCTGAGAATGATGCTGCGTCTTGAAATGTCCTATCCCAAAGAATCTTCGTGATCCTTGGAAACCGGAGCGTATAGTATCTGGCACCAGACGGCTTCTCGAAGCCGCTGCCCAGCATCTCCACGACAAAGGGCTCCTTAAAGACATTGTCCAACGGTGTTGTCACGCTCTCCCCGTATTCAATAGTGAAGCCATGTCCGGAGTCCATGCTACGAGCGTGGAATTCTCCGAACTGATTTAGAATCTGCATAGTCTTGATATGCATGAAATGACGGGTGACCACGTCCACGACCCGGAATTTGGGAGGAACGTCGAACTGCATAACTTCATCTTTATTGAGAAGGCACCCGATGAAAAACTCAGTCCATATCAATTTCTTGACCTGCTTCAATGCTTCAGCATCTCGAGGATTATATCTCCCTCCGATGATTGCGAGATCCACAGTATCGCCCAGACCTGGTATGTAGTCCTTCTTGAGCTTGATCCAGCGGCCGGCGGAGTTATTTGCCTCGCTCGAGAAGATTGTGAAGTAGGGATCCTCACAACCTTTTAGCACAAATCCCTCCCATCTTTCATTGATGCCTTTGGCGAAGATACGTTCCAGCCGAGACTGGCTGTCATAACGCGAAAAGTCCACAACCCACTGGTCAGAGATGTCGGCACGACCAGAAATCACTTTTACGGTGTCTTTCAGGAGCAACCTCCGATCCCGATGAGGTATTTTCAGGCATATATTATCATCAATGAGTAGTATATCGAAGAAGACGATCATCAGATGCTCATATAGTTGTGGTCTAGCATGTGTTAGAAGCAAGCATTAAAGGGTCTTATTTAGTGACTTACGGGGAATCGTTCTCAGTCCCAATGAGAGTACCAGACCGAGCAATAAATTTACGCAACTTATGAAAATCTGCGATCTTACCAAGATTGTCACTCCAGACTAGCAGTTCGCCCTCTAGAATACATCGGCGGGAGATTTTGCAATCGGCTTGTTCTAATCTCAGGGAATCTCTGATCACTTGATGGACGCCAGCCCTGTCATCCGTAGAGTCCTTTCCACTCTTGGAGAATATCTGGATGGGGCGAAGGCGATTAGAGAGGTCGATATGTATCTGGCAGTATTCGCCGTCGTACTTCCTCTCTATACTCATTCGGCGGTTGCCTATCATTCGACAGCAATGCTTAATGCTCCGAGCCTTATAGTATTCCGGTCGTCCTATCTTAACCCCGATGTTCGGGTTGAGATGTTGCAAGGCTATCAACCCCAAATCTTTGGCTAGACCGGGTTCTGGGTGTGGGGGGAAATGGCTTATGGGGCCGGAGGTTAACATCTTTAGAGCGCCCTCGAACGAGTCCTGGAACAGGAGGAGGTGCGGAAGTAGAAAATGGAAGCTTCTCAGCGTCAGGGTGAATGGCAGCACAACAGGATAGTATCTTTTCAAGATCATTCGCGTCAGCCATTTCGCGTCTCTGCTACTCAGCCGTCGATACAGAGGGGCTAGTTTCTCATCGAGATCCACTGCCGCACGCTGCCTTCGCACTTGAGGGCCCGAAAACTTGCACCGAGAGGCAACCTGAATCAGGACGTCGTCGATCTCCTCAATAGTGACCTCCTGCGCACTGGTGATATGGTTCTCAGCTTGCCGCATGACATTCTCAACGCATTGCCCAAGATCTCCACCCCCGGACTCGCGCCACCTGTCCAATTCCGCGCACCTAGAGACCCCCAGGAGCAGGCAACGTGCTATTATCTTCGACAATTTTGCATCCTGAAGCCAGTAGACTCTGTCGGTCCTTTTCTCCGGAAACATACACGAAAGAAGGGCCACTTGATCGGCATTCTCCCGGATCTGCTTCCCATGACGGGCAAACCATCGGGTCACGGCCCGGGTGTCTGGATTTATAGCTTTGGCCTCATGGGAGGCCTTCAGGATCCTGTTATCCTCGATCGATGAGAGCAGGTCGCACAGATGGGCAAACTTGAAACCCATAGGGTGTTAGTTCGAGGGACAGGGCGGGGTGCCTGGTGAATGCGATGCGTTTGCGGGTGCCAACGAAAATTCGCCAATTGCCTCATTTTTTTCGAGTGCATGGCAGTAGAAAGAGTGCAATTTAGTCCATGGATACTCCAGGTTGGTGTAAGAAGAAAAAAGGAAAGAGCGCCAGAACTACGGTTTGGTATGCGGGGACGCGCCTGAGGCTCTTGAATGCATTAGTCACTTGCCACGTGATCTGGACGCACTGAAGATCCTCCCTTCCCCTTGCGCAAGTTGACCCGCTGTCAGGTTGCGGAGAATAAGTATCGCTAATTTCAGGCAGTCTGGACAATGGAAGATTGGCAGAATGCTTCTTGCTGTGAGGACATACTTGAGTATCGCGGCTAGATGACCTGTCTGGCATAGTCTTTCTCGTGTCCCGTACTAGGGAGTCATTCTCTCAATTCAAACCCCCGATGGTCTAGTTGGTTATGGCGTTCGGCTGTAATAGTTCATTGTAACCGAAAAGTCACCAGTTCGATTCTGGTTCGGGGGACCACATCAACATTTTTGCCACCTTTTTTACCAAAGTTTGTTGCTGCTGGCCACTTTTCCATATCAATATCATTTCTCGTTGTCAATTCTTTCCTTGCCGTTTGTAGAATTTTTTTATAGATTGAATCGGAAGCCTCGGCCCAGATCTAGGTTCCTTTCGCGAATCTTGTTAGCATCCTGGGTATAGCCCCCTCAGGAGGCCAGAACCATGTCAGTTGTCATCAGTAACCCCCGATGGTCTAGTTGGCTATGGCGTTCGGCTGTAATGGTTCATTGTGACCGAAAAGTCACCAGTTCGATTCTGGTTCGGGGGAACAAAATCTTTTTGAATGTCAGTTGAAATCTTTTTTTGTGGGCCATCAAACGGCATATAAACAGCAACGTTGAGTGTTGAGTCGTGTATTGCCCTCCCCCCCGGTATTCTTACTAGTAATTTCCTTGACATTGAACCTGCGGCTTCCATGCAGGCCAATTGCGCTAGCAGCCTGAACAAGAGCCCAGAGCATATCGACGACCTCTGCGAACGGACGCAGCGTTTCCTTCTGCCGCAGGCCGCGTAGACCCTTATCTAGCCCCTCCGTCGAACCGCGGAGAGTTACCTTAAGCTACTGACCATGGGGGCATTTGGCGAACTGCTACGGAGGACAGCTGACTGGGTTATACACTATGATCTGTACGCGGTAGGCTCTTAAGCCGACCCCCCTTCTCCTTTTCCCCCGTGGCCCTCATACCCGGCCTCATCCTCTCCGCAGGCCCCCGCCACACTAGTACTGGACGGGTCATCAAAATATATTTGAACTATAAATGTCCTACATGTCGCCGAAGGAACCGCCTTTACTTAGGGTCGCGTTCGACCAACATCCCCTTTGGATATACGGACACCCCTAGCCTAAGGTCGCTTAGCCCCCCCGGATAGACCAGCCAAGGTACTCTGTAGACCTAGTATCTATATATAACTACTTTATGCTATTGTATATTAGCGATCAGACCGCTCAGTATAATAAATTATACAGGTAGGTAGGGAAATTGAAATTACTGTATAGGTAAACAGGGTGCTGACAGTTTAATTCTGTGTGGACAGCAAAATCTATTAAGGCCCTTTACCTAGTTATTTATATGTTGGATCTCATTATGCGTCGGCCCGGATCTTGGATCCTCTGCACTAGGCTGTCCCATACATGGCTCCTATATTGTAATTCCGACACACTAAAACAACCACCCCCGATGGTCTAGTTGGCTATGGCGTTCGGCTGTAATAGTTCATTGTAACCGAAAAGTCACCAGTTCGATTCTGGTTCGGGGGAATTTAAGCTTTTTGCCTTGTTATAATATACTATCTCGATGAATTGTCTATGATATGCTTGCTATTTTTTGGGCCCATCACCATGATATATATATATACATATATATGTAAGGCGAATACTTGCATAACAGTGCCTATGTGTAAGACTGCTGTTGACTGTGATAAATGTTTCTAATATGTTATGTTATTTATATGCGTGTCTCTTCACAATTATCCAGATCCATCCAGCGGCAGTAATAGATACTTAGTAGCATCAGGTTGGTATTGCAGTATTATACATAGGCCTAAACCTAGTTAACTAAGTAGTTGATATTTCTAGTAACGTCACTAGGCTAATAATGGTTGTATTTAGAGAATAAGAAAGCAAATTTGCAAAGGTGCGTCACTAACTCTTCCACTCATAGTTAGGTCTTGAAGAGTTGTAGATCTGTGGCTAGGCATAGTAATGATACAGTATTTTGTATACTAGTTAGGTCGCGTTACCCGTTCCAAGTCTTGACTGTCACCCGAGTGCCTGGTCATCTGACCTCTGGCTATGTATACAATACACCCTTTTCGGTGACATGCTCGGCACTGCACTACTAGTAGTAGTACTAACTAAAGTAAAGCCTGCCTGCGCCTGCTAGATAACAGGCAAAAATTCACAAAAATATGATCCCCCGAACCAGAATCGAACTGGTGACTTTTCGGTTACAATGAACTATTACAGCCGAACGCCATAGCCAACTAGACCATCGGGGGTGTTCTTGGCAGTTGAACCTCCCCAAGCCTATAGGAGACGGAGGTAATTGAAGACACCGATGATTTGACAGACCTCTCCAAATGGAACAATCCCAAATGGAACAATCAATTCGATCTCGATTCCCAACCCCCGCCGCCACGGGCTTGGAGCTCTCGAGAAACTCCCTCTTGAACTCCTCCAACTCGACATACAGTCCCTGGCTGACTTTCAACGGCCATGCACCCATAAAACATAAATAACAAAAGGGGGGCAAATAAGACCCGATATCGATCTCAAGCCGGGCTGCGTTTCTTGGGAAAATATTTTCTGGCCTTAACTTTCCAGCTTCTCGACATGAGTAACCAGCAGAAGATCAACTTACTCCAGGCAGGCCGAAGTCGACGAGAACGACCAAAGCTTTCCCCGTCGTTTGGTTGATGGTCGGTCCATCAAAAACACATTGCCGTTGAACCCTGGCCTCTACAGCACCGAAGTTTTGCGCTTTGGTCTTTCACTAGTCTCACTCTTGCCTGAACTTCCATGAAGTCAGATGTTCATCATTTATTCATTTATTCATTGATGTTGTCGTCATCCAATTCGCCCGCTTTCCTTGGGAGATCCAGTGTATTGGGAACGAAACTACGCCATATCAACTGATCTACGGTCATAATATCGGGCCCCGATTCCTTGGGCACTTGACTGAAAACGGTCGAGCGGTTGGGTTCTTGATAGTATATATAACTGATGCAAGGCACACTGGCCCTCGGGACGTCGAGACCTGCAAGGAGGTTTTGTCTCGGCTGCATGGTTTACGGATTAGACATGGGGATACAAATCCATTTACGGATACTTAATTCCGTCATCCGCGATTCAAAAGCTACATTGATCGATTTTGACACGGCTCGAAAATGTGACAATGAAAACATGCTCCTGCGGGCGATAGAATGATATGACTGCGCGCTTACAAGATCCGTCGGGCAGAGGAAGCGGAGGCCTTATCTGAAATATATATGTGGGCACCACTACCACAGTGGTTATTGTTGGCGAAAAACAACTGGTAGATTAGTTAGATTTCTATTCTTACATTCATCATTGATATGCCTCAAACCATCATTGTTTTCCAGCTGGAAAAATTTTGTCCTTTTTTTTGTTCAATTCTTGGAACTATACCCTAAAGGCAATTAATTGAATTGGGCCATCCTGCAGGAAGCCTGGCTATACACTCACTTATCATGGCAAATATATTGTCATGTTTAAGACTTCCGACCTGCTTTCTCAGTCCTCGGTTTTATGGGCCGTATCCAACAGGGTTGAAATAATGGAAAGAGCCGATACTTGTTACCATCTACAGTAGGGTGTCTGGCACGAGGACACCTTTGATCCGAGCCTTGGCTCTTGAGAACTCATCCATTCATGAATCAGACAACAAAGATTTCATCTTGTTCAATTGAGTCTTAATGGACTCCTTCAAGGAGGATCTAATTCTGTTGACGATGGCAGTGATCTTAGGTAGAATACACGAGGGGCAAAGCTGTAGTTTCTGCTCTACTCAGCTCAGCTCTTATACACATTCCCAACCAGCAATATCCTAGAGATTCATGTAAAAAGAAAACGACACCCACCAAACTCCGGGCTTTTCATATAGAAAGACGATGCAAAGAATACAAGAGGAAATAAATGGACGTTGCCGGTTACAGGATACCCTGCTTTTGGAGACTGGGAATCGTTAGTTAGCACAAGTGCCATCTGCAAGAGTTGTGGGGTTACATACTCGAGGTAGATCCGTTCGGGCATCACATTACCCTCTGCGTCCTCCATCTGCACCACGTTGTCGCGACCGTCTCTGTCCTTCTTGCGGTTCTGTTCAAGCTTCTCCCAGAGCTTGAGAGCATCCTCGATCCGAGTGATTTCACGGAACAGATTGGTGTTGGAGGTAACGCCTAGACACTTCAAGCCGAAGATGTGCATGGCTTCGGAGAAGTGCTTGTCGAAGGCACGGCGGCCCATATACACGAAGTTACCGCAGATCTCACAGGGGTATTCCACGCCCAGGCCGTGGAGTTTGTAGAGCCAGTAGGGGATGGGCTTGCCGTCCCAAGCAAGAGGCAGCTTGAGGGGGTTGTAGATGCGGTCTTCGTCGTCCTCGTCGGATTGATCGCCGCCACGATCCCCGCCGGGGGTCTCGGATTCGTTGAGCAATGCTTCGAGTTCCATCTGGCGCTCCCGCTCCGTCATACCCTGCCTCCGTTCGACGTTGATCCTCGTTGCTTGGCGCTCAGGCTGGAGAATCTGGGTGAGAGAACGCACACGGTGCTCTCTCTCCGCGACCGCGCGTTCTTTCAGGCGATGGGCCACGGGGGCACCGTTGCCCGCAGAGGGTGCCGGCTTATCGCCGGAATCGCCAGCGGCCTTGCGAGCCTCGGCGGCCCGGATATGCTTCTTGCCCGTCAGGTGGTTCTTGTAGACATTCTCGTTCTTGAACTCCCTCTCACAGTCGGCACACCAAATACCCTCCCCAGACCCCTCAGTCTTCGGGCCCTGGGTGCCGTTCTCGGCCTTTTCTTCCGTCCACCCGGGGACTTCATTTGCGGCCCACTGCCTCTCAAACTCGTCGTCAAAGCTGGCAAAGAGCTTATCCAGATCTTGTAACGGCTTCACTTTCTTGAGAAAGCTTTCCAGGTAGGTGGCGAGTTCGCCGACATACTTGAAATACCGGTCGGAGAGCTTGTTGTTCCGCTTGATAGGGAGTTGGGGGGGAGTGAACACATCGAACATGTCCAGATATTGTACGTATGAAAGGCGTTTGACGTTAGGTAGGTTCAGGTAATCTTCGTGTATTGTCGTCAGGTCCAAGAACTGTCCGTAGCTTTCTTCTCCGGTGAACAAGTTGTCGATCTCCATTCCCGTAGGCTCGCCCTCGCCAGGCTGGCGGCGCTTGTAAGCCCTTTCGAGATTCTCCACCGGCTCATTGGGGTAGCGCTTGTGAAAGTCCTTGATCTCATCCATCTGCTTGTAGAATTCCTCGAACTGATCACCTGTCGAGATCATCTGCACCTCCTTGTTGCGCGCGCCGTCCGCATCCTTGTAGATGTCGAGGAGTCTCTTTGACTGGTCTTCGATGCGGTTCAAAAAGTGTGCGACTTCATGATCACGAGCGAGGCGGTCCCGCAGCTAGATGGTAGAGTGAGGTGTTAGCACGGCGCGACGAGATGGGAGCACGAGCAGCAACTTACATTACGGGGCTCTTCGGCAACGCGATCGGCGACCGCCTGCTCCAGCCGCTCTAGATCCTCGTGGATGAATCGTTGCTCCTCGAAAAGCATGGTGGGCACAGGGACACGGTCGATAGTGACGCTGAGGAATGGCAGCGACGCCATGCAGGAGAGCTTTCTTTGCGGGCGGCGAGACGCGGTCACGTGCGCGGGCGGTGAGGGAGGCGGCGGTCGCAGCGAAAAGTCGCGCGGGCGATTCTTGAGCTGCAACTCGACGCACTCGAGCCTTTCCCTTTCCTTGCACCCCCACAGATCACACACCTGGTGTATTCAACATGGCGGACGGTATTGACAGACGCGCTGATGGTAGGACCCTTCACAATCCCCTCATTGCCCGAACGCCCGCATGCTGATCGCGCAACCAGACCGGATGGAGTTCAACACCTCGAAAGAGGTGACGGTTGCTCCCACCTTCGAGGACATGCACCTGAAGGAGAGCCTCCTCCGTGGTATCTACGCCTACGGCTACGAATCCCCGTCTGCGGTCCAGTCCCGTGCCATTGTCCAGATCTGCAAAGGTCGCGATACCATCGCCCAGGCGCAATCCGGTACCGGTAAGACCGCTACATTCTCGATCAGTATCCTTCAGGTCATCGACACGGTCGTTCGCGAGTCTCAAGGTATGTAAAGTAGGCTCCCCCTGTTAGTCTGAAGCTCACATATACTAGCGCTCGTCCTGTCTCCCACTCGCGAACTTGCAACCCAGATCCAGTCGGTCATCATGGCTCTCGGCGACTACATGAACGTTCAATGCCACGCGTGCATCGGAGGAACAAATATCGGCGAGGACATTCGGAAGCTCGACTACGGTCAACATGTGCTGTCGGGTACTCCTGGCCGTGTGGCCGATATGATCCGCAGACGTCATCTGCGCACCCGTCACATCAAGATGCTTGTTCTGGATGAAGCCGACGAGCTCCTCAACCGCGGATTCCGCGAACAGATTTACGACGTCTACCGCTACCTCCCCCCTGCCACGCAGGTCGTTGTCGTGTCCGCCACCCTCCCTTACGATGTCCTCGACATGACCACCAAGTTCATGACCGACCCCGTGCGTGTCCTGGTCAAGCGTGACGAATTGACTCTCGAAGGCATCAAGCAGTACTTCATCGCGGTCGAGAAGGAGGAATGGAAGTTCGATACCCTGTGCGATCTGTACGACACTTTGACGATTACCCAGGCCGTCATCTTCTGCAACACCCGTCGCAAGGTCGACTGGCTCACCGACAAGATGCGCGAGGCCAACTTCACCGTCTCCAGCATGCACGGAGAGATGCCCCAGAAGGAGCGTGACAGCATTATGCAGGACTTCCGCCAGGGTAACTCCCGTGTCCTTATTTCTACCGACGTCTGGGCCCGTGGTATCGACGTCCAGCAGGTGTCCCTGGTCATCAACTACGACCTGCCCACCAACCGTGAGAACTACATCCACCGTATCGGTCGAAGCGGTCGTTTCGGCCGTAAGGGTGTTGCCATCAACTTCGTCACCAGCGATGACGTGCGCATCCTCCGTGACATTGAACTGTACTACTCCACTCAGATCGACGAGATGCCGATGAACGGTGAGTTTTTTCTTCAAATTTCCCCTCTAGTCAAAGCAACAGCCGAACTAACGACATCAATAGTTGCCGACCTCCTGTCGTAAACACACCCACGCATACTTGATTAACTCTCGTCCATCTCGAAAAGTTACCTTGTGGACCATCTCCCTCGCACCTGGCCCCCGCAACACCTACACCAGGCCACCACCCACTCTTGTCACGAACCAGAACCAATACCACAAAATGGAAAGGAATGGAAAGCAATGGGGTTTTAAATACCCTCCAGTGTATGTGCATGTGCATCGGAGGCCAAGAAAATAAAAAACCGCGTGGAGGAAATGGGAAAATTACCAAATTGGTAAGCCCCCCCCCTTCCCCCCACATTCATATCCCCGGAGCGCAGTCTTATAAAATTGGCAACCAACACACAAACTGACGCCTTCCAAGTGATATCCTCATCCATCACCCATCATACAGACAGACAGACATACATACACACATACATATATCTCCGGCGCTTTCTGCAGCCTGTCTAGGATATCGATTGCGATCTGATCCTTTTTTTTTCTGCTTTCTTCGATCTTTTTCTGACTTACTGCCTGCTTACTACCTCCGGCGTTTCATTCCATTTGATCTGTTTGTTTGCTTGCCTTTTCGGAGCTATTTGCCGCTATATGCCATGCCATGCCATGCTACCTTAACGTTTGGAGTTATCTTGTGACGAAGTGAAAACTATCTCAATTCCAATTTATTTCAATCTAACTGGTCGATGTCAATGTCGAAATGAATGAGACTGTTTCTTTCGACTTCGGTTTCGGTTTCGATTCGGGTATATTGCTTGGGGCGGTTCTGATCCCTAGCCAGCCAGCCCTCTTCCCTTCCTCTTCCCATAGATAAGAACTACCGAGGTACACTGGGTAGGTAGGTATGTGGTAGATTTGGCGTTATATTTTCGAAGCAAGCACATACCTTACCTACCACATACCTAACCTACACACGGTATCTACTACAACCTACATCACCATTTATGTCACGTACACCCCACCAGCCACCCGTATTAAAAAAAAAAGAATAGGTTCAATTCAATTCAATGCTCCGGACCCGGATGCAGACAGAAAAATAGACAAACAGAACAATAGACAGACAGACAGATGAAAGGAAAGAAAAAGAGCAGGACAGACAGACAGATAGACTTTCTACCATCCGTATTCGTATTTTCCAACCTTTGCAACGAATAACAAAGAAAAGGGAAAAAAAAGGCGAACTGTACTTGCACTTGCACTTGCACTTGCACTTGCACTTGTACGTGTACGTGTACTTGGATGAACGAAACACAAAAAGCACCAAATCGGATCTCTCACTTCAGTCGTGGATTCCGTGGAAAGAGAGAGAGAAATGAAGCAAGTCATTCCGATGAGTATCAATCGGTGGGGGGTCTTTATATGGTGAACGCGGAGGCGGGATGGTGGCGATTGGGGGATGGGTGGATGTGCAGATGGGTGGATAGATACCTATGTAGGGCCTACCTGGTAGTAGTAGGAAGACGGTGCAGGGATACATAGACGGACGGACGGACGAACGGATGGATAGATAGATAGATAGGTGATTGGTGGATGGATGGATGCGCAAGAAGAAAAACGAAAGAAAGAAAAGCATATATTGATCTGTACCAAAACAGTGGGCGCCTGCAACCTTTATTAAATGGATCACTGATTTCTGGGCCAGAAAGAAATGCGTATATGCATGACAGTAAGTAGAGTGAGGAGATGGGAGAGGTGTAATCCATCTGTGATTGATACGATAATAGGTCTGAGGATGAGGATGAGGATGAGAATGAGGTGAAGATGAGGATGGAGGGTGGGAGGGAGGGAGTGAGTGAGTGAGTGCGTGGGTGGTAGGAGTAGTGGTATAGCTTAGCTTCCCAAGCTGAAGCTATAAAATGACAATAGTGAAGTGAACAACATATGATATCCTGTAACAATGGGGGGATGTTTATTAAAAACTTGATGTGGAGCGTAAGGCGCTGGTGCGGGCGAAGCCACTTGCGGAGACAGCCCGGTGTTTCCCGGCGGCAGCGCTGGGGCGGACATCACGCTCGCGGGTCCAACTGGGGATGGATCTATTAGCCGAGAAACAATGCAATCAATGCAATCAACGAGGGGAGTGAATGAATGGGTTGTAGCCTACATTCTAACCAAGCAGTCATCGCCTGCAGACGCGAACATCCCTGGATTTTGGGGGTTCCAGGACATCGAATTTACGCATCCTCGGACATGTCCTTCCAAGGCTTCGACCAGAGTGCCGGCTTCTTTATGGAAAATATAAACGCGAGAGTCTAGCGCATGGTTAGCAAGGGAAGTAAGCAGGAAGTATGGGAGATCACCTGCCTTCGCTTCCACTGACGATAAAGTTTTCTGCAGCGCCTCCGAAGACACTTCTAATGACAAAGTGGCCCTGCTTTTGTCCCGAAAAGCACCGGACAACATCTGTTGAATTGATGTCGACAAGCTGTATTTGCCCATCGGCCGAGTTGATCAGCATATGCCGCGAGTCTCGGCTGACTGCGACTGAGGTCGGCTTGCTTTTGAGAGCGAGACAGTACTCCTCCTCCCGGGTGACAAAGTTGTAGACGTGGACCTTTTGGTCAAGATCTGCCGCAATGAGTCGCCGGCCGTCGGGGGTGATAGCGCAGTCTTGAACGCGGAAGCCTTCTGGCCACATGTACATAGACTGCCCACGCATGCTCCAATGACACAGTTGCGAGCTGACATCGAGAGCGGCCGTGACGAAAGACTCGCCATCCGGCGCCCAGGCTGCCGCCGTCACTGGATGACGATGGTGATTGATGGTCAGAAGGCACCGGCCGGTCTTTGTCCACTGTCAGTACCAACACCGTCAGGGTCATGAGAAAGGGGATACTGTACCTCAACACTCCAAACACGGGCTGTCTTGTCCTGGGAGCAGGTTATGATTTTCGAGTCATCCGGGCTCCAACAACATTGTGCGACACCATCCTCGTGCCCCATCAGCTTTTGGAGGACGGCGAAATTGCTTGTGTCGTAGATGATCACACTCCGGTCTTTGCTCGCCGTCACCAATTTCGTGCCATCATTCGAAAACTGACACCACCAGACCTCATCCGAATGCTGGCTCAGCTCGATGCCTGCTCGCAAGGGAAAGTTCTTCCGATCGCACATGTGATCCGAATATAACGACGGAGGAGATGCCGTGTTGTGATACAAGCACTGGTTGATCTGATTTTGCTTGACACTGTCGAGTAAGATAGCGAGACGATTGTCCGGGATCATCACGGAAGGTGATATCGACCCTGCTGGGTGTTAAACGTGCGCTGTGGGGGCAGGCCTGGTTCACGCTGATTACTCACTTGACAGCTCCGACAAGAGTCGCTCCCGGGAGGAGCTAATGGGGCCATCCCAGCCAGCCTGGTCATGAAGATGCTCCGGAGGACACATAAGAAGACTAGCCACAGTCAGTGCGACGCGACTCAGGAGATTGTAGGGCACAACGGGGAGGCTCACCTTGACAAAGCATGCAAACGGGCGATGTCATAATTGAGGGGCGTCAACTCATGGCGAAGAACGATCAAAGCGGCCGCCAGATCCCGGGCTTCCAACAATTCGAGGAACTTTTGTTGCCGGAGGTAGAAGAGCATCTCGTTCTTCTCCGCATGTTCCACCAAGACCAGCTTCTCCTTGTTCGTCGTGGGGTCGCCGCTGCCGCCCGCCCGCCCGCCTCCGTCCGGGTAGAAGGACTGCACCAGGATATGCTCCGCCTCCGTCCATCGCCCCTCAAGCACCGCGTTCCTAAAAGTAGCAACGGCCGGGCTCTCCAGCTGATACCCGCTCTCTTTGCTCAACAGTGTCGCAGCCCCATCGTAGCCCAGCTCGTACAGGCTCTGGATCAGGATCCTCGTGACCTCTTCCCGATCGTGGCCATAGTATGAAGGAGGACTGAGCGATGCCTTTTGCGATCCGTTCGTGTGAGCGGCCCCGTTGGAAGCGACATAGGAGGCCTGGCCGTTCAGGGGGTGGGAGAAGCCCGCCTTCTGGGACGGCGACGCGGTCGAGCCGTTTAACGCATGAGAAGAACCATTTGTGCTGGAGATGCCATCGGGCCGCATATTTGCCAGGCGCCTGCGCTTGGGGAAAGGTTCGTGGCCCTCGGAGGGAGTGCGTGAAAGGAAGCCGCTTGGAGTCTGAGAACCGACCTCGCTTGCCGTGCGAACCTCCGCAAGACCTCCTGTCCCCTCGGTGGTTTGTTCGGGTGTCCCGGGTGAGCTGCTGCGGCGACGTCGACGGACAGACGAGAGAGATGGGTTTCTCGTATGAAACGCTGAGCTGTGTCGGTTGACGATCGAGCTTGGAAGGGAGGAGGGGGAGGAGGAGATGGCGCCCGTAGCGGAGGAGGCCTGCGGATGTGGGTGTGGATGTGGGTGTGGGTGTGGGTGTGGGTGTGACGGCGAGGGTTGAGGGGGATAGGAGGGTCGGGGAGGTCGGGAGCGGCGGAGGAGGGTATATAGGAGGGGGGATTGTCTGCCAGATCGAAGACTTGTAGATCTGCCCTTTCACCTGGCTCTGTAGAAGAACCAGGAGAGCAGACCTATATCAGTGGCGGGTCACTGATACTCGCCGAGACTGGGGGGCCCGTGATGGAGCTCTTGAGGGGATCGTAGCGCCGATCGATCTGTAGCTTTGGTGGTCTTGTGAGTCTGGATGGTATGTACTATTGCGAGAATCTGATGTGGGTGTGGGGGGTTGAGTTGGGTTGATGGGGGTGGAGGGGAATTTGTGCAATGGACGGGCGGAGGTCTTATCGGCCTGGGAAGGGCAAGTCCGGGGAAGGGCGGGCAGACCAGTGACATAAGACGGCACGAACCTGAGACGGCAGTAGGAGGAAGCTTCGGGATGTTGAAATCAGATCATAGAGTGGGTCGACAGAGGATGTAAGGCCGAGATGTCCAGGGGGGGAGGTGGATAGGGAGAAGCTGCCAGGAAGAGAAGTTGAGGTGAGGTTTGAAGCGCATCGGCGGCTGGTCTTACTGCGGGCGTGGTGGGCGTGGGGCCAAAGGTAAGTAAGTACGTTACTGAGTTACTGCGCGTAAGGACAATCAATACTTAATCACCATGTCGGCCAGTGCTCCGTTTCACCACGCTGGCCCAAGCCCTACTTGAGATCATTCTCCTGGCACGCTGATGTTCGGCATTTCCCTCTGGCTTATCCCTCCAGACGCGATGGGGGAAGTGTCGCAGCCTCCCACATGATGATGACGATGATACGGTATGACGATACTGGAAAAGTTATATACGTCGCTCTTCTCTCTTCTCCTCCTCCTCCTCATCCCCCTCCCACCCAGCCGATCTGATACCTGCGCATCGCATCACATCACCTGCTCCCCGACAGCTGACATGGGAACCCTGATATGACACCATCATCGAGGATTCAGATGAAGGGCCTGGCGGAACGATTGGCTGGAATGGCCCCCAGATCACCAGTGCAACAAACACAACATCACCTGCACGTCGGTTCGGGGCACATCCAACTGAGTTGTAGGGCCCTATCCTCTAGTTACCCTATAGCACTGCCGCCTATAATCCGCCCTTCTAAGCATCCCTTATCTGCGATACTCGGTTCCTATCGATTGTCTCCCCATCTCGCGCTGCCTTTAAAGCAGCACGGCTTGCCATGCAGCCCAATTGCGCCACGGCTGACTAGTACATGTACCCAACTGCCCACTGTGGAGGCTTGCCATTTGGTACCACTCGCAGGCGCTCGGGGCATGTGAATTGCTATCGGTTGACCTGGATGCATACTTCAGGTCCATGTCTGTGTTTGATGTTCTTTAATGACTGATTCATCGCTGAATTACTGCAGTATAGATCCCACGGTTCCATCTGCTCCTGCTTGAAACCCGGTGGTGTATACCAGATCAACCATCAGGACCAATATTCGCTGTCCCATCCACTACTACTATACCATCCTCAAGTCCGCCAGGACTAGACTGACTTAAACCCGCCACCCTCACTACTTAACTTCCTGCCAATCGACTCCATTGGAGGAAACGGCGAGTACCTGAGTCCCGAAAAGGTCAGTGCAAGACTTAACGTTCCGGCAAACGCCTAACGGTCTTCACCGCTGCTTCCGCGAACCGGGTCGGTTCATAACAGCGAGGATTTGGCCCTGGCCTCAGGCTGATTGATTCACGCCACCGAACTTCTTGCTGTCAAATCGGGTCTCGGGGGCATATTCGCCAAGCTTCAAGGGACTGGCTAGATAGAGATTTGCCATTTGAGTCTAGATGAGACAACCCTGCGATTAAGTCGTACTGTACCTTACTGAGTCACTCGGCATGGTGTTGACTCACGTTGACTCGCGTTGTTTAGACTGACTGAAGGGATGGTAGTAGGCTGGGAATCACAATGACCATCGACCTAATCTCCAGGTGTCCTGTTCTGATTTCATCCACAGTCCGATATTTCTTCTAACGCATCCCTGTGTGGCATACCTGGCTGGAGGAACCTCCCATCCAGGTTTGACATAACAGTCTCGGTGTCAGTCCTATCGAACACTAGAACGACATGGATTTTCTACAATAATGATTCCACTTAACCTCTTACTCCCTCGAAAATGTGGAATTCTGAAACTACGTACTTCACGCAAGAGAGACCCACCCAATATTTCGCTAATGTGTGCCTGCAAGAGGAAACCCCAAGAGGAAACCCCAAGAGGACACGCCCAAAGCACACCAGCTAAATAGATGCAAACCCACCTACCCAGACCAAACCACCACAACCACCCCCTCGCTCAGATCAACATAACCACAACCATAACCATACCCATACCATAACCAATCGATCCGGGACAGGCACGGCCATCACCTCAACAGCATAGGTCCGTCCGGATCTAGAGCCGATCCAGACAGGGATTCTTTAGCCTGCTATCTCCACAGTATCTTACGACCACTTAGACAAGAATGAAGTAGCTAGCTCAGTGGATAGTCTACACATCTCTAATTCATCAGACTATCTTATTAAATCATCATTACACAGTATAGTAACTCCCACTTGCCACCGACAAAGCCCATCTATTTCATACACCCACAGATCAAGGCCGAAACCAGTACAACTACCCCTACGTTTGGCCCAGGTACACAACAACCAGCCCCTATTAGTTCAAATGTTTTATAGTCCAGATACATGGAGAGTGAAGAGTGACAGTAAGGTCAGTTCGTAAGCAGTCATCCCTTCCCCCAACAGACCCAGACAAAATCCACCCCCAGTCCCAGTCCCAGTCCCAGTCCCAGCCAGAACAATGACATCACCACCACAACTGACCTCATGATGACACACCCCATCCCCCTCTCCTCCACATTCAATAATGAATAAACACCTGAGGGCGCAAGCAAGGCTATATATACCTTACCCTACCCCCTCATCACCTCATCCGCAAGGTTCTCACTTCATCAACCGCCGCCCAGAACATCCAAGCCTGAATCTTATTAGCTGGCGCATAGTTTTACCTCCTAAGCTATTTACCTACCTCCGACCTATCTTCATCTAAACCAACAACCAACCAACCAACAACACAACAACAACAAAAATGGGCTGTGACTGCGGGTCCGGAAGCTCATGCGGCTGCAGCGGTCCGCAGAGCTGTACTTGCGGGAGCGCGTGTACTTGTAAGGGGTGCGGGGTATGTATCCATCCATCCATCCATTCTTTCTTTTCTTTCCTTCCTGTTTGTCGGGTTCTTTGTTTGGTTTGTTGGTTGCGGGTTGGTGTTGGATGGGTTGCTGATGGGGGTATAGAAGTAAATCAGACCTTTCCTACGGGCTATTGATTTGAGATTTGAGGGAGGGAAGAGTGGGGGTGGATGGGGTGTTGTGTTGTTGTATTGAGTGGGATTGTCTGGGTTGGGTTGGGTTAGGTGATGATTAATGATTGATGATTGGTGATTGATGGTTGATGGGTCTAGGTGAGGGGTGATAGTGGGATGTAAATTGATTGTTTTATGGGGTATGTATGAATTGATGCTGTTTTGATTGTGTTTGAGCTAGATGGGTGAGGTGTCTGTAGGTTTGTAGAGTGTAACTTTTGGGGGAAGCTTGGTGGTCGATGATGGTACACTGCTAGATAAGTAGTATGCATCTCAGTCATGTCAATGGGCGGAGATGATCCGACTGACAGGTACCAAGCTGTGAATCATATTCGGGATGTAAATAAACATCAACACTGATGCATCGAATCTGGATGGAAATGAAACAGCTCATCCGAAAGCAACCCCTGTAGCCAACATGCGCAACGCAAACACGCCCCCGCTGAGCAGAGTCACCGCAGCAAAAACCGCCGCCACAAGACCCATCTTCGCTAAGGCTTCAATGCCATACGGCGCTGGCTTCGAAACCCTGCGCTTCCCCAGCCGCGTGGTCCGCGTGTAGAACGGGACGTACTTGAACTCGAAGAACGTCTCGCCGCCGAGACCGTCTCGGCCGGTGATTATGGTGTAGTAGACTCGGCGGCGGAACTGGACAAGTTAGCAGACAGACAGGGGTGCTGGTATGGACAGCATACATCGATGAAGGTCTGATCGAGCTTCGGGATCAGTCGAGGTCCGTAGGCCAGTCCCATGACGACAAAGCAGTACCCGTATATCAACGCCTGGTAGTACATGTTGGTTCGGGGGATGTTGAGTCGGTCCGCGAGCTTTCCCCCGTTCAGGTGTCGAGCCATGGCCTCCATGAATTCCTTGGATGCGTATGCGGGGGCGGTGTTCTCGAGACCCAGGATGATGTTCTGGGCCAGTATCTTGCCGACATCTGTCGGATCGATTTCCGATACAAGTAACGACTCCATTATGGCGCGTCCGGTTGGTTGGCTTGCGAAGGGCTCAGTCGGGGTCCCCATGTAATGGGCTACTAACCTCCACAGGGCAAGAAAGTCGCTAACTTCCTGCTCTCGAAGCCAGATACCCTGGCGGGGAAGACCCATCCAGATTACGCTGGTGCAGAATGTGTTGATGGTTGCGATGCAGTCGAGATCGTTGATGGGGATGCCATATTTATCCACGTCGTAGTATTCCGGTCGTAGCTTGACCAGGCTCAGTATCCTCGCGCGCACAGACGCATGTAGCAAGCGCACACGGATAGAGGAGATCTGCCCGACACCACCGGGCTTCATCGCATCCAGGGACTCAGATACCTGCAGGACATGCTGAAGGGTTTCGAGCAGCCTGCGTCGGACGACATCGGCTGAAAAGCCGCCAGTTCGAGCCAGGGTTTCGACCACGCGTGCGGAGCCCCTTTATGCATCAGTTAAAGAGACGGGATATTAATGGAAATACTCACATGCCACCCAGGAGACTTTCAAAATTAAGCTAGCCCTCTCAGTTTATCATTTCTTGGTCAAGTTCCGACAGACTTACCACGTTCAGGATCGGAAGCCCATACCGAAAGAACACCTCTTGGCCCCGTTTGATCTGCTGCCAGTCAACCCATTGCGGGACCGTGTTGACCTGCGCCCAGAGCTCACCGAGTTTCGGGTCATCGTGTGCGTGGGCCTTCAGTAAGGCGAACAAGTCCCGTTTGGGCGCTTTGGGGTCAGGATGGCCTTTCTGCGCGTCACTTACATTTGTTGGCGGGGCAAGAGCTTCGAGTCGTTCGAGACACTCGTCTGCCAGTTTATCGTAGGTGAACATCATAGGTCGCAGCTGTTCTCCGGTCTGATGGAGATCCGTCCATTCAAACGTATAGTCCCAGTAGCTGCGGATGTTCGACGACATCTTGCATACGGCTCTGGTCCTTCAGAATGATCTTTCAGAAACATATATGAGATGCAAGAACTGCCGCATGTATTCCTGTATCGTTTTCACGCTTGTATATATGAAGTTACCTCCATCCTCGACCCTTGACCATGCGAGCGCAAAGCCATAACGGCTCACAGAGGCTCGTGATGAGCCAGTCCCGGATAGGCAACGAGCCGTTGGGAGTCCATGGATCGAGCAGTCTGGGGCATGTGAAGGATGGCAGGCAAGTCAACGGTCGAAGGGAGGTTGGCGTGCGGGGTGATCCATGCACCAAACTTGAAGGGTAGTATATCCTGGGGTCTGGCAGATGGACACATAAGGGTTCTTCTACCAATGAAGACACCCGGACAGGGAATGTGAGAGAGGCTTTGTTCCCCAGGTGCAACTGGGTTGTTCCCAGCAACGACCACTGGTACGAGAGTAGGAACAGTTTTGAAATGATACTGATTGGATTAGTGGCTACAATGATATATAAGTGAGGTATATCTTGGAGGTGGACAACGACCGTGTGCGGAAGTGGTGCAGAGTCGAGGACAGAGTACTGAGTACAGTAAGAGTGAGATGTCAGAAGGAAGTAATAATTCCTCCACTTTCCTAATTCGATCGTCGCCTTAGTCCATGCCATCGCAACCTCAGGCCGCCCCGGGTCGCAACACGGCTGAGTCAACACGCAACAACAGCGCAAGGACCACAACATCGCCAACTGACCGGAAAGAAACCCCTGGACAGGCTGCAGGATTGACGAGTTTCGAGAATCGGATTCTATTTAGTATGCTGCCCTAATCGAATGCTCGGACTAGGCGTGCGACGACTCAAGGCGCGGCCCTCGCTGCTGGACCTGATAGTAGCGAGCCAGACACAGCCAGGGGACGACGGCTCGAGGTCGTCATCACCGCCTGGACTGCCGCCGCCGCCGCCGCACCTCCACCACCACCACCACCTCCTCCACCTGCCACCGCTCCCCGTCTCGCCCACCTCATCATCCTGCAGCAACAGCGCCTCCTCTCCTCTCTCGCCCGCTTCATCCACGCCTGCCATCCCCCTCCCCCTCCCACCCACCATGGCTCCCTCCGCTGATGCTGGCGATGCCCAGCACGGCGCCGTCTTCTCCGTCTCCGGTCCCGTCGTCGTGGCCGAGCACATGATCGGCTGTGCCATGTACGAGTTGGTATGCTCCCCCCCATCATTGCCCTGTTGAGCTCTGGAGGTGCACTTTTTCGTCCGGAGGTCGAGAATCCGTATCGCTAATCCCGACATCAACCATAGTGCCGTGTCGGCCACGATCAGTTGGTCGGAGAAGTCATTCGCATCGATGGCGATAAGGCCACCATTCAGGTCTACGAGGAGACAGGTATCCCACCACCTCCGCCCCGCCAACCTCCGAACCCAATGTCTAACCGCTCTCCCTTCCAGCTGGTTTGACGGTCGGCGACCCCGTCCTGCGCACCGGAAAGCCCCTGTCAGTCGAGCTGGGCCCCGGTCTGATGGAGACAATCTACGACGGTATCCAGCGGCCCCTGAAGGCCATCTCCGACCAGTCGAAGGGCATCTACATTCCCCGTGGTATCGCTGTCAACGCGCTGGATCGCGAGAGGAAATGGGACTTCAAGCCGGGCAAGTACAAGGTCGGCGATCACATTACCGGTGGTGATATCTGGGGTACCGTTTTCGAGAACAGCCTGGTCAACGACCACAAGATCTTGCTCCCTCCCCGCGCCAGAGGTACCATCACCCGCATAGCCGAGGCCGGCAGCTACACAGTCGAGGAGAAGCTGTTGGAGATCGAGTTCAACGGCGTCAAGTCGGAGCATGGGATGATGCACACCTGGCCCGTCCGTGTGCCCCGACCGGTCAACGAGAAGCTGCCGTCCGATGCGCCCTTCATCGTCGGCCAGCGTGTGCTGGACTCCCTCTTCCCCAGTGTGCAGGGTGGTACCGTCTGCATCCCCGGTGCCTTCGGGTGCGGCAAGACTGTCATTTCCCAGAGTGTGTCCAAGTTCTCCAACAGTGATATCATCGTCTACGTCGGCTGTGGTGAGCGCGGTAACGAGATGGCTGAAGTCCTGATGGACTTCCCCGAGGTGGGTGAACACGCCGCATACCCCGCAGACCAATACTGACGAGCGATCTCGGTAGCTTTCCATTGACATCGACGGTCGCAAAGAGCCCATCATGAAGCGTACCTGCCTGATCGCCAACACCTCCAACATGCCCGTCGCCGCCCGTGAAGCCTCCATCTACACCGGTATTACGATCGCCGAATACTTCCGTGACCAGGGTAAGAACGTGGCGATGATGGCGGACTCCAGTTCTCGCTGGGCCGAGGCTCTGCGTGAAATTTCGGGTCGTCTGGGAGAGATGCCTGCCGATCAGGGTTTCCCCGCCTACCTGGGTGCCAAGCTGGCCTCCTTCTACGAGCGTGCGGGCAAGAGTATCGCTCTGGGCAGCCCCGAGCGCAACGGCAGTGTCAGTATCGTCGGTGCGGTCAGCCCTCCGGGTGGTGACTTCTCGGATCCCGTCACCAGCAGTACCCTGGGTATCGTGCAGGTGTTCTGGGGTCTGGACAAGAAGCTGGCCCAGCGGAAGCACTTCCCGTCGATCAACACCTCCATCTCGTACAGCAAGTACACGACGATCCTGGACCGCTACTACGAGAAGCACCACCCCGAGTTCCCCCGCCTGCGCGACCACATCCGTGAGCTCCTGACCAAGTCGGAGGACCTGGACCAGGTCGTGCAGCTGGTCGGCAAGGCGGCCCTGGGTGACTCGGACAAGATCACCCTGGACGTGGCGGCGATGCTGAAGGACGACTTCCTGCAGCAGAACGGATACAGTGACTACGACCAGTTCTGCCCTCTGTGGAAGACCGAGTACATGATGAAGGCGTTCATGGGCTACCACGACGAGGCGCAGAAGGCGATCGCCCAGGGGCAGAACTGGACCAAGGTCCGCGAGGCCACCCAGGACCTCCAGACCTCGCTGCGTGGCATGAAGTTCGAGGTACCGGACAACGAGGCGGCAGTTTCCGAGAAGGTAAGCCTGGCGCCCCGCCGTTGATCTTCGAGCTAGCTCGCTAACCCTTTCACAGTACGAAAAGATCCTCCAGACCATGTCGGAGCGCTTTGCTTCGGTGTCGGATGAGTAGAGGAGGACCTAGTCACCGGGTACCCGAAGGTCGTGCTGTCTATTTTATATCCCGAGCTTGTAGCATAGCCAATTCCCAGTATATGTAGTTATTGCAGTTGCCTTGAAGAATTCCAGAAGATTCCGCTGTTGTGTTCAGAGCATTGAGTCAGTCGGCCAGTCAGTCAGTCAGGCAGCATCATTCGGCAGGCCGAGTGTCTGGCCGGGCTTTGGGTGGCCAATCCACATGACGCGGCCTGGTGGTGGGACTGTAAGGATCCCAAGGTTGGGGTTTGGGTACCTCTCTGTCTGTCTGGTAGCGGGATGAACTGTAGCAATCCATTGGGGGGGTCGTATAGGAAGGTAGGAGGTACTGGGTACTGGGCAACCGGAGGAGGGCGCAGGGCGCAGCGGAGGCAAGCCGGGGAGAGGAGAGCCTCTCTACTTATCTGTCTGGGCCGAAGCGAAACTCTCCACTTGGCACTTCCCGCCTTCGTCTCTTCCCTTTCATTCCTCCCCCCCCCCCCCCCAAAACAACAACTTCCCCCCCACAACTCCCTCTATTAACCCCCCCAAGTCTCTCACAATCGCTCAACCGTCGCTGCGTATCCCCCCGTTCGCGTCGTTCTATACTTTCTCCCCCTGTTAACTTGGAGCGATCGTTCCCTGTTCTCCGTTGCCAGCCATGGCAAGCCCGACTGGCTTCTCGTGCGCCCCCCCCCCCTGGCCCTCGTGCTTGCGTATGGCGTATACCTCCGATTCGCCTGACTAACCTCATCGTGCCCGCAGGATCAACGTCAACGATCCCAGCTTGATCTCGCTGGTCAACAAGCTGCAGGATGTCTTTGCGACAGTCGGGGTGAGTGAGCTGGTCTCGTGGAGCTTCCTGCAACCCCCGCCGCCGACACCGACTGACACCGACTGACACCGCCTGTTCGCCTTAGGTCCAAAACCCCATCGATCTGCCCCAAATCGCCGTCGTCGGCTCGCAATCCAGCGGAAAGAGTTCCGTTCTAGAGAACATCGTCGGTCGGGATTTGTAAGTGCTCCTGTCGTCGCCGTCGGGCACCTCGTCGCCGCGGACTAACCGGCCTCTTATCGCTGCCTAGCCTCCCCCGTGGTTCTGGAATTGTCACTCGGAGACCCCTCGTCCTGCAACTCATCAACAAGCCCGCTGGTTCGCAAACAAACGGTGTGAAGGAGGAGCAGCCCCTGGAGACGACGGATAAGGAGGCGAACTTGGATGAGTACGGCGAGTTCCTGCACATTCCCGGCCAGAAGTTCCACGATTTCAACAAGATCCGCGAGGAGATCGTGCGCGAAACCGAGTCCAAGGTCGGCCGCAATGCCGGTATCTCGCCCGCCCCCATCAACCTCCGCATCTACTCGCCCAATGTCTTGACCCTCACGCTGGTCGACCTGCCCGGTCTGACCAAGGTCCCCGTGGGTGACCAGCCCAAGGACATCGAGCGTCAGATCCGCGACATGGTCATGAAGTACATCAGCAAGCCCAATGCGATCATCCTGGCCGTCACCTCTGCCAACCAGGATCTGGCCAACTCCGACGGGTTGAAGCTGGCGCGCGAGGTCGACCCCGAGGGTCAGCGCACGATCGGTGTGCTGACCAAGGTGGATCTGATGGACGAGGGTACCGACGTGGTGGATATTCTTGCGGGCAGGATTATCCCCCTGCGACTGGGTTACGTGCCGGTCGTCAACCGCGGTCAGCGCGATATCGAGAACAAGCGGCCCATCGCGTATGCCTTGGAGCACGAGAAGAACTTCTTCGAGGGCCACAAGGCCTACCGGAACAAGGCGTCGTACTGCGGAACCCCGTATCTCGCCCGGAAGTTGAACTTGGTGCGTATACCGCTGAGGTATGGGGGGGGGGGCGCTGCTAACCTCTTGTGTTTAGATCCTCATGATGCACATCAAGCAAACCCTCCCGGACATCAAGGCGCGCATCTCCTCCTCCCTCCAGAAGTACTCGTCGGAACTCGGACAGCTTGGCGACTCGATGCTCGGAAACAGTGCCAACATTATCTTGAATATCATCACAGAGTTCAGCAACGAGTACCGCACGGTACTTGAGGGAAACAACACGGAGCTGTCCAGTATCGAGCTGTCCGGTGGTGCTCGTATCAGCTTTGTCTTCCACGAGCTCTACTCCAATGGTATCAAGGCGGTGGACCCGTTCGACCAGGTGAAGGATATCGACATCAGAACCATTTTGTACAACTCCTCTGGATCGTCACCGGCGCTGTTCGTGGGCACGACGGCCTTCGAGCTGATCGTCAAGCAGCAGATCAAGCGCCTGGAAGACCCCAGCACGAAATGTATCTCGCTGGTCTACGACGAACTGGTGCGCATCCTGGGCCAGCTCCTGAACAAGCAGCTGTTCCGCCGGTACCCGATGCTGAAGGAGAAGTTCCACGGCGTCGTGATTGGGTTCTTCAAGAAGTGCATGGAGCCGACCAACAAGCTCGTGCGTGATCTGATCTCGATGGAGGCGTGCTACATCAACACTGGTCACCCCGATTTCCTGAACGGACACCGCGTAAGTTTATCCCCGGGATAGTACGGCACTGCGGTATTGACTGACTAAACAGGCCATGACCATTGTCAACGACCGTCAATCTGCCAGCAAGCCTACGCAGGTGGACCCGAAGACGGGCAAGCCTCTGCCCCCCCGGGCCAACAGCCCGTCGGTGGAGATCGCGACCTCGGGCGACAGCAGCGGAGGATTCTTCGGTAGTTTCTGGGCGTCGAAGAACAAGAAGAAGATGGCCGCCATGGAGCCCCCGCCGCCGACCCTGAAGGCGTCCGCGTCGCTGTCGGAGCGGGAGAGCACGGAAGTCGAGGTGATCAGTAAGTGCGACGCTACGAGCACGGAGACCAATACTAATTCAAGCAGAGCTTCTGATTACGTCGTACTTCAACATCGTCAAGCGGACGATGATCGACATGGTCCCGAAGGCCATCATGTACACCCTGGTGCAGTACGTATCCCGGCGCTTTTTGTCTGCCATACCATACTAACACAACACCCCCTCAGATTCACCAAGGACGAGATGCAGCGCGAGCTCCTCGAGATGATGTACCGCAACAGCGAGCTGGACGACCTGCTGAAGGAGAGCGACTACACGATCCGCCGACGGAAAGAGTGCCAGCAGATGGTGGAGAGCCTGTCGCGGGCCAGCGAGATCGTGGCGCAGGTGCAGTAGTGCGCGTCGGAGACCCGAGGTGGGATTGGGATGGGATAGTTTTGATTGATCTATACATCGGTTGTTCCCTTGTGTCTGTTCCGCTTTGCACTGGTAGCCAGTTTTCTTTTGGGGGGTTGTCTGCGGAGGAGTTTATGCCTGATGTTTATATTTCTTCTGATGCACGCCGCTGACGAGATGACTGACGCATGGCATGGCATGACATGGTGGATGATGGTGGGATGGAATGGATGGGGCGGGGTGCCAAGATTTCACGAATTTGTATCGCCTAATGATTGTGGATGATTGACCTTTCTTTACTTAGAATTCAGTGTTGTTTGTTGTATACTTAGGTTGAGGATGAATGGCAGTAGATTATTGGTTATGTTATCTGTGTGAGTAGTGTCGTGTTATGTCTGATGGTAAGTAGCACCTCACTTGGATGGTTTACTATCTACAATAACTATAGAAAGTAGACCCATCAATAGTTAGCAGATCTCAAATCCAGATAGATCCCTCACTATGTACGGAGTAGATAGAGAATCAGCCTCAGGCGCCTAGGCAGTCAGTCAACTCACCCACCCTCACGTGCTGCCCCCACACTAACCCGCATCCGTCCCTAGCGCCAGATAACCAAGTGGATCCCCACGCCGATAATCTGCATTAGCGCGATCACCACAGCCAATAAGACCGCATCACAGATCTCAACCTCCGGATGGAGCTGTATAGGACTGTCTGTATACTGGCATGCAACAGAACACCACATAACCAAGACTCTCTTTTTTGCTTGGCTTGCTTTACTGGCTTTTCTGGGGTAGGTGGGTAGAGTGGCATGATATTGAATTCAATGTGAAGTAGTGAATGAAGTTAGAGGAGGGAGGAGGTAGTAGGTAGTAGGCAATAGGGAAGGGGGTACAGGTAGATAGGTAGGTAGGTAGGTAGGTCTTGATCTCTCTTCCTCTTCTTCTCTTCTCCTCTCTCTCTCGGGACCACCTTGTCGTACTGATCTTAGTTTTCCGTTTTTGAATCCCCTTGAAACTTCAAGCAAAGCAAGCATATACCTCTCTTCCTCTCTCGATATAATCATCAAATAGTAAGTATAGTCCCTTTTGTGTGACCTCGTGAGAGGATCTGCAGGGGTGGGGGATCAATTTGGCTTCATTTGTTTTCTGTGTCTTTTTTCTTTGATTTGCTGGTATTTTCCTGTCGAGACGCTCGCTGTCCGGGACCCCGAAGAGATCCCCTCAAAGCACAGACCCCCCCCTCACTCAGATTGAGCTTCAGATTCTGTCTCCCTTCTCTCTACTTTTTCCCATTGAAAGAACATGTCAATCACCCCTCAAAGCACCCTTCAAATCTCTCAGTTCTCCGCGCTCCAACCACTCAAACATCCTCAACCTCTCAGCCCTCACCTCGACCAAACACCCAAAGCTAACCTCTCACAGTGTGCTACACCATCACCGAAGCCGAATCGTGGGGGGCGTGCAACGCCCAGCCCAACCACCTCACGTTCACCACCAAGATATGGCAGTGCTGGCGAAAGCTCCCCGTTCTCTTCGCCTCCACCCCCGCCCACACCACCCTCTCCGCCACCCCGGCCGGGGAGATCCGCCTCTGGGGGCACTGGGAGACTTGCCCCCCGGAGGAGTGGGTCTCCCTGGCGGACTGGGGGGTTATGCGGCGCCCGTTTCGCCCTTGTCCGATCTGCGAGATCGGGGGTGATGGGTGCTATCAGGAAGTGAGTTGATCTCTTTCTTTTCTCTTCTCTCTCTTTCTCTTCTCTCTCTCTCTTCTCTCTCTCTCCTCTCTCTCTCTCTTCTCTTCTCTCTCTCTCTCTCTCTCCTCTCTCTCTCTCCCTCTCTATCTCCTCTCTCTCTCTCTCAATCAACTCAAAGCCATCTCACCACCTACTTGTCCGCTGAGAGAAAGCACCCTCAACTAACAAACCCGTCTAAACACAGATACTCCGAGACAGAGAGCCGGCTGTCCAGTGGCTGATCGACAGCCTGGGAGACCCCGCCGAACATGACTGCAAGTTCGTGATCGACTACCGCTGGCGCTTCTGAGCGTAGGGCGGGGTCTCCCGGGTGTGGTCGAGTCGTCATTCTCGTCTCGTCGGGGTTGGGCGCTTGGGTGCTTGGGTCGTTGGTTTTTTTTTCGGGTTTCTGCGCTTTTGCGCTCGATGTGGCGTTTGAGTTGGGTTTGGGGGAGGAGAGGAGAGGGGAGGGGGTTGCTTTTTTTTTTTTTTTTTTTTTTTTTGATACCTTACCCGGCGTTGATGGCCGAATTGAATGGTTGGCTGGTTGGCTGGTTGTTCTCTCGGGGTTGGTGTTGCTTTGGTTGGATTCCGTAGATGGTGGATGGTAGATCTTATGTATGTAGGGTTCAGTAGGATAGAATGGGTTGGATGGGAGGGAGGGATGGAGGGAGGCAGAAAGGGCTGGTAGAGTAGAGTAGAGTAGGAATCAGCCTCATCTTCAGGTTTAATTCCTCTCATCTATCGATCACATCAACTCCATCTCAACTGACAATTCATCTTATAATTCACAAGAAACCTCTCAGACATACCTCACTCCCCCTTCTCCTTCTATTTCTCCTTTCAGGCTTGACTTTTCCCCCCTCTGATGCCGATAACTATAATACCACCCCTCTCTCAACAAATCCTCCCTGACCTTATAATTCTCCTCCGCGACCCTCACCACCCCCAAATCCATATCCACGACCAACACGCCCTCCTCACTGCCCATCACGCCCACCGTGCCCACAATGGGGAGACACACGCGCGAGAGGCCCAGGAAGCGATCGCTGGTCTCATCTCCCCGCGCCACGTTCGCGAAGACGATCCCGCAGGTATTCTCGAAGCAGCGGGCCGTGAGCGTCGACTCGAGGAAGAGGGATTCCGAGCTGGGGTTGTGTGTGAGGGCGGTGGGGGAGGCGTCATATTTGCTCCCTGTTTATATTAGTTGTCTGTTTAAGGGATTGAAATAGAGAGGAAGAAGAAGAAGGAGGAGGAGGAGGAGGAGAAGGAGGAAGGGGATAGAGGGCTGGGTTACTCACAATAAGTCGGCACAACCACCACCTCGACCCCCTGCACCAGCAACTCGCGGAACGCCTCGGGGAAGGCTAGATCCCAGCAGATCAGCAACCCGACCCGTCCGATCGGGGTATCGAAGACCTCGTGCGGTTCTTCCCCGGATGAGGTGAGGAAGGCCCGTTCCGGGTGCCAGATGTTCTTTTTGCGGTAGCGGCCGAGGATGGACCCGTCGGTGGAGATGAAGTAGGCTGTGTTGTAGAGGTGGGGGGATTGTATTCCTGCTTCCGATCCTCCTCCTCTGTGAGCTGAAGGTGAGGGCTGGCTCTCAATAATCGTCCCGGGCACGATGCAGATATGCAGCGCGCGAGCGAGGTCTTGGTACGCCTTGAGGTAGCGGGTCGTGGTGGAGGGGTGGGCGAGGGTCGTCCAGAGGGGGTCAGAGGGGGACCAGCCGGTGAGGTGGTATCTAGAGGTATATGATTATTATTATATATTGGAAGTGATGCTGAGGGGTGGTGATTTGGGTTGAAGGGCGTACTCAGGCAGAACGGCAAGTTCGGCGCCTTGCTCAGCGGCGGTACGGATGTGGGCGCATGCTGTTTGGTGGTTTTCTTCGATGGCGAGGTCCTGGTTGGGTGGTGGTTAGTGGTGATCCAGGACCAAGTGAGGGGGTGGAGGGACGCACTTGGATGTTCCATTGGATGACGGCGACGCGGCGGACGGGGGCCATGATGGGTGGTTGATAGATTGATGGATTGTATAAGGGGTGGAGGGTAGAGAGAGATATATATATATATATCTGATGTGAAGGAGAGTTGGGAAGTTGGAGAAAGAGAGAAAGAGAGAGATGAAAGTGGGGCAAAAAGTCCCCGCATTTTGTTGGAGTCGCTTCGATAGCACTGATAAGCAAGCTGGTGCTATCAGATGATGACTAGAGGCGAACAATAAAAAAAAGAAACAGTCATAGTATATTTGCTTTAAAAATACAGACATTAATCAATCCCCAACAACACTCAACATCCAGAACCCCCCCCATGCACATTACACACCTTCCCCCCCCAGCCCTCCACACCCCAAGACCCGTCACCTTCCCATCCGCCAAATGACACGACCCTACCAGATGACTCGCGCGGACTTTGCCCCGATGATCAACCACCTCAACCACAGGCTGCTTGACCAGCGGCTGAACCACATACACCGTCCGCCCAGACACGAGCTTGGCATCGCGCAGACCACCCAACAAGGCCTCCCACTGTGTCGGCGACAGCGCCTGCCCCAATAAAATACCATCGCCCCGACCGCTGCGAACCGGCTTGATGATGTAGGAATCTTGGATCGGCGCGAGCTTCTTGGTCTGCTCGATCAGCTGCTCGAGCTCCAGCGAGCCCGGGTTGATGGTCGGGATGATCCCTTGTCGGAGCATCTCGGCTTGCTCCGCCGTGAGGACGCGGTGTTTGAGGACCAGGCTGTCGAGTTCTTGGAGTAGCAAGCCCAGGATCCTTTTGTCGTGGATCAGCAGAATGCTTCGCATGTCGTTTACACCGCACAGGGCCAGATGGCGGAGGACTTCGGCCGGGATGAGGCGCAGTTCGTGCTGGTAGAGGTGGATGGCCGTCTGGTGGATCCGGTCGAGAGGCTCGCCGTCCTTGGTGAGCAGATCGGGATGGTCCCGGGTCGATTGGCAGTAGAGGGAATAGCCCGTTCGCGAGGCAGGGTCTTTGAGCAGTCGGAGATCGGACGGCTTGATTATCGTGGGTCGCGATCCGGTGTTTTGGTGCGCACATGAAACGAACAGTTCGGTGAATGGGGTGCGGTATTGCTCGTTTACGATGTGTAGGGGGTATTGGGGGTCGAAGAGGTTCAGTTGATCTTCAACAAACTATGCAGGTTAGAAGCATCGGAGATGTGATTGGTGCCACGCGTACCTGCTTTGCATCGCCTCCTGTGCGTAGACAGCCCCTCTCTGCAGCCATGGCATCGTATACCTCATAGCCATATGCTGCCAGAAGTTGCGCATTGATGGAGTATCGCGCATTGATCTCGCAGATCCGCACCGCTCGGGGCCATTCCGTGGACAGCAGGAGATCCGTTCGCCAATGTCCGCGGCACTCCTTGAACGGTCTGATGTTCTTTTCCAGGGTCTGCTCATGCACCCACTACACCCGGTCAGCATATATGTGCAAGCCACTTGCTGCTGGAATCACACACATATAGAAGCTCCTCCTCGTGGGGTTCCAATGGCATCCGACACGGAAAAGCCGCCTCTTCATCGGTCCACCATCTCTCGACAATATCGGTCAGTCCGATGACAAGCGCTTCATGGAGTTTGGCAACGTCCCGGGGAAACCGGTCGGGAACGAGCAATGGGTTCGGGGAGTTGTTGTTGATGTTCCCGAGACACCCGTTCGTTAGGCTCTTGAAATGAGAGCGGAAGGTCTCTCTCTGCTGGAGTTGGATGTCTTTCTGCACTGCCTTTGGGGATATCGGATTCGCAGGGCTGCTTGTCGAAGCCAGGCAGATCTGCTGGATGTTGGAGTCGAAGACCATGGTCATGGTGGGTTGGCTGTGGGTGGAGGTGATACCTGTGCTGGTCTGTGGTCTGTGGTCTTCTCAATACTCCGGTTTTCGACTGACTGACTTCATCTGTGTGTGTATATATGTGTGTGTGTGTGCCAACGGGATAGAATCATACTGTTGGCGGGGCTGTGTTGTGCTGGTGTTACTGTTACTGTTACCACCTGCAGTGACGGCCTCTGCAACCCCCTCTCAGTCCCTCCTCCTCTTTATCCTGGCTACTCCACGGCCATAGGTACCGCATATAGGCTGGTTCAGTGAGTAGTACATGGATAATGCTAGGACATTTCGCAAAGTTGCAAGGGCAGATTTAAGATACTCGGCGAAATTCAGCACAACAGCATCCACTGGCACATGTCAACTGGCCAAATTCATCTGGTGCATCTGGTGCCAGGATGAGTATACTGTCTCTGTTTCTTAAACCCCTAGGACATCTTCCTCCATGTGGGGTCTCATGTAGAATCAAGAGTGCAGGATACTAGGCTGAGGCCTGTCATCGAACGTTTCTGAAACAGGAAACAAGATCAATGCTGATCAGAGTGGTCTGTTTAGCCTAGCCTTCTGGTTAAAAGTCAAGTTTAGACCCGCGTGAATCCAGCGATCAGCGAGCTGACACACAGGCAACTCAGATAGTGTATATTGTGGACGGACTGTATATTCCGCTTTGCGTCATTCCTCGTCACCATCAATGATTTTCTATACCCACGCTGACGCCATACCTGTTCCATTTAATTTGCCAGCACTTCCTCCATCCTAGAATCAGCGCAATACGCCCTTTTCTTCATCCTTTACCGAAGCTACAACCCAACCATGACGTTCGATCCGAGCATTTCCCTGACTCTGCAGCTTCTCCGCGAGGACCTCGAGGGCCTCGAGAATCAACAGAAAGGGAAGCAGGTAGCAGGCTGTCACACCGATCTGGAAGTTGCTATCCAGTGCATGCGAGAAGATATAATCGCCACGCAGACGTCCATCGAGGACGGGAAATTGGCCATCAGCACGAGTAGCGCTGTTGCCAGCGATCAGAATGTGCTCGCGGCTATCAAACAGGATGAAGATCTCGCGGAGCAGGATCGTCGATATGCCCTTGCTCTTGGTCTCGGGGATGAAGAGCAGACCGGCACTATCACCCATGATGATGATGATGATGAGGATGATCATGTCCCGGAGCTTCGTGATATTGATTCCGTACCGAAAGTCCAGAACGACGATGCGGTGTCCGTTGTCATGAGCGATTTGATGAGTCGAGTAACTATATCCGATGAGTCCGCGTCAAACGGCGAAGGCTCATCGCGAGCGATGATCTCATCTCAGTCCCAAATATCCGATATTCAAAAGGAATGCGTCTCGTGTCTCGAGAGAGTCCACACGATCATGTTCCGAGGAAGATGCGGCCACGAGTTCTGTCGCGATTGTGTGAGACAGATGTTTCTCGGGGCGACCAAGGACGAAGAGCTGTATCCGCCTCGGTGTTGCGGTGCGGTGGTGCCGCCCGGTGTTGCTTTACGGGTTCTGCACTATGACGAGCTGCGGGCTTTCAGCGAACGGGCGATGGAATGGACCGCCAAAGACCGCCTATACTGCGCGGACCCGACGTGTTCGAGATTTATCCCACCGTTTTCGATTGAAGATGAGCTGGGGACTTGTGAGAGCTGTAAGCAGCAGACGCATTTGACGTGTCGTTCCCTGGCACATCCCGGCATTGACTGCCCGATGGACGAGGCGCTTCACACCGTGTTGGAAATGGCGGACAGTGAGAACTGGAGAAGATGCTTTCATTGCCAGACGATGGTGGAGCTGCAGCATGGCTGTAACCATATTACTTGTCGGTGAGTGGGGATTGCTGTTACTATTGTTAAGAATCAAGAACATGAAAGGACACGCACTGATGATTCCGACGTACCTAGTTGTGGACGAGAATTCTGTTACATCTGCGGGCGAGTTTGGAGAACATGCGATTGCCCACTTTGGCACGAGAACCGGCTTATAGATATGGCCAACCAGGGTGTCGATGAGGAGCTTCCTCCCAACGCTAATGTCATAGACCGCCAGAATGTATTCGACCGCATAGTCGAGAACCTCTTACAACATGAAGACGTGGGATGTGAGCATCATAGGAACTCGCAATGGGCCTGGCGTAATCGGGGAAGCTTGGAGTGCGAGGTATGCAATCACGATATGCCGGAGTATATATTCATGTGCAGGAATTGTCGCATGAGGGCCTGTAACCGGTGTCGCAGACACAGGTTAAGGTAGTAGGTGGCAGGGTTGGAGGCCTTTGCAGTTGCCATGTATGGTGTGGCAACAGAGCATGATTCTATCTCTACAATCGTCTGTTCCGGTTCCTGTTCCTGTTTTCTAGTCTTGGTGATTCTGATCTGCAGCACCCAAAAGCAACATTAGAAACAGAATTATACAATAATTGTTCTTCCTGATGTTCCTTTTTTTTTTTTTTTTTTTTTTTTTTTTTTTTCCCAATTAGAGGTACCAACAGTTTGAGAACAAGACCACGCAGAGACGACATCCCTCGAACTCCCATATGACCATCTTTGGCTTACCGTGGGGTCACTGTAGAGTGCCTGGGCAACAAAAGTCCGCTTGCAGTCCTATGCAGGTCTCTCCGCCATGGCACCATCCATCCGCCAGGATGCAAATGATACACGCAGGCAGCAACTTCATAGTCCAGATTGCTGATTGAAGGTTGCATCTTCACCCCCTGGCTAGTATTACCTTCAAGACCGGAAGGACAAGTCGTCTGGCAAGGTAATACGTCATTAAGGGTTTCACGGGGTCGGCCGTGCAAGCATGGATGGCATTGGCAAAGTAGTCTCGTAAAAAGGGATGAAAAACCCCGCACCTCGGGAAATTCAGATATCACAGAGGTTGGAAGGAACGAGTGCTTGATCAGGGCCGCTGGTGTATCCATCGATGTGGATTGTGTAAGGTAGACATCGTCGATGCCTGCGCGCGAATATCTGGGCATGCGCTTGTGTCACAGTCAGAAGCTTGAGGCAAGGCTCCGATGTGATCGAGAAGATAATATATCTGACAGGTCAGGGCCATTTGTCCAGGGGTGGAAGATCGGACGTGTCAGGCAGCAAGGCAGGAATGAATTCATGGCGGAGAGGGAGACCCGCCCGTCTGCTGCCAAGGAACACGGGGCATGTGAGCAGCTGCCTACATCGTCCGCCCTCCCCGATCGCAACTCCCGACAGAGATAAAGAGGAGCTGCTGAATATTGCTAGACAGTCTAGACATGGCGCCCCTTCTTGCAGAAGAGGTCGTGAAGCATCCTGCATTCGATACAGTCGACTGGAACCTCCCGTCCACGTCATCCGGAACATGTACGGTGGCGCAGGGGAGACGCGGAGGCCCCCTCAACCTGTATTATGAGACCCATGGCACTGGGCCTGTGAAGCTCGTCGTAAGTCGGTCGGGAGCAGAAATCCCGGTTCACCTGGCGGTGTAGCGCTGACCAGTTGCAGTGGATTATGGGCCTCAACGGGTCCCTCACGGACTGGAAGCGCCATACCAAATACTTTGGCCATCAGCACGCGTCCAGATACACATGCTTGGTATTCGACAACCGGGGCGTCGGTCGCTCTGACAAGCCGTTGTCATTCTACTCCACGTCCGAGATGGCGCAAGACGCCGTGGACCTGGTCGCCTCGCTGGGCTGGATCGACCTCGCCGCTCCCGCCGAACGGTCCATCCATGTCATCGGCGCCAGTATGGGCGGGATGATCGCTCAGGAAGTCGGGGTGCTGATTCCCGACCGTCTCGCGAGTCTGACGCTCTGCTGTACGGCGCCTCGCTTGGTGCGGACGGGTCCGTTCCTCGAAACGGTGCACCAGCGCGCGAGCATGTTCATCCCTCGCCATATCGATGTCGATCTCCAGCGGATCGCGAAGGATCTCTTTGCGGACGGCTTCCTGGACCAGCCGGACACGGAGTATGGGGACCCGACGAAGAACTTCCCGACCAGGCGGGATCGGTTTGCCGCGGGCGTGTTGAAGAAGCGCGCTGACACGGACCGATACACGGTCAAGGGCTTTCTGATGCAGGTTGTGGCGTGCTATTTCCATACCAAGTCGCCGGCGCAGCTCAAGGCCCTGGGGGACAACGTGGGCAGAGAACGCATCACGATCTGCCATGGCACCAACGACCTCATGTTGACGTTTCGTCACGGGGAGATCCTGCACGAGGAGATCGGGGAGGGGGTGACGTGGAAGGTGTTCGAAGGCAGCGGCCACATGCTGAGTTGGGAACGAGAGCACGAAGTGAACCAGATGATCGAGGAGGCGGTGGGCAAATGGAGTTGAAGTTGAGGATTCCGACTGACGAAGTGCCGCACGTGTTAGCATAGATAGGTGTACGATAGAGCAACATACTTTGACTTTGTGGCAGGTGTCCTGTCCTGTCCTGACTTCCATGGGTCGTTTGCGGAATTCCAATCCGGGGAGATGAGGAGGGAAGAAGGAAGAAGGAAGAAGTAGTTCGTATCCAACAGCAATTCCCCGACGCGTGATCATCAACGCCGTCAGTCACCTGTCCACGCCACACGCTGACCGCAGCGCCTATATGAGCTGGACCTGTCGCTTCCCCCTTCGCTTCTCTCTCCCTCTCCCTCTCCATCCCCATCCACGATCCCCCAAGATGGCCCTTCAAGGAAACGAGCACGACCACCACCCCGCAGGCCCCGACGACCTCCGATCTCCCTGTCCGGTCCTTAACACCCTCGCCAACCACGGCCTCATCGCCCGCAATGGCCGGGACATCACGGCCACTCAACTCAAATCCGCCATCCAATACATCGGCCTCGGCTTCGACGTGGCCACCGCCCTAGTCAGCCGGGTCTTCGAAGTCCACGCCGACGACCCCTCCCACGCACCCCCAGGGACCTCGCGAGCGGGCCTCCGCGATCCCAACCAAGTCAACAAGGACGGCATCCCGGTACTAAACCTCGACCAAGTCGGCCGGCCCCACGCCCTGGAGCACGACGTGTCGATCACGCGCCAGGACCGCGAGCTGGGCGACTGCATCCACCTAGACCCGGACCTATACAAGCAGTTCATCCAGGCGTCCCAAGACGGGCGATACCGGTCCAGCGTGCTGGGCAGCTATCGGAAGACGCGATACGAGGAGCAGAAGCGCATCAACCCACACCTGCAGTTTGGGAAGTTCGAGCACTATGTTGGGTGTGCGGAGATGGCCGCTCTGCGATGCGTTTTCGGGCAGGGCGTCTCCAGAGGCGTGCCGGGGGAGTATGTACGTGCCGTGTTTGGGGACGAGAGGTTGCCGTATAATGAGGGCTGGAAGCCACGGCGGTTGAAGGCGTTTTTTCCAGAGATGATTCCGGTGTTGTTGCTTATTTCGCATTATGCGTGGCCGTTCTAGAGTCTAGACTCCGTCGGCTTCGACTGGGGTGGATTCGGATTGGGGGGTGGGGAAGGGGATGGAATGAGGGGGGGGTAATCTGGGGAGGGGAGAGTGGAGGGTTGTTTGGGATAGAATGACAGATGCAGGCTCAGATTGCAGGACTGTATCCACCGCATGCAGGGTAGTCCAGTCCGGATTTTGATCGATGTTTTACTTTTGGCAGATGGCAAGATGGAGAATGTGTGCTGTTTACAAAGTACTAATTGGACAACAGTAAATGCCCAAGTCAATCCCATCAGACTCAAACCATGGCTCTTCATCCACCATCCATAATATCATGAGAGGACCTTACTGCCTCCCCAGCTGTCTAATTGGAAGTGTTCTGTCTCCTCTCACTTGGTTGGGATCAGGCGTCCCGCGCTACTAATTTTGGAACAATGTGACAGATCCGATCAGCCAGCCATGACTTGACCAGCTGAACGCCTTCGAGAATTTAGGGAATCATCCCCGATGGTCTTTTTGTCCAATCGCTCTTCCTTATAGTCTTCTCTCCAAATGACCACTCAAATGGCCGTATAAGCGATTGGCTCCTCATGCTTCAAAGAAGGGTCCAGAGGATACTGGCCTGAAAGGGACTAGTGCGGCCAGGACTACAAACAGGTCCAATCTATCCTAATCGGGTAATGTACAAGGAGAGCCGTGGGGCTTACCTTTCTACATATAGATATTTACCAAGTACCGTGTGAGTGTATGAAGAGATTGTAAGCACGTCAAAGTACATCAATCCAGTTGGGCACTATATATAAATATAAAGTCTTGGCGTCATTTTTGGTTGTGGCTGGGCATGGCTCTTGATGGGGCCGATGAAAATACTACCTACTTAGTAAGAAATATCCAATTCATTGATTCGAATTGCTCGAGCCTTGCATTGGAACGTATCTAGTAGGTTGTAAATATTTAGCGAAGTATATATCTTACTTTCATGAGTTGGAATGTTTATTCTGAGGTTGGTGCGACGGAGAGGTAAAATGGGTTGAGAAGAGCAGGGAAAGAAAAACAACAGTAGATATAGATGGTAAGTAGGTGGACTTTTGGAAAGGGTAGCTCGAGGAAGGTTTTAAGATCTTGAGTCCGCGCGGTGTGTTCCTGAAACAAATGCTATTTGCCCTTTTTTATACATGATAAATCAATCACATTTACATATACCTTTGTATAAATTAATGCTAGCTGCGACGATAAAGGCAAACATGTGCATTCCCGCTACCTACTTCAGGGGAAATTGCAGGGACAAAAGCAATAATTATCCTATCTTACCGTATGTCGCATATAGATCAAAGACCTAGAACTCTATACACACCACCACAACTACAAGATAGAGGCCAACCCGACCCTACCCAATATCCAGCACAACTCACCAATACCGATCCAAGGACACACCATACCGTCCCAACCAATGCTCCGCCAAAACCAGTAAACACATCCGTAACTGCGCCTTCTAATGTTTCAAAACAAATCCACTCTTCGACCACGGACTCCATCCTTTACTCCGTACCTGCATCCGATAACTATCCATACTTACTACCCCTAAGGTATACTACCCCTATACTATACCCCCAACACCCAAACAACCGTATTTAAGTTAAATAAAACAAAAGGCAAATATTTATACTCTATTATTCGCAGAGCTCTACATACAGATCTCCACCGCAGGATATATTTATCGCCGTATCAGAACAGCTCATGTGGACCAACCGCGGGGACCTGATTCGTGATGTGTATGACAGGACGCGTCATCATGCTGTTCATACTTGGTCTTGGGGGTTCTGGGCGTGGGATTGGTGTTTGTGGAGATGGATAGTAGGTATTTGCTAAGGGAGATAGACTGGAGGGAAGATGGGGTTTGTTTGAGTATGTAATATTAGTAGGTGTTGGAGTGGTTGTGTTGTTGATATCGCGCGGATCATGATTTTGATACCGTATGTGATGGACGGTAGGTAATATGATTATCGCAAGGTCTATCTATCTCTACTGTGGTATAAGGATACTCGGGATACTTACCCTGCCGTTTATACGTTGGAGAGTCGATCTACTAAGGAATTATATCGAGCTAGCACCATCCTCTGACACTCACCAAAACCAGTGGCAAATCCCCCATCAAGCCCGAAAAGACTAACTACTGCAGGAACGCGCCTCTCAAGGTTTCCTCATCGTCAGGGGCAGAAGCTTGAGGGAGCCACCGCCATGTGTTGGATGTCGGGACGCGTGTCGCCTTGACTCGAGTGGTCGGTGGTGGTGCTGTGCAGATTACCGTTCGCGGCGATGGATCTGATGCCCCTGCAGGATGCATGAGACTTGTCGGGTTGATGGGGATGGTTCGGGGGGATGATTGACAGGTACGTAGGTATGTAATTCAGTGTGTGGTTGCTTTTGTTGATCGGGGCGATGAAACTTGACGTTCTACCTATCTGTCTTTCGTTCTTTCTTTCTTTTGTTCTCCCTTGCGTGTGTGCTTAAAATAGATTTGGGACTGTAGATAAGTGAGTATTGGTGTGACTGAGGCGAAGCTGGCTTTGATTTGAGGGTATTTTGTTTTGTATATTGGTTCAGTTTGGAAATTGTAAGTCGCAAGTAGGGTTTGTTCGGATGACATCGCATGGCGCATTGAAGGCCGTGGTGGTGGCTGATGGCGGAAGTATATCTGGGTGGTGGTTGTTGTTGTGGTACCGCATCATGACAGTGCATACAGATGCGATAAAATAATTGTGATGATCCCCGATGATTTCCATCTTCGCCAGGCCGGATATGTAATTATTCAACTCCTACAAGGTCGATGCGAATCCGCTCGGACATAGCAGGCCAGACCAGCCCCCTATGTCCGAGGTTGGCCAATGTGGTCGGCGGAAATGGTAATATACTGACTATTAATTACCACGGCCCAGCAGATCCCGTCGATCGATTGTCTCAAAAACCAGATCGGACGAAACTCTTTCCTTCGCTCCCCCCCACGATTTTCACAGTCAAAGTCAAAGTCAATGGATGAATGGATGAGATGAGCCGTGTTCTTACATTTCCTCAAACTCAACCCTTTACGGCGCAAGTTTTGTTGCTCCTTGCTCCTTGCTCCATCCGCCCGCTTTGCTGAAAGGGGAATCATCGGGTTCGCATACTTACGAGATACTTACATACATACATACATACATGCGTACTGTTATACTTGGTGGCGGTAAGAATGATTTGATTTGCTATGATATACTGCAGGTAGGCAGTTCTTATTATATAATAAAGATATTAGATAAAGTTATTCGCAAATAGCAAGATACTAGTAAAATAATAATTAATTCTCTACTAACTAGATAACAGAAATTTATAGATAAAGAGATAATCTTTCTGATTAATATTTCTATTATAGTAATTATTTAAAAAAATAATTATTATTTTTTTTTATTTTTCTTCTTAGCAACTCTTCTTCTGTTTATTATTAATTATAATTCTTAATAATAATAATAAAGATAATAGATAATAGTTAAGAATAATAATAATAATTCTTAATTTTTAATAGCCTGACTTATTAGATAATATAGATATAATTAAAAAATATAACTTTATTATCTCTTTTATAATTAATTTAATATTATTACTAATTTTTTAAAGTCAGGCTGTATAAATACTTATTATTTTATTATATTTTTTTTTTATTTATTTAATCTGCTTGAGATACTGATCTATAGTTTTAACTATTTTTTTATAATAATATATCTATAAATATTTAAATTTCTCTATATAATTATTATATAGCTTTACTAGATATTTCTTATAATCTTTTTTTATCTCTTTTATAATTATTATCTAGAATAATTACTTTAAATATAATATAAACTAATATTCTGACTAATTATTCAGTCTTTATTTTATTATTTACTATAAAATCTCTTAATATTTATCTTAAAATATTTATACTCAATTATTCTATTAAATATTTATTAATTAAAACTATTCTATATAATTAATCTATTAAACTTTAAGATTCTGAGTTTTAATTATTAATTAAATTTTCAAAGCTTTAACTCTGATTATTAGATTCTAAATATTATTATAATAATCTCTTATATATTTTATTTCTGTTTCTTATTTTATAATATATTTATAAATAATAGTCTTTTTTAAAGTCTGGACTTTAGTTACTTTATTATTTATAATAATATCTTTAATAATTATAGAATTCAGTAGATTTATAATAATCTAATTTTATAAAATAACTAATATTAATTATTTTTATTAAATTCTTTTAAATTTAAAAATTTCTAATTTTTTAAATTTTTTTTTATATATATATTTATTCTTTCGGATTTTCTACTCTTACTTTTAATTCTAATCTTAATTAATTAGTATATTTAAATATAATTAATACTAATATTACAGTTCTTAGTAATTTATATTAGATTATTTTACTTTAAAAAAAAACTTAAAATTACTGTTAATATTTTTTATAAAGATAATAAAATAATACTTTGTTTATAGTTTCTCTGTTTTTATAAAATAGTTATAATAAGACTTTTTATTTTTTACTAATATATTAATAACTTAAGTAAGTTTTATATTTATAAGAATTAACTTCTCTCTAGCTATAATCTCTTAAGATAATTTAATAATTAAATTCTTACTCTTATTTAATATTATTATATTATTAAAAAAATTATCTGAACTATTAAAAGAACTATTAGATTTAATAAATATAAAGTCTGAGTTCTTCTTCTTTTTCTTTAAAACTATAATTATAAATATAATATTATCTTTTTCTTTTCTAATCTTAAGCTTTAATTCTGATTTTTTTAAACTTAAATTATAATTATTCCAGTTTTTATTTTATAACTTAAAAATTATTATTACTATATTAATACTGCGGTTACTGATAAAAAGAATAAATAAAATTAAAGCAGAATATATAAAAAAAAAGAATAAAAATAAGAAATATAAAAAGTACTATATAAAAAATAAAGAGTAAAAAAGATAAATAAAAA